TACAATTAACCGGGGCTGTGTCACTAAAATGACGGGTTTATGATAATCTCCATCTACACGGCGTCTAATCTTCATTCAGATATCTTTATGATAATTGAACAAAAGGGCTAGGAAACTGGTTTGAGTCAATATAACGTGTATTAGAGAGTGGCGGAGAGTTTATTGCCAGTTCTTCTCGTCAGTTCTACGTCTTTGATTTGAGAACTGGCAGTAAATGTAAAATTAGAAGCATTTAATATGTATTTCTTTAAAGACGTTCATAAGTGTACCTAAATGAATATATCATTTTGATTTTTATAGAATTATTTAATACCAATACCAATAAAAAATATACATGGGCCGGTTTGTAGCAGACAGCAGTTTCACAGACCATTTCAAACATTTTTATTTTACATAACGAATAAAAATCTCATTATTCTAATGAGCAGAAGATTAATTAATTAATTACATATTAATGTATAGCGACCAAAACAAAACCGCCAGTCTGCCCACCACGTAAATTTGAAGATTTTATAGATTTTAATTGCATTTAATCGCTCTTTTAAGGAAGTTATCTCTTCTCCCGATAATGAACACATAAGATTTCAACGTGAAGAAATTTTGAAGCACAATACTCTCCGTAATTGTAAAAAGAAACTCGCTGTGACTGTGAAACTGTGCTATATTCCATCAGTAAGTGTTTAGTTTTATTATCTGGATCAACCATAGATAATAACCAAAAACAACAAGTGGGGCTAACCTTTTAGTTCTGCGATTTCGTAATTATTTATTTTTTCTAATAGGCAAGTAGATGATCAGCCTCTGTGCCTGACTTTTGGGTCTAAGGCATGCCGGTTTCACCACGATGTTCTTCTTCACCGTCAAGCCAGATGCGCACATAGATCACACAGCAGGATCCTTCGACCTAGGGATGAGAGTCGCACGCTTAGTCACTGGGCCAACACTGCCCATTCTCGTAATTGTTTACGACGACATCGTTTAGAACAATATACCGGTTATATTGACCAAAATCGAAGGTCTCGGATGAATTCTATTGTATTAGGTACTTAATAACGTCATCTGCTGTTACGACTATCGGTTTCTACGACAAAATATGATTAGTCCCTTCGATGTCGCTATAACAGATTTTGACCTTTTTCAGTTTTCGCAAATCTTTTGCGTAGATTTATGTATTTATTCTAGTTCTTGTCTCACAGCGTTTTACACATATCTCTCTCAACATATCTACTCCTAGAGTCAATTTAACTAATTGTTTCCGATCAGCAGCACTGACTGTTAATGATTGTGGCAGCGAGTGTATAACTAAAATTACGTACAATTAATATATTTTTATATTAGCTTCCATACTTACCTAAATAACGACACTAAATTCATATATCGTATCCTAGTTTCTCATCAACAAGACTTAAACATCCTTGTCGATGTTCTTTTTTTTTTTTTTTTTCGTGGGAAAATGCGTTACGCATACCCTACCCGCGGCACGGTTGACCTGGTGGGGAAGGATTATGTGGGACTCGCTGTTGTGCATACCCACTAAAACCCCACGGCGCCACCAGCAATCGCCCGGGGCAGGACACGGTAACAGCGTAGCCTTGTCCGCATCCAGCCACGCGATCAGCCGTTAATATTACGGTCCTCTACGGCCACGAATGATGTGGAATGGACTTTGGCACAGCAAGGGCCTTTCACATCGGCCAATTCACCCTGTTTCATAAAGCTGGGGGAGGCCGGGTACAATGCTTACAGGGATGCGTCAGCATCCCTAAACATCCTTGTCGAAGTTCACACTTACTACGTTCTAACTAATTGCAACAACTTAAATAGATTCTACCTTCATTTAGTTTAATAAACAATAAAAATGAATAAACAAACATCTAATGAAATCAAACAATTTAACCAATTTCTTAATGGCACTGCATGATACAGGCTAGGCCTAGTAAGCACTAGGCTTATAGAAGTATATTATGTACCTATAAGGTTAACCACAATGAATATTGTATCTCAACGATTCGTAGCATAGTGTATGTTTACAATCTTTTAAATGTAAGTACGCAATATGTTTTGAGTCAAATAAAGTAATTTTTATTTATTATTTATTTCATTCAGGCGTGCTCTAGAATTTTTTCTTTTATTTTTATCTGATAAACGTCTACGTGTCTAAGGACATTGGACACCCATGTTAGTGTGTGAATTGGCGTTTAATCGTTCGTCAAATCAAAGATGATTCCTTCATGATTGTGTAATTTGATCAGTGATTCTCGGAGAAACTTTGACCACTTGAAACTTTTTTCCATCCGTATCTACCTCGACGTCCGTCGTTGCACAACTGAGCGTTTCTTAAGGCAGTTTTTGCCGCGCACCACTTCTATGTTGAACCCACTGCCCACTGAAGTATTTCCGAACCAATTCGGTCCTTCAAGAAAAGAGCATACCAATTCTCAAAAGGCCGGCAACGCACTCGCGAGCCCTCTGGCATTGAGGGACTCCATGGGTATCACTTAACATCAGGTGAGCCTCCTGAAAAAGAAATCGTATGTGAAGGGAAATATAAAAGTACTGAGCTTGTATGATGGGATTATTCATTTCAGAAAACCACGGGTGATGAATTCATACCAATTGAACACGTATTAGACGCTCACAATAAACGCATAAGGCTCTTAAACCCATACATATTACGTCTACGGAGAGAAAACCCTTCTCAATTGTATAAAATTCGGAAATTGGAAGTAAGTACTATATTACTATACTAGCATTCTGTTGATTGAAAGAATTATAGTGTGACATATTAGTACGGGAGGTAGCAACGTTTGAAAAGAAAGAATTTTAGGTCAGCTGATTTTGTGATATGTCTTCCTTCTTGCACTTTCGGTTAGAGTCTTGGCTATCTGGCTGGCGGTAGCGGTTGCGTTATTTAGTGCGCATCCTATCTGTCCAGGTAATATCCTGGATTTTAAAAGCATTTTAAGAAGCGTAATTTTTAATTTTTCGTTTTTTAATAAGTCTACCTGACATACTTTTTTTATTGCCAGACATTTTTCACATTGCTATGTGCCAGACGCGATTTTAAGTTTCTTTTTTTATAAAAATTTCAAAGTATTTTAGAATGTCTGTAATTTTAATATTATGTTATTTAAATATAAGAAAAACTAAAAATGAATTTGCCAGACATTAATTCGATTGTTAAGTCTTGAATTAAAATGAAAAAGTCATGAAAAGTATTGCAGTATGATGAAGCATTGCATTTTAAGAATCGTTATTTTTAATTTTTTTTTGTTCAGAATCAGAACAGTGTATAACTACTTCTGCGTCAAAATCGATTTGGCAAATATGATAAATAATCCTAGAATCAGCTTCTTCGTGTTCTTCACACGATAATGATTCTTCAATAGTTTTAATTACTTAGTTATTTATCACTTTGTATGAATAACATTTATTAAAACTTACGTAAATGTTATTATTACCAATGAAAGGCATCATACTGCAATACTTTTCATGACTTTTTCATTTTAATTCAAGGCTTAACAATCGAATTAATGTCTGGCAAATTCATTTTTAGTTTTTCTTATATTTAAATAACATAATATTAAAATTACAGACATTCTAAAATACTTTGAAATTTTTATAAAAAAAAAACTTAAAATCGCGTCTGACACATAGTTAGCAATGTGAAAAATGTCTGGCAATAAAAAAAGTATGTCAGGTAGACTTATTTAAAAAGGAAAAATCAAAAATTACGCTTCTTAAAATGCAATGCTTCATCATACTGCAATACTTTTTAATTTTAATTCAAGACTTAACAATCGAATTAATGTCTGGAAAATTCATTTTTAGTTCTTCTTATATTTAAATAACATAATATTAAAATTACAGACATTCTAAAATACTTTGAAATTTTTATAAAAAAAAAAAACTTAAAATCGCGTCTGGCACATAGTTAGCAATGTGAAAAATGTCTGGCAATAAAAAAAGTATGTCAGGTAGACTTATTTAAAAACGAAAAATTAAAAATTACGCTTCTTAAAATGCTTTTAAAATCCAGGATTATTACCTGGACAGATAGGATGCGCACTAATGAACGCAACCGCTACCGCCAGCCAGATTGCCCAGACTCTAACCGATAGTGCAAGAAGGAAGACATATCACAAAATCAGCTGACCTGAAATTCTTTCTCGAAAACGTTGCTACCTCCCGTACTATATGGTTGGTTGATGATTTCCGCGCCGAGATTGAAGGCTATGGATCAGGGAGTGTCTACCCCCAAGATTACCTTACAACCTCACAAATAAAGAGGTAAATTGAGATTGTAGGAGGTAACCTCTAGCTCTACTGAATTTAGTTTTGGCTACGCTGTTTGTGTCATAGGCCCGGAAAGGTAAAAGATTTTTTCTATGGTTACAGATAGTAACGGGAGTATTTGGTTCTAATATTCAAAAGGAAAGTCGAAGTGTAAGTCAAATCTCTGGAAATCTAAATTATTTTTGTCTTTGATTTTTGGAAACACAGCTTTAGCAATCGTGCTCAGAGAGAGACTAGTAAATAATGAACTCACGGATATAATCGCGCTTTCTTTCAATATATAAAATAAATCAGTGCCGCTACAACCTCTTTAGGTCTGGGCCTCAGATTTCTGACTCTGTATCATGATCATTTTTCAATCTAATAGACAAGTAGGTGATCAGCCAATGCCTGACACACGCCGTCGACTTTTTGGGTCTAAGACATGTCGGTTTCCTCACGATGTTTTCCTTCACCGTTCGAGCAAATGTTAAATGCGCACTTAGAAAGAAAGTCCATTGGTGCACAGCCGGGGATCGAACCTACGACCTCAGGGTGAAAGTCTGACACTGAAGCTGATTTATACTAAATTATATATAGTTAGCTCAGTTCTTTGTCACCCCAATGAATTGAAGTGCATATGATGTGTTTATGTCTCACCTCTAGTCCAAACAGACAGTAGATCAGTCTTTCTGTTCGATCAATATTTGCATGAACAAAGGAAAATGATGAGTTTTGATTTACAGCATTTTCTCCACAAGAAATTATCCGAGGACAAAACGTCTACAAAGTATGAAAGTCTAGATAAAAGTGATATCTATCATATAGATACAAGTGCCTTTTCAGGTAATTTTACAGAGAGCTGTTTTACGCCCGAACCCAAAAATCAATGGATTAGACCGTGACAGTCGATCGATCTCCTATCTGCATCCCAATAATTAAACACTACGAAGACAATCGATTTTTGGCGACGGATAAAGTGCTCTTTGTCGTTCCATTTCCATCACTCATATTTGATAATCAATGTAAACCATAATTAAAGTAAATAAAACCATGCAAATAAGATTAAAAAATACATGTGTATGTTTAAAACATAACAAACAGTTATTTAATTATTTAACAAACTGGTGTAAGTTAAAATCTGTTAAAATAATTAACTGTTGAAATCGAGCTTTCGTCAACTGTCATTTTCATACAAAGGTCTATCCTCAGACACAGATACGACCTTCCATGGATAGCTTGTATCGACAGATGGCTATTACAATACATCGATTGGTTATTGGCACACTTTTTACAACACTTGGATTAGGATTACTATCTCAGATGGTGGATTATGGATTGAGATAGGTTATTGGGTTCGGGCGTTATCACTCACGAGATCTGTTTTAATATTTTCATATACCAATTCAAGTATGCAACGTGAATAACAGTTATTAATTCAAAATCACGTTTAGTAATGCTATCTCTACCGGATTAAAAGCAGTACCAGCCCTGCGATTCTGTAACTCACTTTTCGAACTCACACAGCGGTTTTCGCATCGGCGGTCGCTCTCAAATCAGTCGTGAAGCAGTCATTTTATGATTTTTTTATTCTGGGCATTCTGGCATTCTGATAAACAATAAACTAAACTAAAAGCTCCTACCTTTTCGCAGGGCTGCGCGCGACGGGCCTTCATAAACTTATGTGTCGATAAATAGCAATCATGAAAGAAAGAAAATTGCTTTGACTCTAATTTAAGTAAAGAATCATCTCTTCAAGAAAAGAGCCAGCTGTGGGCGTTGAAGGTCCATAGGCGGCGCTCCTATCCCATAAAAAATAAAAAAGTAAATTAATCGAGAATTGAATAAAGACGAAAATAACCTGTGCTACGCTGAAAAATTGCATAGGGCGAACTTAATTCTAAATTTTATTTTGTTTATATTTATGATCCATACCTAATATTATAAAATATATTCAAAGTTTGTGGGGTTCTAGGGAAAATTTCCAGAAAACTTACTCAACTGATTTAGAAAATTCTTTACCAATAGTACCTAAGCCATCTTATTTGTGAGTGTTATAGATTAATATAGGTGTTATAGTTTATGGAGAGTGTTCAGAGGAGTTATTTGGATTAATACCAGCAGCTGAGTTTCATCATCGGACGCCGAGGCAAAATACGAAATACCACCCGTATCACCTCCACGTCCGTCGTTGCACAACTGAGCGTTTCTTAAGGCAGTTTTTGCCGCGCACCACCACTATGTGGAACCCTCTGCCGTCTGAAGTATTTTCGAAACAATTTGACTTAGGGTCGTTCAAGAAAAGAGCGTACCAATTCTTAAAAGGACGGCAACACACTTGCGAGCCCTCATTGAGAGTGTCCATGGGTAGTTGTATCACTTTATGGGTGTCACATGGTTATCACATGGGTGGTGGGCCTTCTGCCGTTTGCCTCCTGTTAATTAAAGAAAAGTTATATGGAAACCGAACAGTTTATAAACTTTATTGTCGAACGAACGCTGCCTTAAAGATGAGAGATTATATAGTACCAGCGAAAAGTTTTAGAGCTTGATAATGCCTTCAAAAGCTAGCATAGGTCTAACTTCTCTGTCTAACTTAGATGGTTCTATGTCATGTGCGGTTCTAGAAATTGCATTGTTTTTGAGTACATACTTCTAAGTTGTGATTGCGTGGGTAATAACATGTTCATGCCTAATTTTGCGCCTTTGACCGCGTCCTACTGATTGTCGCGTAGTTTTTTCCATTTCATTTTTGCTACTTCAACTTTAATAAAACAATTATGCAATCCACTTCCCCAATTTCATTAAAAAAATTCAATTGATTTCAGATGACAGTGCTCAAATGCCATATTTTGAAAATACCGAACACAAGTCTTCGATACCTGACAAAAACAAAATTTTGTCTCAAGACGCCGCAGAATCGAATCAAAATTGGAAAAACAAAACAAATAATTTAACACACGATAATCAATATGTTTTATATGAAATTGGAAATGCTGAACTTTGGTACAAATCTCAAATAGAAGTTTACGAGAAGATGACACTGGAAGGGAAAATAATGTGGAATGATTTGACTAAACGTGAAATCGCAAGGTAATTTTAAATTATTAATTGATGAAAATACTTTAACCACACTTGGAGTACAGTAGCTGACGAGTAACTAATGGTTGTGGATTAAAAATAAAAATAAATAAATCAGTGGCGGTACAACCTCTTTAGGTCTTGGCCTCAGATTTCTGAATCTGTTTCATAATCATTTTTAAATCTAATAGGCAAGTAAGTGATCAGCCTTCAGTGCACACACGCCGTCAACTTTTCGGTCTAACACATGTCGGTTTCCTCACGATGTTTTCCTTCACCGTTCCAGCAAATGTTAAATGCGCACTTAGAAAGAAAGTCCATTGGTACAGCCGGGGATCGAACCTACGACCTCAGGTATGAGAGTCGCACGCTGAAGCCACTAGGCCAACACTGCTCTGGATTACAATGCTGTTTAACAATCAATCTTTCTTTCTACGTGTTTTCCTTCGTCGCTTTTCGCACGTAGATAGAAAATCTAATACACGCCCTGATTTGAAGTTTGAACCCATTAAATCCCCGAGAATCCCATCCCAGATTCTCTGATGACTCCCGTAGGTCAAAAATGTATTGGACAAATAGGAGTGGTACTTGTAAAATAAAACATTGTTTCAGTGTTAGCACTTTAGATCCTCTATGGAAAAACCAAGATGTGAGTGTACGTTATCTTACCAAGGATGTCGTGAAAAGAGAAGATTTCGACTTGCCTTCCGGTGGACTGTGTTTGGTCCTACCATTAAACTATGCGCGAGAAAATATACTTCCAAAGGATATAAATATTAGTAAGCGACAAATATAAATACGTTGTTACGGTTAAAAAAAAAAAAAAAAAAACCCGGGGGGGGTATAAAAAATTTTTTGAAAAAAAAAGGGGGGGTTTTTGGGGGGGGGGGCCCCCAAAAAGGGGGGGGAAGGGGTCATTTTATGATTGGCATTCTGATAAACAATAAACTACAAGCTCCACCTTTCAGAATGCCAATCATAATGATAATTACTGTTCTCTAAACACGAGATACCATCGTGTATAATATAAATAATAAATGGTGTTATGGTACTTTAAATATTAATCCATTCCGGCGTTAACCACTTTTGAGTCATGTTTTTTAGTTTTATTCAAATGAAGTCAAAAATGCATGAAAAAATTAATTTAAATCGAATTTTTACTTGTTTTATCAATTAAAGACACTAATTATCGATTCAAATTTACAAATGCGAACGAAGAACAATATTTTTTTTGATATTTTTTTCGGGAACAACGAAAAAACAGGACTAAAACTATTGCAAAAAGTCACATCTATCACTTGACGGGAATACGTTGAATTGCCAGTTTAATTTATTTGCACCTCGGAAGAGTGTGGTCAACAATATCAGCGTGTAAGGGTTGATCTAGTTCTTTGGGTAGGAAATTAAACACTTCAATGATGTCTTGATTCACTATAATAAAATTAACTTCACTGATTTTACGTAAACTCTATAACTTCAAACTTGAACAAAGAAACTGCCCGTGCGCATGTGTTACAACCTCTTTTATAATCTATTCCCTACTCCGACCCGACCATCCCACTTCGGGCAGTTGTTCGAGTCAATTCGTAAACAACCGAACGAGTCAAATGAGTAACTATTTCATATTTGCGCGTGTAGCAAGATTCTTAAGAATATGTTTCATAAAAAATGTTTAGAACTTAATTAAATAAATATTAAAAGCTAACAAGTGTGTCCCAGCGTCTGTAAAATTTTTTGTTGACATTACAGATAATAATGGTGAATTCATAATAGTGCCAATCAGTGATGTTATTGTTGTCAAATCAAAACAAGAAGGTTTGAAAGACTTAAATCTCACAGATATTAAAAGAAAGCAGGTAATTTAACCATCCATGAGCGATCATATCCTGCTCAATCTTGACTTTTGTAGTTCTTGTATTTCTTATTATTTTGTATTGCATGGCAATTCATGAATCCGTGAGATTAGCTTTTTAGTTTTTAGTTTTTTTATTATTATTTATTTTAGATTAAGGTTGGTGATTTTATAGTTTTGATTGATTTTAATTGCTATGTAACGAATGAATGCAATTAAACGGTTGAAAAGAGTGCCTACGTCGGGCCGTAACTCCGACGACGATTAGGAATTGCCACGCTTATTAAACTAAGAAAGCCTGAGTGAGCAAAATTAACAGCCTTGGCTCGTACACTTTTATTGAGACTTTAAAATATGTTAAATAGATTTAGTTTTAATGTTTATGTTTTGCCTATTCTTATATTCCTAGATTTCTATGTTTCAATGTAATAATGTGTATCATTTGTAATTTCGAATTTTCTCGTGTTTAAGTCATATTTATTTCGTATCAGCTATATTAAATTATAAAAAAAATAATAAACATATAGCAAATAAAAATTAAAAAGGCTTATAAAAAGAGGAAACATTTACAAAAGGAAAAAATATACCTATATATATTTAACTAAGTAATACCTAAGTGATGGTGTGAAAGTGAGGGTATGTACGTAGGGTGTGTATGTGGGGTGTGCTCATGATGAAATTGATGCAACATATAAATTTAACAAAATTTGTTAAATTTATATTTTATTTAATAAAAACGATCCTTAGCCATTTTCGTTGTAAATTGCTTTCATGAAAATATTTTTAGCGTCACGTGGTTATAGAAACCGCTAGAACATTGATGATTGGCAATATGGCGGATCTTAACATAATGCAGCATGGAGATGAAGGATTTATGAAATTACCACTAAAAACTGGTCATTGCACGCAAATGGATTTGGAAGTTAAGGCGGATGAGAACAAACTTATAATTCCAGGGTTTGTATTGTGTTAATGTAGTCCAACAATAAAGTCCCAATAGCCAACACCAACAGATTTGGTTTGGCAATTACTAAGCACATACGGTGCGATCGTTGGTACAAAACATCGTGATAAATCTGGCATGTCATAATCTATGAGGTGTGTTAGGTAGCTACCTACGAAGAAAGCTGATAGATACAGATGGTATCTAAGGTATTTCATAAAGCGTAGTAGCATAATCAAACTACTAGCAATTTACGCTTTTTATATTATGTGTTTCTAAGTTGTAAAGTAGTTTAAAAAAAATTGGCGTAACAAAAGGTACATTTATATACAGGATGGGCCAGAAAGATTTGCGAATTTGAAAAAAATATAATAAAAAAACTAAAAACAATACACATACAATTTATTATTTCAATTAAAATAGACATCTGGGAAATTTATTTCTCAAAAATAACATCATCCAGGTGTGCACCATACGGCTGCAAACATTCCTCGAATCTGAACCTCAAATTGGTAAAAAGTTGCTGGCACATTGCGCGGGGAATAGCTGCCATTTCTTCGCAGATATTGGTCTTCAACTGGTTAATCGTGGCTGGATTATTGGAATAGACTTTACTTTTAAGGTATCCCCACATGAAAAAATCTGGTGGCGTTAGATCCAGACTTCTAGGTGGGGATGCAATGTCACCTCGGCGCGATATCAGTTTTCCAGCAAACATCTCGTTTACGGCCGCCAAAGAGGCATTAGATGTATGGCACGTCGCGCCATCTTGTTGAAACCATGTCGCACGATTATAGGCTTCAAATTGTTGCAGTTGTGGATAGAAAAAATCTTTTAACATGGCTATTTATCGGACTGAATTTACAGTGACAGATTGCCCTTGTTGATTTTCAAAGAAATAGGGTCCGATAATTCCGTGTGCTGATATGGCCGCCCAAACGGTTACTTTCGGCGAATGCAGAGGCTTTTCATGTTTGGCACGTGGGTTATCTGCAGCCCAGTAACGGCAATTCTGTTGACATGCCCATTTAAATGAAAATGGGCTTCGTTGGAGAACAGAATATTGCTTAAACTCCGAAAGCGTTTCAACATTGTTACAACAAAATTTCGACGTAAAATTGGGTCATTTGGCTTTAATTCCTGCACAAGTTGAACTTTATACGGGTGCAATTTCAGATCTTTTACCAAAATGCGCCGCAAAGATGTTCTGGAGACCACAAGTTCGGCTGATCGCTTGCGAGTCTATAGACCAGGATTACGTTGAACTGAAGCTCTAACTTGTTCAATAGTGTCTTTCGTTCTTATTGACCTTGGGCGTCCCGCAGGCTTCTGTTTGAGAGTAGAACCAGTAGCTTCGAACTTTCTAACCCACGATCGAATAACATTTTCTTTCGGACACTGATTTAGGTCATGTAATCCAAACTCACGCCGAACAATAGCGCACGAATCGCCATTTTTGTAATAATGTTTAACGCAGAATGCACGCTGCGCTCCGGTGAAGCGATCCATCGCGACTAAATTTCCGAGAACCGAGCTTCTTAACCCCACCACCCGCGCAGCCCCCTCTCATAAGGTTCAAACGCAAGAGTGTTTTTAAAATCGCACGCCTTTCTGGCCCACCCTGTACCAGAATACCACGTGTTAGTGGAGGTTTTCGATTGAAACGCGAAAATTATTCCGACATGATTTTATATTTAAACAATCAAATTGAATGTATTTTTTTAGGCGTCACGTTAAACAAATGGAAATGTTTTCTTTCATTTATAATTTATAATGTTAATAGACAGGATTGTTCCTCTAGGTACATCGAGGACTAATTTTAAGTTTTACAAATATATACATATAATAAATGAAGGCAAGACCATAATTGAGGATCTACATCTTAAATATATAATTCTATTGCACGTGTATGTAACTGAACTCCTCTAAACCGGCTGAACCGATTTTAATGAATTTTTTTGTATGCGTTTGGGTAGCGCCCTGTATGGTTTAGATTCACAAGTCAGCCCGACAGATGGCGCAGTCGGTATCTAGGTTCATTCAGCAAATAAACAGCTGGTATATATACATATACATTTTCTGTGCATGTATTTGTTATTGAACTCCTAAGCGGCTGGACAGATTTTGATGAAATGTTTTGTCTGTTCAAGTGGAGTTGAGAATGATTTACATTATTAGATATTTTTTGTATGTAAGACGTGTGTATAGGACGTCTGTCGGATCCGCAAGTATGTACTATATGTTTCTCCGAGGGAGTCAGTACGGAATAAGTTTAAGGAATTAAATATTATGACACTATCTGGTCAATATATTCTTGAAGCCTTGTTGTATGTCCAAAAAAATATAAACGATTTTAAAACAAATGGTGACTTTCACCAGTATAATACGCGAAATAGAACTAATTTGAGTGTACGACCAACCAGGCTCCAAAAGATAAACCACTCCTTATATGGAAATTGTATTCGTTTTTACAACAAACTCCCAAGCGAAATTAGAGAATTATCACTAAATAAATTCAAAGCCCTTGTTAAACGAAAATTAATCAACAAAGCCTTTTATAAATTTGAGGACTACTTAAATGATCCTAATCCTTGGGATTGAATTGCTCCAGTTCAAACAATTTGTATGACAATACTTGGCGATTAAAAAGAGTGGCGGAAAGTTTCTTGCCAGTTCTTCTTACCCGCTCTACGCCCTTGACTTGCGAACTGGTAGTAAATGTAAATTTATGATTAATTTAACTTGACGATTCAAAAGTGTACTTGGTTACCCACTTGAATAAAGATATTTTGAGTTTGAGTTTATAATTTGCGACGGTTAACATTTAGTAATTTACTCTTAATTATAAAAAATCAGTGCCGCTACAACCTTTTTTATGTCTAGGCCTCAGATTTATGTATCTGTTTCATGATCATATGTCGATCTTATAGGCAAGTAGGTGATCAGCCTTCTGTGCCAGACACACTAAGGATTTTGATGTAAGGCAAGCCGGTTTCCTCACGATGTTTTCCTTCACCGATCGAGTGAATGTCAAATGCGCACATGATGAGAGTCGCACGACGAAGCCACTAGGCCAACACTGCTCAGTGTGAGTCTTAATATTATAGATAAATTCCAATGGTAACAAAATTATAGGTCTTCGGCAAGATTGACATCTGTTGTATCTGACACACGTGATGTGCGATCTGTCATCAACCTGCAAGTGACAAATACAGGACTAGCTCCAGCTTTTTTCAGGTGATTTTTTTTACTGGTATCCCTCAGTGTAATTAAATGAATACATATATTAATGCAAAAACAACAAATGAAAATAAATTCACATTGTCACAAAATTTGAGTCAAGTGTTAACTGTCAAATGATTGACGTTTGACAGTTGAAAAGTGTTGCATTTTTGAGTTATGCATAATATTATGGCGTAGAAAATTACGCATCAATTAACAAGCTAACGACTCGATTTAAAGTAGTTTTACGCTGTTTTATTATTGATGCAATTATAAGATTAGATTCCGATATTTTAATAGCAAAAAAATATTTTTTTAATAAACTTATGTAATTTTTCCTCTTCACATAATTTGTAAGATATAATTCTTTGTCTAGATTTTCAATTTTAAATATTAAAAATAACTAAACACTTAACATACAAGAAGCTTCGCTGTGTTACCCCTTTGTGTGCATTTTCTATATATAATAATAATAATAAAAACATAATTTTGACAAAAGGGTTGTGACAGATTTCATATATAGCTAGTCCCCACACTAGGGAAGCCCTGTGTTGTGGGTAACTAGAAAACAATTATCACGTGGTACAAGTAGCGGCACGAAACTCTAGCGCTGACCGTTATTGCGCAGAAGTAAAAAATAAGGTACCTGAATGAAGCGGAATGAAGAGCGTCGATTGGCTCTCCAGTCGCATTCCGTCCCACGCACCGATACGACACATGCGATCCCCTCCACGTATCGGCCAGCGCTAGACTGACGTGCCGCTGCCTATACATGTTTAAAACAGTTAAAAAAATAATAAAAATAATAATTTTGTTAAAAATTAAGTGAATGAGGATGATATGTTTGATAAGATTACATAATATTTCTCTTTAATTATATTTTTTTTAAGTGTCGTACCCCGGGAATGCACGCCGCGCATATCAGAAGGGTTCGAAGAGTCATCTAATACTAACAACACTTTAATCCCACCAATGCATACAAATATCTTTATTATGGAACTACCCTTAGAGATATCTCACGATGACTATCGTTGTTCAAGTAAGAAATAAATTTTGTTTCTGTAACAAAGGTCCACCGTAACTACATTAACGATTCCGATTCCAATATCGTTGTTAGATGTTATTAGAAATGGGGTTTTGTTAGAGTCGATTCCAGCCAATTATTAAGTAATTGAAAGTTGGAATATATATTATATATATCTGTAACATAATATTACTTTTAGTGAGTTCGTGTATTTTGACGAGATTTTTTGCGACCTCCTCGGCAATGGATACTATATTTCAGTCAATTTACCAAATGGCGGATTTACCAGCTTGCTGAGTAAGCTGGAGTATAGGGCGGCAGATTTTTGGGGCGGCAAATTGGGGAACCGGAAGCAAAAACTTCAATATGCTAGAGTTAGCAGCTAGTTCGCCGCTCCACAACCAGTAATCGACCTCTGAGCCCCCAGTTTACTCTTCGTACGAGGAAAAATAAATTGCTAAAAATGTATCCTCTTCCCCTATCAACCCATACATATCATTCCTACTTCTGGTTGGAGGCTGCATACTGCATTTTTGTGCTCAAAAATCAGATCCAAAAATTATTTTTCGTGCAATTTCAATTAAATTGTTAAATGTAAAAATAATCTAGGACATGACAATTGTAGAGGCAAAGGCAACTTTACAGCATATAGGTACTTTGAAAATATATAAATCCGCCACTGAATTTATCATTTGTTATTAAATTTTAGTTGCATTGCTCAATGGAGACGGAGTAGCAGTCGCAACAAGAGACGTAGCTATTAAAAAGAACGATCGCTGTTTTTGCGTTTGGCACTGCGATTGCGTTTGTTTAGGTAATTATAAGTTTAATAAGTTGCGAGCAAACATTAATATTGTCTTCAGCCCTGCGATATTGTAACTCACTTTTCAGTACTACAGCGGTTTTGGAACTCACTTTTATAACTAGCAAAGCGGTTAAATTTTATTACGCCCTGACACATGATTTTGTAGTTACTTCTTTCAATTTTAATGCAACAAACACATTTAAATATTTGCGCATATATTTTATTACAGCGACATAGTGGAGTGGGAAATGAATTTAAAATGTAAAAGATGTTTTAGATAAATTAACATTTAAGTTTACAAATTTGACATGAAAACCAGTTAGTAACTTTATTTAAAACAATTATTGACTGATTTTTATGAATTTGATTTTTGGAATATACGCTCTCAGGTGACGATCCAAAATTAATATGCCGTGATATGTCTGAAGTGGATGTTTTAGCAGCTGGTTTTTCTCCTCATGAAGGGAAAAGACGCGTGCGTTCGGCCTGCTATCCTGATGATGTGACAATTAACATGTTTATCATCGTTATTGGCGTTTTATTTTTATTATTTCTGTTTGGTGAGTTAAATAGATTTACTTTGTTGTTACCATGGTAACGATGTCATGTCAAATATACGGTTACCATGGTAACAGACACGGTATAGCCTTTTGTTTTATTTATTTACAAGACCCTCGAGGTAAAAGATTTGTAAAAGAAGAAAGATTGATATTTTTGTTGATATCAATTGTTTTAGAAAACAAAAAAAACTGTTTTGGGTTGAGTCAATGGAAAGAATGTATAAAATTGTGTGAACAAATTGAAATATTTAGTTAATTAATGATTGTGTTAAAGAAAGAAATATTGTTTGCTTACATTATTGTATTGAAGTGCCTCCAATTCATTTGTACTAAATATTTGTATGCCATCAAAAATATTACTTGTAAAAAAACCCAGTCTCTCAACTCAGATCTACCGTTGTGAGATCCATGTGAACCGGTTTATTCAGTCCCCATTTAAGGGACTTTCTGTCTTAAGTTATTACCTAACAACATCTAGTGACCATAAAATAAAAATAAATCAGTGGCGGTACAACCTTTTAAGGTCTGGGCCTCAGATTTTCGGATCTGTTTCATGATCGTTTGTCAATTTAATAGCCAAGGAGGTGATTAGCCTCCTGTGCCTGACACACGTCGACTTTTTGGGTCTAAGACATGTCGGTTTCCTCACGATGTTTTCCTTCACCGTTCGAGCGAAGGTTAAATGAGCACATAGACAGAAAGTCTATTGGTGCACGGCCGGGGATCGAACCTACGACCTTAGGGACGAGAGTCGCACGTTGAAGCAACTAGGCCAACACTGCTCATCTAGTGACCATATCAATATTAAAAGTATTTTATGTTATGAATAGATTGACTTAGCAATCGCACTAAACAATCTAATTTACTGACATGCCCCCAGATTACATTTATTCCAAGTAATTATTTGTGCTTCGAACTGTTTATACTCTCTTCCTGTCAAATCGAGTCTATACTGTGATGAAAGAGACGGTGTGATAACTCATAAAAAAAACGACTTTAAATATATCGTCTGCATATAAACTCAAATTTATTACATGATTGATATAACATTTTGAGTTGTCCGCAATATTAATCAGCAGAATACTGTGTGAGCGAGTCAAAATTTTTTTTTATCAAAGAGGTTTTATTTGAACTCGCGTTTATCAAAGACAATAGACAATAGCTTCTTTTCAGGGTTATTAAAAGCTTGTATTGGGATAATACTGCCATGTGTTGGCTTAATGGGAATGGAGTGTATACTAAAGATACCACGAAAGCTGGACCAGTACTATGAAAGTTCTTTGAGAGGCCGACCTGTGGTTTATGATAAGGAGGGGTGGCCTGTTCATCCAGACACCAAAAAGAGAACAGTGCGTCTTGTCAGCAAGTATGTTTCTTAAAACAGAGTTGTAACTCTTCTTTTAGGTCTTATGATTTCTATTTACCTTTATTGTTAGCTGTATCCGTGATATTTTTTCTCCTTGGCTACATTTTAATAAAATCTAGTATAATGGTAATACAGATTTTTCTTCAGAAGCGACACGGGCTAAAGTATATTAAATTTGTATTCATGTATACAATACTAATACATTGTTAACAATATTCTTGGTAGTATAATTATGTGCCTATTGTACCTATACATACTTTAATTTTTTTTTCTTAACACTTGCAAGTGCAAGTATGCAAGTATACATAAATATAGTACAATTAAAATAATTAAATAAAAATTAAGGCAACTAGCGGGGAACTTTTATATAATAACGATATGTTGTTACACGAATTTCAAGATTATTTTATTTAAAACTAACTCTTAAAAATCTCCACAAAAAGCATATTAAGATGTTGGAGCTACCATGGCTAAAGCTAATCTCTCTCTTCTTGAATTGCGATGCAATACAAATGAAAGAATTACAAAAGTCACGATTGAGCAAGATAAGATATGGTTAAGAAATGTTTATACAGAAGAGTGTCAAAAGATGTTAGGGAGGTAGCCAATCGTATGGAGTCGGGCAGCCTATTCCACAACTTCATGGCGGAGATCCTAAACGAATTGCCTAAGAAGTATGACCTGTGAGATGGAATTTCCAAAAAGCATATATTAGAGGGGCATATAGTAACATATAGTTATAAAGACCTGAGAATTTGAACTCATTTTATGATAGGGAGATATGAGAGGGAGTTTTGGAATTCAAAAGAATTGAGTATAGAAGTTGAAGGAGATGACCGTCACGTCTGAGTCGAATAGGTAGCCACCCCAGCTGCCTGCGGAATTTAGATGGTGTCCAGCCAAAGATGATGTAGTTCCTAATACCAGTCACTTAAGAATGTATAATCACAAATCATATAATAATCAATATTTTTGTTAATACACTTCACTCATTCTAACAAAATCACATTAACTGATATTAATATGTTTATCGATATAAACTTACCGTGTATGTAAGCCGCATCGCTAGACTTATTATTATTATTTTTTATATAAAATAGAGGGGAAACGAGCCTACGGGTCTCCCAAAAAGGCCAGTCATCGCCGCCCATGGGCATCTATTTAAGTGGAGCCGTTGCCGTTTTGACATACGGGAGAGAGTTTAGATTGTGTTTCTGAATCTCACCTTAAGATACGTTGTTGCCCGCTGAAACGGAGATTTTTAAATTAGGTCTGTTCCAGGCCAATGGAGTTCATATTAAACGTGATTATGTTTATTATTTTGCCGTGTATACTCTTACGGGATGCAGTAATGCAAATGATAAATAAATGTAAAACGGAGGAAAACTTTCGGGGAAAGTTCCAAAATACGAAGAAATGTTTCAGCAGTAGAGACAGTCAGGTCAGTTTATCACATAATGGATTTCTTAATAGACATTTGATAAAAGAAGAAAAAAAAAGGTTGCGTGTACTTATGTACGCGCGTAAGAAGTTATACTTCTTTGGCTTTCTTTATTTTTTAAAATATTAAATAATTCATAACAAATATTTAATGTTAATAATTTAATAATATTTAATATTTAGTATATTATTCAATTATTAATTAATATTAATAATAATAATAATTATTACTATTTATTATTTTATTATATTATTCATTCAATTTAATAACTACGTATGTTTCATTACCTTTTAACTAAGTAACAATAGGTCTTTGTGAAAAAGCATTGCTAAATTTCTTTGAAAAATAATTAAAACACCTTTATTTGTTTAAAAGGTAAATGTCATTATGTTCATTCAAAATTCTTGGCGTAGCTGCTAACTTCACGCATATTCTATTTCTTTTTACTTGTAGATTGTCTTATTCCCATCTCGCTCGCGCACTCTATAATCAGACTGACAAATTTGTGTCTCAGGTGCGCGCGCATCGTAAAATTTCACTCTCATCAATTTTTCATAACGCGCCTAAAGAAGTATAACTTGAATAAAATTGGCGTGTTAAATTATACAAATCTGTCAAAAATGTCATCATACGTAATACGTACACGACACTGCCACGATTCGTGATATCGCGAGACTGTTCGTGACGCATAAAGTCCCATTTAGATGGAGAGAATTTCTCGTCTCTAAGATCCGATTATCGAAAGAAGAGAGTTTCTTCGAAACATTCCCTCCCTCTCCTCGCTCGCAACAATTGCCTCGCAATGGAAAATTTATTGTGTCCGTGTAAACAGAATTTCAAAAGCAATAATCGTATTTCGAGTTGTGCCAGTTGCTACCATGAGTGCAGTGCGTGAGGGTGTATTATTAAATCAAATTTGAGATCGTTGTACGAAATTCTGAGGATTTTCTTAAAAATGAGTCCAATAATTGTACCAAGGCAATTTAGGCACGTATATATTTTCAGCCCCAACTCCAGTCCCCAAAGATGATTTACTTTCTTTCTTTCTTGTAAATACTGATTGCTCATATTATTTTAATTTTAGTACTAATTACATTCCAAATCCCTCAACACACAATTCTCTCGTTAACAAGAGATAATTAAGGCACATCACGTCAAGGGCGTCTCCAGGGAAGGGCAGCTGGCCCCTAGAGAATCGTAAAGATCTTTTTATTCACTTGTCAAAATATATTTGTATTGCTTGTTTTATTTATTGTACACTGTACAGTCAAGATTACGTTGAAGTTTTCACTTTCTTTATACTTTTCCCATCCTCTGTACCTACTTCTAATGACGTCCTCGTTAACTAGAAAAATAAATAAGAGACCAAATGTTCTAGAACGTGGAGCCAAGATGGCGGAGACGTAAGGGTGACATGAGGAAATGGATGACACCTCAGGCTGAAGCACTAAGTGCGGACATTTGGGACTACGGTCTATCTCCAACGGGCGACAAGAAATGCGATTGTGTAAGATTTTTCATATACTAATTCGTGTAGATTAAGTATTATATATGTTACCGGAAATGTATGAAATCTAGGAATTGTATACAAATCCTAGGAAATTTTTAGAATTCCGAAGCTCTGTAGGAAAATCGTTTCGAAAACTATTTAATACATAAATGGCCTAGGAAATGTGCACAATTCCTAGGAATTGTATGTTATTCCAATATCATATTAGGAAATGTATAAAAATAATGTTTTCTGTAATAAAACACGTTGTTAAAATGAGAATGAGTTTGACGACTCATTGGTCTAGTGGCTAGTACCCCTGACTGCGAATCCATGGGTCCCGGCTTCGATCCCCGGCTGAGACGAACATCGATGTGATGAGCATTTGGTGTTGTGCTTAAATCTTGGGTGTTTAAATATGTATTTATATGTCTATCTATCTATAATATGTATGTATATCCGTTGCCTAGTACCCATAACACAAGCTTCACCAGCTTAGCATGGGACTAGGTCAAGTGGTGTGAATTGTCTTAAAAAAAAATATATCAGCACTCGTTGAGACAACCACGTTCAGGTAACAGTCATATTACCTGAACGACTAAAAACCTAACCTAATCTAACATCTAACGCGGCACTAGCGAGAACGCCTGATCAGACAAAACAATACCCTCCCCTCGCTCCGCTATCCCCGCATACCCATTGATATCTCGAATATTTTCATTTCCGATAGCTATTTAGACAATGTATAGATTTCCTAGGAAACGTGTCTAATATAATTTATTTTACACATTTCCGTGCGATTTTAGGAATTACATACAATTCCGAGGAAATGTATATAATAACGGATTACATACATTTCCGGTAACATAAAACATACCGGTAACAACATATTATAGTTGTCCAAATTTTATTCGCGACAACCAAAACAATATGTGCTTAATCTTATTCAACATTCACAAAACAAATCCGTTAAAACAAACGATGAACTTAATTTGACTAAGGGTCCTTCAAGAAAAGAGCGTACCAATTGAAAGCCTTCCGGCAATGTGACATAAAAAAAATGAAATCGTTAATTATAAAGATTAGTCTAAGTCTAAGATTTCATATTATTTCACAGAGACAACCACTCCTCAACGACATCACCAGGAACAAGGAGAAACACCAGGAGCAAGTACTCCACGATTCCGAACAAGATGACACGGCTTACGTCTTAACACAAATACAGAAGAGTAAAGAGTCATTGAAAAATTAGCTTAATTTTTTAATAAATGTGTTACAGAAATTTTGTTTTATTTCAATAATTTTGAAGGAAAATATTGCTATCGGTAAGACGACCGACGTTATGATTAATTACGACGTTGTTAAGTATATAGGAAATATTGGGCGTGTTCGGCCGAAGTAAGTACTTACTAAATTTAGTAGGTCACTTACTATGCTTACAAAATTTTCGGCCGGGACACAAAATAAGTGCTAACGCAGTAAGTATGGCTTAATATACGACGCCATTTTGCTTATTGTTGATGTAAACAAAACGGACAATAAAATATCCAATAAAATATTTCTCATAAAATTATCCATTTGAAACTATTCACAGGTATTAAATTATATTCCTAAATTTAGTAGGGTAGGGCGGGGCTAGTTGAGCAATTTTTCACTTCACACACTTTCGCTCCTCAATGATAAGTCTCAATGAGTTGTTATGTGTCCTGATGGATTAGTAATGTATCCCTTAACAAAAGTGTCCATAGTATTTTTTTGTAACAAGTCCAATATAATAGCTACAGATGTTTAAATGCAGAAAGTCAAGTATGCTCAATGTACCCCATAGGTGGGGTAAGTTGAGCAAGGGTATGGGGCAAGTTGGGCACTAAGAATGTCTAGGCCAAACCATGGGTTCTATGTTAACTTGAGATGAAATAAAATATGTGTTAGACAGTCAGCTTTTTGTTTATAGTCTTTTATTGATAGAACAACAAAATTTGAAGAAATTTTCTTTGTATAATTAACCGAAACTAGAATCAACAAAACATGAGCATCCATATCTATCCATTACTTCCGATAATTTCTAAAAAAAGATTACCAAGGCTGGTGGGTTCTGGTTTCTGTATGGATAGCTACGATTTTTTTGTTTTTGAAACATTATCAACCATTCTTTTCCGGAAATCTTTTTGCAATTCAGCTTGGTGGAATTTCAGCACACTCTTAGGCAAGGCGACGGACGTCTTTTGGAGAAAAATGCCATTTGCAGCAAGAATTTTTTCAACAGTTCTCTTGTGAGAGAGGATATACTTCCCTCGGTGTTGTATAGCCCATAAATGAATCATCACCTTCATTTAATTTATTTAAAAGTCAACCAATTCAGAATTCTTTAGCGGCGGTATTCACACTTTTTCCCTCATCGTGGACAGCCTTTGCAGCATTATTTAAGTATTCAGTAGTGTAAGAACATCTTGTAGTCTTTCTCTTGTAAGTCCGCATCCAAACAAAAAATAAAAGATTCATTACTCATCAGTTGTTTAAGTCGTAGAGTTAGTTGAGCTATAGTTGCTCAACTTACCCCAACCCGGAATTTTAAAAGAAAAGTAGGATTGTAAATAAATGCCTAGAATTAGACCCAAAACCTATTTACAAATCAAAAATACAATAATCTTCTGAAAGATTAATACTCTCCTGATTGAAAACAGAGAACATTTGACAAAGACAGACGAAAACTTGCGATAAACAATGTTTTTACTTTTTGGTCACAAAATAAACAAAACGCCGTGACACTCACTCGTCGAGCTGCCACTAGCTATTGTGCGATGATTACCTCTCCTACCACTCCTTCTTTTCGCTATTTGATACTCCCGCGTAAGGTGAATAGTTTTCGAGATATTTCGATTGCCCAACTTGCCCCTATGCTCAACTAGCCCCGCTCTACCCTACTGTCAATTATATTCAGTCTATGAGGTTATGTACGGGATATGACATAAACCGGTGTTTTGTGTTATGTTAATAAGCCAGTAAGTCTGTCCTGGCCGAAAAGCGCTACAGTCAGCTTGTAAGACTTTAATTTTTTTATGCTTACTGGCTTACTAAGTTTAGTAAGTACTTACTTCGGCCGAACACGCCCATTAGAATTTTTACCAGTTATTTACGCTTAAAGTCAAAAAATGTAGATAGCTTCGCTATAGCTAGTCTGTGCCAAATTGCGTTTTTTTATGTTGTCTAGAGAATAAAATACCAAGAGAAATACATAAGTACCTAGAAGTGTGCAGGCACTCTATAATATGGTACAAAAATGTTATGGTGGTACAATCTTAAGTTCGCATATTCTGTCACACATAATGGCGTGAAAATTTGTCTTAAAAGGTAGAATAGAATTTACAATTACATTATGAGTCATATCATTATAGTCAATTCTTATACTATTTTATTACTACATTATCATATTATTAAAATATATTATTACGTCATCAAATTAATGTTAATAATAATGTTTCATCATTGATAGAATAATATTTTTTTCTAAAAGTATTACATTGTCGATTTTTAAAATCTCTGTAGTAGAAAGATCTTTGAATCTTTTTGTTAAATTATAATAAATGATTGTCATACAAAAAGTGTTTTTCCTATATATTTCCAGATAAATTTTTGGCACAGCCAATGTCTCAATCAATTGAATCCAACGCGATCAATTGAAAACTAGGCGCGCTGTCTCGCTCGGTCCCGCCGCGCTACCACCTAGTCACTGCAATACGGACGCAAAGGCACGTTTCATATTATGTTTGATACTTCGCGCCCGTCGTCGTAACCGCGCTAGGCTCGCAGTGTGGACGCACACAATGTCTTCTTCGGCAGTGGACTTAAAAATATGTTTTTCTGAACAAATAAGGACAATTCAAAATTATAAATACAGGGAAGTGATAGAAATTGGAAGCTTCTTAAACAAAGGTACGCAACTATCCAGATCAGTGTTGCCCAACGTGGGGCCCACGCCCCACAAGGGGACAATTCGATTGTTAAGGGGGCCATTCGAAAATGGACTTGACTTGTTTTTTTGTTTTGAAAATATACTTAGTGTGTTACGTTAACAATTTCCTAGTGATTTCTTCCTTATACCTATCATTTTAGTTTTATAGTTAACAATTAAATTTTTAATATTAAACTTATGTATACATGGGGGACATAAGAATTTTAGAAAGGCTTAGGTAGGGCGTGGCCCAAAAAAGGTTGGGCAACGTCTAGATAGCTTGCCCCACAAAGTTACAAGTACTTTTAATATCGTAATTTTGATCGAAGAAAGTGGTAGTCGTGCACAAAGAACACCCTTAAAGCGTAGCTCCATGCAAAAAGCATCATCATAAGATGCGTACTTACAGTGTTTAACACTTTTTTAATATATTCATTTCAATATATATAGGTACTTCAATATTGAGATCCCTATTGGAAGCTTCAAAGCAAGTGCCAATGTGGTGTAACTACCAATAACAGTGTTTTCAGTATTTGTATCGCGAGATCCCAAGGTAGCTTCATCAACGGTAGGGATATTGAAGATGTGGAGGTACCATGACAAATCAAAGTGAAACTGCTGACTGGCCCGAAGGCCCTAGTGGCTGAGATCAAGTTGTTTATATCCATAGACAACGGTTTTTTTGTTAGGTATAGCCTTGGTATATAGGTATCGCTACAGGCTATTTGAAGTATCACCTGTGGTATAATAAAAGACAGACACGACGTGTTTTCATATATTTTATTTGGTTTACAAAACTATCTATCGAACATTTTGTGATTTATAAAATTTGTACGCGTTTACGCCGGCTCTTATTGGCAGACACAGAATGACTCCAATAAGTGGTGCCAGAGCAAGATACATGAAGACCTGTGGCATCTCAGCTGAAGTTAATGCCGTGGCTTTCATCACCAACACAACCTGAAAATATATTATTCTATAAACGATGCTACAGAAATCTGACGCTTAGACCAAGGGTCGTAGCTCCAACGTTTTTTTGTCACCGTAAAATTGTAAACACCGTTAGATTGTAATCTATCTCGCGAGATTGTGAACGGTACGGAACGGTATTTACAATTTTACGTTGACATATCCATATTATATTATTTATATATGCATTATTTACTTAAATTGTTCTTGACAATGAAAAATCATGTTTAATTTTCGCTTGCAGAAGATTCTTTAGAAGTTAATGATAATTGTTACTGTAAACCATTGAATGGAGAGCAGTGTTGGCCTAGTGGCTTCAGCGTGCGACTCTCATACTTGAGGTCGTAGGTACGATTCCCGGCCGTGCAAAAAATAAAATGAGGGATATCAAAAACAAACAAAAATTATAAAATTTCCCTTTTCTATTCGGTTCGTTTCAAGTGTGTAATGCGTGTGTGCTGTGGCTGTAATTGGCCCTCAGCATTATGCTGAAGAGCAAAGTGTTCCTCAGCGCTGGTCATTCTGCCAGAGACCACAGCAGCTAGTTTGCTCCTCAGTCGCAAAAAAAGAAAAGAAATGTAATAAATACTTAAACACAGATACTTACAAATGTGATGAATGGTATAATTTGCCATTGGGCATCGATTCTATTGGAACACGCGTTCTCTTCAGTTGCAATATTCATATCCGAAATAAAATCATGGCTCCGATACACATAAATCATTGCCACTAACTCGAATAAACAAATTAGTGGCATCGTTAATCCAGTCATAATTGAATCTACGCTTTCCAGCAGCGCTATGCCACCCTAGAAATAATAAATAAATTAATAGCCAGAAAATATAAATAGTCCAGATACATTTCGAGATAGAGAGAGATATTGTTTTATTAAAGAAGTCATCGATTCCCTACACAAAAATTATCTGTTGCAAAAGATTTTGAGAAAAATGTTTTTATATGAGTTAAGAACTCGAGAGTTTTCTCAAATATAACTAAATCAAGCAGGAATAACATCCTTAATTCTTATATATTTATCTTGTATGGAACAATTTAATGAACTTAATTACATTGGAAGAGCACACACATTTCAGCGTTTCATTGTTTTGAACTAAAACTAAAATGTTTATTTGTTTGTTACAAATTAATTCAATTCATTTATTTTTCCCTGAAAAACAAATCCCCAATAACGCAATGTATTGAATAAAAGTGACGTATCACTATTAGAATTATGAATTAACGACTTTTATAGTCATACTTCTAATCTCACATAATAGTATTTTTATTGAAATGAAACTTCTAATGTGAATCCAACAAGGTTGCGTTAAACGTTTAACGCTCCTGGAAAGGGAGAATAGAAAGAGACAGAGCGATAGCGAATGGCACTCGAACGCATGCACGCATTATACCTGTTACAGGCCTGAGGCCAGCGCGAGCGTTAGCAACGAGTAGCGTCCAATATTCCAACGCAAGAGAGAGAAAGAAAGACACACACAGGTATAAAGTAGGAGAGAGAAAGAGAGTGAGTCGGTAGCGAAGTAAACAGTGTGGGCGTCGTGAAATTAGCTGAAATACGTACTTGTTATACGAATATACGTTGTTCTATTTTAATTTATAATATTCATTATTTCATTAACAAGTGTGCGATCAATTGTGAATTTGAAGCAATGTTTATAAAGTTTGTCTTAAAGAAACAATGTCATATCAGTAAGAATCAGTTTCTACCCCTTCCTATTTGCATTTCCACATTACAAAGTTTCACTTCTTCCGCGTGGAGGGACTCCACGAAATATTTTTTTTTGACGTGACAACGTCTTATAATTCGATGAAGCCGGCTGCACGCGCAAAAAAACATGACGCATGCGGCGTTACCTCGCTCTGAGGCGTTCCATTTAAGGCTTGAAGTGCAAGCGAGAGCGCGGAACGAGCGACAAAGAGGAACAATCGGCCTCCGCGTTCGGCAGCGTTCGTTCGTTAAAAAATTTACATAGGTAATTGTATTTATGCGTACAAATAAATGTAACTTGGTCAATTCAATTGTGATTTCCATTTTCCTCCTTCTCTATATCCATACAAAATATCTATCAAACAAATAAAATTAAAATTTTGAAAAATATAACCATTCCATCAGTATTTTCTTAACGTTGTCACGTTCAACTATCGTCAGTTAACTCTCTATCTATCTCTTGAAATGTGTGCGTCAACTCACCGTGGTAGCATACAACAAGCTAAGACTCATACAACACAAAATAAGCGCAGCTACAACCACTTGCTCAGCAAATCTGTAATTTTATTAAATTACAATAAAGTAAATGAAAAGTTCGATGTTTATCATAAAACATAATAGTTTTAAATGTGTCTTTCAAGTAACAAATTCTACAAACCACATAAATTTTATTAGTTTATAATAATATCGAATCGCTTTTCGGCTTAAATAAGTGAGATTTTTCATGATGACGTTACGGAATGCAAAATATAATCAATTTAAATATTAAAAAGGCATTGTCAATAGCCAGTAGCGGAGTGGTTTGGATTTAGACGAACGCTTGTAAGACGAAATTTCAAATTGAATTAAATATGCACGCGAATGCTAAAGTTAGACTAAATTTATAAAATCAGAAGTAAAGAGAATATTACTTTTATTCTTAAAAAACAATTTTTACTATAAAATTTAATTTACATCACATACAAAACACAACACATAAAAAAACAAAACAACTTGATGTAATTAAGTAAAAATATTTGCAAAAGGCAACGCGTTAGAAGTTATACTTCTTTTGGCGTATGGAAAAAAATAACTAAAATGCAGTAGTGATTAACGATAAATATTAAAATCAATCAATAAAATTATTATTAGTAAATACTATCACCGTGTGGTCGTATATGAAATTGATTTAATAAAAACACCAAAATAATATGTATTTATTCACACTGTTTAATTGTACTGTGACAAAACACGTGTTCTAAATATAAAAAGATACTCCAAGAATATACAACTTGGACATAGTTATTATCAATTTTCATGCCACCTAGAACTAACTTCATTCTGTTAATTTTGTGTAACAGTGCGCGACTTGCATAAAATTTGTTGCACACTAATCAATTTTTCATAACGCGCCTAAATAAGTATAACTTCAAAAACACATGAGGGTTTACACAACATTAAATAGTAATAAATTAAAAATATTTGCAAAAAGCTAACTATTTCTTACAGTTATGAAGTATTGTCATACGTAGTCTTAGGAAGAGTACTTACACCAATTTCACTTTATATTCAAAGATTGTATGCAGAGCTGTTTTTAGTGATAAGTAGGCAACCGTCATATATGATATTGCAAGACCACTAAACACCACCGTAGACCTAAAAAAATCTTGTTATATAATCTTCAAATAGTTATACAATTAATATGTGAAGTTGTGTGGTGTGTGTGCCTGCAGGCACATGTTGCACTACAATGTATTTAAAAATATTGTGCGCCATGGTCAGAGACGGATCTACTTAAGGGATTTTTGGGCAGCAGCCCAGGGCCCCGTGAACACAATGGGCCCCAAGTTCCCACTGAAAGCAGTAGGCGATAAAAAAAATATCTGAAATTAAAAAAATCCAATCATAAGGTTGGTATTCCTGAGATAAATCAATACGTGTGATGCGCGTCTATCGAACGGAACCCTTCGCTTGTTTTCGATCGGTGTGTTTTTTCGCGTGTGCCTCTATTACGGGGGAATTCCCCGTAATTGCCTAGAGCCCAAATTAACGATCCGCCCATGGCTATCAATAGATATTCCTATAAGTTATAGACAACTGCCGTGTTTTCAGGGGAAGGTGATTAAATGTTTTAAGGCAAGGTGCCTTTATAGCGTCGGATAGTATTTTGACCATAAGTTTTGTAAATAATTTAATGTTCTTTGTTATTACGACATTATGATAGTAATATGACATTCGCATGCCTATTTTAATATTTAAGATGGGTGTTTTTTTTAACATTAATAAAACTGACTGAATCTGCAAAGATTTATTATTATCATTAATAAAATAAAAGAAAGCACTTCGTAACCTGACTCCGGTGTTTACAATCGTCTCAAACTCCCATCCCTACATTGCGACCTTGCCAGTTTTGGATCCAGAGTGCGAGCGTGTGTCATCGAAGAATTTGAAAATGGAATAAACAATTTCAAGAAAAAAAATAGAATGAGAAACTCCGCGAAAACCGGCAAAATCATCACGCAATTGGGGCAAACAAATATTGTCTCAATACAATGAGCAAACTTTTGTGAACTACATTGTCGCCATATTTTTATTGGTTCTTGATAATTATAGCTCTATTAGCTATATGTTTCGTAGCGCGAAAAACTGCCATCCTTAAGCTTAGGTTTCCTAGAAAAGCGGTGCCGTTATCTAACGGCCGTAATGTAACGTTGGGTGACGTCACTCATACGTTGTCTATAAATAACATCGGAGTAGGTTTTTAGAGCACGTTGAGTGTCACCGTAACGTCAAATAGCGGTGCTGTCATTTGCATGACTGCCGTCATAGCGGTGATAAATATAGTTCAACGTTTTTCGCGTGTAGCGGTGCCGATATTTAATTAATACAATGAGTGGAAACGTGACTTGGACGAGCGAAAATGATTGTTTTTTGCATTATGTTAAAAAGTAAAGACGGCTGTTATTAACAACCATAAAAAGACGGCCGTTAGTTAACGGCACCGCTTTTCTAGGAAACCTAAGCTTTACAGTAAGCTAAGCAAAAGATTTAGAGGTTAACTTACATAAAATGCGAATAGTTATTAATTGATACGCATTTAGAATACATTGGTATTATCCATAAAGTACCTGTAAAGAAAGTTATAATTAAAACCACAATTATTCTTATAAATAAATACCAAAACGCGAAATACGACGACGACGACGACGAAATATTAATCGCTTATTTAAAATTTATGGGGAAAATGTTGGCGCACTTCACCAGTTCAAGTTTTATATGAGGATAGGCTACCAAATACTTCACTTATGTAATATCACCTATATTAACTTTTTATTATTGTTGTGCACGTTAGTATTAAGTGCTACAATGTGAGTGAAAAAAAAGGGTGCGTGTACTTATGTACGCGCGTAAGAAGTTATACTTCTTTGGCATTGTTAAAAATAGTATTCGATTGCATGCAAATAATTAAATACAATTAAATAATCAAAGACTTGAAAAGGAGTCATTATTGTCAATAAAGTTCAGTTTACATTTGAAAAATTAAATAAATAAATATTTATTATTATTCTCTTACATTAAGTGTAACATAAATTCTATTGGACACTTTCTTATGTAAAAAATCCTTATAAGTAAATTAGTTTAGTCTTAATAGTCTTACGTTAGACTAGATTGTAATGTTCCATGATGTCTTAGTAAAGACACATGTATAAACTTGATCAATGCTCCTGCAGTGGTATTAAAAAAAAAATCAGTAGCGCTACCTTTTTAGGTCTAGACCTCAAATTCTGTATCTGTTTTATGATCATTTGTCAATCAAATATGCAAGTGATGCTGTGCCTGACACACACCGTCGACTTTTTGGGTCTAAGCAAGCCGGTTTCCTCAAGATGTTTTCTATCACCGTTCGAGCGAATTTAATGCGCATATAGAAAGAAAGTCCATTGGTGCACAGCCGGGGATCAAATCGACCTCAGGGATGAGTGTCGCACGTAGAAACCACTGATATGTTTTATGATAAGTTACTAAAAAGTGCTATTCACTGCTAATCTAGCGCTTTGAGAGTCCGAAATACATTTGCGTGAGACACTGTAGTTGATATAAATTTAATAACGTATAATATGATATGTACGATACAAATAATTTAAGAATTGACCAATTCATATGACTAATAATGTAAAATGTAAAATTCTTTTAAAGACAAATTGGCGCGCCATTGTGTGTGGCAGAATATGCGAACTTACGATTGCACCACCTTACACATTTTTGTACCGTATTCTTAGTCTAGTCGACAAGTTGAAAATGGTACAATATAGAGATACTGCTCTTAAAATTAAGTGCGATAGCTCATTGGATCCGGAATGACGTCTAGAAAAATGTGCCAAAAGCGTGTATTAGCACATAAATAATTGCAAAATTTATAAACAATTAAAGATGAAAAAAAAATGGCATTTCGTAAAAAAATTGTTATAAACAAAGTATAAATATTTTTTTAACTTTTATGGCACGATCTTGTTAAGTATGTATGTAAGAACGGCTCTACGAAGCGAAAATTTTTTACGACCATTATTTAAAAAAAATTTTTCACTTACAATTAAGACGGTAGTTCGAGAAAATTTCGTTAGTTAACAATTGTTTAACTTGTTGAAAAATTAACTTTAAGTAAAATTTTCAACGGGAATAAATTAATTATAGTGTTCAGAACACACCATAATTTTTTCAAATTAAAAAAAAATATTCAATACCTTAAATAAATTAATTAATGTGCCGTACTCGCTTTTGACGCCACGCGCGCATCCTAAAAATGTCACGCGCAGACCTATTTTCAGCATTCAATTAAAATTATAAATAATGGAGATAGAGTTCCGGATGTAAGGAGTTTTTTATTGAAAATTTCCTCTTCTTTCAGAATCTTTTTTTTTTAAATTTCTCAAATATTAATAGTTTATTAAATATTGGCAAAAAACGAAATGCCTTTTTTTTTCATCTTTAATTGTTTATAACTTTTGCAATTTTTTATGTGCTAATACACGCTTTTGGCACATTTTTCTAGACGTCATTCCGGATCCAATGAGCTATCGCACATAATTTTAAGAGCAGTATCTCTATTTTGTACCATTTTCAACTTGTCGACTAGACTATCTTGCAATAAAAAATTACAGGTTTTGCTTTAGCGAACGTATTTAGAAATACAACAATACCTAACGTGACATTTACGCAGATAAGTTAAGCCTTAATTAAGAATACGTTTCTTACTCTCGTACATATTGTAGACAGCTTTAGTATTAGGCTGTATATAGTCCACGAGTGCACATAGGGCGGCCCCACCCGTATTCAATCCTGTTAGAAGAAGTAAAAGTCCGCTATGCCACACATTCTCACCGTTTAAATGTGGATCAATATGGCCGTTTGCTGAAAATACATTTACTTATTTATATTATCATGACTGTGAAGGGGTAAGCAGAGACCACGGACCTCCACTTACGTCCTGACATACCTCTCTCGCTTCATCCACTTTCACCAACTCTACTTTCATCCGGTTATGGGTACTTTTAACTTGTTCCGTTCCTAATATCTTCTTGTTTTCGTCCAGGTATGTACATACCTAATCAAGCCGATTTCTAAATATTCATTATATAAAAAGCCGAGCTTAGTAGTCTTGTAGCCCTAAGGGTAAGACTCAGAGACGGTACTTAGTCTCTCGTACAGAATGGGTGGATCATGAATTTGTGGGGCTCTGGGCTATTTCGGGGAAGTCCCCCATTATAGACGCACAATACACCGACCGAAAACAAGCTACGGGGAATTCCCCGTTCCGTACGAGACGCGCATCGCATAGGGATTCCAACGTTATGATGAGATTTTCTTAATTTTAAGATATTTTCAATGAGCCCTTTGTTTCCACGGGGCCCTGGGCTGCAGCCCAAAAAGCCCTTAAGTAGATCCGTACCTGCATAAGAGGGTCATAGTTCAGGCCAAGTATAGACCTCCGTATCTCTCTGTTACGGCTCAAAATTTTCCCTTAAAAAGGTTAACTTAGAGGAAGCGTAATACTGTCGAGCGAAACAGTAGTGCAAAAGACATAAATTAAGTTTAAACTGCAGAGAACCAGCTCGGAACTGATATTGGTGGATTTCCAATTTGCTTTGATCTTTGCAATTCTTGTTGGTGTTAACAAGTATACAAACACAATAAAAGATATTAACCGTAATGATTAAGTCCTTTCCCGTGAATTAATTCTGTTCCAGAACTTGCAGAGTGAATGTAAAGTGCAATTTCCAGGGCATCTGCAATACCCTGCGAACGTGATTCAATACCTTTTTCGTTTCACCGTTATCTATATTTATTTAAAGATGGAAGGTTTTGGCAGAAATGGCTCACGGTGTCCTCTATTTTCGCGGATTGTTTATCTTGAGATTTTAATTTGGATAATATCCAATTTTCATTTCCATGCCATTTATGCCAAAACCCTCCATCTTTTAGTCGATACCAACTCCGGGGCAATAAATATAGATAACACAACTTTTTCTACAGCTGTGATACTTTTTGACATTAAACACCTTTTGTCTTTAGTCACCGTGACCACGCACGCTGTAAAGTATGCGGAACGTCGGTTAAATTTAAAATTATGAAAAATAATTGTAAATTTATAAAAAAAAGGGTGCGTGTACTTATGTACGCGCGTAAGAAGTTATACTTCTTTGGCATTATTAAAAATAGTTTTTGATTGCATGCAAATAATTAATTACAATTAAATAATCAAAGACTGGAAAAGGAGTCATTAAAGTCAATAAAGTTCAGTTTACATTTGAAAAATTAATTAAATAAATATTTATTATTATTCTCTTACATTAAACAAATAAAACACTATTTATCTTTAAAACATTTTTATTTCATTATACTATTTATTTTTAAGTGACTCTAATGTCTTCATCAGAATTTCGGTTTGTAATTTTAAATTAATCATTACTTGGTTGTGCATCTACGAGGCTTCTCCAAAACTACTTGCTTTCTGCAACAAATAAGAGAATATTAATTTAAGCTCTGTCCATGCAAAACTTAAAAAATTTTATAATTCATATTATAAATTTTTTAACACATTTATATTAATATAATTATATAAATGTGTTAATAATATAATTTGTAGCACATGCTACAGACCTGGATAGCAACTTTCTTTTATTCTATTTAGAGATAGAGATAATTTAAATATAATACCGGTGTCTTCCTTGTAGGTTTCTTTGGAGTTGTTTGGGGATTCTTGTTGTTCAGTTCGACATGATTTTCTTTAACCTTTCTTTAATCCTACAAAATAATGAAATTGTTAAGTTATGTTGTCACTGTTGTGCACACCTTTGTTTGGCTTTTTTAGTATTCAAGTTATGTCAAAACTGATTTATTACCTTGTCATTGTTGGCTTTATTTGCTTTTGGGATATCAATTGTTTCCAAAATGATTTTATTTGTAATAACCTGAAATATATAAATAACATCTATTAATTTAAGTATCATGGTGAGTGGTTCGCACTCAGGTATTAAGGTGTATTATACCCACTGTCCATTATAAGTGGGAATGGGCTCACTTCTGGCAGGACAGAGTTTCGGTACTACAAGTGCAACATGGATGTTTTGAGGTATTACAATATCTCTAACTACCCTGTAGGGGAATAAAGTAATGTTGTAAGCATATGCCTATGCTTGAAAGGTTGAACCTTGAACATCACCATACATCATATTTATAATTAACATTCCTACCTCGACACCATCACAATCAAATTCATTGAAATCTACTTCAAACCATTGTGTCTCGAGAAGGTGATGGTGGCTTTGTTCCACCTCCAGTTTTTGATGTTTCATGGCGATAAGATGACAACTCTTTTTTTGTATTCAATTTAGTGCACTTCCACTGATTCATCAATTGTTTTTTGTCTCTTGTCCTTATATTTGCTAGATTAAATCTGATGTTTTGATTAAATAATGTGGTCATTTTTTTGAGATGCAGGTACTTATTAAAATGTTTACTTCTCTGTTATATCGCTCCAAGCCTTCATTTTCTCCTTATTGGTATTCGTGCTTAAATCTTTGTTCTCAATTATTGATATATAGGGTCGTAGAATATTTCTAAAAAGTTGCTGTAACAAACGCAATAAACAAAAGCAATGAATAATGGTTCATGTTTCAGTTTTAATCAACAATAATACTCGATAATACATACGGATAGTTAACCTCAATTGTATTGAAGCACTCAGGAAGGTTAGCACAGTTTTTTCACAAATATTTTATATTATTTCACAAATATTTTGTATAATGAAAATAACTAGGTATATAATTATTAATTTTAAACAATAATTAAAACTCCTATATTTGTTTAAAAGGTAAATGTCATTGTCAGATGTCAATTGTCATGGTCATTCAAAATTCTTGTTAAGCTGCTAAGCTAGAATATGCGTGAAGTTAGCTTCACGCATATTCTATTTCTTTTTACTTGTAGTTTGTCTTATTCCCATCTCGCTCGCGCACGCTATATCACACTGCCAATTTTGTGTCATAGGTGCGCGCGCAATCGTAAAATTTCACTCTCATCAATTTTTCATAACGCGCCTAAAGAAGTACAACTTCAATAAAACAACTTCAAATAAATCATAATTTAAAAAAGTGTTTTTCTATGTCTAAAAGTTATGTCAATAAAAGACAATACTAGATTCTGAGTAATTCCGTGTCGAGAATCATTAAATTATTACTTAATTAATTAGACTGCTGTTTACGTATCTAGTGCTTGCGCGGCACGAAAAAGAGTCGACGGCCCGTTTACTTTTGCGCCAGAAACCCCTACACATTTGCAACAACACTTGTACAATTCAATAATTCAAATATCTGCCTTTATATCTCACTAACGCATCAAAGCCTGACATTGAGACTTCTGTACGTCAATCTAATACGAATTTGATATACTATACACAGTGGCGTAACTATACCATCTGGGGCCCGTGGCAAAATCTTTTGATGGGGCCCTATCAGTAAAAATCGTCACTCAGTTTAATTTTAATAAACCTCGAGATTTTCAGCGTACTCAATTACACGTTGTATATGTCCCACTAATGACCATAGGCCTCCTCTCTTAGGCGAGAGGGAATGGTCTGTAGTCCCCACGCTAGCCCAATGCGTATTGGAGACTTCACATTCATCCATAGAACATAATATTTCTTGGGTCGGGGCCCCGTGGCATTTTGCCAGCCCTGCCACCCTATTGTTATGCCACTGACTATACAAGAGTCTTGTGATGCGTTGGGATATCTAACCTTTCATCAAGCCAGAGAGCTGTAACTCCTACGCGGGTGGATCTAGATTCTAGAATCACATCCAGCGGGAGTCACAGTTTAAAAACAAACATTAATACTAACAGCCATTATTTCTTTCACGCCAATTCTGTAGACTTTGCGCAATGATTTCGGCATTGAAACCAAATGAATGAAAGCGGTGATGACCAACAATACACTCCAGATCCAAGGAATAGCCAGGAGCCATGTGTACACGTTGTTCCAGATTAACTGAAAGGATTTCTAATTCAGACATAGGCTTATTAAGTATTGGCCTTATATAACGCTTGACTGTTGATATTTATCAGTCGCCATAGGTAGGAAAAAGTGATGAAATAATAAACAATTCTGCCTCAGATAATATAAATATTGCGCGTAGAAAAATGTCTGTTTCTTGTAAAGACTGATTTCGTCTGATATCAATAGGTAAGGAATTCCATAGCACGATTCTTTGCACAGTAAAGTACTTAATATAAATAGACGAAATAAGTCGTAGCAAATAGAAATTATCACACATGCATGATTCGATTCTCTTTCCGCAGACATTAGCATCAACAAGTAACAATACTAACTCGTCCATGAGAAACACGTTCCGCAATCAACAACGCCCACATTATTGTCCAGATAAATATTAAACTTAAGACTAGAGGCATATTAAACTGTCCAAAATTATAATCTGTTCGGTAAGACACGACTTCCACACTGAAAATGTTACATTGTATTACAAAAAGTCATTGAATTTAAACTGTCCAAAATTATAATCTGTTCGGTAAGACACGACTTCCACGCTGAAAATGTTACATTGTATTACAAAAAGTCATTGAATTTAAACTGTCCAAAATTATAATCTGTTCGGTAAGACACGACTTCCACACTGAAAATGTTACATTGTATTACAAAAAGTCATTGAATTTAAACTGTCCAAAATTATAATCTGTTCGGTAAGACACGACTTCCACGCTGAAAATGTACATTGTATTACAAAAAGTCATTGAATTTAAACTGTCCAAAATTATAATCTGTTCGGTAAGACACGACTTCCACGTTGAAAATGTTACATTGTATTACAAAAAGTCATTGAATTTAAACTGTCCAAAGTTTGCAAGTCGAAGAGCGGGCAAGAAGAACTCAAGAAACTTACCCCACAACATTAATCCCATGATCATTTATTTACTTATATATTTTACAACACATAAAAAATTAGGGGTTCTTTTTGATAACTTTTAGAACTATGGTAAATAAATTTTTTTTTTTTAATATAAAACTAATACAATTTTTAAATGAATATATTAGGCATTACCCCAACCTCGGAAAAGAAGCTACTAAAATCCTCTACCACGCAAAATTCGGCAAACTTTCGTGCCTATATGTACCTTGTTTCTGATATAAAATTGCTATAGAAATTCCGCTGTCATGGCCATTTGAGAGGATTACACAAAACAAACCATTCGGTGGGACCCTTGCATCCCCATTAAATTTTTTATTACAATTCACGCTTCGACTACAACATAATGTATTCATTTTTGAAAATTAATAGATGGTTTAAATTGAATAAGGTTAGCATTATATTTTAGAAATACGTCATTTTACAGAATTGTTTCTGACGCATATATTATAAGCAATGGTGAACTGTGTGACATATAAAAATATAGTGGTTCTATTTTATAATGCATTCAGAGAAGAACGTGTACGAATTATAAACCTCCTCTCTCGGATTAAAATTAACATATACATAAACGTAAATGATGAAATAAATCTACAAACTGCATATCATTTTACAAAACCTCAAACTTACTAGAAAAAGTTATAAGCCGGAGTGCTGTATAAAGTTGGATATCCAGAACCGTATTTCTCATTACACATTTGTATTTTATACGTTTCTTTTCTGTAGTGCTTTGGGAATCCGAATCTGAAATTAAATTTATTTGTTAACATTGCGTGTTGCTCTGACTATATGTGTGTGCCCCACCACCATGTACTGTCGATAGAGGATAAATCACATTCTATGTCACGTGGAGCGAGATGTCATGCTAAACAATTGTACACAACTGAACAAGCACCTTGTAGAATAAACAATGGCGGTCAAATTGTTGCCAGTTCGTATCGTCCGAGCAGTGTTGGCCTAGTGGCTTAAGCGTTCGAATCTCATTCCTGAGGTCTAAGGTTCGATCCCCGGCATTTCATTCCATGTGCGCATTTAAAATTGACCCAACAAGTCGACGGCGTATATCAGGCACAGGGGGCTGATCACGTACTTGCCTATTAGATTAACAAAAAAAATTATCATGAAACTGATACAGAAAGGCCCAGACCTAAAAAGGTTGTAGCGACACTGATTTATTTTATTTTTTTCTTATCGTCCGTTCACCGCTCTTAATTTGTCAACTGGGAGTAAATGTAAATTTAGAGATTATTTTTTTATGTTCATGTGTATATGTCACCGTAAAATTGTAAACACCGTTAGATTGTTATCTATCTCGCGAGATTGTGAACTGTCGAAAGATTGTGAACCTCAACGAACTGCTTACAATTTAACGTATTATAATTCGGTAGATTGTAATCTATCGAAGTGAAACCGTCAAACTTTACTTCCCAACAATTTATAAATATAACCAAATCTAAAGCTGTGAGTTACATTCAACACGACATCAATTTACATTCATCAAAGTATAGGTCGGTTATCGAAAGCTGGCGCGTTCACAGTACTCACACTAATGCAATTTCACTATACAGTATGTTTAAAAATATGACTTTTTTGCCAAACTATATATTTTAGTCTACTCTGGTTTTAGTAAGGTTGGGTGGGTTGTAAAATGAATAAAAATGTGTCAAATTCATATAAATATTATGTGCATACGAGGGTGGATCCAAAAGTTCTAAGCCCGACCAAGAACGTAAAAGAGTAGTTTGTGTAAATAATTTTTCATTTTTCGACATAAGCTCCATCTAGCTCAACACACTTCACTTTTACTTCACTAACAATTCTTTCAATACTCCTCTTAGAAACCCTAGTCGCATCTGATGTCAAATTAAAAATAACATTTTTTCATTAAACTTCAGTCTTTTCATGATGTATTTGTGATTGTATTTCAGTTTGACATCACGCCTCGCGCTTATTCACAGACACTACACAAGCACAAAGTGTGAATGTGTTGAAGCCGCCAGCTTTAAATAACATACCAATAATCTATTACAATCTAACGGTGTTTACAATTTTACGGTGACACATACAAGAATTGACTGACATTTTCATTCTAATTTTAATACTGAGTCTGTTTGAGTAGATTTATTTTATAATTATACTGGGTGGCGCAAAAGTAAAGACCCTATTTGGTTCAGCTATAACATTTTTTCTAAATTAGAAAACTAGATTTAGGTTTTTTTTAATGTATATTTGTGCCATTAAACTTCGTACTATTAGGATTTAAAGATGATGTCTTTTAAATGGTGCCCTCCAGAGTTGATGCACATTTGAGCCCTATTAATGACATTTTGCATAACTTGCCGTAATACTTAATGCGATATGTTCCTTATTTCTTGATTAATGTTTTCTTTTAGAGCTGCGAGAGTCTGTGGCTTGTTCATATACACCCGAGATTTCAAAAAACCCCAAAGAAAGAAGTCTGGACTCGTCAGATCGGGTGATCTTGCAGGAAATCGTCGACGAAATTCACGTTGTGTTTTTATCACTGATGAATTATTCCGTAAGAACATTTACACGATTATTCCACGTTCTTGAGGAGGAAAACGGTTCATGTTTATTTTCAGTGTATTTTACATTTGTTCACTACACAATTTTCAACAAAAGAATGAAAACTATCGTCATATAAAAAAAATAAACAAATTTTCTTTAGTGCCATTACTTTTGCGCCACCCGTTATATCCTTTAATTATTCTATAAATAGTAATACAATTGAAATTTGAATTGAAATTGGTGATTAGCAATTTCAATATATTGTAGGCAAGCTTACCAATGTTGTTCTTTATATAACAGGGGGCAAACGGGCTGGAGGCTCATCTGATGTTAAGTGTCACCGCCGCCCATGGACACTCTCAATTCCTAAGAGCTCGCGAGTGCGTTGCCGGCCGTTTAAATATTGGTATTTTTTGTATCTATAAAATTAAATCGACTCAATTAATCTCTAGCTGACTATGATGAGCACTCGAAACATTTTGTTAATCATCTCAGTAAATCGCAGATTTTAAATCCATTATTACCCAGGGAATCGAACCTCCGAGTACGCTATTGCGTTTTCCATTAGGGCACAGCTGTGGATTTTTAAGGAAGACCAGATAAATCGTAAACCATTTGATGTGTAACGTACCTTAAAACTGAAAAATTTCTCCACCCAAACTCACTGGTGTGCATGTCATCAATATATTTTTCATTATAATCCTCATCAAATTCGCCAATAGAAAGGGAGAATCTAGACTGAAAATTATGCTATATTTTACAATTTGAAATTTGATTTTAGTAACAAAATTCCAAATAAAAAAATGGCGAAAATATAAATTTGATTTTCCTATTTTAGAAACAATTATGAATCTATTTTTTAACTTAATTTAATTGTCAATTCGGATATTTTAAACTGATGAAAGTTCCGTAATTTCTTTATATCTTACCCGGGTTCATCTGGGATTGACTCTCAAAACCAGGCCTATATATATATACTAGTAGACTCGGCCAAGCGTTGCTGTGGCTAAGATTTTTGTTATATTACATAGTAGTAAACTATTCAAGAGAAACGGCAAGAGAACACCAATCCACCATGCTTTTTTGATGGTTATGCCATTAAATTGTAGCTTATGTGAAACGTTGGTATTTATTTTGATAAGGATCAATACCTAGGTACGAATAAAGAGCCTTTTCTAGCGGTGGTATTTTAATAAAAAAAAAATAATAAAAGGACCCTTATTGTGACGTAACTATAAAAGATAGAGACATGCTGTCGCGACATTTTTTATAGATAGTGATGTGTCCTGAAAAATTGAAATACATCATTTTGTTCTATCATTAATAGTTTTCGCAGCGCACGCGATTGAAGGAAGTTTTTTGTTTATTTTTTTACAATAATCTAATTATTCAAGTTTTAGTAAGCAGCCCTAATTTTTTTGAATGATACATAGCCTATATCACTCGGGAATAGTGTAGCTTGCCAACGGTGAAAGAATTTTTGAAATCGGTCCAATAGTTTCGGAGCCTATTTATTTCAAACAAACAAAAAATCAAATCTTTCCTCTTTATAATATTAGTATAGATGTACTAGCTGAACTAGCCCCGCGAACTTCGTTTCTCCTTAATGCTTAGCCAACCAACATGGAACATTTTGCTATGCTACCCCAGAGACTGTTCAGTTTTTCGGAATGAAAACTTTTTAGGTTTTTCTATGATTCTTTCTACAAACCTCAGAGTTCAAGTTATAAGTTCTTAACTAACAAAACGGGGTTGATTGTAGTGGATTAAAATTAAGGGCTGTATGTATTTGTGTATGCTGTATTTAAAAAAAATAAAAACAAACAAATTTGTCTAAAAAATAAAAAATATTTTTTTGAGGTGGACACCCCGTATCACTTAGGGGTTTGAAAGATAGATAGTAGCCGATTCTCAGACTTACTGAATATGCATAAAAAAAATTATAAGAATCGAGTCGGTCGAGCCGTTTCGGAGGAATATGGGAACGAACATTGTGAAACGAGCATTTTATATATTAGACATAGTCAATCTATGTAAGAAGTCAATCGAACCTTTGTTGCAATTTCAGCCTTTCACCCTTTTTACACTATTATAACTAACCATCACTTAATATTTGGTTTTAAAACGGTTTTTTATCATATTTGTGTTACGTTGCTGTGATGTAAATAATGAAATAAAGTCAACTCTTTAAGTCAAATTGTGATGATGTGATCCAAGACCAACCTCCTCTGAAACCCCCTTATTCAGAGGGGGTTGTGTAAAAAAAGAAAATGGTAAATAATAGCTATCTCGCTCTTACATCTTAATTACTAACGTTGATGACAATATTGATATATTCATATTCAACATGAACTCACCCCACATACATACCTTCGCGAAGATACCCTCACTTTTACACCATCACACAACACATCCTAATTAGGTATAACTTAGTTAAATGTATTGAATAATTTTTATTGTTTTTTTTTTCTTTTAATAGTTATGTATTCCATTTCTGGCTATATTTTGAGTGTTTCTTATTATATATAATTTTTGTTAACTGTTTACGAAATAAATAAACAATCTTCATACCGTAACTTTGTGTATCACGCTCTTAATGAGGTTAAAGTTTCTATTTAATTTTAGTTATTTTTTTAATTATTTGTGGTTACTTGTGTAATTTTTCCTTGCTAATTTAGTGGAATGCCTGGAGCATTCAAAACCGTTAAACCACGAATTAGAGTTACAGTGAATAAAATAATAATATGATCGATGTGGGATATTGTTTACCCAAAATTTTTTTGTGCACTCCATTGTTTCATTGTTTAAACAAATTATTATGAAAAATTAATGTTTGACCATAAATTTTCACTTTAAACAGTATTTTATTTTATTTATATGTTAAATCTTACCTGAGTAGACATATAGGAACATATTTTTTCAAAGATACCTGTGTATAAAAATAGCAGTAGGAATCTCGAACAGGTAGAAAATCGTGGAGGGGAGAGCGGAGCGACAGCTGCCCTTCACTAATTTGACATTTTTATGTTCTAATATAATTGATGTGTATGTGTGTAAAATTTGTGACGTCATGTTTTCTTTTTATATTTTAAGCATACATGTTGATTTAGGGCTTATAAATAAATAAATAGAATGAAGTTAGTCACGAAAAGGTGGAGGCGAGGAACCCTTTAGGTCGAAGGAAGAGCAGAACGTTTCTCCACAATATATTTAATATTTGTTAAAGAGACGTGAACTAAACTGTGATTTAAAAAAGTGACATCTTTGATTTCATAAAAACAGTTTTTCATACAAACCTCTTTTGAACTCACGCTTGAGACATCTTTAAGAATAGGATCGTACGGTTTCAAATCGAAGTCCCTGAAATAAGAGTATTAAAGGAGCTGGTACTGGGGAGCTCTGGGCGGGAGGGGCTCCCCGGTACCAGCTCCTTCCACCTGACCGTATCCAACGAAGAGCGATTCGAATCGTCGACGACCAGTCACTCTCCGTGCGGCTTGATCCCTTGGCGTTGCGTAGAGATGTGGGGTCTCTCTGCATCTTCTACCGCATTTACCATGGAGAGTGTTCAGAGGAGTTGTTCGGTCTAATACCTGCAGCTGAGTTTCATCATCGGACGTCAAGGCAAAATACAAAATACAATCCGTATCACCTCGACGTCCGTCGTTCGACAACTGAGCGTTTTCTAAGGCAGTTTTTGCCGCGCACCACCACTATGTGGAACCAGCTGCCCACTGAAGTATTTCCGAACCAATTCGACTTAGGGTCCTTCAAGAAAAGAGCGTACCAATTCTTGAAAGGCCGGCAACGCACTTGCGAGCCTTCTAGCATTGTGAGTGTCCATGGGCGGCGGTATCACTTAACATCAGGTGAGCCTCCTGCTCGTTTGCCTCCTATTACATAAAAAATTAACAATAAAGTTTAAATATATGCATTCAGCAAGATAAGGTAGTTTTGTTAATTCAATGGGCTGTTATTTTCTGGTTTCCAGCTTTGGTGACAAAGCGCTCCACCTAAATCTATAAATGAACAAACAAATGGCGCTGTAACGTTTTAGACTTTGGATTTCTGTATGTTTCGTGATATATTTATAATATCAGGAGCGATCAGCCTCCTTTGGTCTAAGATATGACGGTTTTCTCACGATGTTTTCCTTCACCGTACGAGCGAGTTTTACCAACACTGCTCCGATATGGAAAAAACTATAAAAAACGGCCTTCTTTCAGTGTTTAATATACAGTTGAATACATATTGTACGTGTATATCAGACATGGGCAACGGTTTGATGTTAGTTTAATTAGGTTTTGTTTTTCTGCGTTTCTATTTCTGTTATTTGTATATAAACACATAAGAGATACACAATTTAGAAGATGGATAGACCAGATTAAGAAAACAGAAGGTGGTACAAGGCATAGAGGCACAGTGCAAATAGAAAGCGGGATTTGGTGCCGCCAAAAAAGGGCACACAGATATCTAGGAATTAATGAAATTAAATAAATATATTTAAATGTAAAGTATCTGGAATAAAAGACTAATAAAAATGAGAAAAAATATAAATTAAAAGGCCGGCAATGCACTCGCGAGCCCTCTAGCATTGAGAGTGTCCATGGGTGGCGGTATCACTTAACATCAGATGTGCCTCCTGTAGCATACAAAAATATAGTATTTTCTAGTTTTTGACTTGTTCAAAACTCTGCACTAGACTGCGTTACTAAACATACTATACATAATACCTATAACATAATTAAACATACCTGCAATGTGTAAACGGTAACTTGGAATCGGAAATCGAATACACGACATATATAGTTGATATCGCAGCAATTGTACAACAATTTATTGCACGCACTAGAGTATTTAGACAAATCGCTATTCCGAGTCCTGGAAATTATTTAAATATAACAATCAAGTATACAGTATTTACAATTTTCATAACCTACATAGAAATAATAAAATATATCAACATAATAAAAAGAAAATTAAAAGAAATTTAAAAAGTTTGGTCCCTGTGAACAATTTTTTAAGATCACATAAAAACGCACACACGACAACTCATTACAGACACATTCCCACACACACCTCTATAAATAAATTATTAGTACATTTACGTATTTACGGTATTGGCTGTAATTTAATGATAAAATAAATAAATATAAAATAAAAATTCCAGTAGAAACTCTTTATAACGTCTTTCTTTTCAACAAAAAGTCTCTATAACGTAAAAAATGTTACATTTGTTTGGTTTAACACAAACCCCATACGTCAATTCACTCTTTAAAACGGAACAGCTATTCTCTATAACGAAGAAATATTTTCATATTTAGACATCAACAACATACTTAAGTGTTATTGTTAGCCGTCTCGCCTTTGTTATTGTTAGTTGCATTAACAAGTGTGCCATTATTCTTAGATTACAGTGCCTGTAGGAAATTTTGTCAGTTACTAAACGCACCACCGTCACCTATCATGTATTATCAGTTGTAAACAAACTTTGAAACTGTCAAGATGGCCAGTAAAAAAAACGTTATGTTAGAATAATTTATCTATTGATAGTAATATAATTAGAAATTATTGTAATTGGTCAAATTTGTTTTTATTCTCTTCACTCCCTATAACGATAACTTTCTATAACGAAAGAAAATGCTCGATCTCTTGAAATTCTTTATAAAGAGTTTACACTGTATCTCCAAATTACCATCAAGTATTGGCAATATCCGAAACGCGCGTCCCGGCCCACTGATGCTCCACTGTCCGAGATACACTTCAAAATGTCGTAAAGGATTCGCCAAACCCGCAGTTGCAGCCACGAGAAACATTATGAACAGAACTGTGTTTAAAATTGATATGATAATCCAGGTTGTATAAAATTAACTGTTAAACAAAGCGGGGGAAACAAACATAATAATAATATATGTATAGAGTAATTATAATAATGGATGTTATCGATAATGTAATATTATTAATAGAATTTACAATATTATGTTGATATTTGATTGATAATTAGAAAATTAAAACAAAGTGAAAAAGTTTGGTCCCTGTGGCAGTGTACCTTTAATAGCAGCTTTTCCTCGCTGTATTGTAATATTCGTATTGCACGAGCTCTGCCTTGCGATTCTGTCACTCACTTTTCGAACTCTCACAGCGGTTTTCGCAGCGGCGGTCGCGCTTAAATCAGTCGTGAAGCAGTCATTTTACGATTTGGCATTCTGATAAACAATAAACTACAAGCTCACTCCTTACAGAGTTACAGAATCGCAAGGCTGGGGTCACCGGTATTATCTACCAGGCGCCAACTTAAATCTTTAATTAGCCCCTGTATACCCCACGGCCTAAGAGTCTCTACTCCAAAGATAACAAATTAAAAGTTGGAGGTAAGACTTTTACTATTTTACTTTAGTTATAAAAGTTTTAACTTATGGACGAATATACAGAAATGCTTATTTAATAGCATAAGCTGTCTACAGTCGCGGCATGCAGTGTTCACAATTAGTGATTGCCAAGTGCTAGTGACTTGTTAAATTTTTTATTTTTCTCTCCACTTCATTAACGGATTCCATAATGTTTAGTCGATAAAAACACTGACGCGTCACTATTTCTTAAAAGCCGGTGGGCAACCGGTGGTGAAGAGCGGAGAGGGGCGTGCCGCGGGAAGATCGCGCGGGCGCAAGCCGCCGGCAACATCGTTAAAACTAAGGCCGCCGGCCTTGCCCGCCGGGTTCGCGCCGGCGCGGCGGGCCGGCGGCTGCGGTGTGCAGCTTAAGATGTAGGCGACTGACGGCTTATAACTCCTGTTAATTGATGCCTATGAAAATTATCTTGGCACTTACATTCATTATATGTAACTATAAAAATGGTATTATTTATTTTTTTATTTACACTTCGTTATATATAAAACAAATAGGTAACATAATACATAAAATTATAAAGGATGCAACGGGCGGCCTTATCACTAACAAGCGATATCTTCCAGGCAACCCTAGTAAGGAATAAATTGTGCGTGTACTAGGTTTACACACGTAAGAAGTGAAACTTCTTTATGACCTTATTTTTCGAAAAATGTTCTACTATATGCAACTTTACAGAAATTCGTTAAATTAGATAAAGTTTAACAAAAAGGCTTTTATTATCATAGACATGAATACAAATATTTCATTTTACCTTATTACTACGAAGATTTTTATAGAATTTCATTACAGGTAAATTAGCTTGGAGAAATTTTTTGCGTTTGTAGTAGTGTATGGTCAGCAAATAAAAAAAAAAAACAACATTTTATTTTTAGTTTTTATTTTTTTAAAGGTAATATACGTTTGTGGCTGGAGCACACCAAATGCGTACACGTCTACGCATACGCACTACGTACTAATACGGACGTGAAAATGTGTATCACTGCATTGTAATCTATGGAACTGTATGAGGCAGATAAGCCAGTTCCAAATATTACAAGCAGTGAATGCCGGTTTTCACTTCAGTGAAGACGTGTATGAATTAGGTGTTCTCCGGCCATAAATGTTTTATTCTAATAATTCATCAACCCCAGGCATATCACAATCATCCCCATCCTCGCTTTCATCAGATGAATTATTTAAATTAATTATGATTCGTTCTGATATTGTGTCTAAAGCTGCGTCTCTACCCTGATATTTGTTTTCCTCCTCAATAGCATGCAGACAAACTTTTCTCCATTCCTCTACAGTTATGGCGTTCATTTTTTCTTCAGCTAATGACATTATAACCTTCATATTCATTGCGACATTCTTTTTTGCGACATATGTTTTCACTATCCCCCATATATTTTCTATAGGATTAAACTCCGGATGGTATGGTGGTAAACGCAGCACAGTATGACCGTGCTGTCGTAATATTTCGTCTATCTTGTACTCTACAAATCTCGCCTTGTTTTGCAGAATCAGTTCATATAATTGAGGCTTAAGCAACGTGGATGAATGCTCAATGTTTCGCAATGTCAGCCAGTCAATCATTTGCTGTTTTCTAGAATTACTATTCGGTGCAGGATTTTGTATTGAGTTATGATATGGTGCGTTGTCAACAACAACAACACTATTTGGTTGTAAGTTGGGTATTAATTGAGTTTGAATCCACCTTGAATAGTTGTCATAGTTCATATTGTCGTGGTAATCTCCACTTTTTTGGTTGGCTTTAAACATAAGCAATGCATTTGGTATAAAGCCATCCATACCACCGGCATGAACAATGATTAAGCGGTTGCCTTTCGATATATGTTGCTTCAAACCTGAAGTGCTTCCATCTGACCAAGATTTCGAGAGGGTATGTGATGTATGTATATATGTTTCGTCGGTGTAAACAATTGGTCGGCGTTGTTCACGATATTCAGCAATTTTCATCAAATAATTAATTCGCAAGTATCTAATTTCGTGTTTTTCCATAAGAAGTTTCCGGTTATCTTCTGTTTGCTTCCAATTAAAACCTAATGACATGACGTGTTTTCGTAACGTGCTGACACAACCTTTATAATCGATATCTTCTTTTAATTTTGCGTGCAAAGTTTTCAAAGTGGGAATTTCTTTATTTGTGATGTGGAAGTCATGAATTGTTCTTCTGATAACTTGCTGATCAAAGTTATCGATTACTATTGTAGGTTTACGATTCGGTTTCTTTTTAGGAGATTTAAATGTTACTTCCTGATCTGAAGGTCGACATTTGCTTTCTGATACTACCTTTCTGACGGATGCTATTGAAATTCCCGTTGATTTAGCAACTAATTGAGTGGGAGTCATAATACTGCTCGGGTTGTTATTACACTCATTTTCGAAATATTTGTACAAACAGTACAAAACTTCTTTAGTTTGAGAAGTCAAAGGCTTGCCTCGACCATGTTTTAACACTGGAGCCATTTTTAATTAACAATATAAAGTTGCAACACTTACACACAAATTAAACACTTCAACAAATATTATAACAATAATAACAAACAATAACAACAATCAACAAATACAAAATTTAACAATTAACGTAATAATTATAATTTTTGAATGAAATGTGTGCTTTATGTTCTAACAGTACCAAGCGACTGACGCCGGACTGCACGTGGCACCTGCGGACAGCGTAAACTGGTTTATTCTGGTTTTGTGCGTGTTTCCACTTTCCACTATCAAGTGACGATTTTTTGCTTTAGATTGAAATATCTCGGAAACGGTGCGTCCTAGGCCAAAAATAAATTTTTGACCCCCCGTAGACCCCCCGGAGTTTTAAAAACCTAGATGAAAGGAAAAAAAATATATATCGGTCTCTCCTCTTTGAAGTTTCACTTCTATCGTGTGTGAATCGCGCACACACCTTTTTTTTATAAAGTCAAAACCTTTTTTTTTAAATAAAAACTTGTTTTTATTGATAACAAAAAATCAGAGTGTTGCTAGGGATAAGTATAATATTAAATAGTAATGTTAGGATATCGAAACATTTTTGTATAAGGCCAGAACGATATAGTGGAAACGCGCTCTAAGATCTGAGTAATATACACACCACTACATATGCAAAAATTTCTCGAGACTAATTTCACTGTAATTGTAATAGAATTATTACTATCATTGAAAAACGTGACGATTTGCTACAAAATTTAAAAATAAAGAAGTTTCCGCCGATAAAGAAGTTTGACTTCAAAAAGCAACATGGCGCGGAACCGAAAAATGTGACGCGTAACGAAAAAATGTTACACTAAATTTTTTCCAACCTCGATAATGAAGTTTCACTTCAAAAAACTAAAAACATAAATATGATGGTAAAGTGCAAGAAGTGCATAATCATAAATCTTATAAAAAAATGTATAATTCAACCACCTTAATCTAAAATAAAAAATAATAATAAAACTAAAAATTAAAAAGCTAATATCACGGATTCACGCGATGCAATACAGAATAATTAATTAGGATAGGATATGGTTAAGAAATGTTTATGCAGAAGAGTTTTAGAAGATGTTAGGTAGGTAGCCAATAGTATGGAGTAGGGCAGCCTATTCCACAACTAATGGCGGAGATTCTAAACAAATTGCTTAAAAAGGATGTGAGATTATTATAAAATATACATACAAAACCCTCCAGTGAGTGCTGATGCAGCGACCCTGCAGTGCATAGTGAGGAAGGCTCCTAATACTAGCGACGCGCATCGCAACCGATGTCTTCCAGCTGTTCCGTGAGAGCCCGATCCTGCTGCGTTGTCCATACCCGGAATATGACTGGTTGATACCACCACAGACCACTGACTTTGCTGAAATAAATCATCAGCATTACAGCCCGTTCGGATGGGGGCCGATCAAGTATTACGTAAGCACTATATTATTATTATTATGTATATAAACACACTAGCAGCTTAATAAGCTGATGCGCGTGTATTTTGAGATTTGGAGAAACTATCCAATCTATTTTTAAAGTGTTCAAAGATGGTGCACTGATTACACGTTCCGGAAGCCTATTCCAGTCGGCCACTACTCGGTTTGGGAGAAAGTTCTTTAGGGAATTTGTGTTATGTTGAGTGGTCTTAAGTTTATATATTACAGGGGGGTTTGATTTTCTTATTTGGTGATTATGTCAACAGTAATTATTTACTTTTTTACACAATACCCACACATTGTCTATGCTTGAAAACGAAATGCATTTTCGAGGAATTCTGCAAAAAATTAATACGTTTATATAATAAATATACTGCTCAAAACAATTAGCGGAACAAGATTTTTCTCCTTTCTATTGCTTAAACTAAAATTAGATTTAAATTAACTTGTACGCTATTTTTTACCTTGTTAATTTGTTAATTACTACAATTAATAAAAAAAATCTGTCGGGTATGTCTGAGAATCGGACAACATCTATATTTCATCCCCCTAAATATTAAGGGTAGTCCACCCCTATTTTTTTTAATATATTTTTAGATAAATTTGCATTGTTTTATTTTTTTATGATACAGCATTAAAAAATACATACAACCCCTAATTTTCATCCCTCTACGATCAACCCCTATTTTATTATAATTGATATACATGGCAAAACGACGTTTGCCGGATCAGCTAGTATACTATATGAAAGCTTTGCTTACTTTTGCTGACAATTTGGGGGGGATAAATTGTTGTGTAGTTTAGTAACTTATTAGATTCGTACGTTTGAACCCTGGTTGTAAATTGATTTAGGCGTGAAGCATTGCGATCATACGTTATGGCTGGACCGAATCCCAGCAAACCCCATGACCCCATCGAAAGTAAAAAGCAATAAATTTTATATGATGCAACTGAAACGTCAAAAATCGCGAGTATGGGATGGGGCCCCCACAACAGCGTCAGGCTATTTTGCGGGAATCCCCGAATTCTACATAGAGCTAATGTTAATGGAGGAATCCCTGAAAAATATTTTTTTATGCTAGCGATTTTTTTTTGTTTGTGCTTTGTGTCACCCCAAAAAAGGTGACACCAGGTGCGGAACGCCCCCGCCCCCCTTTTTTTGCTACGCCACTGGGGTCGTGTACTCTGTTACACCTGTTTCTTACGTTAGCCTCCTAAGGTTCAGAACTTTGTCTCCCGTATCAAAGTCCTATAAATTTCTGACGTACGGGAATGAAACATAGTTTATGAATGAAAGAAGGACAGGAATCATTGATACACAATATCTACGCATGCATATGCATTGATAGCTGTCATAAATAATCTCACTTTATAGACTTGAACTAGAGATGAGAGATTTGGATTTGAGAATTGCCCGTTCAATAACGTAACTTATTATTGAAATGGATCTGTGTTATCTAATTGGAATAAATTATTATTATTATGCTTGATAACTGTTTACAGGATCGCTTCATGATCTTGGCAGACTGTTGCACACGGACGTAGGCCAAGTGAACAGTTCTTTAATGGGCTATCTATGTGATTATTATTATTAACTATTAGGCTAAACAGTGTTACAATACTGAGAAATAAATACCGTGTCTCTATTATCATACATAAGTATGGTATCACGTGAATTTGCGTTTCTGCTTGCCATGATTTGAACTTTATAAATTTAGATAGAAGATAATTTTAGTACGAAAATATTTTGATCGAAATCAGAACTGTCACTACTTTGTCAACTAGATTGTAGATTCGACAATAAACAGAGTAATATGTATGCTTCTGTAGTTATATAGAAGACCCGGTAAACTTCGTATCACCTATATATTTGTGTCGAAACTTCATACAATTTTTTTCAAACAAAGCCAAATCCGGCAAAATCGGACCTGATACGACAGCTATGACACGAAAATTTCTTAAGGCGTCTTTAGGGATGTTTGCTTCAGGGTTGATTGCTTCAGAATTATTTGGTCGATGTTAAAATAAAACTCCCTAATTGTTTGTAGAGAAGAGGTGAAGATGGAATGATGAATGATTTTATTTACAAAACTGTGTACATTTATACCTAAAAATTATCCTACACTTACAAATAATATTGACATGTGGTGCCAAGATGCGGAGCGTTGGTTGGTTGCGCAGGTACCAGGGTAGGCGATAAAAACGCGGCGCGGCAAAAAGTTGGCCTTTTTCTGCACGCAGCCATCGAAGCGTACGAACGTGTTCTTCTCAGAACACTTCGGTATCGTAGCCTTACGATAACGCTAATAACTGTTCTTTTCAGAACACACGACCGTATCTATTCTGATCTGTTCTTGTCAGAACACATCACTGTTTCATTACGAAACGTCAATCAAGCACCTACACGTCTATAAATATATGACATTTTTTGTTTCTAAAATAACATAAAAAAATTTCCCAGCTAGGGAACAGTTTTCTATTTAAAAAATCAACTGTCGTTTTAGTACTTTTCTTTACCTATTTTTTATGTTTCCCACCGTTTAAAGATTTCCTAAATTTCCACTATTATTTCAAGATTAGTCAAATCGGTTCAACCATTCTCGAATTCTAGAGAGACAAACGAACAGTAATTCATTGTTATATGTTATATATGACGAACGACGGATGGATATATATACTACATCCGTCGTTCCACAAAAAGAGTGTAAAGTACAGTAAAATAATTAACAGCATCCCTATGTATATCCTGGTAAACTTCAATAAATAAATAATTACCCAGAAACCGTACAGATACTAATTTGAACTATCAATGTCTACCTATTAAAAAAACACACGTTTATTTAAGTGTCCAGACGAGAGTCGGGGGAGACCCCCAGGCCTCGGCCTGAACAGGATTTCGTGTTAAGATAAATGTTTTATAACGTAAATTAAGCTTTTTTATTGTTTGTAACGTGCGTGCTCCTTTTTCACCATGCCTACTGCTGATAGAGTACAAATCTTTGTTTTTTATTTTTTTTAACTAATAATTACTATGTAATGGTTGCAGCTCCTTAAAAACATTTTGTAAAAAGAAAAAGCTTGGCGCTTAAAAAGAGTGGCAGCGAGTTTATTGCCAGTTCTTCTCGTCCGTTCTACGCCCTTGATTTGAGAACTGGCAGTAAATACAAAGTTAGCAGCATTCAATGTGTTTCTTTATTAACATTCATAGGTGTACGTTATGTTACCTAAATGATTAAATTGAGCAAACAAACTTTAAAATGAGTCTCAGAAGCCTATAAAATAATTTATTATTAATATAGCCATGAGGGGTCTAAAAACGCCTACAAAAAAGGTTAAGCAAGAGTTTGGCAATCACAACATTTTGTTTGCTCAGGTATAATATAGGTAGTAAATATGTATAAAAACGCTATTACTCAAAGATTCTTTGAAACCAATTAAATGATAGTGGTCAGTCAACCTGACGTCAGAATGGCTATAGGTCGGTTATCGAAAGCTGGCACGTACACAGTACTCACACTAATGCAATTTAACCAAGCTATATATTTTAGTCTACTCTGGTTTCAGTAAGGTTGGGTGGGTTGTAAATAAATAAAAATGTGTCAAATACATATAAATATTAGGTGCATACGAGGGTGGATCCAAAAGTTCTAAGCCCGACCAAGAACGTAAAAGAGTAGTTTGTGTAAATAATTTTTCATTTTTCGACATAAGCTCCATCTAGCTCAACACACTTCACTTTTACTTCACTAACAATTCTTTCAATACTCCTCTTAGAAACCCCAGTCGCATCTGATGTCAAATTAAAAATTACACTTTTTCATTAAACTGCTTTTATTAAGATGCATAAAATAATTTAAAACATTGTGCACCATTTCACGAGATTGTCCTAGTAATCTTTAGACGGAATATATTTCATAAGACATTTTTTTCAAAATATTCTAACCTCCAACCAAATAAGTAAACAATCACAGACAAAATAATAATGAGAAAAAAGATCAACATGTACAGTAAAGATCAATATAAACAGTAGCAAAAGCAAAAAGATAACTGTCTCTTTTATACTCATAAGCTTGACCGAGCGCGAGAGAGACGGACAGTCTTTTCATGATGCATATTCAGTTTGACATAACGCCTCGCGCTTATTCACAGACACCACACAAGCACAAAGTGTTAATGTGTTGAAGCCGCCAGCTTTAGATAACATACCAATAGCCACTTTATTATGTTCTTTAATGCACATAGTATCAAATCGATGCCTCCAATAACACTACCTAACTCAAAAAATTTAAAATTTCGTTTTTCACGTAATTTGATAACTATTTTGGATAAGTCCACCAATTTTGTAAAAATATCTGAAACAAGTTTTGAGATTTACATAACGCTAGCTTCAGCTGTGTGGTAGACAAACCACTATCTCAAGGGAGGGCCGACGGCGGCGGCCCGCGATTTTCCGCCAACTAGGTTGGCGGGGTGAGCGCGGGGAATTCCCGCCGTCGGTTTGTTTACTCATGCGTTAGGGTGTTGTCGTTTGTGCACTTTTTTGTGTTAATTAGCTATGCGAGTGAAAATACATACTAATACGTCAATGCTTAATTTTCTTTCGCTTTTTTTCGAATCGGGCAGACGTTTGGTCGGATTGTGTAAAGAAGACACCGCTCAGAGATATTATGATGACAATATAATTTTTACGAGGGAAGATTGTAATCATGAAAGAGGTGGAGTTTAATGAACCTATTAGCTTAAAATCATCTGGAATCATTTTATTTACATGTAAATAATGATTGAAGTACTTTTTATAAATTCGAACGTCACTCCTTTATTTCAAGTTGGCAGTTTGTTTCCGGTTGCGGTTGTATATTAGCGCGTTAGGGGGTATACGAAGATGAAATTATGGAAATTTATTTGAAATACTAACCGAATTTTGATTTACACAATGTAGATAACATACTATGATTTATAAAAAACCTTGAGCGACCGAAGTTTTGTACGGAACTTGAGCGGCTTTTTTACATTTAGAATAGTTTCAAAGGCCAAAAAATTTTTTTTATTTATTTTTTACAGAGTCGTCTCCATTGCGTGAATGGCGAAATAACACCAGAATTCATGGTGTTTGAGGATGTATTTCAAAAACCTATTGACCAAACGAGTTTTATTTTCAAGACCAACTCACAGCTCACTTGACCCGTAGTCAGATCATGGACGTGAACATACACACCGCAACGGGAGTCGATTCACCGATGAACCCTTTTTCTCCTAATTTAGTTTCTATTATTCAAAAACCATCTCCGATAACACTGACTCCACAGTCCGTTGAACCCCTCTTTCCTTGTAGCGTAGAAAACTATGAACCAGACAACACGAAGACTTAACAAAATCCCTCATTTCATGTGGCGCAGAAAATTGTGAACATGATATGAAGGTACTCCAATGCCTTCCCCTTATTAAACTTTAGTGATTGTTCTGACAAAGTTGATAAACTTTAGTGCAGTCGACAACTGTTAAAGATTTAACGCTAATACAGGGAAATGGTTCCGAAGAAGATTTATCAACTGACACACCTCTGCGTACTATTTCAAATGAACAAAATTCAGAGTTAGATGTGAATCCTTTGTACGACTTTGATATCAATGAATCCTTTTATTTAGGAAGTAGACCAGTACCCCAAACAGTAAAGAAAATCAAAGAAAAGATCTGACGCGGGCGTAAGCCAAATATGAGAAGACTGGTAACTACAAAAAGAAAACGTTTATGTAATTTGGGACAGGAATATATTTTAGAGAGGGTCTGTAAAAGCAAGACAGGAAGGAGTAAGTTGTCATTTGAATTGTTATATGACTTTCACTGAAGAAATACGCTCAGGATTATTTTATAACTTTGGGGTACCGGAATCATGTGACACAATGGCAAATTATTTAAATATTTTTTAAGAAAAGAAAAATTTGCGATGGAAAATGTTAACGTTCGCCGATTACACACTTTGCGTTACCATCTTCCAATGAAATCACATGACAAAGTAGCATTAAAAAAGTATGTAAAACGATTTCCTGAATACTTTTTCCATAAGTAACGAAACGAGTAACGATTTTGTTTAACTGCCCTACAAAAAAACATGAATCAACTGATTTTAATAATTTTATTGAGGCAGAGGTCGACATAAACATACCGTAGAGTAGTTACAGACGAAATGAAACAAAACGTTTTAGATATAATCTTGCACCGATGGAATCACACTATTAGGAAAATTCAAGCATCAAATTGTCCCTCATTATCATTTTCAAAAAATTTAACATGTATTTGAATGGTGTCCAGAAATGGTCATAATAGTAAGTGCAGACTGTAGGCAATAGATAGTAAATGACATGAAGATTGGCTTTCATGTTCCTAAAGATGTACCTCTGCCATCAATTTAAGAACTCGCCTGCAGTTTCTGACGAGCAACTCCAAATATACGAAAAACATCAGAAGAGAAGGAATATGCTCGAATGTTAAGCTGGAAAACAAATTAAAAGTGGTAAGACAACAAAAAGCAGTTTGTTTTCGCACCGCATGGAAATAGTAGTTATTATTAAGGAAAACTAAATGTTATAATTTTACTGTATACGATTGGCATCCAAAGAAGGAATGGCTATAATATGGGGATGAACAGATTGCAAAAAGAGGGCCTAATGAGGTAGAAGTTGTCTTTACGATTTTTGTGCAATTGGCTTCAAAAGGAGTGACAGAAGTTTTTTGTGGTCAGACAGGCGTCAACCGTAACCGTATAGTTTTTCATGTTTGTTGGCTGCGAGTAAACTGAAAATTAAAGTTTGCCATGTAGGAAAAAGGTCACACGCAATGAAGGCGATTCGGTTCATGCCTTGATTGAAATCGGCGAAAGGTAAAGAGATTTACGCAAAGTATTCGTTGCGGGGCCAAAACAAACGGAAAGCCTTATACTGTTAAGAGGTTAAGCAAGATATGATCTAGACTTTAAAAAGGCATTGTTGCAAAATTGACCAAGAACTTTAGTAAGTTAAAGTTTCTTGGATAAAATAAAAGAGATCGAAGCTCTCAGTGGTTCTGATTATAAAAAGGGGGGCAGGATTGAATGCTTCAATTGGGTACTAGACGGGTCGTTGAGCTTTGCCACAAGGCTATGAAAATGTTTTGCTAATAACAAAGCTTAATACAAGGATTTAGTATATTTTTGTAATAATAACAAGTCCCTCAATATCACAATTTTTATAGAATTTGTCAGTAACAGAGTTCAGAAACAGACAAAAGTACGAAGATTAACACATTTTAAAAATAGTTTTATTTGTAATTTTTTGATAAAAAAGTTATTTTTCTAAAAACTTGTTTACGTAAATAAAAAGTTTGACTGAACTTTATTATTTTATAATTATAGACAACATGTCAATGGCTTGTTGCTTGACTCAACATCTCTTTTTAAGTTCCTACTGTTTTGGAATTTCATTTCTAGAAGTTTTAAGTTAAATTAAATTTTCGACCCTGTTTGAATTTTAAATATTTATTTAAATAAATAAATATCTATTTAAATGAAACTGTTTCCATATTTTATCATCCTGCTACATAATTAGAATAAAATTTTAACAATGTTTCTCAGAAGTATTATAATTATTAGGTACACGTTTTAATTGTCTATTTAAAAACAAAAGTAGTTGGAAAAATCCTATCTTTGATTTCTACTATAGAAAACGCTAAGTCCATACACTAGAGTTACATTACGCTATATAGTTTTAGCAGCTTGTAAACGGCAGAAGATTTTCTTGTTATTCCAAACTACAAAACTCCAACTTCTATAATTGATATATCGGTGTTATTAGGAGAAAATATTGGAAAAATAATGTAAAAGTTACAAATTCGATTTTTGACAAATCTAATTTTTTTTTTATTATTCAAGGATTTCATTTTGTTTTTACATATCCTCATTTACTCCACCAACTGTGAGTTAGGGAATGTTGAGGAATGAGTTTTACCTATTACATTCCGCTAACTGGGCTAATTTTAAAACCAAAAAGATTTACGAAATTTTATTAATAGGTTTGAAGCAAGAGTAAATCAGCTATTCACATAAAAAAATCATAAATAGTCTGTAATAATAAAGATTTTATCAATTTTTTCATTCAATTGCTTCTCCTGTAAACCTACGAATTTGGAGTTAGAGTAGTGTTAATTGGAGGCATCAAATAGGTAGAGAAATATGGCGTATAGTTTGAATGCAATATCAAGTTTGGTCAGCCAACCTGACGGTCACCGATTCCTTTGTAAATTTTTGAACCCTTTTGGAGTTAAATATTATGTATTCCATCTCTGGCTATATTTTTAGTAAAATTGTTTGTTATTATATATAATTTTTGTTAGCTGTAGGATTACGAAATAAATATATACAATTTAAGCTTTAAAATCCCGTCCTCTTGAGAAATCTATTTGTTTATATTGCTTGCTAAATAATAAAATGCATTGTTCATAAATATAATCAACTTTATTTAATCACTTACAATTCTAACTGTACATGGATTTTTCATTCTAAAAATATTAAAAGAACTATTTATTGGGTTGAAGTATGTTGTATAGTCCGTCGAATTAAAAAAACAATTATTCAATATAATAGTGATTATTTCGTACCACTAAATTGGTTACGTCCTTATACTCTGATTTTTCATTCCGAAGAATTCTGACATTTAAAATAGTTCTCCACCGAAAAAGGGATAAATTTGACCCATTTGAGGGCAATAAAAATAAAATTCTACGTAATTTTTATGTTTTACCTACAAAAAGGTAAATGTTGATATTTACTTACTCAAGTGACCTAATACAAAAACAACAAATATTACAATACACGAACAATATATCGAATTAACTTTAATTACATTTTTTATTCTTTAGCTGGCATCACTGTCTACGAATTCCAGGTTTAGTAAACCTTTAAAAAAAAATCTTATCTTTACTTGTGCGTTTTTTACTGTTTGTGATGAAAAGGGACGTAACTATCACTTGCCGTTAAACCACTTTCAATGTGGAGCACCGCACTCAATAAAATTGATACATTAACTAACAATATATTGTCAGACTCGTATTGAAATTGAAAAATGTGCCAAAAAAAGGTTTGCCATCTCTGTCATGTCAAAAAATGATAGCTGTCAGAATTCTACGGAGTTAAAAATCAGAGTATAGATGACGTCATTAAAGTTCTTTGTAAATTCTATCACGGTTACTGCAGACAGACTATACAAATACATAAAGGCCACTGAAATGTATAGACTTGACGCCAACTCTTTTGAGTTTTTTACATAGTTTATACAGAATACCAGTCATGCTAAGAGGCAACAAGTTGGTACTAAATTTATTTTTATTCTCATACAAAAATCTAATAAAACGTGCACGTTGGTATACGCATTTACGTACACCAGCGTATACGTGGTGTTAGAATAGGCAGCGGCACAATCAGAAGTAACTAAAATACCAACTTTATATTTGAAATACTTCCAGTAGGGCGATTCTAATAATTTAATATAATAGGATCAGTACTTAGCTACGTAAAATCAATGGGAGCAGTCCAAATTTCATCAAATTTTTCTAAATTAATTTTTCAACAAACATTCAAATCATGGGCACAAATGGCTAAGTGCACACTATCATGAGAGCGCGTGCGCATGCCAAGAGGCCAGGGGCTAGGAGGGCGGAGGGGCAGAGGGAGGAGGGGCATCTTGCGGAAGGTTGAAGTTGATGAGCAGGTCACGCACCACGGGCCATAGGATGCACTCGCCGTGGGGCTGGTGGAACTCGGCGAACCTAAAAAAGTATTTTTGATTTTAGATTATGGATTGCTATATCGGCTATATGTTGTATGTTTTTTAGTTATAATAGGTTAAGGGTATCGAATAAAAGATAGGTACGGACGGTGTTTGCCGTGTAATTGACGTTCTTGATAAATTAGTTTTCTTGTGAAATTATATTAAATTTTGAGTTTTTATAATTATGGGCTTTGGGAAACGCCCTCAAATATGGTAAACCTATATATTAATAGAAAATCAATTTATTTATGTGTTTAAAATTACCACACAAAAAGGTTTGGCAGGATAAATAATCCTCCCGCCTTTAATTTAAGATTATTACGTTTTTTTTTAAGTGATTAAATTGCTGTGGACTACTTATTTCTTATTCCATTTTAAAGCATTTATTTATTTATTTTAGATAATTAACCCATATTAAATTTTATCCGATATATTTTTTGGGAATTACTGCTTTATGTTTTTTTTTAATTGTTAACATTTTTGTTTAGTGTATGACTCCAAGAGTTCTCCTGAAAATTAGGGAAACAGCAACTAATCGGAGAGACATTTTTGATTGAAGCATTTACAAATTGGGTGTTGTTCTCAGGAGAATGTAAGTGCGTTCTCCTATTTCACCATGCCTCCTGCTGACAGAGGGCAAATCTTTGTTTTTAATTTATGTTATTATTATTAATTACTTAAGATGTCATGTGGAACATGGTTTAATGGTTGCAGCTCCTTACAAACGTTGTGTAAAAAAACATGGGGATTAAAAAGAGTGGCGGAGAGTTTATTGCCAGTTCTCTTCCGTTCTCCTTGATTTGAGAACTGGCAGTAAATGTAAAGTTAGAAGCATTTCATATACATTTCTTTTTTTGACGTTCATAAGTGTACATTGGGTTACCTTTATGATTAAATGATTTTTGATTTTTGAATCAAATCATAAGTCATATACATATACACTTATGATAAATAATGCTTCAAAATTTGCATTCACTACCAGTTCATTCAAATAGAGCGGGCGAGATTGTGCCTTCTTTTTTTGTGCCTAGTATAGTCGTATTTTTAATTAGTCGAAGCCAACTGACAGTAGCTAATGTCACTTTGTAAAATAATGTTGCCATATTTAAAGTTATATACGTTCAGTTCTTGTTCAATCAGATGAATGAACAATGAGTGTGAATAGTTAATCATTTCGAACTATAAAAGAATATTATTTCTATTTCAAAAGTGCTCTGATATAAGTTAGGTACTAGTACTATGTAACTACAATCAGTTTTTTGACGGCTTAATACAAAGCGCGGCGCGGCGACTAGTGCCATCACCGATCATTAATTCATGAGTTTTTTCAATCATTGACTTTGTCACAACACTATTTTTATTTCATTAAAAAACTGACAACACCGTAAACGTCAGTTGACTTCGTCTAATTAAAAATACCACTATACATAGTATTGTCTTTTATTGACATAACCTTTACACATTTAAAGAAAAACTTTTTAACCGGATTAAAGTTATGTATTATTATAAATTCACAATTATTTAACATAATTTTAACAATGGCAAAATAGAGGACACTGAGCCATTTTTGCCAAAACCCTTCATCTTTTAGTCGATACCAACTACGGGGAAATAAATACAGATAATGTAACTTTCTCTACAGCTGTGATAAATTTTGACATCCAACACCTTTTGTCTTCAGTCACCGTGACCACGCACGCTGTAAAGCACGCGAAACGTTGGTTAAATTTAAAATTATGTTAAATAATTGTAAATATATATACATAACTTTAATCCGGTTAAAAAGTTTTTTCTTTACACGACTATACATTTCTGAATAAACATATTTTTCTATTTACCTTTTAATATGCATATTAACAGCGCTATGGTGCGGCTGCTGGGTGTCCCGTCTGTCGGCTATTTGCATTGCATTCGATTGCACATCGTATACTAGTGGAAGTACTAGCTGCGTCTCGCCACGCGTTAGACATATCTATAACAAAATATGTTTATATGTTCTGTGTATAATAAAAGCGATTTGATTATGGAATGTGGTTATTTAAATAATCACCAAAGAGGTCAATTACGTTGATATTAGAATGTAACTGGCTGTCAAAAATTCGTCAACGAATCAAATAAAAAAAACTACGGGTTGCACTCCGGGAGTGCCGGCAGAAGTGAAAACTTGAATATTAACGTTGTGCATTTTTGATATTTTGGAATGGTTAGGGAATAATTTTGCACGAATTGCTTTAATTATCAGTATAAAAGTACTATCATTTATGTTGTAGAATACAATATTTATTCATTGCGCTACCGTACACAAACAAGACAATGTATATTAAGTAAATAAAAAATAAAAATAAAATATTTTTATTATGGAACATAAGATACATGTATCACTTATTCCACGTCATTAAATTTGAATTTGTAGGCATCCCTACTCATCGGCAAAGAAGACAGAGGGTGTAGGCCGAGAGAAAATGCCGGCGTAAAAAACTTTAAAATAGCAAATCATCAAAATACACTTATTTTAAAACAAATATCGCAAGTTAATTAGAAGTAGCCTGTCTAGCACTAGTCCCAGACCCTTTTATCAACTAGATAATCGTTGACTTTATAGTAAGCCTTTTTACACAGCTTTTCTTTAATACATTTCTTAAATTTATTGAAAGGCAGAGATAAAAAAGCCTCTGGGATTTTATTAAAGAAGAGTATCCCTTTCCCCAAAAAAGAATTACTAACTTTAGATAGTCTAGTACGGGGAAATTGCAGCCTGCGTTTGTTCCGTATATTAAGATTGTGCGTATGTTCTATTCTAGTAAACTTATCACTATTTTTGTATAGGTACATACATAATATTTTCATAAATATATTGCGAGTGAAAGGTAAGTATATTAATTTCCTTGAATTTATCTCTAAGAGATTCCCTACATTTATATTATAGATTGCACGAATAGCCCTCTTCATTTATTACATAATTATTACATTAAATACGCCGCGCCAGCTGTCTACTCTCCATCCGTCTTACGAATTTTCGATCAGGTCACGTGTCCTGACGCGAGTTCAACATTTTTTACCCGTTCAAAAAAATGTGTACAACGCCTCTAAAGAAGTTTTTACTTCAAAAAACAAAAGTAAAAACACGCGAAACACTGCAATACGTATTAGAAAAATTAATTTCAGAGTCGCTAAGTCAAATGGTTAGGTTTTTATCTAAATTATATTGTTCCACAACATTGTGGCATATTCGACAGGTAAATTTAATAATTTTAAATAACCGCCAAAGAAAGAATACTTTAAATTAACGTAAGTCTTCGACAATACAAAGTTTTAAGAACTTTATTTCTCATTTTTTTAAACGTCGCCATCAGCAGTCCTGATTTTAGTCTAGGCAAATTTTGATTTTTATCTTTAGTGCCCTTTTGAATTGGTTAAACGCGGTAATATTACGAATTTTAGACGGTAATTGATTAAATAATTGCACACCCTCATACTTAATAGACTTCTTCGAATAATTTGTACGCGGCTTCCGCAAGATAAGCAAACTCGGTCGACAAGTATTGCTTTTGGTGTTTGAAAATATACACTCAAATGTATTACATATAATTAATTTAAAAAGTCCCTTTGCATAATTAAAAAACATCGCAAATGGGCATTTAGTAGCCATTTATCTTAGCCCATCTCTCATCATTACTATGCAGGCAAAATTTATTAAAAAAATATACATACAAAGAACAAAATCTTGTGCTTAGCCAGCAACACCGCAGGTTGACCCGTGGGTACAATCTGTGGGCCATGGGGCGGAATGCGTAACGCCCACTGCAACTGCCATAATGCCGGGGCAATGGGGGCCATGTCTGCCCTCATCAGGGCAACCAAGGATGGCAACGCGGCTGCTGGGGCGCCCCACACACGACACCAGCCCTGAAGAGACGAAGCCCGGTACGGAGCAATCGCTACGCGTTGTTCGAAGAATTTCTCCATTATCTGTAATTAGGGAAGATAATTTAGTGACGTTAGAAGAAGAGAGAAAGAGTCTTTGCGGAAAGAGAACTGTCGTGAGATTTAAGATCACCGCACCTTTATAATTTTGAAAATTTCAATAAAACACAGTCAAAATCTATTATAACTACATCGAAGAGACTACTCATATTTGGTCACGGCCACACGATGCGTTAACGGTGCGGTGCGGCGCCGGAGCGGTGCCGCAACGTCATCCTACATACAAATTACTATACCATGTCACACGCCGCGTTGCGCCGTCGCACCGCAAGCGCGCCGGACTTGTGTCCTGCGAGACGAGACGGGGAGGGGTAAAATATAATGCCACACCGCAACGCCCGTGTTGCACCCTATAGCTTGAAATAATTGCGGTGCGGCGCATCGTGTGGCCGCGCTCTAAAAACTGATAGTCGTAACAGCCGATGACGTTGTTAAGAACCTAATACAATAGAATTCAGCCGGGACCTTTGGTTTTGGTCAATATAACCGGTATGTTGTTCTAAACGATGTCGTCGTAAACGGTTTTGACTGTATAATTTTTTTGTAAAATAAAATGCCGAGTAGCAGATATCAAGTATATAACATCACATAACTGTCACGCCGGATCTCTTTCCACATATTCTAGAAGTAAAGAAGCCCCACGAAACTTTGAGTTATGTATATTATTACTATTAAAAATGACATTTTTATAACTTATTCAACGGATAAACCAGTATGGGGTAATTGAATTAACCACCATTTTAAAGTGAATTACTTTAATTTCATGTTTGGTTACAATATTCACTTAATATAATATAAAGAAATAAACATATGTGCGTCAAATACCAAGCCACCAAGCGCACTGCCACGTACTACTCGTTACCTGCGTACACGCACACATTCACGCGCGAATCCCGCAAGACCACTTTTTATATAGTTCTGTGCGAGTGACGATATTACGATATCGATGTAAAATGTCGATAAAAATATGAAATTTATGTGAATATGAAATGTATGTTTATACATGTGTATGCTACATGTTTAATACTCGCTTTAAACAAGGTCCTAAATATAAATTATACAAAAATACCATAAAAAAGCTAGAATAGTTATTATTTAATAAAACAATGATTAACCGTATTGTAGTTATGTATGTACAATTTTTTCATAATTTTAAATTTAACACACGTTTCGCGTGCTTTACTGCGTGCGTGGTCACGGTGACTGAAAAAAGCTGTTGAATGTCAAAAAGTATCACAGCTGTAGAAAAAAGTTGTGTTATCTGTATTTATTGCCCCGGAGTTGGTATCGACTAAAAGATGGAGGGTTTTGGCAGAAATGTCCGGTGTTCTAATCTATATACTTAAGATAAATTGTTTAAATATTTTCTGTTCGCCATACAATTAAAATTATTTCCGTCTTTCGATAGTTGCAATGTCTCTGAGTAATTAATATTTAGAGACTATATTCATTTCCTGCAGCAGTGTTACCCTAGTGGCTTCATCCCTGAGGTCGTACGTTCGATCTCCGGCTGTGCACCAATGGCATTTCTTTCTATGTGCACATTTAACATGTTCGAACAATGAAGGAAAACATCTTGATGAAACTGGCTTGCCTTAGACCCAAACAGTCGACGGCAGTGTGTCAGGCACAGGAGGCTGATTCCTAGTTTTTACGGCTTTAGATTGACAAATGATCATGATACAGAAATCTGTGGATCTTATAAGCAGCGCCACTGATTTATTTATTTTTATATTCATTTCTTAATATTAAAAAAATACCTGTAAATCTTCCGCTGTCCAATTATCCTTATGGTCCGGCTGCGGTGTGAGCTGAAGATGCAGCGACTGCAAATGCTGGGGGTGCAAGGCGACCCTCGCAACCATACCAGCTGCCTCACAGCAGAATGTCACGCTCGTCGCTTCCACGGAGACCAGGGACAGCTGAATGGGAATAACGTGTTAGGCCAGTTCAGTATTTTCCGTCGTTCGGTTTTATCGAAGAGGTGACAACAGAATATATATGAAAACTTAAAAATTGTTAACACGGCGTTCATACGGGAAAATCCCGTGTTCGAGAAATATATTTGACCGTATACCGTGCGAAGTTGTCACCGGAAACGCCGCGTCTCAAAACGATTTTATCGAATACGACACGCAGTGGCGCTTATGTTCATGTTGTCTCGTTCACACGACTCGCCCATTCAAGAATGTACGACTGACGCGAGTTGCCCTTGTGCGTTGCATCAGTCGATTGTCAATATGGGGGACAGAATTCAATAATGAGGATTTTATTTCCTTGATCAAAAAAAAATCGAGTGTGTGTTACAGTAGCCATAGCCAATAGTTCTACAGACTGAACAAGGAGACCAAACTCTTTGGTAATGCACGCATGTGCATGTGTGTGTTATATGTATAAATCACGAAAGCAGGGGTACAAATTTTATACTAAAGTGTTTCAACTCGAACCAAAAACTTCAGGAAATTTTTATTTGATAGAGATTTTTCTATCCGAGATTTGAACCGATGACCGCATCAGCTATTTACGCTAAGGACTAGACCAATAAGGAAATTAGATGTATTTAATCTTTTGACGAGATTTTAATTTGTAAATCAATAAAAAAAGCTATTTAACTAGCGAGGCCGAAAATCCTTGTTCTGTACACACGTTTACAAAAAAAAATCTAATCCATTCTCAAATAAACACTCAAAAAATTCATCGAAACCCGTCCAGCCGATTAGGAATTTGATTACAAAGACACACACAGAAGATATATAGACTGGTGAGTACTGTGTCGTGTCATTCCGTGATATGTTGTTTTGGTTCATGGTGCCGAAACCAGTGATTGAACTAGGGACCTTTAGGAATGAGTTATATAATCTTAATATATATAAATTACGTGTCACGTTGTTTGTCCGCTATGGACTCCTAAACTACTGAACCGATATCAATCAAATTTGCACACCGTGTGCAGTTTGATCCAACTTAAAAGATAGGTTAGCTTACATCTCAATTTATACCCGCAATATTATTTTATTGCAAAATATTTGTTTATTATTTGATAGTCACAATTCTAACAGATGCCGCTGTGTTGAAAGTACCAACGTTTCACATAAGCTACAATTAAATGGCATAACCACCAAAAAAGCATGGTGGTCCCCATGACTGGTGTTCTACCGTTTCCCTTGAATAGTTTGCTATTATGTCATATAACAGAAACCTTAGCCACAGCAACGCTTGGCCGGTCCGAAAAAATTAATACTATTTCCAAGTAAAAGAACAATTGGAAAACAAATTTGACAAAAGGTCCGAACGCACTCCAAATATCTCCTCTTAAACACGAAGGTTGACGTGAAGACCATTAAAGCTATTTTATGTTGATATTAATTTTTAACCAAATAAACCATATTTAATTTTAAAGTAATTAGCCATACATTTAATTTATTAACTGCACAACAAAAATCAAAGCCCTCATTTTAACACGAACTTAAATTAACAGCAAGTGAATACTTTACTATACTCACATATTCCTCTTGCTGTACCACCCTCTGTAGCGCTCTTTTCAAATAAACACAGGCCAGGAATCGTTGCAACGGCGCCAAAGCTGGCCCTGCCGGAGCTCCAGCAGGTGGTTCGCTGGGTGTGCAAAGTGCTTCCAGTTTGCTAAATGCCATGGGCGTGGCTGTGGACCCCGCCCATTGGCGACTGCGACTTGCCGTATTCGAAGTGGGTTGGGGCCCTATATTCACAATTAAAATAATATATAATGTTGTTGCATAAAGAACTAGGTTGAACTAGGTGACCCGGCGAACTTCGTTCCTCCTTATAGTCTAATAATATCGTGTCACATTCGGCCCCTTCTCTCTAGCGCCAATATTGCGATACTGGATGTTAAAGCACTTTCTGATATACATTTTTGATGAGGTAACACATGTCTTCCGAGTGAGAGCAGTGTTTGCCTAGTGACTTCAGCGTGCGACTCTCATACCTGAGGTCGTAGGTTCGATCCCCAGCTGAGCACCAATGGACTTTATTTCTATGTGCGCATTTAACATTTGCTCGAACGGTGAAGGAAAACATCGCGAGGAAACTGACATGTCTTAGACCCAAAAAGTCGACGGCGTGTGTACAGGCACTGGAGGCTGATCACCTACTTGCCTATTAGATTTAAAAATGATCATGAACCAGATTCAGAAATTTGAGGCCAAGACCTAAAGAGGTTGTAGCGCCACTGATTTTTTTTTAACACATGTCTTCGATTAAGATCAAAGCCTGGTTATGCATCTGCTCATTCACTTCAAGATCGGAATTTCTTGAACTGACACGAATTCAATGTAAAATGCGTAATTTTGTCAACAGATGGCACCACATGCTGTTTGCATTCGTAAATTAATTTACTGTTATTTGATAACTTATTCTGCTATTCAGTTCGGAGAAGAATCCATCAAAAAAGAGATAACTAACATCGGTCCAGCCGATCTTGAGTTATAAGTGGTGTAACTGACACGACTGTTATATATATTTAGATTTATTTCAAGCGGTGCCAAAATAAAAAAAAGAGAAAAGAAACTAGTTATACAATTTTTAATATGTAGTCTCGATAATATCTGCGGACGGCACAAACAGAATGAATAATGCTTACAATTATCTTTATATCAAAATACGTACGAACGAGCGTATATGACTGTGAGCGTAAATATAAATCAAATATCTCTTAAATAATTTTACTGCCAGTTCTCGAGAGAAGAACTGGAAACTTCCCGCCTCTTTTAATCGCCAAATATTTCACGTGAAATATATTATTAATAGCTTTTTGACGACTCATTGGTCTAGTGGTTAGTACCCCAGACTGCGAATCCATGGGTCCCGGGTTCGATCCCCGGCTGAGACGGACATCGATGTGATGAGCATTTGGTGTTGTGCTTAGGTCTTGGGTGTTTAAATATGTATTTATATGTCTATCTATCTATAATATGTATGTATATCCGTTGCCTAGTACCCATAACACAAGCTTCACCAGCTTAGCATGGGACTAGGTCAATTGGTGTGAATTGTTAAAAAAAAAAAAAAAAAGCTTTATATTGAGCTTTTATAGTAATATTTAACATTTATTTTAAATTATGTTATTACGTGACGTCAATAAACACGCAACATTTTATAAAAAAATAAATTTTCACTAGTTACCTTTATGTTCCATGTGTCTCGGCGATGGATGATGTCCAGGCGAAGGGCGTGGCAATGAGGGCGAGGCTGGCCACGCCGTGAAGGGGGAAGTCGGGTTGTGGGGAGACGCCGCAGGGGCGAGCGGTGAGGGCGCTAAGGGGGATGCAGGGGACGCTACCACTGCTCCCCCTGGGGGTGAAGTGAGGTTGAACGACGAACCCGCCATCTAATAGACAAGTAATAATTTTAAACAATTTTCTTACATAATTAAAATAGGAAATAAATAAAATTTTATATTTCATTATTATTATTTTTTCATATTTTTATTATTCTTCTTTTTGTTATTTTTGACGAAGTGGAACACACTCAGCTTATTCTCATTCATGAAGTCGGTGCACGCACTTAAAACAGTTATTCCAATCATTTTAAGACAAAGAGACGCAGTAATCAGACGGTTCAGCAGTTAACGGGCGCCGTATAAATCTCGCCCATGATGTTGGTAGTGCTAAAACCGGCACTGTATATAGATAAGATAGCTAGGGAGTTGGCGAGCAAAATATCTATATAATAACTAGCTGACCCGGCAAGCGTTGTTTTGCCATGTATATACGTATTATTATTTGTAGGAAACATTTTTTAGTTGAATAAAAATAACTATCTACTACGTGTAATAAAAATGGCGGGTTATAAATAAGGGATGTATGCATAAAAAAATAAAAACGAAAAATTGTCTAAAACATAAAAAAAGTTTTATGGGGTGGACACCTCTTATCACTTAGGGGTTTGAAAAAATAGATAGTAGCCGATACACAGACTTACTGAAAATGCATAAAAAAATTCATAAGAATAGGTCGAGCCGTTACGGAGAAGTATGGGAACGAACATTGTGACACGAGAATTATATATATTAGATAATATTTATTCATTTTTCTTACAAAAACTTAGTACATAAACAAGTGACAATTATGTATTATTATAAATAAATAATTGTCTTTTATCTATTTAGGGAAAATGCTAATTTGTATGAGACTGATGCCTGCTAAAGGTAAGAGTGCCAGGTCATCAGGCCTCCACCACTTCGGATCGACAGAAGGTCTTTAAAAGTAGAGAAAAATTTATTGAGAATAAACAATCATTATTACATAGGCTGCAACGTTAACAAAATAAATATTTACAAGGAAATACATATAAGTAAACCACATGGGGTATATGTGTGTGTGTGTGTGTGTGGGTGTGGGTGTGTCTGTCTGTTAGTGTGTGTTTTAGAATGTGTCTAAGTATGTATTATTACTTAATTGTTAATATAGTAAACCTAAAACCATTATACTATAAATTATTACCTAACATCTATATGATTTGCTATTATGTGATAGACTTAAAACCTTCTAAAAGTGTCGACAAAAAAAGTGTGCTATATAATTTTCTCAAAAAAACGCAAATGTCGCAGTCATTCAACCAGAGAGGAAGCATAATTATTCAAATACTTACAGTGTAAAGTCTTTATAACGAATGTCAAGGGATAGAGCATTTTTTTCGTTATATGGAGAAACAGAAAAAAAAAATACAATTTTAACCAATTACAATATTTTTTATATAATAGCGTTTAGCAACTGAGACCAGTATTCCCTACAGGCAATGTAATCTAAGAATAATGGCACACGTGTTAATGCAATTAACAATAACAAAGACGAGAAGGCTGTTTATGGCCTCAGGTGTCTTTTTATTAAATTTCGGCACCTCAAAAGGCCAGTTTTGTAAGCTGATTTATAAAAACAATTATTCAATATGTTGTTGATGTCTAAATATGAAAATGTTTCTTCGTAATAAAGAATTGCGGTTGCGTTATAAAGAGTGAATTAATGAAATGGGTTTGTGTTACATTTAATGACGTGGAATAAGTGATACATGTATCTTATGTTCCATAATAAACATATTTTATTTTATTTTTTGAAATAAATAAATTTAACTCATTTTTTCGTTACATTTATATATATATTCTTCAAATACCCGTAAGAAAAATCTTAACCAATATATGTTGGAGCAATGGCGTTACCATCTTATCTATTCAAAAGAGAATTTGTGCCTTTATTAGTTCTATTAATTTTATTGTCTACACATTAAATATACTGCAAAGAAAAAATACACACAACTGTTAAGACTTCGATGCCCACACAAGACGGTATGATTTCTATCAAATTCTCTTAATTATATGCATTATATTGGAACCAAATGCTTCCAAATAGAAAGTATAATAACATTGATACCAGAAATTTGTAACAAAACATTAAAGAAAAAACTGTTTGACCGGATTGAAGTTATGTATTATTATAAATTTATAACTATTTAACATAATTTTAAATTTATCCGACGTTTCGCGTGCTTTACAGCGTGCGTGCGGTGACCACGCACGCTAAATAAACGTAAATTTAAAATTATGTTAAATAGTTATAAATTTATAATAATACATAACTTCAATCCGGTCAAACAGTTTTTTCTTTAAATGTGTAAAGGTTATGTAAATCAAAGACAATACTACAAAACATAAACTTAAGGATAAAGTAAATATTGTACCTGATGCTGCGCAGGCGACGCGGGGTGAGGTGTGACAGGCGCCGAATGAGACTGCGGTGGCGTTAATGGCGCTTGGAAGCGTAAACCACCTAATAATAATAATAATTTATTTATTGCAAGAATATGGTACAAAAATGTGTAAGGTATATAATCGTTAATTCGCATATTCTGCCATAACTCTTTGAGGGGATTTTTAAAATAATCTTATGAGATTGAAACAAACTTGGTGGGACATAAACAAATTTCCCAAAATTATTACCTGGCGGCATCGGTGACATTGGTGATAGAGGATTATCCTCTTCCGCAAGCAATCTTGCACTGATGTTATCTTCAACGTATCGCGATAAGAAGGCCTGCAATCGAAATTGTGATTGAAGATATTAACTAACAATTATTAAGATTTATTTTTATTTATTTATTATTTACATGATCTTAAATAGAAAGAAGTTGGTGTGGTGGAAACACAAACTGGACACAGTTTTTCTGTCCACCAGGACGTCGAACATATTTAAATAATTAACTTAATACATACTTAGGCCAGTGACATACTATACAATATAACATTTTTACCATTAAACCATCAAAATAGCACGAACAACGTAATAAACCAATTGAAACATTGCCGCTCCTCAGTTAGCCGATGCAAGAAACCTGTTCTTGACGAGAATTCTCATTCGAATACAGGATGTGTTCCAATATTCGAATAAGAATTAAATGACTATGTCTGATTTTTGTTATGCATAATTTGTAATTGTTTGATTTATGAAGTAATTTTTTAATTTAAATTTAATATTGTTTCTTGTTACATTAGTAAATAGTGTAGCTGGTAGCAAATTTTAATAGATATTTATAAAAATGGATGCTATTAAAAGAGGGTTCTATCTTAATTCTTAATAACTCACGAAAAACAAATTTATTAATAATTATGAATTTTTGAAACCAAAAAGAATAATAGTAGGATGAAAACCATTGCCATTCGATTGAAAATTAGGGTGCTTTTTCGATATTAATTCAAAATAAAGTGAAAAAATAAATATTTCAAATCAATTATGTTACAGCGTATGCAGGACATAAACAGGTAAGTCTTCACCAAAATTCGCGGGATATATATTTTTTTGTAATAGATAAAAATAAAAACTTGGCCTAATTTTTGAGGTTATGTGAAAAAGTGTAAATAGCTATATACTATAACTTAGGCATTTGCCTTTTTTCCATAGATTTGCCGGATATCGAAATAAACCGTTTTTTACCCTAAAAACCACCCCTTCCCCTTCCCGACCTCCGATCGCCCGTAAATTACTTTTCCTTTCATTTTTATAATATTCTCCGCCTTTCCAATGGATTTCATATTACTGTTATTTTTTCACTTTTTAATATTTTTAAAGGCCTGGTCTAAATATAATGTGACAGTTTAGATATCCATTAGTATTTTTATTATACATACCTTAAGACCTTGAGCGGGAGCAAACTCATCCACGGCGGGACTGCGATCGAATTTTGAGTAAGCGCCATCTCTTATCGTAACCATGTTACCGCCACGTATTCCAATTTCTAACGAATACGCTCCAGCGTATATCACACGGATCTGGAATATATATTAAACAAGCGGACCTGAAAGACGATCTCCTGCATGATATTTCAAGCGATTAGGATATTAAACAAAGTATGAAAGTACCGACTGCAGCGCCATCTGCCGGGCTGATTTGTAAAAATTTGTTCTAAACCATTTAGAGCGCCACCCAAACGCCAACAAATTCATTTAATTCGGTCTAGCCGTTTAAGAGTTAAGTGATATACACACGTACAGTAGAATTATATATAAAGACTAGCTGACCCCGCAAACGCTGTCTTGCCATGTATATTATTTCTAGGAAACATTTTTTTAGTTCAATAAATATAACGATCTACTATAATAAAAAAATAGGGGCTGATCGTAGAGGGTTGAAAGTTTAGGGTTGTATGTATTTTATATTAAAAAAAATATTTAATAGGAAAAAATAATAATTTTGGAGCTATAATAACCCTTAACATTTAGGGGGATGAAAAATAGATGTTGTCCGATTCTCAGACATACCCAATATGCACACAAAATTTCATGAGAATCGGTCAAGCCGTTTCGGATGAGTTCCACTACAAACACCGCGACACGAGAATTTTATATATTAGTTATTCCAAGGCTCCAATAGTAATAGGGCAATATTTATTTTATTCTTTATTTTTTTTTCTTCCATATTAAAACTTAGTCTTAGGGTCTTTCAAGAAAAGAGAGTACCGCTTCTTAAAAGGGCGGCAACGCACTTGCGAGCCTTCTGGTAGTATGAGGAAAATTTCATAGATTTGTGGGTTGGCTTTAGATTCAGAGTTATGATTCTGTGTGTCAAAAACAAATAGCATTTGACATACACAAGTCGTACTGAGCCCTAAGCATCAACTTTTAATAACATGCCGGTTTTCTCACGGTTGTTTAAAAAAATAGGCGCATGAGGGTACAAAAAAACGTCAAGAAGATGTGTCAAAGAAAAGGGAAAGAGCGATTGAGAGAGAGTGAGAAGGGTGAATTACCATATAGAAATTCTATGTTTAAAATTAAAATTTCGTATAGGGAATTTAAGAAATATTAGTATTTTGTATTTTATGCAAAATAATATATTGAAATCTCAAATGACGAACTGTAGGTAAATTAAAGTGCCACGTGTTTTTATTATCAAAGAAAAAAATTTAAAAAAAAAATTGTGCGTGTACTAGGTGTACACACGTAAGAAGTGAAACTTCTTTATGATCTTATTTTTCGAAAAATGATCTACTTTATGCAACTTTACAGAAATTCGTTAAATTAGATAAATCATAGACATGAATACAAATATTTCATTTTACCTTATTACTACGAAGATTATTATAGAATTTCATTAATTGTAATAGAAATATTACTATCATTGAAAAACGTGACGATTTGCTACAAAATTTCTCCCATACGTCGATAAAAAAGTTTCATTCCAACGCCGATAAAGAAGTTTGACTTCAAAAAGCAACATGGCGCGTAACCGAAAAATGTGATGAAACCGTAACCGTAATGAAAAAATGTTACACTAAATTTTTTTCCAACCTCGATAAAGAAGTTTCACTTCAATAAATTTATAATTTGTATTAATTTTCGACACTTTTAATATTTTAATGACAATTAACTTCATTAAATTCCTTTAAGATTTAAAAATTAGTTTGCCAAAGAAGTTTCACTTCTGACATGTGTACTTTGTACGTACGCACATTTTTAAATTCTTTATACCTTTCTCCAAGAATGCGCAATCAAAGTAAACGTTGGTGTAGGCATCAACGTCCGCACGTGATGCAATCCCACTTGAGGCAATGTCGGGAGACGGCTGAGTGAGAGCAGAGGGGCGTATGTCTCACGAAGGACCACGCCCAACGAGAGAAGATCTTTGCTCCTGTAAAAACATTAAATTTTCTTACTATCTACGCCCCGTAGTATCCCCGTTAATTAAAATAAGGTAGATAGTCACCGGTACTATCTACCAGGCGCCAACTTAAATATTTAATAAGCGCCTGTGCACTTGAACCCCACGGCCCAAGAGTCTCTACTCCAAAGGGAACAACATCGAAGTTGGAGGAAAGACTCTAATATATTTTCTGCCTGCGGCTGCCCCGGCTTTTGTGCTTGTTCGAGGGACGTGAGACGGGGCAAACGTGTCCACACAAGTATAGATTAGTTTTAAAACACATTCACATGTATACAGTATATTTTTTTTTAATGTTTGCGAAAAAATAAGAAATATTAATTCTTTCAAAACCAGTTTTTATATGTTAGTAAACACTCTATCATTTTCAAGAGAAGATCACATAACATTATTAACTCTGTGGCAATCAAACATAGAACGCTAATAGTTTGGAAAATCCAAAAGTGCACGCCTCATAGCGGTCATTCACATTAAAAAAAAAAAATCATTGGTTTACATTTTTTATTTTTTTTATTTTTACTTCTTACTCGTACTACTTACTTAATATAATAAAAAAATATATAGTGGCGCCATAACTCTAAGAGAGGAAAAAATATACTAAAATAAATATATATATAGATATACAAGTACACAGTCGTATTTTAGTTTTTTACAAATTATAATTAAACGACAGTACTTAGAACGCTAATATTAACTAGGAATCAGCCCAGGGTATAACTTTATATAATAAGAAAAAAAGTATTCTGGTACGATAAATGGATCCATAAACACAGACTGACGGACGTCCAAGAATGATTGATTTTAATGTTATTATTTACTATGTTAAACAAAATAATTGTTCATAAAAAATACTATATGTGCTTGATAGATTATTTAACTCGATTTAAGTGCACTCATATTATCCTGTAAGTGTTATATTAGTGAAAAGTCATTCAAGTTTCGAAAGACTGGGTTTTTTGACATGTCGAGAGTAGAGCACTGCGAGGCGTGCAATACGTACATGTATACGTAATCGTATACATACGCGTATGCATACGCGTTCATACATACCAGTTAACATAATGTTCCAAATGATGATGTAAGAGATGATGGGCGTTTGCTGCGGGTTGATGAGCTGGTGTTGCCACAGTATATCTTTGAGTTGGCGCATTCCACTGCAAAACTGCTGTTGCGCGTTGACCCGGGCCAAAACCGAGTACGAGCGAACGGTACGTATATGAACGTATACATATGCCCTGCCATAGAGATTCGCGTTCTGGAATATAATATATCTTTTTAATAGACTTCGCTACCCGTCGACCAAAAATGACCGTCGATTTTACTTCGGATACCAGTTATACATTGTTAGTAACCATTACACATCACTGAACATTTGAAAAAAAAAAAAAAAAAAAAAAAAAAAAAAAAAAAAAAAAAAAAAAAAAAAAAAAAAAAAAAAAAAAAAAAAAAAAAGGGGGGGGGGGGGGGGGGGGGGGGGGGGGGGGGGGGGGGGAGAGGGGGGAAAAAAGGGTTTTTCTTTTTTTTGGGGAAAAAAAAAAATCCTGTTATAATTATAATATTTTTTTACTTTTTATTTTTTTTTTAGGGCTTTCTGCTTTGGTCTAATTTGAAACATCACTCCAATGATATTTGAGTGATGTTCCCCCCCAATAACACACATACACCTACACACTACATCTGGCGGCAGACGTCCTGAACACTTTAGCACAAAAAAATGTTATCTAATTGGAAGTTTAAACCATTTCGACAACATTTGAACACACCAATTTCATCAAAATCGGTCCAGCCGTTTAGAAATTTAATTACAAACACACACATAGTTGATTTATATATATAGAGGTAGCAACAAGAACAGACCGTTATGATAGAACAATGTCGGATTTGAAAAAAAAAAACAAAATCCACTTTTTATCATATTTGGATACTACATTGACTAAATATTACGGCTACATTAAAAAAAAATCCATGTGTTAAATTTCAAATTAATCAGTTGGTAAATTGATGGATTTGATAAAAGCATGTGATTTTTCTAGAAAACAAATTTTGTTTGCTTGTATGCCAATTTTCATAATAACAGAATATGAATTAAAATAGTTATGACAAAAAACTAACATGATTATATTATTTTGAAATGGCTGCCCTGTCTTACTATTTGTCAGATCCGTCACTATTCTAGGACTATGACGAAACAATAGGTCAATTTGTTTCACAAATTAAAAATCCTCGACAATTATTAAACGTCAACGTTTGTGTCTATGGTTTCTTTATTAATTACCTTGTACGGGTCTAAGCATATAGTCGTGTAATAGTGTATGTAGATGAACAATGGCGGCCCAATCAGCTAAAAATGCCTCCGCTGTGCGGCCAGCATTAGTCCCAAGCTCGTACTGAAGATATACGCAACGACGTTCACCTACAAAATGTAAATATGCAATGAAAATTTTCGTTTTTATGAGAGTTTAGTTTTTTTTAATATCCAACATAGGCCCGAAAAAGACCATAGACTAATTTTTTTTATGGAAAACTTAGCGCTCCGTGGGCGTCCAATAATTGAAGTCCTACGTACGTCCATTAATAAATTAATACAAAAGATAGGTAATATAGTAAATGTATTTTCAACGCATTTTCAATATTTATACACAACTAGTAATGCCCCGCAGCTCGCTCGCGTAGATACCGACCTCGTGGTAGTGGAAAGTCTACTAAAGTCGGACTATAGATATACATATTTTCGTTATCATAAAAGTTTTATTTTACTACATAATTAATTTAATAAACTACTAACCTTAAAATACAGTATTTACAATTTTCTTAACCTATAAAGTAATAATAAAAATAATTAAAAATAAATAAAATGAAAATCAAAACAAATTTAAAAAGTTTGGTCCCTGTGACAGTGTACCTTTGACGCTGGCAGCATTTCCTCGCTGTATTGCGAGATTATTATTATTATTGTATTTTATTTTACTTAGTTTTCTTAGTATTTAATTACATCCTATCAGATTATTAGACACTTACATTCATAATCTAATACATATACAGATTTTACTTTACAACGAATATATTATATCTAATACATTTTTAAATTTCAAAAATAATTTACGTAGAATGTCCGACATGAGTAAATTTAAAATTACTCTATGGTCTAAGATCCCGATATACAACGACCTTCACCGAGATGCTTATTTAATGAAACGTATTTTATATTTAATTTAATATATCAATAAATATAATCCATATGGGTTGCCTAGCAAATTTCAGTCCAGAGTATGTTTAATTAATATTTAAAAAAATATTTTTTTAAACATTTCACCGGTATGATTATTAGATAAATTCTAACCAATCGAAAGTATGAAGCCCATAGAATATGCAAACGTTGGTGTTTTTAATCAATAAATTTATGTGTAATTTTTATGTGACACTAAAGTATATATACATCTTTAGTAAAAAAGAAGGTTATAGTGATACATATATATATTATATATAATACTACCCTGATTAAAAATATTGATTGAAAAAAATTAAAAAAATGTACTACATGCAAATTATAAAAAAAAATTTTTTTTTAAATATTAATTAAACATACTCTGGACTGAAATTTGCTAGGCAACCCATATGGATTATATTTATTGACATATTAAATTAAAAATATTAAAAAAGGTTTCATTAAATAAGCATCTCGGTGAAGGTCGTTGTATATCGGGATCTTATACTACTACAGGTATTGAAAAATTCTTAATTTCAAGTAGGTAAAGAAATAATTTTTTCAATTAGTCCAGGAAATTTTAACATGATTATTACAAATTGTAAAAATAAAAACAAAGAGGTTTATTTCTACAACTGCAGTGTCTCAGAACTTCCCTATACACAATATTTGACGTAGTTTTGTTTTGTAGCAGCAAAATAATTTCAAGTTCCGTCTCGGGATAGGCTATACAATTGCCCATGGGTAAAACATTATTTTGGAAAATTGATACGATAATATTGTACAATATTTTTTTGTTATATCATCAATAGTTTCCACAGCGCACGCGTTATAGATTTTTTATGGATAACGCGATAACAGATTTTTTATGGATAACGCGATAATTTTTATGGCTTTTTCACACCTTGGGTTATTGCATTTTTGATAGGGATCCCTCTTTTTTTGTAAATGTAATATAGCCTATGTCAGTCAGTGCAGCTTTCTAATGGTGGTGGTGGTTTGAAATCATTACAAACATACATACAAAAACACAAATGTTTTCTTTTTATAATATTAGTATAGATATACAAACAATTGCTTAACTTTTCTGGACCTTGTAAGGGCCTGAGATTTATATAGTAACACAGACAAAGTTTTTATGAAGTTCTAAATTTTTCGGTTTCTTAAAATCTCTTTATACAAAAGGATCGAGTACTGGCGAGTACTCTAACTCTTAACAGTGATGCCATCACTTGACTGATAACCACTCACCTTGTTCCTTAGCACTCGGCGTCCGTACGGGCGATCCGTGGAACACGATTTCTGCTGTCCAAACTCTAGCTTGGTTCTTCGTCGTCAGACGTATAGTGGCCGCGAGCAGACGTGCACGTAACGCAGCGACCGCGTGCACGGGCGCGCTATCCGGTTTAGGTAGATCAACTATACGCATCGCGAGGGCAGAACCACTCCATTCTGGTTGTACCCCACCGTGGGTTACGCCGCGATTTGCCAGCTAAAGGATTTTTCAGAAAATGAATATATACAAATATTTAGACAACATATAGTTTAGTATTTAATGTAATTAACTAGAATCAACTCACCATAATGAGGTAAAAATCATAATTTAAAAACTATTTAGTAATAGGGAAATAAAGCAATTTTCATATTGATTTAAGATCTGGAATTATGTTTAATATTTTTTTCTTCAATAGATTTGAGATATTTTGATTATATCGAGCAAGAAACCTTTGGAATTCGTCAACATGTTAATTGTGATGCGAAACCTTATATCAAAAATCAAAGACAAAAATGGAATGACGGTTTTTTTATACAACAGGGGGCAAACGGGCATGAGACTCATCTGATGTTAAGTGATACCGCCCATGGACATTTGACACACTAATTGCCAAAGGGCTCGCGAGTGTGTTGCCGGCCTTTTAAGAAGTCGGTCTTTGCTTGAAGGAACCAATTGCTTATTGGGATACGAACGGGCGTGAATTATCTGAAGTATAGTGGTTCAAACCCGGAAAAGGCATTTCAAACAGAAAACTGGACACCTATTTTTAATAATTACGTCATTCGATCTAAATAAATCCAAAAAATGGGCTTACAACAATTTTGATCGAATTTCAGCAATAAATATGAATATTGCAGTTTTTAAAAGCATTCAGACAAAGCAATTTAGTGCCAGTTCCAATCGGCGTTTACCTCTCTAGCGAGATTGACGAACGGCACGCGTTCGTCCGCCGCTGCGACAACGTGCGCGAGTTCGGGAAGGAAGTACGCCGGTTGACGTGCACGCACTGATCGCGTTGCTGCAATGGCTAATTTTCGCTTGCCTGGCTGCATACCTATATTTTAAATCTTATCTTAGAGAATATTAAATTTAACTGGAGCAAAGAAAAAAAGAAGGGTGCGTGTACTTTTGTACGCGCGTAAGAAGTTATACTTCTTAAGCATTATTAAAAATAGTTTTTGATTGCATGCAAATAATTAATTACAATTAAATAATCAAAGACTGGAAAAGGAGTCATTATAGTCAATAAAGTTCAGTTTACATTTGAAAAATTAAATAAATAAATATTATGTGTTCCGTTTGACTCCGAGGTCCATTATGAGAGTACATCGTTTTTTTCCGCCCATCGCGTCCGACTTTTCCCACCACGTGACACCGGCCGGCCCAGCGTTTGAAACTGGAACTAACTTTTATCGCGCTAAGCAGCCGCCGGTTTTCATTGTTGCGTTTTTCGTCTTGCACAGTCGCTAGTGCACACTTAAAAACGATAGTATATTCAAGTTAATGACCTAAAATTTATTTTTGAAAGTGGAAATAATTATTTCGTAAAATGGTTATCGGTTTTATTAAAAATATAAATGGCTAATGAAAGTGCTAAAATCGGTGTAATGTGTTGGCCACGCGGTCAACGTGCCTCACCGCGCTTTACAAAGCCGTCTCATATCACGGGAGTAGTTCTGCGCGGACAGCCGAGTTCTTCGCAAAGTTCGGTACGAGTGAAGAGGATAAGAACCGCCGCACAACAAAGAAGAAATAACCACGTGCGCAGTAATTCACGTGATTATTCTCAGGTTTGAGCAATTGTCGCAGTAATTGGTGAGTCACCTAATAATACTTTTTTACAATTAGCTGCGACGTCTAGCATTACATAAAGTGACCGAATCTAAAATGCAAACCTCACGACCCTTTTTTGAACCATGCGGCTGTAGTTAATGGCTCAGTTGACGGTCGGTTCAAGAACCTCGAGTTATAATTATAATATTAATTTCAAGCAGAGGTTTTTACATTTCTGATTTGAACTGTGTACGTTATATTGATATACAAAAGAAATACGTTGTTTTACCGATTTAAAAATGAGTTTATCATAAAGCGTTACGTAGCGTTTTAGTGGTTTTCAGTCGAGCGCGGTTCTTAATTTAAATTCTATACATAATAAATTGCAAGAATGTTTTGGTCAAACTTTAAAAACATGTTATAGAAGATTTAGATAAAATTCCACCCTTTCGGAGTACATGTTTAATCCTGAAAAATTATCTAAATATTTACAAAATGTTGGTAGTATTGTCAAAATTGACAGAATTCGCGGGTACCAATCTAAAACAATACGCGTTAAATCACGCATACGTTTTTAATCGCCTGTAGCTTCAACGTCTCAGGTTAGTCAAAAGCCCTTTCTTGGTAACCGATAAAACTCAAAAACAAGGCCAACAGAGTCACAACTTCGATGATCACGAAAATAAAAAATGTGAGCGCCTGGCAGATGTGAAACATCGACATTATTTTGTTAAAATAACGATGACTATTTATTGAATAAACATTTATTTTCATTTAAATACAAAAATTTACGAATTTATTTCAAAACGTGACTACTTAATTCGTTTAATCAGTGACTTCGAAATACACCGTACACACTACTGCATATAGACTGTATATATACCATCATATAGCGTGGCATCGCCACGGCATGTGTCGCCACACCAGAAATCGGTTTTACGTGCGGTTATAGATGTTTCACATCAAAGGGGGACGCAAATAAACAATCCAAATAAATACCAACAAAGTGACTCGATGGGCTTTTCGGGCGGATGTTTAAGGAACTATCACAAAAATTGGGTGAAATTAAAACCTCCTTTTTCCATTCTAAAATTAATAACCTCCGCTCGAATAACTTTCAATCGAAAACCGCTATTAGTACTGTCCTAAATCCTAAAAAAGTTGCAAACACCTGTTTCAACTTCGATTTCCTTGGAAATACATACCATATACTGGAGCCAGCACCGCTGACTCCGTCGTTCATATCTATCATATCATATCGTTCATATTTCATAATAACGAAGAACGGAAAAATTGAGTCATTTTCAGCCTAAAATCTTTAAATCGGTTCATGAAACCAGAACCTTTTCATCTGTTTCATCACCACCAAATGCCAAATTTCCTACAAAAAGGCGATTGGATGGTGAAGCTGGATCACAGGCAATCCTACTATCATGTACCGATTTCCCTCGAACATCGTTGCTTTCTGCGTATCAGTTATGAGGGAAGGCTCCTTCAAATGACTTGTCTACATATTGGGTTGGCCATAGCTCCGAAAATGTTTGCTTCGGTGACAAATTGACAGCCGAGCTATAACGCCGTCAGGGCTTAAGAGTGATCGTTTTCTTGAACGATTACTTACTGGTCCACCAGGACAGAACAATTCTTAACTCCCAGGTTCTCGTAGCCATGACCTTTTTGAAGAACCTGGGCTGTACCATAAATCTAGAGAAGTCGATATGCACTCCAACGAGGTCGATCGATTTTCTGGGTATCACGTGGGACACACTATCAATGCAAAGTCCTTACCCGTAAAAAGTTATCAAAATTCGTAGTGCCTGATAAACGCTTGTCAGCCGGCAAATTGGACCCTCAAGCAGGCCCAACGCCTCTTAGGGTATCTCAATTTTGCGACCTTCATCACCCACCGGGGAAGGTTCCGTTGCCGAAGTGAGCGAACAGCAATGCATTTAGGAGAGCTCCGCTTGCCCGAGTTCTCTTGCAGAGGTGAATCAGGACATGGTATGGTGTTTGCACAACCTCAGTCACAAAACCGATTCACTTCAAAACAAGGCATGTGAATTACATTGTCACCGATGCCTCGGATCTACAATGGGGAGCGCTAATCAACAACAAACCCCTGAATGGTTCTTGGACTCAAAGTCAGATTGAGTGGCATTGCAATTTAAAGGAGATGCACGCTGTGGTAGCAGCAATCTCTTTGACATCCGAAGTCCTAAAGAACTCGATGGTAATCCTGCAAAGCGACAGCAAAACTGTTGTATCGTACATAAAAAACAGGAAGAACAAGGTCCCAAATGCTGTTAAAATTGACAAAAGATCTTCTGGCACTGACGAACAGTTTGAATATTGTACTATCCCTCACTTCCTTGCCGGGAATGTACAACGTGGAAGCCGGATTACCTCTCGCGCAATCGCAGAGGGGCACCGAATGGCATCTCTTGAAAGAGGCAACCACGGACATATTCAGACGATGGGGAACCCCGAAATAGATCTTTTTCGCGTCACGAGAGGCTCTTGTCGTGGCAAGTTATGTGTCGCTAGACTTATTAGACTCCAACACTTGCTTCACCACGCCTTCAGTAAATGCTGGCGATACGATCTAGGTGGATTTTCACGCAGGCCTCTACCTCGAGTGCTGCACCATCTCAACTTTCCCAAGGGAAGTTCAATAATAGCACCCAGGTGGAGGAAGCCTTTTGGCGCCCGGATTTGAAAGGCCGAGCACTTGCACCCTCGCTATCAATACGGAATCTAAACAAAACCCTGATAAATACCGTAACGGGTCAACCTCCTCCTCAAGGGGCAGAAATTACAGTTGGAAGCGTGGCTGATTTTGGCTGGAAAACACGAGACGAAAAACAACTTATTTCGTCGTGTTTGAGAGCTTCAACAAGGAAAACGTATGCCCCTATTTGGTATAAATGGGTAAATTGGTGTCAACATAGTAATATAAACTGTCGATTCCCGGCTCCTCCTGATGTAGCTAGATACTTAGCAAACCTATTTATAAAGGATCATCTGGCATAGATATCTAAATATCTAAATCTATTATCTAAATAGATCTATATCTATTTTAGTACACAAATCTGGCATTAGGCATAGCATCAATTTGTGAGGGCTCTAAGCGATGTTAAAATTTTATCTAATAAATTAGTAAAACATATCCTTAAAGCGCTAGCTGAATCCTATCTACAGCTAGACCAATCGCGCAGTAATTGCCAGTATGGGAAGCGGGGAAAGTTATAAATTATTTGAAAAGCCTAAAACTAGATGAGCAAAATTTATTTCATAGCTCGAAACACACAGCCACAATAATTTTATTGGCTTCTGGGATAGAGTTCATGATTTGACTCTCTTGCTTTTTCGAGCCTCAGCATTTTATTGATAACGGTGATTCCATCACTTTGCATCCGGGTTTCGGTTTTAAAACAGATACAGGAACGTATATACAGTCAAGTTGGACGTTTTTATCGTGCCCGGAGAAGCATCTAAATCCCTTATTTTGGCTTAGGACACTCATAACTGTCTCTAATAATAGATGAGGCTCCTTGACAAATTTGTTTATTACAACCAGATATCCTGTAAGACCAGCTACGCCCACAATTTTTGGGAGCTGGGTCAAAGAAACCCCTTTTGGAATCAGGTATCGAAGCATCTCGGGGTACTTGATCGGTTGTTGCTAAATTCATGCGTCATGAAAGTACATTAAAGAAATTATTGTCGAAATCTAGAAATAATAGTCGGATGCTGAGACTCAATCAGAAGTCTCTTTCTCAGTACTTTCGGCCGCTTAATGATTAGCCAAGTATTCTACTTCATTATAAACAATAAAAATTTTGTTATTATGTTTATTAAATGATGCTAAAGCTTAGGCTTTAATTAGCTTTGTATTGTTTATTTCATCATGATTCTATCGGATATAAATAATTCAAATCACATTGTTGCGTTTTTTTTAGTTATTATTATATAACTTTACAAGCCACCAGGAGATAACAAACACGTCTCTCATAATGGACCTCGGACGTCAAACGGAACACATAATATAGAAATTTTACCTAAAAATAAAATTTGTATTATGTTTCCTAAGACGTCCGAGGTCCAAACAAGCTCTTCCTGGTTCTCTTATTATGAGACAAACAATGAACAAGAACTCTGGCGGCTTGCTTTAGGCGATAAAAAGTTAGTTCCAGTTTCAAACGTGGGCTGGCGGTGTCACGTGGTGGGAAAAGGTCGGATACTAGCGATTTGGGCGGAAAAGGAAACGATGTACTCTCATAATGGACCTCGGACGTCTTAGGAAACATAATACAAATTTTATTTTTAGGTAAAATTTCTATATTATTATACTCTCACATTAGAGTAACATAAATTCTATTATTATTCGAATGTCGTTTTTAAATTATGTCCAATGGTAGCATCTTCCGTGGGCAACTTCATTCTGTTAATTTTGTGTCACGGTGCGCGCGCATCGTAAAATTTCACTCTCATCAATTTTTCATATCACGCCTAAAGAAGTATAACTTCAATAATTCTTCATGATCTCTGTTAAAATCTATTCACTCGCTCAAACCAAATACAAATTCAGGACTAAAGTTCTTTCTGAATTTCCTACAATCCTTAGGTCTTAACTCTAGGTCGCAATAAATATTATTTATTTCCTTTTCGCTAGTAAATTATTGAAACAAAAAAACAATTATACTAAACATACAATACATAATATATGCAAAAAGGTTCAAACATTTACAAAAGAAAAACATCAATAAAAAAATATTGAATACATTTAACTAAGTTTTACCTTATTCGGCTGTGTTGTGTGATAGTGGGTAGGTATGTATATGGGTGTGACATATGGAGTATGCTCATAATGCAGGTTATTTAGCGTTATGGATATTCTTGATACTCCTCTTAAGCATATTCCACGAAAGTATTTTTTTACTATAGAACAGGTGGCGAACGGCGGGATGCTCATTTGATGTTAAGTGATACCGCCGCCCATGGACTCTCAATGCCAGAGGGCTCGGGAGTGCGTTGTCCGCCTTTTAAGAATTGGTACGCTCTTTTTTTGAAGGATCCAAAGCCGAATTAGTTCCGGTATTTAGAAGAAAGTAAAAAAGCTTCAAAACCTTTATAAAATATAAATATTTTTTACCTGGCGTATCTAGCGGTGTGAATGGGCCATGTGTTAGGGTAAACGTATCAAGTTCAACCAGGGCTTGTATCTTCAAATAGGACCTTGCAACTGTTGGCGACGCATTACTGACACCAGACTGGAATAATTGGAAATAATTGTAACAAAATCCGACTTCAAACACCTGTCGACATAATAGACCAGGGTCGATAATTGGCAAATTCAGGCACTGGAGGGTGATCACCTACTTGCCAATTAGATTTAAAAATGATCATGAAACAGATTCAGAAATCGAGGCCAAGACCTAAAGAGGTTGTAGCGCCACTGATTTATATATTTTACGATCATAAAACGATGCAGGAGGGATCCATACCTCAAAATAAACATAATTTTGATGAAACTTGGACAATTCCCAAAAGTATCTGATGAAAATCAAAGATCCTCTTGATATGGCTATTAGTTTTCAAGAAATTTTTGTTACATTCTCAAGAAATTTAGCACATGGTTAAAACAAATAGATACTTTAGGCAATTGTTATCTATTTATATTATAACATACTATATTTATTAATACATATATAAAATATGAGATATATTTATTACTACATAATAAAAGTGCATAGAAAGAAGTACAATAGGTGTCAAAAGAAAAGACCGAGAAAAATTAATAGACATCAAAAGTAAAACCAAGTTTAAGAATGCATACACAACATACAATCAGCTGAAGTGGAGTTGAACAGGGCATATGATGAGAGAAAATCAAGAAAAATGGACAAAACTTATCACAGAACCCTTTAGACGGGAAGAGACATAGAGGAAGACAGGCTAATAGATGGGAGGATGACGTTAAGAAAATAGCGGGTTCAACATGGACTCGCACTGCAAAAATGAGAAAAGACTGGAGAGCTTTAGAGGAGGCCTTTGTCGGAAGACAAGTTGCAACCGAACTACCGTTTGCCGATAATCAATAGATAGTAAAATTGTTAGTCTTAATATATATATAAATCTCGTGTCACAATGTTTGTACAACCATCAATGGACTCCTAAACTACCGAACCGATATCAATCAAATTTGCACACCATGTGCAGTTCGATCCAACTTGAGAGATAGGATAGTTTAAATCTCAAATAATAGTCGCAATTTTAATTTATTGCAAAATATTTGTTTATTATTTGATACAATTCTAACAGATGGCGCTGTGTTAAAATTATCAACGTTTCACATAAGCTGTCATCTACCTTTCACATAAGTTCTCCTACCGTTTCCCTTGAATAGTTTACTACTATGTAATATAACAAAAATCTTAGCCAGAGCAACGCTTGGCCGAGTCTAATAGTATATTAGTAAAACTCTAGTTAATAGTCAAAATGTGTTTTTTTAGTCATAAGTAAATTAATTTTAGGCACACGAAACTACTATGTGTAAAACTTGTTAACAACAATAAAGGCTTTATTTATTTATTTATTATATAAAATATATATATGAAACAAATTAATGTGACAGTTAAAAGATATGTTTTTAGTATAAATATAAAGATTGCTTGTAACACATACTGTATATATAGCTTTATATAGAACCTGGAGAACTTTAATAAATAAATAAATTGTGCGTGTACTAGGTGTACACACGTAAGAAGTGAAACTTCTTTATGATCTTATTTTTCGAAAAATGATCCACTATATGCAACTTTACAGAAATTCTTTAAATTAGATAAAGTTTAACAAAAGGCTTTTATTATCATAGACATGAATACAAATATTTCGTTTTACCTTATTACTACGAAGATTATTATGGAATTTCATTAATTGTAATAGAATTATTACTATCATTGAAAACGTGACGATTTGCTACAAAATTTCTCCCATACGTCGATAAAGAAGTTTCATTCCAACGCCGATAAAGAAGTTTGACTTCAAAAAGCAACATGGCGCGTAACCGAATAATGTGACGCGTAACGAAAAAATGTTACACTAAATTTTTTTCCAACCTCGATAAAGAAGTTTCACTTCAATAAGTATTTTTTTGCGGTGAATTTAAATAAATAAAAGATATTTGACAGAATTAAATACCTCGTCTTCGCATTCATCGGGCGTACATCGCCTCGCTCCAGCAAGATGAAACGATAACGATACACTACACGCGCTCCCACTATTCGTACTGGAGCTGGTAGTCGCTGTACTTCCGGCTGCCACTTCCTTCATTTCCACAATCTAAAAATATAAATATACACGTTTAATTATAACAATCTAAGGGAGCGTAACGAATTTTGAGGGGGAGGGGGGTTCTTTTATAAAAAGTTACGATGCGGGGCGGCGATTGAATTACGCGTTATTGTCAATATTATTCTCGACTTTCCAGTACTTTACACCACACTTTTAGTTATAAAGAGTCACTAGGTTGTCATGAAACGTTTTACTATACTTGGGTACAGTACTGTACTTGGGTACAGAAAAACGTTACGGCGCGTTACATGGGGGGGGGAGGGTTAAGAATCTCCAAAAATTGCGTGAAGTAATACTTGAACGCTCCCGAAGACTCCTAACAGAGGAAACTCAGAGTAAGCTTATTATTTTTAAATTCACATACAGTGGCGGATTGACACATTTTCAAGGTATACGCTGTGAAGTCAGCCCTACACTCCAAGAGAGAATACATTTTTTGCTGAGTTTCTTGCCCGTTCTTCTCAGAACAAGGCCTCCTGGTAGTTTTACGAACGGATGGCGTAGTCTTGCACTTTCGCGAATTATGTAAACGTTTTTGACATTCATTAGCATGCGCTCAGACGCATCTAAACTGAATAAACGTATTTTGATTGATTGCAATTTCGCTCTTTTCACTCATACAAAGTGTGAGCTGAGGACGCAGGTCGATTACTGGTAGGGGGGCTCACTAACTGTTGTACTCTAGAACATGGAAGTTTTCTACTTTGAATGTACAATGACAAGTGAGAGGGGAAGGTCATCGGTTTTGTTGCAGAAAACAGTTCAATCTGTTAAACACCAAGAACCCGTCATGCAGAAATCTTTTTGATGTCTATGAAGTAGCAAACAAAAATTCGGTTCCCAAATGCCACCATAGCCTGCTCAATCTGCTGGTAAATCCGCCACTGTTCACATAAGTTTGTACAGGGCGGCATTTTGTTCGAGGTTTTCTTAGTTTTAAAAGCCTGACGATAACCTAAATTGTCTTATGCCCCGACAGTAAGGCCAGGGACTCTCTCCAGCATTAATTAAACATTAAATCTCTTGGCATACTTAAATTATTTTTATGCATCCCCATGAACCGTACAAATTGGTCCTTCGAGCCGGAATTTGAAAGTGATTGTTTTTCTTTTAATATCATTAACGTCTCTAAGGCCGGCTCAGACTTTTGACATTGGCTTTTAATAGCATTGCTTGTTACTACAGTTACAATGTTTAGTCCATGTTTTATAGAACCAACAACAAAGTCACAGTATTAATTACTATAAAGTTCCAATTAATTTCACATTTCTATTATTTTCCTTACCAATATATGGTCTGTATGCCGATGCAATATCACGTAAAGACGATCAGATGACAGCTTGTTCAACGGATGTTCCGGGCCATGCATGAATGGCAAGTGTTCGCAAACACTTGCCGGTAAATGTTGAAGGGTTTTCTCACAACGTCGTGCCACCAACCAAAACCTGTGATAAAAGATCGAACATTATTTACAAGTAAGTCTCTTTCTATCACAGGGTAATAACAATTGGAAAGAAAAAGACGAAACTATTTAGACGAGTTTACTTTAGTTAAAAGGACAATTACTGCTTAATAAAAATAAATTAAGGATTAGTTTCTGGAAGTTTCAATAACTTCAATGTTAACATATTATATGAAATGTCGACCAAAACATGGTTGGTATTTTATTAGTGTAATTTTGTACATTTAGTTAAACTCTAAGTAGAAACTGAATCACTTTCAGTTAATACTATGTTTTTCAGGGTTGGATGTTAGATAAATCCAATAAATGACTTGGGCGCGTCACCGAGAACTTGTTGCTCACGTTACTATTTAAAGCTACTCGGTTCAGTTTATGAAAAAAAAAATCGCTGGCGCTACAACCTGTTTAGGTCTGGGCCTCAGATTTCTGAATCTGTTTCATGACTATTTTTCAATCTAATGTAGGTGATGAGCCTCCAGTGCCTGACACACGCCGTCGACTTTTTGGGTCTAAGACATGTCGGTTTCCTCACGATGTTATCCTTCACCGTTCGAGTGAATATTAAATGCGCACACAGAAAAAAAGTCCATTTGTGCACAGCTGGGGATCGAACCAACGACCTCGGGGATGAGAGTCGCACGCTGAAACCACTAGTGACTAGACCAACATTGCTAAATCAAATAAGAAAAAAAAATACAAAATATCGTTGTATGTTCACTATTATATATGGCCTCAAACATTAATATTAATCATACCTTAGCTGTGTAAGCAACGGCCTCAACGCTTTAAGATCAGCTGCACCCAAAGCATTAGCCAATTCATTCATCTTGGGCGTGGCTGGATAAGCCGGAACCCGTGCTCGTAGTTTACCACCATGAGCCCCGACTGACACCAGTAATTGCTCCGCACGGAGACACGGCGACACCACAGAACACGCTAACACACACGGCCAGCCTCCCACTGTACACTCCACCTATGTATTTTATACTTTTAAATCTTTGACGGATATATAAAGCCCGACCAATAAACATTACTATAATTATAGCAACACTGAGTATGGTCCATGAAAATTAGCATGACATTTGATACACTATCGAGGTAGACCTATTTCTTTGTACACTGGCTGAGTTCACAAGAGTTGCTTGTTATATTAATAGTTTTAAGATCGAGGTATGAATTTAAGGCCGCTAGTTCAACAGCGCTGTTTAGTTAAAGGGCTAGGCTGTTAATTGAACGGCTTATTAAGCTAGTTGGCTATATATGTATATATAATTATATATATATATATATATATATATATACAATGTTTTTTATTGTAGGATTATGGGTATAGGTATTATTTTGTAGTTTAGAACTTAGTATATTGTAGTAAGTTAGGAAATTATTAATAAAAATGTTACTATCTCTAAAAAAATAATTTAAAAATACCTATATTTATAATATAATCAACGTCTGAAATGGAATATTATTAATAAAACCATTATTAATTCAGCGCATAATTCAATCCTGGCCAGCAAAGGAAACTTACCCCCAAATCATTTAGAAGTACTTTTAAGTCGTTTAGGCGTTGTCGTGAACGAACATGCACCGTGTGGGCCAGTAGTCGTTCCATTGACGGCGCGTGGGGTGTCAACGCAGTCGCGACCCTCTCACCACCGGCCAACGCCGGGACGTGGCATACGCATAGGTTCTCCCCTTCAGCCCCAATTATTAAACGATATCCCAACTCACAACCCAGTTCTCTGTAACAAATAGTTTTTGATTAAACAGACTTCAACGAAGATAGCTTATAGGTAAGTTGAGTCTGACTTCTTTACATCAATTTTTTTTTGGATTTCAAGGCCCTATGCCAGCACGAATTGCTGCGTCAGTGTGTCGGGGTGGACTGCGGGGCGCAGTGGCAGGCGCGCCGGGCCGTAATAACAATTAGTTATGTATAACATTAAGTCAATGTAATTTTATCAATTTATTTTTCTGAATTCCGAAATTAATGAAGTAAGAAGTAGACATAGGGAGAATTTCTCCCTGTGGCTGTGCCAAAAATCAATCTGGAACTGATTCGGAAAAACACCGATTTGTATGGCAATTAAAGTTTACAATAAATAAAAAAATAATTAAAAGATCTTCCGTCTAGAGTCTTTAAAAAGCGACTTGGTGTATTACTTTTGGAAAAATTTACTATTCAATAAATGATTATTTGCGTGAGACACTGTAGTTGATATAAATTTAATAAAATATGATATGTACGATAAAGATAATATAAGAATTGACGAATTCATGAGACTAATAATGTAAAATTCCTTTAAAGACAAATTTGCGCGCCATTGTGTTAGGCAGAATATGCGAACGTACGATTGTACCACCTTACACATTTTTGTACCATGTTCTTGCAATAAATAAATTATTAATATTATTACTAATATATTATAAGACCGGCTACGCACTCGCGAACCTTCTGGCAGTGTGAGTGCCCATGGGCGACGGTATCATTTAAAATCAGATGAGCCTCCTGTCCGTTTGCCTTCTGTTACATAAAAGCTAATTAAAGAAAATTCCATACCTCCAATAGGAAACCTGTAGCTTCTGCCCTGGTATATATTTATCCACTTGGAGGTGCTTTGTTAGCCGGTCTCGACATAATCTCAATGTCTGAGTGTATAGCAATTCCAGAGACAGTGATCGGCAGAAGAATCTCAAAGCTGTAAGGGCTCCATTGAGACCAGCTGCAGCTAATCGAGCTTGAGCAACACCACGGAGCCATGTAAGTTGAGATGTGTGTACCAACGGTTTGCCTTCTGGAAATTTGATTTAAAAAAAAAATCAGTAACGCTACAACCTTTAGGTCAGATTTGTGTATCTGTTTCATGATCATTTGTCAATCTAATAGGCAAGTATGTGTCGAGCCACCTGTGCCTGACGCACGCCGTCGACTTTATGGGTCTAAGGCAAGGCGGTTTCCTCACGATGTTTACCTTTACAATGTTAAATAATCTAGATACCACCAGCAGCGCCATCTGCTGGGCTGATTTGTGAATCTAAACCTATCGAGGGCGCCACATAAACGCATACAAAAAGTTCATTCAAATCGGTCCAGCCGTTTAAGAGGAGTTCAGTTACATACACAAGTACAGTAGAATTATATAAAGATTTTGGTACATCTTTAAAATATATGTATATTTATTCAGTGTTTTAGACAAAGAGAGTAAATAAATTCATTATATGAAGTATGCTTTGTAAACAATTAACAATATAATAGTTAGAAATTATTATTATAAACACACATGTACACACCACACACACACACACACACACACACACACACACACACACCTAAATGTAAACATTCTACTTGCACAATAATAAAATTACACTGCACAACTCATCTAAAGTAAAAAACAAATAAAACTTACCACCAGTTTCATTGTCTTGAATAAGAATAGCAATATCCAATAATCTCCAAGGTACATTAGGCCCGTCGCCCATTACTGTGAGAGATACACTAAACTCTTGACCTACTGAAAATGTTGCTCTGCCATTTTCAACCTACAAGTAAATAATATTATATTAATTACACTTAAAACAATGTTGTGAAAATTATGTTATAAATTTCTGTTAAAAGGTTTATTTAAATGTGTGGTAATAGAGTAAAGAAACAATATTAATATTGTTTATTATTGCTAGAAATAAAACCTCCTTTGGCATTGCATCCACTTTATGTGTATATAAATTATTTAAACAGTGAAAAACTAACCATCAGCTAATATATTCCAATGGCTTTTGACAATGAAAAATACCTTTAAATTTCTAACATCAGTAGGTAAAGAAGCTGTGGTAAGCCTCTGTCGAACAATGTGTGCTAGTGATCTCAATGTTGATCTTTTTTCTCCAGCTGTTAGACAAGGAGGCGGTACCAGCCGCTCACGAATTACAGCTGGTAAACGACTGTAGGTTCCTAATGTTAGGACTTCTACCGCTGCTGCCATGTGGAATGTTGGTAACCTAATTATAAAATTAATCAATATGACATAGAAAATTAAATCATATACATGAAAAATATTATATTATATATATAAATAATATTATATTATATAATAAATATTTTAGATAACACAGGTAAAGCTTAAAATTTGAAGTCCTATTAATAAATTAAAACACAAACCTTGCATGTACTAAAGTTTCCCTAGCTACACGGGCCAATACATCAGCAGTTTCAACAAAGAGTAAAGCTTGCTTGTCCAAGAATGCCATGATATGTGCAGATCGATCAACTTTAGTAGCACTACTAGCCCATTTTACTAAGGCCAGTAATCGAACAAAAAGTTGGCGTGTGCGAGCACTAAATTTGTATATCTCTATCTTTCTCTCCATATCCGTTTTTCGTGGCAATCTAAACACAATAAAATCATTAAGATGGTATGGAAGTAGATTAAACCTGAACATATATTTAAATACTCAAAATAGTATTATGCACTGTACTACGAAATATAAAATTACTTACAACTCTGCTAGCACTGACAATTCATCGTACGTCCTTTGAACTATAAAATCTATAAGTAAACCAAGTGAAATAGAGCCGCCTCGGGGCCCTCCACCCTCTGTTCCTTGAGTGCATCCTTCTATTGATACAGGCACCATGATTGCTTAGTAGTCCACGCTTTTATGAACCAGATATCAAAATTTAACGCTTAATTGTAGTTTTCTCAAAAGATATTCATTTTCGCGCTGTACACTAAGCTGCAATTTGTACGAAACTAACAACTTTTCATTAATTGGTGTCGATCATATAAATTCAGTTTTATACATGTATTAGAAACACCAGAGTTTTTATTAATTTGTTTAATGTTTAGATCAACATTTACTAATCTACAAAATATCAATTAAATATTAAGATAACAATTAACACTTAACAGTTCAATTTGCATTTCGCAAGTCTCAACAATTGAGAATTGAGAATTGAGATGTCAAATGAATCAAGTTATGACTTATGACAGTGGACAACATCACCAGCATTCGCAGTATAAGATAGATAACCACAATTATAATTTACGAGTCACCTTTAATTAAATAAAAAATTATTAATCTTGAAAAATAAATATAATTTTGTAAGACTGCACTAAAAAATAAAACTATTTGTATCTTAATTTTTAATGCCAAAAAAATATAAATAAAAAGCTGCAATAGAGTTGTCAGTAGTCAGAAGACAGAAACTAAAAAAAACGATGACAAGTTTGAAGTTTTCCGAATTAATCAGTTTTCAAGTTGTAAGACATGTATGGCCTTGTAATATAAAAAATACTTAGATACTTGCGTCTTGCGCTTACTTATTTTTTGTTGGACCAAGTAGTACGTAATAATTTTCCGTGTCACAACAAATCAGCATAAATTTTTCGTTGTCATGAAGTTTGCATTTGTTTGAATCATATAAAGGTGTTCGTCGAAAAGTTTCCTTAACATTCAAGTCCGGCTTTTCTATACGGTGAATGAATATTTATTTCATTTTAAAGAGGTTTTGTTTTTATCGTAAAGTAAAATATCTATGTGTTTCGCAACTCAACATTTATAAAATCTTTTTCGCGAGAATGGGTTTACTTACTGAGGGAAGTCCATTGACTTGGGAAGAAACCAAAGCCTTAGCAGAACATGTCCGGCAACACGGCGTAGAACAATTTATAAATTTGTATAAAAAGCTAAGGGACCGAACCGGTGATGTGCTCAAATGGGGCGATGAAGTAAGTAAATGTTAATGTACTTATTTTTTATAGTATTTGCCAGTAACTTATCATCAAATTTAATTGTAGGTTGAATACATTATAGTGAAATTTGATGATGAAAATAAACGAGCTACAGTCAGTCTAAGAGCTGTTGAATTACTTCCTGAACTACAAAAGAAAGAACTTGAAGATCCTGAAAGTAATTATGATAATTCCTTATTATATACATTCTTAATTTTAATTTAATCTATTCTTTAATCACCTAAAGTAATAATAATAGGTTATTTTTTTAAATTTGAGGCAATTGCAATTTATATATAATCTACTGCTTATAATTACTCTAGCTATGCAATGCCCTTCATACTTAAATGGATATAATCCATAACTTACATTTATAACCATAGCAATTATTACATAATGCACACACACATTCATTTTATGGCTATGGTGTTTTAAACTTCAAACATAACATTTAATGTAAAATGATTATAATAACTTTGCCTCTATTTTTAAACTACTGTAATAATTTAAGCAAACCTTAATTCTGTAAAACATAAAGGAATGTGTGTAATAATTGATTAATTGGTTTAAATTTATGAGAAATTAACACATTTATATACTTTTACCATTTTGATATTTCTGTAATATTCTTTTTAATAGATACCTTTTCATGATCACTTTTAGTAAAAAGTGCAAGTCATTTCTAGTATCTACAAGGTCATCAAAGAGTTGGCAATATTAATTACATATAATGGTTAACCACAATGTAACAATTTTAAAGATAGATGGAATATTTTACGTTAAATATATAGTATTATAAAACTCTTACAACAGTATGTGTTCTGTATTAAGACAACCTATGTCCAACCTTTAGTTTAAAAGGTTACTAAATTTTTACTACTAGATACCTGTATATATTTTAGGAATCACAAGTAGTTAAATGAAAAATAAATTAACATCTCTGCTATTACATTAACACATATACAAAAAGAGCCGGATTTATGTCTACAAATAGTTGGTTATTAATAGATATTCTCAGACAAGTTTTAAAATGTGGATGAAAGTAATTAGTACTATGTTTGTTACCATAATCACTTATCTCTCATAACCCTCAAATTCAATACATTTTCAACATCCCAAAAGCAAAAAACAACGGGTTGCACCCCGGGAGTGCCGGCAGAAGTGAAAACTTGAATATTATGCAAACATTGTGCATTTTTGATATTTTGGATTGGTTAAGGAATAATTTTGCACGAATTGCTTTAATTATCAGTATAAAAGTACTATCAGTTATGTGGTAGAATACAATATTTATTTATTACGCTATCGTACACAAACATGACAATTTCTATTTACATTAAATACGCCGCGCCAGCTGAACACTCTCCATCCGTCTTACGAATTTTCGATCAGGTCACGTGTCCTGACGCGAGTTTGACATTTTTACACATTCCAAAAAAAGTGTACAACGCCGCTAAAGAAGTTTTCACTTCAAAAATTACATTTAGTGCTAACTCTATTTTACCCTAACTTTCTACTTTTGTATAGCTAACATTGGTCAAAATTTTATAGTAAGGTTGTCTGCATTTCATTAGTGAGACAAGCTTTAAATTAACCATTTTTTATATTGTTTATAAACATGATAACATCATTTTTATTTATGCAGATGCCAAGTCTCTTTGGCGTCCAGAATATGGAGCATATATGATAGAAGGAACTCCAGGGAAACCATATGGAGGACTTCTAGCACATTTCAACATAGTGGAGGCAAATATGAAGTTTCGCAGAGCTGAAGCAAGTACTTTATTGAAAGACGGAGAAGTTATTATGAGTATTACTAATTTTCCAAGGTATGATAATAGTTTTGATCTATAGTAGAGAGAAGTCAACCTATAATTTGTGTTACACTCAAACTCTTAAGCCCACATTCCAATACATACCTTTATAAAAAGTTGGAATCTATTGAGTACTGTTAGGGTGCGTCCACACATCTGGCGAATATGCCGCGAATGTGCCGCTCGCGAGCAGTTTGCGAGCTGCGCGCGTGCATTTTTGTTCGTGCGCCGCCCGCGCGCAGTTCGCGTGCAACCTAAACGCCGTACGCGAACAGCGCGCGGGCGGCACGCTAGCTGCTCGCGTCTTCCTTCCGCCCACGCTAGTAAACGGAACTGTAAGCGCGAGAATTGAGTGCGCGCGCTTTTTACGAGCCTTGTATGAGTTGCGCTAAAGAGGCGCACCAAACCATTGCCGTGACTGCACGCGCGCAGATCGCAAACGGCTCGCGAGCTGCACATTCGCGGCATATTCGCCAGATGTGGACGCACCCTTAGAAATGTTTCACATTTTCAACAGTTAGTTGAATGCAAAAAATTAAGGCAATTCAGCTCTTTATCATTGAAGTCATATTTTACAGCATACAGCCCTGACTGGATAATAAGATTAAAATTAATTTGTAGATTAGGCTGTCCAGGGTTCACAAGTCCACCATACACACCAACACCAAACAGTGGTGTATCTATGTCTCGCTTCTTCCCTGACGAAGCAATATTTCCTGGTCATCCTCGTTTTAAGACATTGACTTCGAACATAAGAGAGAGACGGGGCGAAAAGATGGAAATCAATTTACCTAGTAAGTACATTGTTTTTGTATTAAAATATTCTCTCCAACAAGTCGTTAAAAGCTAGATTAATCAATCTTATCTTTATATTTTTTAATTAATTTTGTCGGAACATTAAAATACATTTAGAAAATATTGACAATTTTACATGAATTCTACACATTTATTTTCTTCATATAAATTATAATTGCGCCGAGTCATGTAATTTAATTAAAGTTACGTAACATATGTATATATATTTTAGTTAATAATTAGAAGCTTAAACACAATTTGATAAAAATAATAGAGAACTTTAGCTAAATTAAGCAATTAAACTGATTTAGTGTTTATGGTTTTAAATTAGTCACTTGAGATTACATTTTATATTTGTTACATTTTTTATAGTATTTTTTATGGGGGGGGGGGGGATAAAAAAAAAAAAAAAAAAAAAAAAAAAAAAAAAAAAAAAAAAAAAAAAAAGGGGGAAATTTGGGGGGGTTGGGGGAAAAAAAGGGGGGGGGTTTTTTTGGGGGGGGGAAAAAATAAAATTCTTTGGCATTATTAAAAATAGTTTTTGATTGCATGATAATTAATTACAATTAAATAATCAAAGACTGGAAAAGGAGTCATTATAGTCAATAAAGTTCAGTTTACATTTGAAAAATTAAATAAATAAATATTTATTGATATTATATTTATATTTATTATTATTTTCTAATATTAATTAGTATTGATTTAAATTGAATATTTAAATCACTTCTGATTATAATTCAGACGCACATATAAAATTCGCACTTGTATAATATAATGAAAACACGTGTTTTAAATGTAGAAACTCAAAGCATGTAGATAAATATTATAAATATAAATACACAGTGAACAGAGGCGGCGTGCCAACATGCGCCACTAACTTCATTCTGTTAATTTTGTGTCACGGTGCGCGCGCATCGTAAAATTTCACTCTCATCAATTTTTCATAACGCGCCTAAAGAAGTATAACTTCAAAAATATAACTATATCGTACAGTCGCAAAAGTGAGGGAATCATTATATTATCAGATTTATTAAATACAAAATTAATAGAGCCAAAGTCATTGCTACTAGCTTATTTATTCCAGCTAACAAATTCAGGACAGATAGAAAAAGATTTAAAAAATTCTAACATTGATAGTGTACACAATCTGGGCTTTCCATTAATATGAAAATTATAATGTGTCTGCTACTTGTAATGGTAGTTAGGTTATACAGTGAATAACTCGAATGTCAAGGGAAATGCTAAAGAAAATCGAGTTAACGAGTTTTCACTTAACAAAAACTTCGAGGTACATATGATTTGACAGAAATTTCGACATACGCTTTTTCTAAGTGTATTTTTCGATTTGTAGAGTCGAATTTGAATAACAATTCAACTATAGTTTTGTTGTATATATTTTATACATATTAAATTTAAATATTGATGAAGCAAAGTGTACAAAAAAAACCGTTATCTCCTATTGATTTAAACAATTTGTTACTTAAAAAATTTTATGAATGTAAATGTAAAAACAATAGATTAGAAGCCCTGAACTCGAACATTCATTTTGAATTTTATTGCTATTATTTCTAGGAATTCCATTATATTGTACTAACTACGACGTACGGAGTCTCCTTTTTAAAATTCGAGTTATAAAGTATTAGCGACCCGCCCTGGCTTCGCACGGGTGCAATGCTGATACTAAATTCAAAGTGCTATAGAGTATAGGGAGAAGCGCGGCCTCCGACGCGCTATTTAATATATTCCATAGGCACGCTCCCGCCCCGGCCGGCCGGTACCGCCGCAATTTTTAAATCTGTAATATCTTCGAATATATTCATTTAAATCATATGCTGTAAAGGGCAATATAGATTTATATTTAATCAACAATGAATTTAAGGTATTTAATTGGATAAGGATTAATGCTGTATTGGTTAAAATCGCTTCGAAAATTAGCCATTATTCGTCGTAAAAAGTAAATGACAAAAAAGTTTTTGTGGGATATCCATAAGAGATAGCCATATACCATCGCGGAGCTTTCTGTAGAGCTTTTCAATGTGTACAATACCTTAGTACATTATTTTGATAAATCTCGTAGGGTAGGGTAGGGTTTGCGTTTGCAATGTAAGCGGAAAAAATTTAATTATTAACGACATCACATTAGAAACCTCAAAAATAAACAGTATTTCTCCAATATTTAATGGATGGATGGATGAGATGGTTACATATAAACCTTCCACTTCAATCACTCTATGTATAAAAACCGCATCAAAATCTTTTGCGTAGTTTTAAAGATTTAAGCATACATAGGGTTATAGGGACAGAGAAAGCGACTTTGTTTTATACTATGTAGTGATAAATATGTATTATCAATACTTCGTAGGGAAGAGGAGGTTTGAGTTACAAAGTCTAAATAATTCAAGATACCGCGTATTTAGGGGTTCAGCGGAAGGAAATGGATTTTGACTTAGCGAGAATCGAGTTATAGAGATTCCACTGTATAATGTTTAAACGTTGAGGCCCATTCATTAATATTAAATGAGTTAACTAGCGCGTTAGATATTATAAGTTCTCTTTGAGTTTTTACGAAAAGTGAGTTAATTTTCTTTTTCTTCTAGTATACCGCGATGTAAATACCAAGATACCTGTAGATAATTGCCACGAGCTTGATAAGGGATTGGCGAAGCCTGACTGCGTCTACATGGATGCGATGGGCATGGGTATGGGATGCTGTTGTCTTCAGTTGACGTTTCAGGCGTGTTGTATTACTGAAGCGAGGACGTTATATGATCAGCTGGCACCGCTGTGTCCAATAATGGTATGTCAATTATTCTAGTTTTTTTTTATAATATATTTATTGCAAGAATTTTGAAAAAAAAGTGTAAGGTGGTACAATCGTAAGTTCGCATATTCTGCCACACACAATGGCGCGCGAATTTGTCTTTAAAGCAATTTTACATTATTAGTCAAATTAATACGTTATTAAATTTATATCAACTACGGTGTCTCACGCAAATAATCATTTATTAAATAATAATTTTTTTTTCAAAAGTAATACACTAAGTCGATTTTCAAAGAGTCGGTAGATCTTTTAATTCTTTTGGTAAATTATTGTTAACCTTAATGGCAATACAAAAATATAAACGAGCGAACGATTCATATCATATTAAATGGTGAGCCCATAGACACATACTTCTATAAGACAAAAATAGATTTATTTGAAAAAAAAATTAGTTATTTTAACAGGTACTGCACTCTGAACAATGTTTAAAATTTTCTTACCGATAAAATCGTGAGGATCAACTTTTTTTTATATTAAGACGGACCCCGACATAGTAGCCTATCAGGCAGATATGTGACCGAGTAGCTAAGCAGAAGGGGAGTGTCGAAATCTCCCCTTTCTTAAAAGGGACATTATTAACTTAAAGGGTTGGCGTCTTCAGAAATATCGATATAATATTTATAGGCGAGTCGGGGCCCGCTGCCCGTCGCTACCCGCGTTACCTCTCGTGCTATGTTAGTGATATGTATGACAATCTTGCCGCAGAATCTTTCCAGCTGCGATCTGTGCTCAAGGTTCTAAATTAACGTAACATCTTTTGTCAACGAAACATATTGTCAAACATTATTTCTTCAGTTGCGCTTTATTTCTGATGGTCGTGTTATGTCGTCGCGTATATTCCCTCCACTCCCCTCCACAGTTTTCGTTCCTTAGCGCCAACAACTAAACAATTTAAAAATTTAATATATTTTTACTTTGCAATTGTTATTATTGGTGACTGACATAGAGACAACTTACGTTTAAAAATAAGCAAAGTTTTTTTTGGCGATCTTGTTCATCTCCAATCGGCTATCAGCCATAATCAGATATTTTCGGAGGTTAATTTAAAAAAATGAGCAAAGTAATCTTAATTTAACAATGCTGAATCCGTCATCTCGTCTGACAAATTCTGATTTAAATTTTGGGTTAAACCCACTAAATTATTTAAATACAGCTGAAACAGTTAAGACTTGATTATCGCTTAGATAAATTGTACATTTGATAAGATAAAAGTATTCATTAAATCAGCAGTAAAAACCATACCAAATATTGGCCAATTATTCTGATATGACCCAATGTTTAAATAACAGCGAAACCTCGAAGTTTAATAACTAAATATTATGACTTTCATTTGAAACGGTACAGCCGTCATGTTACGCTAACCAAGTTCGATTAATATTATCAGGGAAGCACCAATATTGTCATTGGTTATCCTTAGACGTAAGAGTAAACTTCCAGCATCTTTTAAAAGAAAAGAGATTAAAAAAAACTGGCGGAGAGTTTCAAACACAAAAGATTTATGGATTAGAGAGACATTCGGTGGCGGTTGTTGTATTATTATTATGTATGTATATAAACACACTAGCAGCTTAATAAGCTGATGCGCGCGTATTTTGAGATTTGGAGAAATACCCCCTTAATCTGTATTTTCATTTAAAATAAAGAGCTTCTCAATTCCTGGAACATTATAGTGGCCAGTGAGGATTTTATAGGTTTCAATGAGATTTCCTCTTAATCTCCTACTTCCTAAATCAGTAAGGTCAAGTGCTTTCAGACGCGCATTATAAGATTTCTGCCTGAGTGACCTGATCATTTTCGTGGCATTTCTTTAGACCCTTTCAAGCATACTAATATCCTTTATGAAATCAGGATCCCAAATGCTGTAGGCATACTCTAATAGTGGTCTGATGTAACATTTACATATATTTAAGAGTGTTCTTGGTGAAAGGCATTTCTATGGTTGATGTTTATTAAATAAAACTCTTTGTTTGAAGCTGACTTTAATGGTTTAAAATATGAGCTTATCACTAACTAGTAGACTAGGCCAAGTGTTGCTGTGGCTTTTTGTTATATTACATAGTAGTAAACTATTCAAGAGAAACGGCAGGAGAACACCAATCCACCATGCTTTTTTGGTGGTTATGCCATTAAATTGTAGCTTATGTGAAACGTTGGTAATGATTAAAACCTAGGTACGAATAAAGAGCCTTTTCTAGCGGTGGTATTTTAATAAAAAAAAATTAATAAAAGGACGCTTAATGTGACGTAACTATAAAAGATAGAGACATGCTGTTGACGTTTATAGATAGTGATGTGTCCTGAATAATTGTAATACATCATTTTGTTCTATCATTAATAGTTTTCGCAGCGCACACGATTGAAGGAAGTTTTTTGTTGATTTTTTTACACCTTGGGTTAGATTATTCAAGTTTTAGTAAGCATCCCTATTTTTTTTAAATGAAACATAGCATATGTCACTCGGGAATAGTGTAGCTTGCCAACGGTGAAAGAATTTTTGAAATCGGTCCAGTAGTTTTGGAGCCTATTCATTTCAAACAAGCAAAAAATCAAACCTTTCCTCTTTATAATATTAGTATAGACATAAAATAAGGGGTAGTGGGGTTGCGACGCTAACAAATCAAACTTGGCTTATCTAAGAGTTAATAAATCTAAATGACACTTATGTATTGGACATTATCGGAAACGAGAATGTTAAAATACAAGTGTGGGAAAAACTAAACCGCTCATATTGGCTTCAAGTGTGCGATGAGTGGTTATTTTTTTTTTTGGTTTACGTTACTAACTATTAGCTAAAATGTTATGCTGTTTTTTTTATTTATTCAGAAGGTTGTCTATGGAATAGGTCACATTGCTGTGTGAAAGATAATATGAGGAAGACTCGGAAGAGATTAAATTCCTTTCCCAAATTGTATATAGAATTAAAATGTTTACTTTCCTTGTCGAGTATTTAATTAACGGTTAAAGATAAACTGTGATTCATTTAATTACTTTAGATAAAACATTATCAAACTTTATCAATATATATTGTTTTTGATTTATACTTCCTACTATTGAAATTATCAAGGATAGATAACTTCACGGAAGGATAGTGGAACCGCAAGCGTGCGGCAAGTATAACGTTTGACAAGCGTATTACAAAATTGGCAGTATCCCGTGGATTCGCCGGGTTAGTGCCAAATATAAATTAAAAAGTAAACGTACTAAATCAGTGGCGCTACAACCTTTTTAGGTCTAGGCCTCAGATATCTGTTTCATGATCAATTTTCAATCTATTCGCACCATCTGCCATATATAGGCATGCAAATGTCATATTAATTATCATGATGTCATAATAACAATTAACAGTTAATTCTAATTGTGTTTCAATTAGGGATGTGACATTCTGCATAAAAAATCGATTTTTTATTAATCGATTATTTTTTTAGCATGATAAATCGATTTATAAATAATCGATTTTTCTTAAAAAAATAATCGATTATTTTTATTAATCGATTTTTTCCTAATTTTTGAATTAATTTCAAAATAAACACCCTAAATATTTTATTTCCCATGGTTTTTTTAATTAAAAATAAACAATAGAAACTATAAACACAAATTAACGTTTAAGAATAATCAAAATCGAAATTAACTTAATCTCGTTTTGATAGATTTTAGGTGAAATTTGATAAATGCTGAGTGCCTTTTCAGTAGAACATTGCAGTATTTTTGTTGTTTTTATAATTGTATGTAGTCTTGTGCTACTGGATAAATTTATTTTACTTTTAAATTATAGTGTTCCATTCAAAATTGAGTTTTTGTAAAATTAACTGGTTTTATCCTCCTTTCGATGTTTTACAAAAAAACATCAATGCATCAAGTATATTAATACATCTTCAAAGAATCGGATTAAATGTATCGCATTATAAACATCGTTGTATATCGAATATCCCTAATAGTTCGAGATCCGGGTTATAAAAGACCAGACATAATGTCGGGAGGTGGCAAATAAAAAATCGACTATGATTGATTTTCAATTATAAAAATAATCGATTATTAATCGATTATTTTAAATATAAAAATCGAGTAAAATAAGCGATTTTAATCGATTTTTTTAATAATCGATTATTTTTTCACATCCCTAGTTTCAATCTTATGATCTAAATACTTTCCAACGGTGCTCTAAAAAATTTAATCACCTTCATAAAGGAAACTATTCTACTATTTCAGTGGCGCTACAACTTTATATACTTGGAACTGGATTTGTTTCTTTGATTTATATGTGTCAGCCTTCTTTGCCTGACACGTTCTTACATTTTTGTGTTTAAGACATTCGCTCTACGATGTTTTTCTTCATTAAAATCTAAAAAACCTCAAGTTTAGCACATGATTAAGATGTTTCTCGAGACTAATCTAATATATAAAATTCTCGTGTCACAATGTTCGTTCCCATACTCCCCCGAAACGGCTGGACCGTCTTTTATGAATTTTTTTATTCATATTCAGTAAGTCAGAGAATCGGACGACATCTATTTTTCATCGCCCTAAATGATAAGGCGTGTCCACCCCAAATTTTTGGATTTGTTTGTGGAGATTTTTTTTTTTAAATACATACAACCCTTAATTGTCACCCCTCTACCATCAAACCCTATTTTTTATTATAGTAGATAGTTATTTCTATTTACCTAAAAATGTTTCGTAGAAATAATATACATGGCAAAGCAACGTTTGCCGGGTCAGCTAGTATTCTATAAAATCGTATATCTAATAAATATTTGCGTTATCAATAAGTTCTGTAATAAGTGACGTAATCTGTGAGATACCTATAAATTAAATTTAACGATGATTTAAAATAATATTATCTATTAAATAATTGATGTGGCCAATTTAAAGATTGCCAACGTGACAGGACTCTTTTGATTTTATGAAAATATATTATTACTAGCAGACCGGGCCACGCGTTGCTGAGGCTAAGGTTTTTGTTATATTACATAGTAGTAAACTATTCAAGGGAAACGGTAGGAGAACTTATGTGAAAGGTAGATAGCTTATGTGAAACGTTGGTACTTTTAACACAGCGCCATCTGTTAGAATTGTATCAAATAATAAACAAATATTTGCAATAAAATAATATTGCGGGTATAAATTGAGATGTAAGCTATCCTATATTTTAAGTGAGATCAAACTGCACACGGTGTGCAAATTTGATTGATATCGGTTAGGTAGTTTAGGAGTTTAGGACAAACAACGTGACACGTAATTATATATATATATTAAGATTCATATCGTATTGAATGTTGTCGGCATGATTTTATTTATAGATATGACTATACAATGATTGTGCACATTTTTCGCCTACAAGATCATCGCATTAATATGTTTCGCCGCTATACTATACATAGAGGCTCTTTTATCTTCGCCTTTTAATAAATTTAAGAAATGTATTAAAGAAAAGCTGTGTAAAGAGGCTTATTATAAAGTTAACGATTATCTAGTTGATAAAAGTTACTAGTGCTAGACAGGCTACTTCTAATTAATTTGCGATATTTGTTTTAAAATAAGTGTTGTTTGATGATTTGCTATTTTATAAGAGTACCGAGAGTTTTTTACGCCGGCTTTTTCTCTCGGCCTACACCCTCTGTCTTCTTTGCCGATGATGGGATGTCTACCGATTCAAATTTAATGACGTGGAATAAGTGATACATGTATCTTATGTTCCATAAGAAACATATTTTATTTTATATTTGTATGTTTACACCATAATTTAGTTGAAGTTTCGTATACTGTATGACCTCCGAAGGTGTGAACTTATTTATTTTAAAGTTACCGCATTGATACACTCGGCCGTGTTCATCGTCGATTCAAAAAGTTTTTATTATTATTAAACCGGGTTCATGATTTAGACCCAAACAGGGAACGGCGTGTGGCTGGCATAGAAGGCCATCATCTACTTGCTTATTATAAAATAAAATAAAAATAGCCTTTATAAACTATAACTACAGTAAGTCCAGTCTTTTAAGTTTTACACTTGTACTCGACCTCCGACGGAGTGATTTTTGCAGTTTTTCCCCGCTATCCCTTTTATTTCATCTTCCCAAGTTTTTGGTGGGCATTCTCTCTTTCTTCTTCCCACTGGGCCCTTCCAAGTAAGGGTCTTTTGATCCATATGCCATCACAAATGCGGCCAATGTGACCGGCCCATTTCCATTTTAGACTTTTTGTATATGTTACGTCTTTTATTTTTCTACGTCATCGTATCACCTCGTTTTTTACTTTGTCTTTTATAATAAATAATAATAATAAAAGCCCTTTATTCACTGACCTTTAAACTTACATTGTACTCTTATTTAACAGTAGTACAGTCGACTCTCGATAATTTGACACTCGTTAATTTGAATCTCTCGATAATTTGATTCTGGTCTCTTGAAAAATATTCGATAAATTGAATAAAATCAATGATAATTGGTCCCTTCGGTAATTTGAAGTTGAAAAAGTATTATCTTGCTCGCCAACATGCGATAATTTGAAATCCGGTCTTCTCTACTCTCTATAAATTGAAGCGTTTATCATGCACATACCTGTCGTTTGTTTACATAAATGGGTGACAAGTGACGATTGCTTTGCAGCTCTCACCTTGTTATTTTGAACTCTTGATAATTTGAAATTTATCTCTGGTCCCTTGAGTTTCAAATTATCGAGAGTCGACTGTATCTTAAATCTAATTTACATAGCGAAAATAATAATTTATTAGCAATCACTTTGGTCAGGTTGTCTGTCGACATGGGCCTCCGTCTGTCGACATAGGTCTCCCCCAATTGTTTCCACGTCTCTCTATCCTTGGCAGACCTTCTCCATCCTTTTTGTAGATCGTCCTCCCATCTTCTATGATCTTAGCGTTAAAATCTAACTAACTTTGTCTTTTAGTTTCAATTGAAGAATGGAGCGCTCCATAGCCCTTGTTTTTTAGTAAATACAAATCACGAAACAGATACAGAAATCTGAAGACCAGAGCTTACAATAAAAGTTGTAGCGTTCCTGTTTTCTCACTAATAACACAAATTTTACTATTGCTTAATATTTTAAAATGATATAGGAATCAAACAAAACATTTATTCCTCAGGGACAGTGAACGTAAATCTTAATATATATAAATTACGCGTCACGTTTGTCCGCTATGGACTCCTAAACTACTTAACCGATTTCCATCAAATTTGCACACTGTGTGCAGTTTGATCTAACTTAAAAGATAGGATAGCTTACATTTTAATTTATACCCGCAATATTATTCTATTGCAAATTATTTGTTTATTATTTGACAGTCACAATTCTAACAGATGGCGCTGTGTTAAAAGTTTCCAGAAGACCAACGTTTCACATAAGCTACAATTTAATGGCATTACAACCAAAAAAGTATGGTGATCCCCATGACTGGTGTTCTCCTACCGTTTTCCTTGAATAGTTTACTACTATGTGAAAGCCCATCCACACGCTTGACAAACAATGGCAAACAGCTAACAGCAAACAGCAAACACGGACGTGTGGATGGGTGTTTGTCGTTGTTTGCCTGTTTGTGTTCGTGTTGGGCAGTGTTCGGCATCGGTGTCGGTTTATCTTGCCAGATCAAAGGATGTTTGGCAAACAGTTTGCTACGTATCCACACGTTTGGCAGCGATCAGTATGCGCGCGAGCTTGCGGGAGGCGGACGTATTTACTTGCTACACTTTCGTTGGCGCGCAAAGCGTAAAAAATGTCTGATTGGAGCACCTACGATTCTGACATTTTTAAGTAACTTTTAAGTAAATTTAAAAAAAACACGGCAAAGTAAAGCTCAAATAATAGGTCTAAAGCCTTGTACGCTTTCTATGTATTTTAATCATCCACCATCGTCTTTGCTTTCTTCTTTTTTTCCTTTTTTCTTTCTCTTGCTTTAATTTATAATAAAAATATGTCAACCCGAAAGTAATAGCTGCAACAAGCTCGTCGTCCGCCATGTTTGCCGATTCGGAATGTTATGAACGTTCGCCAAGCATGTGGATGGCTGTTTGTGTTGGGTGATTGTGGTTGGTGTTTGGGACTTCGTTTGCTTTTTGCGGTGTTTGTGACAAACAGCCAGCGTGTGGATGCCCCATAATATAACAAAAACCTTAGCCACAGTAACGCTTGGCCGAGTCTGCTAGTAAAAGTATATAATATCTACTAAAGTTTTTATTAATTTATTGACTTTAAACTAAGCTAAAACTTTTTGCTATCCATTAATCATTTGTAAGTACATGTTTAAATCACAGTATATAATCCCCGTACGCTTAAAATGTTACTTCAAGAGATCAGCTATTGCTCCATCTTGATGATGGATCATAATCAATGCTGGCATTGATTATGATACCTGAATGCCATTACCTAGAGACTTCACGCTCTCTCACAAAGAGTATCCTCCCAGTTTAAAAAAAAAGACGTGGAGAGTTTATTGCCAGTTCTTCTCTTCCGTTCTACGCCTTTGATTTGAGAACTGGTAGTAAATGTAAAATTAGAAGCATTTCATATATATTCATGTTTTGACGTTCATAAGTGTAATGATTTTTGAATTTTAAATTTTGTTTAGACATTATTATAGTTTAGATTTTCTTTGTAGTTGGCCTTATCAGCCGCCTCGCCGGTCTACCGCGGATTTCTCACAGATGTCGATTGTCGTTGGAACGTGATCTCTGGGTCAGTGGACTGTCGCACGCGGGAAGAGCGTGGCCTCGAACCGTTGAAGAACAACAAATTTCGCATACAGAAATCAAGATATGATTCAATCGACTCTTATCTATCGGCTGAGCATGAAAAGTGAGTTTGAAGTAATTCGACGTATTTCTGTTAGGAGGTGATAATGGTGACTGTTTACGATAACTTTAAGTGAATCATTTTTGAAAATTCTAATAAGTTATTGAAACGATTTAACAGTTGGTAGATATTTATAAATACAAATTACAACAATTATCCAAATTTAAAAAAGCGAGACGGAAAATGTTTTTAATATTTTTGAGATTTTTTCTAAAAAAAAAATAAAAGAGATGAATCTTGGCTTGTAGTTGATTTTACTAACTCAATTATGCAACAGGAAAATCTATTTAAAAAAAAATGTGTGCGTGTACTAGGTGTACACACGTAAGAAGTGAAACTTCTTTATGACCTTATTAGAAACTATTTCTTTAAAGACACTAGACAGTAAATTTTGATACACTGCCTAGCATACAATTTACAAATTAATTGCTGCAAATTGCGATTAGCAAATTTCAAGTCGAAAATGTAATCCGTTGTCAAACTTCAAAGTCAAAAACATACTATATGTCATATTTTAACGCCGATAAAGAAGTTTGACTTTAAAAAGCAACATGGCGCGTAACGGAAAAATGTGACGCATAACGCAAAAATGTTACACTAAATTTTTTTCCAACCCCGATAAAGAAGTTTCACTTCAAAAAAAGTATAAATTTAAATCTTTTTTTTTCTTCGGATTTATTATAGTATAAGATCCCGCTATACAACGACCTTCACCGAGATGCTTATTTAATTAAACATATTTTATATTAAATTTAATATGTCAATAAATATAATCCATATGGGTTGTCTAGCAAATTTCAGTCCAGAGTATGTTTAATTAATAATTTAAAAAAAATATTTTTTTAAACATTTCACCGGTATGATTATTAGATAAATTCTATACCAATCGAAAGTGTGAAGCCCATAGAATATGCAAACTTTATGCTGCCCATTCTTTTCCGGTCACAACTATCGGGTTGCCTGGTATAAACAGGTAAATCTGTACTAGCATTTTGCAACGGTCTGTTTATTGAATGAAATTTAAATGAAATTAAAGATTATTTTATTCTGAACACGGTGGTATAGGGTTGTCTGCGAAAAATCAGTCCAGAATTGCGGTTGTCGAATTTTAAAAAGTAAAATATTGCTCCAAGTGAATGTGTGCGACTGAGAGGTCCCAACCGACCATCCCATGCGATAGAAGAGGACACAGCATAGCAGCTGTTTAAAGTCCGCCCACTTAAAGAATGAGAGTGCGCATGCTATTTGGGCTTGGAAAAGAAAAGGATAGCGATGGACTCGTATAATTATGCATCATTTTGGAGTAGTTTATTATTTAAATAGAGAAATAGTTATTTAATTTTTTTTTATCAATTAATTATTTATGTGTATATTTTTTATGTGACACTAAAGTATATAATATACATCTTTAGTAAAAAAAGAAGGTTGTAGTGATTCATATATAATTAAACCCTGATTAAAAATATTGATTGAAAAAAATTAAAAAATTTACTACATGCAAATTATAAATCTAAAAATGTAAACAGAGAAATTGAAATCAATTGAAACTATTGGAAAAAATTCAAAACCCATAAAAGTGAATTTTTTTAATCAGGGTAATCTTGCAAATTTTATTTTTATTATAAGAAGACAAAATAAAAAAAGGATGCGTGTACTTATGTACGCGCGTAAGAAGTTAAACTTCTTTGGCTTTCTTTATTTTTTTAAAATATAAAATAATTAATAACAAATATTTAACGTTAATAATATTTAGTATATTATTCAATTATTAATTAATATCAATAATTATTTTTTATTTTATTATATTATTCATTCAATTTTATAACTACGTATGTTTCATAACCTTTTAACTAAGTAACAATAGGTCTTTGTGAAAAAGCATTCCTAAATTTATTTGAAAAAATAATTAAAACTCCTTTATTTGTTTAAAAGGTAAATGTCATTATGGTCATTTAAAATGCTTAGCATAGCTGCTAACTTCACGCATATTCTATTTCTTTCTACTTGTAGATTGTCTTATTTCCATCTCGCTCGCGCACGCTCGGCGCCCATACTGATAATTTAGTGTCACGGTGCGCGCGCATCGTAAAATTTCACTCTCATCAATTTTTCATAACGCGCCTAAAGAAGTATAACTTCAAAAACAACAATTAAAAAATTACTTCTATTTATTGTAAAAAATTAAAAATACAATTTTTTTTTAATTATTCAGAATCCGAGTCATAGGACATAAAACTACGATCTTCAACTTCTGAATCTTCTTCGTCATCACTTTCTGTTTCACTTTTTTCGACAATGTCTTCTATCTTTAAAGGTGTATGATCCCCAATGAATCCTACTGGTTTTAAATATTCATCTAAGAACCGTCCGCAGTTCTCAGGCTCAAATTTCACGCATATTGGATCCGTTGCATTAAGCCACGTGGAATTTACGAAAATAAAATATATATTTTAATATATATATATTATATTTTAATATAGAAATATAGAAGATGTATTAGCTAAGATAATTTTAAATCATAATAATTTTAGCAATATTTTACTTTTTAAAATTCGACAACCGCAATTCTGGACTGATTTTTCGCAGACAACCCTATACCACCGTGTTCAGAATAAAATAATCTTTAATTTCATTTAAATTTCATTCAATAAACAGACCGTTGCTAAATGCTAGTACAGATTTACCTGTTTATACCAGGCAACCCGATAGTTGTGACCGGAAAAGAATGGGCAGCATAAAGTTTGCATATTCTATGGGCTTCATACTTTCGATTGGTATAGAATTTATCTAATAATCATACCGGTGAAATGTTTAAAAAAATATTTATTTTAAATTATTAATTAAACATACTCTGGACTGAAATTTGCTAGACAACCCATATGGATTATATTCATTGACATATTAAATTTAATATAAAATATGTTTCATTAAATAAGCATCTCGGTGAAGGTCGTTGTATAGCGGGATCTTAGACCATTAAAACGATTTAAGAGTTATTTATAAATAAATATAACAACAATTATCCAAATTTAAAAAAGCGAGACGGAAAATGTTGTTTCAATATTTTTTTGACCGTTTTTCCACTAAAACCTTAAAAAATTAAAGCGTTATGAATCATGGCTTATAGTTGATTTTACAAACAATTTGAAATTGGTATTTTTTATTAAAGTAAAAAATATTGTTGTGGGTTAGGGTTAGGGTTAGGGTTGAAGGACTCCTTTCTCCGCAATTAGACTCGAGGTTGGTCCGTTGTGCGTACGAGTCCTGGCTAATTTAGCCAGCCTAGCTCCTTCCAGAAGCACAGAAGTCTCCTGGGCACTTCACAGGCTTCCCGGAGCGACCTCACCGTTCCGAGGATTTTTTCACGTTGATTAGCCACAGCCTCGCATTCCAGGACTACGTGGGTGACTGTTTCCTCTGCGCTGAAACAGCCTCTCCACAGGGGGCTGTCTGTCGCGCCTAGGATAAAAAGATGTTTATTTAGGAGGCAATGACCCGTTATTGTCCCTATCATTATCTTAAGGTTAGTTCTGTTTAAGTTAAGTAGTCGCTTTGTCAGTTGCGGGTTTACTGCTGGCAAAGCCACTTTGGACTGTCTGCAGGCCGCACCATGCGACCATCGTTGTTGCTGGAGTTCAGCGGATCTCTGGCGAATCCAGGTTCGCACCAGCGAGAAGGGCAAAGGAAGGAGCGGATACGGGCCAGCAGGCATCATTCCGGAGCCTCTTCTCGCAAGCTCGTCCGCAGCATCATTGCCGAGAGATCCACTGTGTCCCTTTATCCACTGCAAGGTAACCCTATTGGTTCGGGTTATGACCTCCAGTGCTTCATGACACTCCAGTATTAGTTTGCTGTTGGTTTTTTTGTTTCCGAGCGCCATCAGCACGGATGCACTGTCGGATACGAATTTAATGCAAAAGTCATTAATCCCTAGCCGCTGCACGGCTCTGGCTGCTTCGGTTAAAGCGACACATTCACATTGAAAGATCGTGCTCTGTGTGCCCAAGGGTAGGTGTATGTTGATGTTGAGATCAAGAGAGAATATGCCAGCGCCTGAGCCAGACCCTGTTTTGGATCCATCTGTATATATACGAAGCTCATTTACGGTCGACCGATCATGTTCCTCTTCTCTCAGTTGTATAAGATATTTCCTGTTAAATATTAATTGGTTAGTGATTCTATCACAGGGCGCAGCAATAAGAGGTTGATACTCTATTGCCCTGTTGAGAATCGCTGTGTGTGCACTGTAGTGATTTTTTCCCCATAGATCCAGTACCATAAGCCTGATAGCAGCCAGGGCTGCCTCCTGCTGTATGTGTAGGTCCAGGGGTAAGATCTGCAGGGCCATCTCCATTGCTGCAGTTGGTGTTGTTTTCATGCAACCGCTAGCAGCGGACAAAGCAAGCCTTTGGAAGCGTCCGATTTTGGTAATTGCCGTTTGAAGTTCAGTTCTGGGCCACCAAACAAGGGCTCCATAGGCTAGCATTGGCCTAATTATGGCAGTGTATATCCATAATGTTATCTTAGGCGATAAGCCCCATTTCACGCCTAGCATCTTTTTGCATTGATAAAAGGCGATCGTTGCTTTGTTTAGTTTGTGTTCTAGATGTTTGTTCCAGAGCAGTTTACTGTCCAAAATCACACCTAGGTACTTGATTTCATACTTGAGTATGAGTTCAGTGTTGAAGAGTTTCGGAAGTTTGTACGGTCCAAGAACTCTTCGGTTGGTAAAAAGTATTAGTTCTGTTTTTGATGGGTTGACAGATAACTCGTGCTTATTGCACCATCTCTCAATCACTTTGAAAGCTCTTCTCATGAGGTCACATAAGGTGCTTTCAAAGTTCCCAGATATCAAGATAGCTATGTCATCAGCATATCCCACAGTGTAGAGATTGTCAGCGTTGAGTTCTGTGATTAGTTCATTAACCACAAGGTTCCACAGTAGCGGCGATAGAACACCTCCCTGCGGACATCCTCTGCTGACAATGCCTCGTGTTGTGGAGTTTACCGTGAACTGTATAGCTCGTTGTTTTAGCATGTTGTTTATCCATTCTATAAGGGTTGATGGTACTCCACATAACCTTAGTGCTCTGGTTATACTCGTGAAGTTTGTTTTGTCAAAAGCACCTTCGATGTCAATGAATGCACCAAGGGTTGACTGCTTTAACTTCAGGGAGTTGCCAATGCGAGACACGACGTTGTGGAGTGATGAGTCCGTTGATTTGCCCGAGCTATAGGCATGTTGATTAGGGTGTAGGAATTTGGATAGCGATACCCGGCTGCGTATCTCCAGGTCTCCTAGCCTCTCCATCGTTTTTAAGAAGAATGAAGTAAGGCTAATAGGCCTGAAGGACTTCGCTTGGGTATAGTCCTCTTTACCTGGTTTTGGGATGAATATGATTTTTACTTCTCTCCATTTCAAGGGTATGTATCGGTGGGCTATACAGGCTCGGAAGACAGAGACAAGATAGTCTACTATTAAGTTCCCACTCCATCTTAGTAGACCTGGGAAGATGCCGTCCAAACCAGCCGCTTTGAATGGAAGGAAGGAGTTGATTGCCCACGTTACTTTTTTCATTAGAGATTATTTTGTGAGCTACTTGCCAGTCTGAGCTGTCGGTGGCTCTCTCTGAGTATGGTTGCCAGGCCTGTTCGTTGGCAATTATGCAACCCGGAAAGTGTGTTGCCAGTAGTAGTTCACATGTTTCTGAGTCAGTTTTTGTAAATGAATTGTCAGGTTTTTTAAGACAACCGATCGAGTGATTGGGCTCTCTGGAGAGGCATGATTTCACCCTGGTTGCCTGGTTGTTTGTTTCAATACTGGTGCAGAAGTGTCTCCAACACTCCTGCTTCCTAGTACGTAAAAGTTTTTTGAATCGCCTTCTCGCGACCGTGTACTTGTCCCAGTCGGTGGGTAACCGTGTGTTCATTGCTCTATTGAACAGCTTCCTGACCTTCCGTCGGTGTCTCTCCAGTTCGGGGCACCACCAGTTATGTCTCCCTCCCCATCTTGGTATGGTAAGGGGACACGACCGTTCATAGCTTGTCAGGAGTAGGGACGTTAGGTTGTTTACATGTTTGTCTATGTCTTGTATATTTATGGTGGTTGGTATCGATAGTTTGTCTACCTCGGAGCTGATAAGTTTATAAAATTTTACCAAATCGGTTCTCCGCGGTATACGTCTAGGTTGGGGTTTAGGTAGCTCCCCTTTGATTGCAAAGCGGATCCACCTATGATCCGAGCATGATAACTCGTTGGATACGTGCCAGTCCTGTATGTGATCTGACAGACCAGCAGTTACCATTGTTAAATCAATAATAGTTTGCGAACGCGCGTTGATAAAAGTTGGTTTTGAGCCATTGTTTGCCAAGATAAGGTTATTGCTAAGTATAAAATTAAGCATATCCTCACCTCGAGTGTTGGTACTAGCGTTACCCCATAACGTGTGGTGCGCATTGGAGTCCGCCGCGATGATTAGCTCCAGTTTCTCCCTCTCACAGTAGTCAGCCAGAAGGCCGAGTTCTGGAGTGGGCACGTCCTCGTCACCTGGTAAGTAGGCGGACGCCAGGACGACGTCTGGTTGATTGTCTCTGGGTAACCTAATACCTGTAAGGTTCCTTGAACAGAGTTCGTTTATTAGAAATGCTGGTACATGTTTAGGCAAGATTATGCAAGTTCTAGGGTTACTTACGGAGGTATCCAGTAAAAGTTTACCACCGGTGCAGCCCAGGCCACATATCTTGCCATTCCTGATCCACGGCTCCTGGATCGCGGCGATGGTCTTCGGATTGGTCTCCAGCAGTCTGCGTAGGGAAGCCGACGCTGTCTGACTGTGCTGGAGGTTAGCCTGGATGAGGTCAGTTCGGCGATGGGGAGGAGCGCAGACAGCTGTCGCTGAGTTCACTCCCCCGGTCTCCTGAAACAACTCATCATCCGAAGTTAGTTGCACCGGTGACGGTGGTTGTGTAGCTACCTCCATAGGGACGTGTGCCCCGGTGACCAAGCTGCCCCCGTCAGGGACGTGGGCAGCCCCGGCCCCGACGATGCCACCCCCGATGTGCTGGCAGCAGTTGGTGGGGCGTTGGCCACCTGCGAGGGCCCATCTCTATCCAGGATGCGGATATAGATGTTCCCCATCAGGTAGTATAAACGCCGATTATGCTCTTTGATTTTAGAGATCTCAAACTCCGGCACACGAAAGAAGAGGGACACGCCTGTCGGGTCCTGAGTTCTTCGTTCGTGTGTCAGGGTCCAGGATCTGATGTTGAGGTGGCGGTTTTGCCTCGTGATCAGTTTCCTCAGTGTCTCCGTGTTGCCACTGTAGTCTGGTACATGTAGCAGACACGGAATCCTGTTCGGAATCGCCGATTGAGGCCGAACCACCAACCTGGTGTCAGGTACTGGATTTGTGATGACATCACAAGTTCCGGTCAGCCAACCCACAGAGTGTAAGTGTCCTCGCACGGGGGGAGGAAAACCCCCCCCCGGGGGGGGGGGCCCCCCCCCCGGGGGGGGGGGGGGGGGGGGGGGGGGGGGGGGGGAACCCCCCCCGGGGGGCTTTTTTTTTTTTTTTTTTTTTTGGGGGGGGGGTTTTCCCCCTCCCCCCTGGGCCCCCCCCAAAAGGGGGGCCCCCCCCCCCCCACAAAAAACCCTTTTTTTTTTTTTTGGGGGGCCCCCCCCCGGGCACCTGGCGGGGGTCCCCGCCACCCCCTGGGGGTTTGTTGGGTTTTAAATATTGTTGTGATAACTATTCCAGTTTATAATAAATTCGTTTAAAAAAGCTTTATTTAAGAACTTTTTATTATTATTATTATTTAAGAACTACATCGTAAACTCTTTATAACGAATTTCAGGGAACCGAGCAATTTGTTTCGTTATAGGGACGGAAGAGAAAAAAATCCAAATTTAAACAATTACAATAATCTATAATATAAAAATGAATCGCAAAATGTGTTGGTAAGCGCATAACTCAACAACGCTTGGACCAATTCGTTTTTATAATATTCCTTGAAGTACGAGGATTGTTCTTACGCAGAGAAAAATTAAAAAAAAATTGAGTGAAAAAGTCTAAAAACAACACTTTTCTATATTCCCATACAAAATATTCGTAATAATACTTAAGAGTCAATTTGAACTTTAATACCATATCATAAAGTTCAAGTGTTAGTGGAGGGGTTCCGGGAAGGTAAATTTTTATTTTTTGATATGATAGATAGGTGACGATGGTGCGTTTAGTAACTGAGACCAAAATTCCCTACAAGCAATGTAATCTAAGAATAATATCTAAGGTACACGTGTTAATGAAATTAACAATAAGAAAGGCGAGAAGCCTGTTATGACCTCAGGTATCTTAGAAATATCGGCCTCTCAGTAGGTTAGTTTTGTAAGCTGATTATAAAAACAATTATTAAATATGTTGTTGATGTCTAAATATGAATTTTATATTCAACCAAACAAATTACCTATTTATTTTACGTTATAGGAAATTTCTCGTTATAGTGAATCTAATATATAAAATTCTCGTGTCGCGGTGTTTGTAGTTAAACTCCTCCGAAACGGCTTGACCGATTCTCATGAAATTTTGTGTGCATATTGGGTAGGTCTGAGAATCGGACAACATCTATTTTTCATCCCCCTAAATGTTAATAACCCCTATTTTTTTTTTTTTTTTTTTATAATACAACATTAAAAAATACATACAACCCCTAATTTTCACCCCTCTACGATCAACCCCTATTTTTTATTATAAATGATATACATGGCATGGCATGATATAAAGAGTTTACGTTGTATTTTTTTTTTTTCAGATACAATGATATACAATTAGTTCACGATCCGAAGATTTACCGTCGTCTCCGTGAGGGTGGGATTGATCATCCATTAGCAATGCACGTGGCGCATCTCTTCATACGAGATTCGGTTTCATTATTCACCGAAAAGGTTAATCAGGATGATGAAAATGACACTGATCACTTTGAGGTATTTATGTTTTTCCTTCAAAATAACTAGGGATGCATCCGATACCGATATATAGGCGATACTTTGGGTTTGCCGATATATCGGTATCGGCGATATTTTAATTGCCGATACAACGATACTTTTCAAATTTCGCGCTTTAAAAAAAGTAATGTAAACGCGCATCTTGTTTGATCTGGGGCGTGGGAAACGAGGCACGGACTATCTATGACCCTCACACCCGCTTAGTCCCCGCGTATTCCTTTTCGCTAGACACTTTAGTTGGTTTTTAACTGCTATCGCGCGTAGTATTTTTTCAATACCAAATTAAATAAAATACAGAATTACAAAAATCTTATCAATGTTAATTTTAATTATTAACAGTTATTTATTTTATTTTAATTTAACTATTACTCTTAATTCTTAATTTTATTTACTAAATCTTTAATCTTATTCAAAGTTTGTGACTGTTTATATTTTATAATAAAAATTAAAAACTTTAACCAAACTTGATATATTTTACCTAAATTAATTTGAATTCATTAAGCATTAGTATCGGTATCGGAATCGGCGATATTTCTATAAGAGTATCGGTATCGTATCGGCAAAAAGGCGTATCGATGCATCCCTAAAAATAACATTCTTGACGACGCCAACATCCCATTCGTAAAATGCAACAGGCTCAAGTGGCTGGGAAGTTGGGAGTTAGGCGCAATAAGCACTATACTCGTGATTTTTAATTCCGTAGAATTCTGACAGCTATCACTTTTTGACATACCAGAGATTACAAAACTTTTTGGCCGGACACATTTTTTAATTTCAAAACGAGTCTACATTTTATTTGTTAGTGAACGTATCCATTTTATTAAGTGCGGTGGTCCACATTTTACGAAGAATGATAATAACGTCCCTTTTCATCACAAATAGTACAAAACGCACAAGTAAAGATAACATTTTATTTTTATTAAAAGGTTTACTAAACCTGGAATTAGTAGGCAGTGATGCCAGCTAAAGAATAAAATAAAGTTAATTCGATATATTGTTCGTGATATTAAAATATTTGTTATTTTTGTATTAGGTCACTTGAGTAAGTTAATATTAAGATTTACCTTTTTGTTGGTAAAATAAAAAATACGTAGCATTTTTTTTGCCCCCAAATCAAAAATTTTGTTTTTAGTAGCACCACTTATGAAATGTCAGAATTCTACGGATTGAAAAATCGAGTATAAATAGATTGCGATGGCGAATCAAATCTTATTTTTTGTGTGCGTGACTATTCTCTTGAAACTCTTCTCAAATCTGTGCGTACGTACGTTCATTTACGTGCGAATTTCGTGATTTAGCACGTAATTAATTATTTATATTTTTTTTATTAATAAGAGTATATAATATTACAGAACATCCAATCAACCAATTGGCAGACCATGCGCTTTAAGCCACCCCCACCCAACTCCCGTATTGGATGGAGAGTGGAATTCCGTCCTTGCGAAGCTCAGCTGACAGATTTTGAGAATGCGGCTTACGTCTGCTTTGTAGTACTGTTGACAAGGGTCATACTGTCCTATAGACTCAACTTTGTGATGCCTATTAGTAAGGTATGTGTTCAAAAGTTTATTATCAAATTTAATGTTAATATATATTACGTGTCACGTTGTTTGTCCGCTATGGACTCCTAAACTACCGAACCGATATCAATCAAATCTGCACACCGTGTGTAGTTTGATCTAACTTAAAAGATAGGATAGCTTACATCTCAATTTATACCCGCAATATTATTTTATTGCAAATATTTGTTTATTATTTGATACAATTCTAACAGATGGCGCTGTCTTGAAAGTACTAACGTAAAGCATGGTGGTCTCCATGACTGGTGTTCTCCTACCATTTCCCTTGAATAGTTTGCTATTATGTAATATAACAAAAACCTTAGCCACAGCAACGCTTGGCTGGTCTGCTAGTAAATAAAATTAAAATAAAATATGTTTATTATGGATCATAAGATACATGTATCACTTATTCCACGTCATTAAATTAGTAGACCTATATATTTTTAAACTATTGGCCTACGAGCTTCATGTGTACCAACGTACTTTTTATGTGCACTTTTAATACTCGCGTGTACAAGGAAAACATCGTGAGGAAAGTGTGATAGACTAAAAGTGGATGGCGTATGTCGGACACAGAGGCCGATCTCTTATTTGCCTCCATAAAAAAGTAGCACAGAAGAACAAGAGTAGTAGAGCTATAGTATCTGAGGCACACACTTATAAAAGCTTGTAGCACCATTTGTTTTTATTATATGCATTTATAATTTTAGCGTATATATAAACTTAAACAAACAGTAACAATAAAATTTCTAATGTTCTGTTAAAATTTTACTTGTTTCAAAAACAGTTTAATACGTATATATAGATAGATAGATATATGTACCACGAATGAAGAATTCAGAGCACAGGACCTATCTCTGAACAACAAAATGATTTTCTATATTAAATAATTGTAATGTGTAAATTTAGCTTTTGAGTTTAGCGTTTATTTAGAGTTTGTGTCAATATCATAAGTTACATTCTCTATCACTATGTTGAGTGAATTAATGTACATTGTGTTATTAGTAAAGTTATAAATATTCCTAGGTGGATGAGAACATGCAACGCGCGCAACGACGTGGCGCGTGTACGCAACAGAAGTTTTGGTTCCGTCGGGACGTGCGCTCGCCCGACGTGGACGCGTACGCTGAGATGACAATCGATGAGATTGTTAATGGAAAGGTAATTTTATATTTCAAAACTGTATAACGATTTTTTTTAATTGACATCCTTGCACAAAATAATTCAGACTAATTCAAGCCTAGCCAAGAATATTTAAGATAAGAAAGACACTTCCAAATATTTCGTGTCTAATTAAATAAATAATTATAATTTTAGTCCCAATTTTAAATCCAAACTTTGTGTAATATGAAACCGGTGAGCAGAGCCGGATTATATTTTAGCGATATGAGCGGCCATTTTAAAGTAGGTTCTACTGTCAGTTTCATTAAAATGAAAGTATGATAAAATCGTTCAACAACTTGTGCCGACAATTATATATCTACTAGCGTCTTCACACGCCGTCTTCGCACTATACCACGACTTATATTTCGATTCCACATTTGACATTAGCTACTGTAATTTTGTAAAATAGTGATACCACATATAATAGCGTAGTGATGAACACAAAAATTGATAAACAATCGCGATTTATGTTTATGTAATCATAATATTGGTGTGCCAATTAAATACTAAATTATTGATTTTTATTTAAATAAATACATAGTTATTTATTAATTAGTTATTACATATATACATAGTTTATTAATTCAGTTCACATTTTTTTATTAATTTCACACACAATTATTAAAGAAAACTCTGAGATCCTTGGTAAAAATAAATGTCATAACTAAATTATCCGTTCAGAAATATTTAATTTCCTGATATACTTAGTTTCTATTAAAGTAGTAGTTGTTTAGAATTTAGATATACTACTATAAACCAGAGGAATCGATACGGAAATATTCCATTTCCGCAACGTCACTATTTAGTACTTGTCATAACGTTGCAACACTGAAATTGTCAAATCTGGAATCGAATTAAAAGTTTTAGTATAGTAGTGGAACTTATGATAATGCAGCAAAAGATAGTTTATTGTTTGGTATAATCAGCAAAACTGGCTCTGTCCTCAAGGGCGAAGCTGTAGGCGGATGCTTGTATAATTATAACTTAATTCTCTAGGATGGCGTATTCCCTGGTCTGATTCCGTTAATCGAGTCTTACCTCTCCGGTATGGATGTGGACGCAGACACACACTGTTCAGTACAGCAATACCTGAAGCTCATACAACGGAGGGCGTCTGGTGAAATTTCAACTATGGCCACCTGGATCAGACAGTTTGTCACTTCACACCCGGAATACAAGTGAGTAGAGTCTTTGCAGGCTTCTGTAATGAGGTAAAAAGTCCAGCAAAGCACATCTGGCTGGAAAGCCGGTGATCATTTGGTTGTCAAGGATTTTGTGGAGGAAATTGACGTGGATACCTTTTCCTCTGCTATCAGGCATTTTCCCATTGTAGACTAACCATTAATGTCTAGGTTTTGAATGCAGGAAAATTACCTTAAGCAAGACTTAATCTAAATTTTATATAATAACTAAAGTATTATAATTTTAAAGAAGAGACTCCTATTCGAACCCATACGATCACGAGTTAAGGCGGAAACACATTATTAAAACGCCACGTGACGCAACGTGTCGACACCCGATGTGCATCGTGCATATTACCAACACGCGACACAACGACACGCTTGCAAATTCAGTATTCATTTAGCTAACAATAGTTAAGGTGTATAGTCGTGTGCTAATTGTACTATGGATTTAATAAATAACCAGTCTTAAGAAGAATTGATGCAAATTTTGGGTACATATGACCAAAATTGTCATAAAATGCTTTCAAACTGTACTTTTCATTCTGCGACTGTTCAGCTTCTACTTCTGTATTTTCTTCTTCTGATGTCATGTGTGTGTATGTGACATTCGTACGAAAAATTCGAACGACTGACGCGTGGCGTCTGGTGTTGTCAAGAAGCACACTGCGCGCGATGCGTCGGTCGAGTCGGGTAGCGTGTTGCGACAACACATCGATCTTGAATGTCATGATCGGGTGGCGTGTGCGCTCATGGGGTCGCGTCGGATGTTCGTAGTGTGATTCTAGTCATAGAAAATAGTACAATTTGATTCGACTCAACACGCGTCGCGTGGCGTTTTAATAATGTGTTTCCGCCTTCAATATTATCAGGCCAGGAGTAAGTCAAATATTTTCTTTTTTAGAAAAGACTCGGTGGTGACGGAGAAAATAAATTATGACCTTTTAAAAACTGCCCACGGAATCCAAACTGGAACAATCCCGGCGCCATCATTACTTGGAGGAAGCAATGTTTCCAAAACCAATGACGACATTCCTACAGCATTCAAAGACTGTCCTTAGTCACTCATAAAGTAATTGAGTGGATGTTCTCACGCGCAGTGTTTTCAGATTAGACAAAAATTTTAGATAAATTTAGTAGATTTTGTAATAACAAGGAATATTTTATTTTTATCAATTCTGAGGGTCATCATTATCAATCAATTTCATACAAAAAGTTGTTTGACGTTTATTTTCCAATACTTATAAAATTTCTATAAAAACTGTACGTATTGGTTTATTATTTAATGAACTTTAAAAAAAAAAGTGGGTATTTTAGAAAAAATATTTGAAGTTGAATATTTACTGTATTTTTATTATTAAAACACTGCAATTTTTCTGGCAATTCTAACCGATCTGGAAGCACTGCTACCAGTGCCTTCTATTGATTTTTTTTCTAAAAACTTTTGTCTATACTTTTTATACCCATGTCAATTGTCCAAGTCATTGGTGAATATTAAATTATTTTAATATGTCTGACTATCCGAATTCTTATTTTCATAGAAACTAAATTAAATTGTTCTATTCGATTTTTTTTCGATTTAGATTTGGTGTCTAAATTAAATTTATTATAAAATTTATTCGCAAAAACTACCAGATTAACCGATTTCGAAAAAAGATTTACTTAACTTTTGCAAATCATATAAATTATTCGTATATTGAAGACGGTAGTTTTCCAGTGCGCTTATTACATTATTTTATTTCCAGTTTGTTTTAAAACTTAGGTTTAAAGACTTTATTTCTTAAAAAAGACAAAAAATTTCACTTACATGAGAATAATACTCTTTGCTATAGAAAGCACTTACTTCCGTCGACTAATAAGTTATCTACAATTATGACGTAAGCTACAGTGAGTTTGACAAATTAAACGCGATTAATAAGAGGTCTGTGCGAAAACAGAAATACTTTGCAATATGTATGCATAATATAAAATTGGCATTGTGCAACAAATTCAACGGAATCACGCCGGGTAAAGCTCTCAGGCCCTTTCTCCACTGCTCCGGTCCGACGTCGGATACCGGAATGAGACATGAGAAAAATATCGGAAGGCCGGATTGCGCTTCTCCACTACATCCGATCCGACAATAATCGATACTTGTATATTTATCATGCAACACTTATATTAACTTAAACCCATATACTTTATTTTATTAATAAAACGTTCTAAATTCTGAATATTTTATTGCCCTGGCAAGTTTATTACTTTTTTATATTGTCTATCTTAAAATAATATAATCTACTTAATAAATAGTTCACTAATACTATGATATAAAAATATAAATAAATAGCAACATAATTTAATTTGGTCCAGGTTATCCAAATTCTTTGAAATTAAACAAACTATAAAAATAAACCTGTGAATAATAATTTATAACCTCTTGGATACTTGGACCGATAAAACACCGCGTTCCGATCTAGCAAGTTATCGGATCGTTAAAAACCGGATGCCGGAGTAGTGGAGAAGCACGTAAGTACTGTTGTGAGTTTCTAAATCGGATCGGTAATTAACGTTTGCCGGACCGGAATGAGTCATGAGAAAAATATCGCAAGGCCGGATTGCGCTTCTCCACTATATCCGATCCGAAAATAATCGATACTTGTATATTTATCATGCAACACTTATATTAACTAAAACCCATATACTTTATTTTATTAATAAAACGTTCTAAATTCTGAATATTTTATTGCCCTGGCAAGTTTATTACTTTTTTTATATTGTCTATCTTAAAATATTATAATCTACTTAATAAATAGTTAAACTATGGTATAAAAATATTAATAAATAGCAACATAATTTGGTTTGGTCCAGGTTATCCAGATTCTTTCAAATTAAACAAACTATAAATAAACCTGTGAATAATAATTTAGAACCTCTTGGATACTTGGATATACTTAGACCGATAAAACACCGCGTTCCGATCTAGCAAGTTATCGGATCGTTAAAAACCGGATGCCGGAGTAGTGGAGAAGTACGTAAGTACTGTTGTGAGTTTCTAAATCGGATCGGTAATTAACGTTTGCCGGACCGGGGCAGTGGAGAAACGGCCTAAAGCTCTTAATACGTAAAATCGAAAATGTAACGAAAAACACGCTTGTATGGAAAAGTTAGTAGTACGAAATTAATACGTAGTAGAAAGTATCTTATACGAAAACTTTCGTACTTAGTTTTATTGCAAACTCATTGTATGGTACTTATTGTTATTTAATATAATTTTTAATGAATTTTAATCTTACATTTTTATCCATTAGGTATTCTTGAGATATTTTTAAAGCATTTAAAAAAATTGGTTGCGTGGTTGTGAGCAATTTAATTATGAATTTTATGATGGACGTAATATTATTTTTATGAATATAATCTTAAAATTAGTTGTCATAGTTTAGATTTATTTAAATGTTTGGATATGATAAATTCATTCGTTTCATACCATGATCGTGTTAATAATATTTTCCAGCGTGGATATTTGGTTTTTGTATTTCCGTTGCAATTTTATTATTGGATTATTAATTCAAGAAGAAATACAACTATAGCACGGATTTCTGCCTGTGTCGGTTTATTGTCCCTATATCGTAAAGGGAGCGTTCAAGTATTACGTCACACAATTTTTGGAGATTCTTGACACCCCCTCCCTCCCCCCCCCACAACGCGCCGTAATGTTTTTCTGTACCCAATAGCAAAACGTTTCGTGACTACCTACACCACCTGTTTGTACCTAAAAGTTACCATTATGTGGTGTAAAGTACTGTAAAGACGAAAATAATATTAAGAATAACGCGTAATTCTATCCCCGCCCCGCACCGTAACGTTTTACAAAAGGACCCCCTCCCCCCCAAAATTCGTTACGTAATACTTGAACGGTCCCAAAGCTATATTTAGATTATGTGAGAAATTTATTTACTAAACAGCGATCATTAGAGCCGTGCATTAATTATATAAAGATTATTTATTTACTTTGAATATGATTAAAAAAATATCAAACATTTTTTAATTGGTTCCATTTATTTTAATATTAAATTGTGTGTTAACATATGACATTTAAATGGCTTAATACTTAATGAACGACTCTGAGTACGTGTAAGACTGTGATAAATGTTATCTTTATGGGAACCTTTTGTCACATACTGATGCAACTCTTACGAAAAACCTTAACGCAACATCTTATTTAAACTTGATAAGGCTTTCTTTGAAGTTAATGTTCAAAACGTTCCATTTTATTCTATAAATATACTACAGAATATCGCAATTTAAGTTGATCATAGTGAAGATGTTATAATATTCATTGAAAGAAAAGTCTATGAAGTTTGTCAGCAAGGAGTTTCCATCATTATTTATTGCTAGATAAAAATAGTGAGAGGGCTACCGATAAAAATAAATTCAAGGCAGAACCCTTGCCAATACGAAGCCCAAAATTTCTATAATCCATGGCAATATGGCCGTCCGCGTTTCATTTTACACGATACATTGACCTTAATTAAAAATGTTGAGATTAGATAGTGTTTTATGAAACCACATTAATAGATTAGAACAACTTTTATTGTTACAGTTATATTAACTTTTTTCCTTATTAATACACACATTTTGTGATTACAAAGAGTTGCTTCATAGCTAATAAAATTGTTTTAATTTGAACTCACCTTTTATATAGCTATTTTGTTACGTCTCTGACTAGTGCCAATGTGGGGTTTCCTGCCCAAATTTAGGGGTTCTCAAGATGACCAGGGGGTTTTAAGTGGGTTCGGCACGATTCTATACCATTTATAAGTCTAGAACCCAATTAGATATAAACTCCAAGCGTGACTAAATAAACGCAATATCAAAAATCTATAATACTCCAAGAACGAAATAACAGCTATTGTATGAATGTATTTTTAATTGAAATCTAACAAATCTTGGGATTATAGTATCGCTGTCATAATTGTTGACCATATCCATTATATAGATTTAGAATTCCAACGCAGTCTTACTGAATATGTCTATTATATTATATATATTATTTTACCAGGAGTGGATTGCGTTAAGGTTTCGTTAGAGCTCTTGTACACATGCAGCATTTAGATCCATTCACAATTCACACTGAGTTAAAATTATTACTCGTAATCATACGAGCCGAAATGCTGTTTTCGTGTCACTTAAAACATTGTATACTTTTTATAGTACCCCCTTAAGAACTAATTGCACCGTATTAAAGTACTTGTCTCTGGGGAGCGTTCAAGTATTACGTCATGCAATTTTTGGAGATTATTAGCGCCCCCCATAAAACGTAACGCACCGTAACGTTTTTCTGTACCCAAGTATAATAAAACGTTTCGTGACCACCTAGTAACTCTTTATACCTAAAAATAATATTAACAATAACGCGTAATTCTATCCCCGCTCCGCATTTTACAAAAGGGAAACCCATTTGTTACGTAATACTTGAACGTTCCCCTATTGATCACAAAGTAAATACAATATGAGAGAATGAGTGCATTGGCTGGCGTGCAATTAGACGAATTTATAAAGGGTTTACTACTAAATATTGTTACTGCTGTTACCATTAAACAATGTAAACGTTTATTAGAAATAAAACTATATTATTAAAAAAATCTTTTATTTAAAACTTATCAACTAATTGTAATATGTGCTGTTGTTCTTGCTGTCTCCATTCTTCGCTACCGGCGTCGCCGAGGTTGCCGGCGTATTCTAAAAAAATATAATTTATTAAATCCTATAACATTATACTGTTATTTTGTAAATTTTTCAAGGAATAAATGAGGCTTAATTATTATTATTAATGATTACATTATACTGTAACTGAAGTATTCATCTTTATATCTCAAATACAAAAGAGTTCAGAGAACAGCTAGTATAGTATAGTATTTATGAAACTAATAAAATGTAAAATCGGGAAATTCAGATGCGTCATGGCAATGGACTGCATGTGCCTACACGGTATAAATAATAAAAAAACGTGTATGTACTTATGTACACGCGTTAGAAGTTATACTTCTTTGGCGTAACAGGATAAAAATCTTTTAAAAATTTTATTCTACGTAGAAATAAATAATAGTTTAAAAAAACTAGAACACACGCTTTTAAAGCACATCAAAATAAAAAGTGAAAAATAATTCCTAATTTAGGCTGAAAATGGTAATGAACAAAAAATACTGGTATTATTGTGAAAAAGCGTGGCGCGCTCTGTGCCATATTTTTCGTATATCGATGTGCTTTAAAAGCGTGTGTTCTAGTTTTTTTTAAACTATTATATTTTTTTTCAGATAATTTTGAGAGGGGGGGGGGGGGCGGGGGCCCTGGCCGGGGGCGCAAAGTTTGTATTGCATTGTCATCGATCTTTGAATTAGGGGAAAGTGTATTAAAGTTGGTCAAAATCGAGTCCGAAGGAGTCCCGAAAAAAAAAAAAAAAAAAAAAAAAAAAAAAAAAAAAAAAAAAAAAATAAATAAATATATACATACCTACATACATACATACAGGTGAAGCTAATATAAAGCGTGTAAAAACTACACTAACAATAGAAAAAATGTATTTGATACATTGAAGGTTTCATAAATCATTTAATCTAGTTAAATAAAGTTTATTTAAATATCACAAAAAAACTAAAATGATGACTATAGCTAACTTCAGGGTGTCGCTGTTTTGTGACGCATAAATCGCAAAAATTCCCTAACGCGCCAAAAGAAGTATAACTTCAAAAATAGTGTATGTGGTTCTGTGTTATGTGCGAAGGTAATTTTACTGTTACTAATCCTAACCTACTAATTATTTAGAATAATGTAACTAACCATACCAACTTGTATTTTGTCAAATAAATTATTTGACGTAAAAATTAGCAGAATTTCTTTGGCTTCAAAAAAATTGATAACACGCAGAGTCAACCTAGTGATAAGTGTATACATGGTCATAAAAGTTATCTTACCCCTCATTACATGTCTTATTATCTTCAAAGAGCCACCGCGTAGTGATAACACGCGCTGCACACGCTGTTTTATTGACGCCGGACCAGCTGTACACACCTGGAAAGGTAAATAATTTGTTAATTCAAATCAGATACAAAAAGGATTGAATAGCCATTAAACAAAAGTAATTTAAACCCTTTGTCTTGGCCTCAGATGTCTATCTGTTTTGTGATGTTTTCTTAATATACAAGTAAGACGAAGTGACAAAATATGTCTACTGCTCTAAAACTTGTTTCGTTTCTTTTAAATTAAAGAATTTAAGGGTAATTTTCAGAAACGAAACTCGGAGCTAAACCTGACATAACAGGGAATGCTCCGATTATCACGAAATCTGATCGAGTCAATTGTCCGTTGTATTTCATTCTTACTTTTGCTAATCATTGAGATTTTGTTTGTATTACTTTTAAGATTCATAAATCTCAGATATGATATGTACGATACAAATAATATAAGAATTGACTTTGACTAATAATGTAAAATTTAAAATTCCTTAAGAAAAATTTGCGCGCCATTGTGTTAGGCAGAATATGCGAAATTACAATTGTATCACCTTACACATTTTTGCACCATATTCTTACAATATAGTATATTTAATTACAAGTGCGGAAAGCCTGTCATTGCAAAAAGTTTCGACAATTAATGTCTACCCGAGCCGAGGCGCAGCCGAAGGTGAGGGTTGACAGTCGGAACAAGTTGCAATGACGGTTCCGCACGTGTACTGAACAACTATTTTTAATACAGTTGCGAAAAAATTATGCAATTTAATAAAATAATAAAAACACAATAAACTCAACTAACTAATCATTTATTTCTTATACAAATTATTGTTCACATATACATTGGTACAGTTTTTTATACTAACTGGAGAAGTTTTAGGTTGCATATTTATTTACTGTTTGAGACAAACTATTATTTATTTCGTATGATTTTTCATGTATATTTAATATATAATATAACAAACAACTAAACGCGCAAAGAACATTTATGGAAAATGGCGCCAACCGTAAAAGAATATAAGCAGATTTTTTTTTCTTCACCCATTCTGGGTAGGCAAAGGGAACTATGCCCATACAGCCAAGTCTTCAGTACAATTTTTTATTGATATGAAATGAAATTTAATGAGATGAAATGAAACCTAACCTAACTCATTGAATCAAATCATTAAATCTGATATTGAAACAAAGCAGTAGATTCTTTTTAGAAATATTTGCATGAATCATAAAAATTGATATGATTTTTTTTAGTAAAAACTTCGTGGTTGGTTTTTTCTTTTTAATAGACATTATTTTGACAGTTGGGAAAGAAAACGCACTAGTTCGGAAAAGGTAAAAAAAAGCACGAGTGTGTAATAGCCCACATCCCGAACGCTATACGTCCCTGCAATACGCCACTTTTTAAGCAACTGTATTAAAAAATAAATTATTATTATCAATTATTTAATTTGTTTTGTTATTATTGAATTGTTTTCTAGTTTAAAATTATAACTTAACGAATAAAAGAACGACTATTGTTCGTACCAATCAGGGCACGCTCGAGTGGGATCGAGGCGCCATCTTGTCTTTTGGACAGGACAGAGATCTTTTTTGAGGATTCCGTAAAGCATGGTGGTGAATACACGTTAGACCGACTTGGGTCTAAGAGATTTTTCCTCTTAAGTAAGATCGGTGCTTTGAACCCGCTTCTCATTGAGATTTTGACTTAAGTGCCGTTTGAAGTGTTAAAAAGAAACAACTTAATATTAAATATTGTACCATCTATAAACGTGTCATTTGTGTTCGCACTCTCCCGCCTCGCATATCGACATTTGTTCAAGACGTTTGCCGGTATCTGTACCACCTCCTGACACACCATTCTTGTCTAAATTATTTTGCTCATACATTTATTTCCAACTTACCTCCAATATTATCCTATCGATAAGCTGCAGTGTGAATAATCCACCAGACAATCTTTTCAAATACTGTGCATCGTCATCCAGATCTTCTGCTTCTTGCTAGAACCAAAACTGAGGCTGTAAAATTTCTTGGCTAATCCAGTAGCTACGAGCCTCTTCACACAACGTCATAGGCATTTTATCCATATAGAGGTAGATGAAAGAATTGTTATGCCTATCTCAAAAATTATTTTATAAATACCAGTGACGCTACAACCTTTTAGATCTCGGCCTCAGATTTTTGTATCCGTTTCATGATAATTTATTTTTTTTAATTTGCAAATAAGTGTTTAAACTCTTTTAAACGTTTGATTTTTTAATTTTTCCTCACCTCAATATCCTTTTCAACCCGATCAACTTTGTCCATATATTTGAAGTGTAGCTCCAAAAGTCTATCAACTTTCTCCAAATCGTTTTCAGTGAACTTCGCTAGCAATCTCTGCCGCTGACCGCCTTGACAATTTTGTAACATTGACGATATTATTGATACAACGTGTTCTGTAAATTAATAATTTTATAGTCAAACTCTTCATAAAAAAAAATCAGTCAATGCTTTTGACAAAGTTAGCCATACTGTACTATGGAAAAAGATGGATGGCTGATATGATAATGGTGGGAAAATAGCTATTTTATGGCTTGCGCCATATCCGATAGAGTCAGTTAGTTGTATGTTGTGGTACAGAACCACCATTAGTGCCTTGTGGAACACTTCTACCCCAAGTGTTCCACAAGGTACCCATCTTGGTCCTGTTTTATATACGCTGGTTAACCCTCTTTTAAGTATTATTTATTTTGTATCTAGTGCCTAGGCTATGATGAAATGATATATTGGTTAGTTAAAATGTTGAGTATGTTTTTATTATTTATACACGTTTGAACACTTATGAACGTCAACTTTTTTCTAAAATAATTTGTACTTTACATTGCGTGGCCTTTTAAGACAAAATAAATGGCTTCAAAAAAACTTCTGAATTTGCAACTAATTAACATAATACATTATAGTTACGTATAATACCAAAATTTAATATTTATAACAGAAACTCATTACTTCTGGTCGATTAAAGTTACTACACATTACCAATATTTAATCTTAACAGTTTGGTTTAGAAACAATAAAAATTCAAGTGGTTTTGTTATTATAATTGATAGAATTATGAAACAAAGTACTGGCAATAAATTATCTGCCACTTGTTTTAATCGACAAGTATTTTTTTCACAAGATACATGGAGCCGAAACTATTACACTTTGACGAAAAAGGCTGAATTATTGAGAAATGAATCATCATAATAATATAATAAACATTTAATAGTTCATAAATTTTACTTACTTTGAACTATGCCCAAACGGAAAACCTGCTAGATATATTAAAATAATTTTCACATAGTTCTCAGCGTGTGCTGACACATACCCTCTCCCACTATCAACATACACACACACACCTACACATACACAACAGTCAACACTCACACATACACACACACATACACACCCTCACATACACCCATACAACTGTATTTGTGCTATTTTGTACTAACTTCTAATTAGTTGACTGTTTTGTTTTTCTCTCTTTAATTAAAACGTTAATTTGTTTGCCTACCCATATATGTATGTGCTTTTTGTAACAACTCAATATGACTTTGATGTGGAAGGGAAGCCTGGTATCCATTAAGGTTCTTGCCTGTTTGGAAACCAGTCTCCCAATGCCTTTTCAACTATTGTTTTTGTTTGTTGAATGTTATATGGGAGAAAATAAATTATTCTTATTCTTATTATTCTTATACCTTAAAAAAAAGGTGTTCCATTTTTAAATGTCAGCACTGTGTTCATTTAACGCCAAGCTAAAGCCTTTCGACATGACGTGTTTATACCTTTTTTTTAAATTTAAAATTCAATTCTAAATTCAAACTTTACCATTTTCAAAGTTGGATCTCAGTGTAGGCTGAATGATACTAATAAAATAAACATTACCTTAAAAATAGGTGTTCTATTTATAAATATCAGCACTGTTTATTTTAATAACGCCTAGCGCTAAGCTAAAGCCTTTCGACATGACGTGTTTATACGTTTTTTTTTTAAATTTAAAATTCAATTCTAAATTCAAACTTTACCATTTTCAAAGTTGATCTCAGTTAGGCTGAATGATATAAAAAATAAACATTACCTTAAAAATAGGTGTTCTATTTATAAATATAGCACTGTTTATTTTAATAACGCCTAGCGCTAAGCTAAAGCCTTTCGACATGACGTGTTTATACGTTTTTTTTTAAATTTAAAATTCAATTCTAAATTCAAACTTTACCATTTTCAAAGTTGGATCTCAGTGTAGGCTGAATGATACTAATAAAATAAACATTACCTTAAAAATAGGTGTTCTATTTATAAATATCAGCACTGTTTATTTTAATAACGCCTAGCGCTAAGCTAAAGCCTTTCGACATGACGTGTTTATACGTTTTTTTTTAAATTTAAAATTCAATTCTAAATTCAAACTTTACCATTTTCAAAGTTGATTCAGTTAGGCTAATGATACTAATAAAATAAACATTACCTTAAAAATAGGTGTTCTATTTATAAATATCAGCACTGTTTATTTTAATAACGCCTAGCGCTAAGCTAAAGCCTTTCGACATGACGTGTTTATACGTTTTTTTTTTAAATTTAAAATTCAATTCTAAATTCAAACTTTACCATTTTCAAAGTTGGATCTCAGTGTAGGCTGAATGATACTAATAAAATAAACATTACCTTAAAATAGGTGTTCTATTTATAAATATCAGCACTGTTTATTTTAATAACGCCTAGCCTAAGCTAAAGCCTTTGACATGACGTGTTTATACGTTTTTTTTTAAATTTAAAATTCAATTCTAAATTCAAACTTTACCATTTTCAAAGTTGATTATGTAGGCTGAATGATATAATAAAATAAAATTACCTTAAAAATAGGTTTCTATTTATAAATATCAGCACTGTTTATTTTAATAACGCCTAGCGCTAAGCTAAAGCCTTTCGACATGACGTGTTTATACTTTTTTTTAAATTTAAAATTCAATTCTAAATTCAAACTTTACCATTTTCAAAGTTGTAGTGTAGCTAATATACTAATAAAATAAACATTACTTAAAAATAGGTGTTCTATTTATAAATATCAGCACTGTTTATTTTAATAACGCCTAGGCTAAGCTAAAGCCTTTCGACATGTGTTTATACCTTTTTTTTTAATTTAAAATTAAATTCTAAATTCAAACATTACAATTTCTAAGTTGGATCTCACTATACATTTAACATATTCGATATTTAAAAATCAATTTACCTTCATGTTGATCAACCGTTAGCAGTCTCTTCCTCTTAGGAGTTTTCATGAATAATGGGAATACTGTGCGTAAACCCAAAATGTCAACAAATTTATTACAGTTGTCCTTTCCATCTGGGCCAGCTAAAGCATGATCTAAGACTTTTAATGATCCATTCCTTGACATTTTCTTTTCTCTAGAAAAAATATAATTTACAATTTATTTCTTTTATTTAGCAAATTGTTATGAGAAATCTATTGCACAAGCCAAGGCTGTACATTTTGCTCACTCAGGCTTTCTTTTATAAGCGTGGCGATTTCCTAAACAGTCGGAGTTACGCACCGAGAGTAAAGCCAGAGGTAGGCAGTCTGTTCGACTGTTACATAGCAATTAACATTTAATTATTTCGCTTATATTCTATTGTTGTATGCGAGTGGTTAATATAGAGTAAAAATAAAATCCAAGAGTAAAAATTTTAAGACCAAGGAACCGTACATATACACTAAGCTAGAATTTGTTCGTTACACTACATACTACTCTCAGAAACTATTATTTAAACTAACAATCATTCCAAAATAAAAGGCGAGTATAGTAGTATAAATATATAACAATATATACTATTGTACTAGACTAAGAAATGGAATAAGATATGCAAAAATCATAGGCCATCAAAAAGTAGCTATTGGATCTTTATTAAAAATATCAAAATGTTACCGTAACATCAAGTTCATAAGCTGGAGTCCCTCGCCTCGTAGGAAACGATCCCTATTGGCCGGCTCCATAAGCGCACAGCACAAGGAATCAAACATATTCTCCATAGCCTCTTGTTCCTCTGGACCGCTTGGGTCATGTCTCTTGTAAAACTGTAAGATTTAATGATAGCAATTAAAACATACCTATATTATATCATACAAAATGGTTGTGGATTAGACTGGTCAAACTGTTATTATATTAAAGGGTAAGGGTACTGAGAAAGAACATAGATATATATAATATATGTATCTATGAAGCTAATGCTTACTTATGATAATATGATAATAGCTTACTTAAACACTTTCATAGTAAGATAAGTAATTAGGTTTAAAGACATTTATTCTCATAACAGACAATAGTCACTTACATGAGAACTTATATACTAAAGATACAATTTATCACGTCGTGGGTCATGGAAGAGCTTCAAGGAATTAGCGAAGTAGAACTTGGGTGAACTTTCATTTACGTAGAGAACTGGGATCACTCAAGAGATGGTCTTTTAGTCTTAATTTAAATATTGCCAGACTGTCTGCACTAATATAATAATATAATAATATAATAATATAATAATATAATAATATAATAATATAATAATATAATAATATAATAATATAATAATATAATAATAATGCCACTTTAATTCCATACTATAAAAACATTACATATCAAATGGGTGTTAGTTTTCAAAGTAAAAAAAATTATTTCAATTAGGCCTATTAAAAAGTCACTTTTGAAAGTCAAAATTACAATTTTTTTAAATATATTTAAATGACTTGTTTCCCCTTGCAAAAGGTAGTTTCATATGGAGAAGAATGGGCAAGACACTCCATACTTACTCTTTTTGTTATTATAGTTATTCTTAGTGTACAGTACATTATTATTGTTATTTCTGTTTCTTTGTGTGCTGCGGTATGGTAAGGCCTCATAGTAAGATAATATTATAAATCTTGTTATATCATATATTCATTTTTAACTTAAGAAAAAAATACTTACCGCTAACTGTTGTAATAGTACATCAATGCCATCAAGTTCTCCTAACAATTTTCTGTTCTCGGGTGTATTTTGCAGAAGAATTGACAAAATCTCTGTCGCATATAATTTATTGGCATCAAATGGTATTTTCATCTGAGAATATTATTATAAATTATTTAATACAATATATATATATATACATCACAAATGTTAAAAAAGAAAGTAAAAATATTTTAGTGAACACATATATTTTTTTAAATATGTAATCATTTTTATACCTTCAATCTCTTAAGAATCCACTGAATGAAACCTTGTTTTGCAACTTCAACACATAATTCAGGACGAAACTCAGTTATATTTTCAACGATTCCTGCAATTAACACAATACATGATATGTATTTACAGTATATTTTTTAGTGTTTAGGGAACCATTGCATTAAAAGTATCACATATTAAAAAAAACACATAAATAAAATGCTATAAATTATGTCAATGTTTGAAAGAGAAGCTGTTTCCTCAAAATTAATATAATAAATAATGATGTACATTTAATGCTTGTATACACACCTAAAGTATTATGTACAGCATCTCTCTCATCCGGCACTTGTTCATCAAGACGAGACAAATTATGTAAGAGTAGAGATGGAGACTCTGCATCAGCTAAAGCATTGATTAACTCCTCTGCACCTTCCTCACTCTCATGCAAAATATCAACATCAGTTAATTCCTAAAATAGTAATTTTATAAAAACATCTAATAGCTATTGAAAACAAATAGTGTCAAACATTAAATGTAATTAATTCTAAATAAATGCACAAAATGGAAGATATACCTGTAACAAATTCACAACTTTTGTTGAAACATCGGTGTTATCATGGGATAGGAGTTCTAAGAGAGAATTTATGCATTTCAAGTCTACGAGTAGTGGATACTGGTCAGGTACTGTTGCAACTGCACTTAATTCTTGCAGTGCATCATATAAATCCAATTCACTGTCCATAAACTTCTCAGGCTGATCAGGAAATTTAATTCTCATTTCTCTGTTCCTTAATGCTTTCTTTTCGAAATTTAGAACAAGTTTTTTCACTGCTGTTTCATCCAAGACTTCTCCCTGAAAAAACAAAATGATTATTGAAAAAAAAATTAATTTCTTATGTCATTTGGTCTTTCTTTTGTAGCTTACCTCTGTAACAACATTTTCTACAAATTTTAAAATATCTTCGCGTTCTTTGTCAGTTATAGTAGGTTCTTTGGGCAGAGACTTTGCAGATCTTTCGAAATCCGCACCGACTGCTCGTCGACGTACTTTTTTCGAACGTACACTTTCCTCATCTGAATCTTCGAGTTCATCTTCATTAGGACGCTTAGGTGTTGGGGTAGGCTATGGGATAAATTAATGTAGTAACGAATTGATAAGACATCAACACACAAATAAATAAACTAACCTTAAATGACAATAGTTCGCCGACATCCATTGTAATCGTTGTTTATATTAAGTTGTATAAAAATTATAATTCCCAATGTAATACAAATATTTTACAATATATCCAATAGGTAGTTAGGCACAGGGGAATGTTTTCAGGTTTACTGAAAATACATACTAGAAAAACTTTACAATGATTAGAATAGCAATTAGCAATTGTTTGGTAATTGGTATGGAATGGTGTGTCAATGTCACAACTGACAACAGTAGTCAGCACATATTTAATAATAGCTAATGTTACAACAACATAGTTACACCTTCTTGATTTATCACATTCGAAATAAAAAGATTAAGTTTTTCAAGCCAATTAATTTTTACCTAATAAGGTTATAAATAAATGCTAGCAATAATTAACCTACGTGTAATAATATGTAACTTAACTTGGCAATTAATAAACCATGTAGGAATAAACAACCGAGATGCAATGTATTTTGGAAGGATTATTGATACACACAGACTACATGATATTTGGTGAATATTTTATTTATTGTATTCTGTGAGCGTGGTAATGAGTTTCAAATATTTCCCGCGCAAAAACAATAAAGCTTAAAACAATGAAGTATAATATAAGAGAAGACTTGTGAATGTTTATATAATGGAACGATCACTTAGTAAAAATTTGACTTATTACAGTAAAACTAAAAAGGTTCATTTTACTTTTAGTGCTTTTAATTCTTGCAGTGATACAAATAATTTCTACCTTAAATTTTGTTGTAGAAAACACAAAATCAAGATGTTACTGAAAAAGAAATATGTAAACTTTTGCTTTTATTGAGAGACTGCGATACAAATTTGCAAAAACAAATTATCTTGGCGTTGGGATCTGTTTTATTGAGGAATGTAAGAATTTTCTAGTACTCATTAAGTAGCTAGAATATACAAAAACAAAATCAAATGTAGTCGACTAAGTATTATAAGTATATTACTACGAGTAGTACTTTGAATTAATCGCATTTCCAGCATGAGATTTCTTGCCTCAGTTTTTTACTAAAATATGCTGAGAAGAAGTATTGCTAGTCGCGACTACCCTAAGCTCGAGTTTGAGGTGTGGGTATGCACCGATAGACTTTGCTTTCTCTGCGCAATTGGTGGATGGAAAATCGTGAGAATACCGACGTGCCGTGCCGAGGTCTCAGACACAAGCCGGAACCTACTCATGTAGAAATAAATCAAGTCATTGATGCATTTTTTCCTTCCTTTCCTTTCACCGCAGTATATTTGATTTTTATAGAACAGGGGGCAAGCGGACAGGAGGCTCATCTGATCTTAAGTGGTACCATGGACAGTTTTAATGTCAGAGGGCTCTCGAGTGCGTCGCCTTTTAATAATTGGATTCAAGGACCCTAAGTCAAATAGATTCGGAAATACTTTAGCGGGTAGCTGGTTCCACAGAGTTCCATATAATTGTGCATAGCAATAAAAATCCACTATCATCGGGTTCAGAGGCATCTTATAATCGAAAGTCAAAAAAATAAAAACACCAGCGCTACAACCTTTAAAGGTCTGGTCCTCAGATTTCTGTATGTTTCGTGATCATTTATTTTTTCTTATAGGCGTATATTCTGTGAATGACACACGCCGTCGACCGTATAGGGTCTAAGGCAAGTCGGTTTCCTCACGATATTTTCCTTCACCGCGAGTGTTAAATGCGCACATAGAAGATCAATCGCACGGAATTTGAACCTATTCCCTAAAATCAGAGTCGCACGGTGAAGCCACTAGGCCAACACTGCTCTTTGGTTATAGTTTGATTATTTTTTTAGAATAAACAAAGCGAAATAATTATAAAACATGATCCATTATATGAAACATTATTCAAATGTTTAAACAAAAGACAACAAATCGGACTGACGCTTCAGTTTATATCGGCATTGCTATACATAGATATGAAGGAAGGACCGTCAAGGCGAAAATCTTTATACAAATATGCACAGAACATGATAAGGATTAGTGGTTGTCTTTCTGCTCTGCGCATTCAATTTGTGTCTATGATGGTACTGTAATTTAATTATTAGATTTAGTTTGATAATTTACGGTAGATATTTATTTCTCATTAAGAACACATAATATACTTATACATATTTTCCGCTTATTAATTGTAAATAGTACAGCAGGGAAGAAACAGAAGACTTATTAGATTAGAAAACAGCAATTTTTTTTTAAAGAAATAATTACCCCTATACCTTCTTTGGTCCTTCAGGGGTCCAGAGGAGACTCGACGAAAATAAGCGAATATTGTTATAAAAAACAATGCAGCATTTAACTAAATTATTATATATTTACAAATATTTCTACTATAGATTATATAAAGCTAAACATATATTAAGCTAAGATATATAAGATATGATTTTTAAATTATATTAAGCTTTTGAATATCTTTAGCAAAAAGACATGTGGATTGCAATGTGCCGTTGTCTCGCTGATGTCTGTCGTGGTTGCGCCTTGAACCAGACCTTTTGTTCGGATCTTATCCCTATGGTATGACTTTTCTATATACTTACTAGCTGACCCGGCAAACGTTGTTTTGCTATGTATATTACTTCTAGGAAAAAAAAATTTAGTTCAATAAAAATCACTATCGACTATAATAAAAAATAGTAGTTGATCGTAGAGGGGTGAAAATTAGGGGTTGTATGTATTTTTGTATGTTGTATCATAAAAAAACAAAAAGAAATTGTCAAAAAATAAAAATAAAATTTTGGGGTGGACAGCCCTTTTCACATAGGTGTTTGAAAGATTGATAGTAGCCGATTCTCAGACCTACTAAATATGCATATAAAATTTGATAAAAATCGGTCAAGCCGTTTCGGAGGAGTATGGTAACTAACATTCACAATGTTACACACGAGAATTATATATATAAGATATATAACAAAATTTAAGAAATATACTCAAATCGAAATCAAAATACAGTAGAACTTCAATTATCCGAATTAATGGGGACCGGGACCCATTCGGATAGTCGGATTTTTTTTTTAAAAATTGCCATTGGAGAGAATAAAAGCTACGTTTTGATATTGCACTATTTTTTTATTGAATTAAATGAAAGAAACATGAAATTTTCACATGTTTTAAATATAAATAAAATGTACTTATGTACAAGTTTAGAAATAAAAATCATTGTTTTTTAAACATCTCCGTCAATGTAAGCTGTTTTGCGGTCTTCAACCGTTTTCGGGCAGCCAGGTCACGGATCGGATAATCGGCGATTCGGATAGTCGGAGTTCGAATAATTGGAGTTCTACTGTATATTTCATATTACGAAGTTTTGTGACAAATTTCCCATAATACTTAAAATGTCTTTTACTAAAGCCAAGCTTAAAACATGCACGTGCCTAATTTACGAAAGAAAGAAAAAAATCCAATACAAAATGTTCACGAGTTTCCTAAGCGTCATTTGGACAATACGAAGTTCGCCGGGTCAGCTAAAAAATTTAAAAGTTAGTTAGAATGCCAAATCATAAAATGACTGCTTCACGACTGATTTAAGAGCGACCGCCGATGCGAAAACCGCTGTGTGAGTTCGAAAAGTGAGTTACAGAATCGCAAATATGTTCCGCAACAGAGGATGTTTATACTTTTCTTCCTACTGTCTTCGAATGTCTGATAATATCGGGAAAAGTTGTTGTCAATTAAAGGCAGGATTCTCGTAAAACCGAGAAATTTTTAATATAGCACTTACTCTTTTGGGACGGGGTAACTAATTTTTACTGATCCGACGGCCAAATGCCGCATCTATGCGCAAACGCACATAGATTTAACGCGGTTTCTTCAGTAGGTCTATACTGATACATATAAAATATGCCAGTTTCTGTAGAACAAAATCACTTGCCCAATTTGAACGCATGGCTTCGGGTTGGGTCTCTCAAGGTAATCAGTGGCTGAGACCAAGAATCTTATCGCTTTTTTTAGTGCATATCGTTTTGTCGCCGTGATACATTCGTGATAGTCTTCTTACAAAGCTTGCTAGAGGGACATGAAAAAAACAATCGATTGTTTCATCTAAACGATGGGATGTCGATATTTACAAGGTACGATTTAGAAATAGTCCTATACCTACCTTTTACCTATCTTTACTTTTTCCAAATAGATTTTTTTATAGAAATCGAAGCCAGGATGTTTATATTTAACATCTTTTTTTCCTATTTCCCACTCTTTTTCATCACTCTTTAGTTGACAGTGCAGCAGACGGGTTAGAAACTATAATTATTGTAGCATATTTTAAAAAAACATAATTTTAAACATATATATATATATATTGTAATGTAACTAGCAGACTCAGCCAAGCGTTGCTGTGGTTAAGGATTTTGTCATATTACATAGTACTAAAGTATTCAAGGGAAACGGTAGGGGACCACCATGCTTTTTGGGTAGTTATGCCATAAATTGTAGCTTATATGAAACTTTGGTACTTCGAACACAGCGCCATCTGTTAGAATTGAGACTGACAAATAATAAACAAATAATTTGCAATAAAATATTGCGGGTATAAATTAAGATGTAAGCTATCCTATCTATGGACAAACAACGTGACACGTAATTTATATATATTAGATAAGATAATAATAATAATCAGTGGCTACAACCTCTTTAGGTCTGGGCCTCAGATTTCTGAATCTGTTTCATGATAATTTTTCAATATAATACGCAAGTAGTAGGTGATCATCCTCCAGTGCCTGACACACGCCGTCGACTTTTTTTTTGGGTCTTAGACATGTCGGTTTCCTCACGATGTTTTCTTTACCGTTCGAGCGAATGTTAAATGCGCACATAGAAAGAAACTAGAAAGTCCATTGGTGCACAGCTGGGGATCGAACTTACGACCTCACGGATGAGAGTCGCACGCTGAAGCCACTAGGCCAACACTGCTCTCATATGTATATTGTGACTTTAAAAGTTTTATCAAAATCGGACGGTTATCGCTTTAGGGACCGTTCAAGTATTACGTAACGCTGTTTTTGAAGATTATTGAACCCTCCCCCCCCATGTAACTCGCCGTAACGTTTTTCAGTACCCAAGTACAGTACTGTACCCTAGTAAAACGTTTCGTGACCACCTAGTGACTCTTTAGTTACTATTATGTGGTGTAAGTCGAAAAAAATATTGGCAATAATGCGTAATTTAATTCCCGCCCCGCATCGTAACGTTTTACAAAAGGGCCCCCCACCCCACTTCCCAAAATACGTTACGTAATACTTGAACGCTCCCTTAGGAGTCAACAAACATACGCACTTAAGATATATGTATAGTAGATTTGAATATATTTCTGTGTTAAGTTGAATAAATTCATCCACCCAACTAAAGTTCATTATAAATTTTAGGGAATCGATTTACAATACGCAATTTTTGCAATTATTGAACATAGTAACTGAAAACGTAACCGAAGAGTTTGTTACAATATTAAAAAATAATGTGTTCTCGGAATTGTACCAACTACGTTTGAAAACACACTCCGAGGTATGTTTTGTGTAAGGATTTATAACAATTGAATATCTTTATATATATAATTCTTCTGTGAGTGTGTATGTCACTGAACTTCTCTCAAACGACTGGACCGATTTTGATGAAATTTTTTGTGTGTGTTCAAGGGGATCTGGGAATGGTTTAGATTCACAAATCAGCCCGGCAGATGGCACTGCAGTCGGTACTTTCATACTTTGCTTAATATCCTAATCGCTTTAAATATCATGCAGGACAACGTCTGTGGGGTCCACTAGTACAGTATATGTTACTTTTTTGTTACATTTCAATTTTAAATTTTTATTTCACAATATATAAAGTGTTATTGTGTACATAATGGTCACGTACTTATAAATAATAAATAATATGCTAGAGTTTTAGTAGAGAAATATAATATGTGTATTCCAACATATGGAACAGTCTAAGATACACTAGGATCGCCTCTGTATTTTTGAGATATCCACGTCGTCAATATCTTTTAGTTTGTTGTATGAACATTTTTTTACTGTGTTTTTTCCTGTTTATGAAAGAGGTTGATGTATACCCTATTGTATATAAGAAGTAGTAACTTCTGGCTATTCAGAGATAATTAAGTTTGTCATCAAAATTTGAACTTTGTGCATATAAACGAAAGCCTAACAATGACTTCCATTGCGCAGTGGCTGCTTAGAGATAGATTGGTTTGAAGTAGCTAAAACACTTTTTAATTTCTTGGACACAGGTTTTTATATCACTGAAATTTGTAAGTAGATCGTAATTCTTGATCGTAATTCTACTTACCGTAGAAGAAAATATTTATGCCTCAAATAAACAATTACCATTCAAAGAAATATGTATTCTTTGAATTTTACAGATATCACAATGGGCGTCCATAATATTATATTCATATGAAAAAGGTATTTTTCCTCATTGAAACTACTTATATACACATTTTTATTTTATTTTATCATACACGAATAAAATAGTGAGAACTCGAACAGCCTAAATTGCTTTTAATCAAACACATTATTTGGTTTAACTATTATTAGGGTTCTTCAAGAAAAGAGCGAACTAATTTTTAAATGGCCGACGACGCACACGCGAGCCTTCTAGCATTGACAGTGTCCATGGTCGACTGTATCACTTAACATCGGATGAACCTCCCGCCTTTGTTATATAAAAAAAGTTCGTAGAAAATAAAAAAGGAAGTGGCATGACAATTTTTTTTACCATTAACCAAGTCTGCCTACGTGAAATATTTTTGAAAATTTTAGATGTATATATATAGATTATACTTTAAAATACTAACAAGAAATTTAGCTTTAGGTAAATACAAGTATAAACTTAAATGGGAGAATGAATCAACACGGAATGAAACAAAGAATAACTGTACATATATTCATTATTTAAAGGATGGAGATGAAAGCGATAACACAGATGAACTGTTAAAAAATGTGTTCAGAGAAGTTGCAAATTATAATTATTATGAGAGACGAAATAAAAATATACGAAATTCCAAAACTAAAAAAGGCCCTCAAGCATTTTTCTCAAACGATGATAGAATAATGAATCCGAAAACCAGAACTATAGATCTTTCATTTTCTTCCCTTGTAAAGTCACCTGTGCTCGAAAATTCATTTTTTCCTTATAACAACCACGATAGTCTAATGAATAATTCGTCACCTACAAACACCGACAATACATATGAACACACTGAACCAAGATTTCATAACAGTGGTAATAATTTTTATCCCATATCCACTTCCACGCCCAAAAAAGATCGAAAAACAATAACAAAATATGAAAATAGAAAAATTACTAAGCGTCCTAAAAAATATATAATTCCAAAGAAAATCGATCGTTCGCTTAGCACAAAATTTCTCGACGTTGTCAATAGTTCCTGTACAACAATTATAAAAAGCATAAAAAGCGTGTTCACGCGAAACACCTCTGCGAAAGAAATCGCTAATGAAAAATGCGGGAGTTTCACGGAATATATGAGAAATAGGGACCAATATTTGAGCGATATAAATAAAAGTTCGCCAGATGTAAAATCTTGTATAACGTGCAATGATACACTACTACTCCAAGAAAAATTGCTATCTGATGATTGCTTGAAAGTAACCGTGAAGAAACTCAAACATGGCATTAATATGTTCGGCTGTGATTTTAAGGTATAATATAATACTCGGTATATCTTAAATTAAATTCTTAAATTAAATTATAATGATTCATGTGCACTTTTTATTATTAGGTATTAATTTTTGTTTTTTTTTACATGTGTCCGTTATTAGTTTGTTTTTTTTGTTCCTTTTTAGTTTCTTTTTCTCAACAATTATACATGAATTTTTGCACTTCTTGCCTACCTTATGTAATTTAATACTTTTTTTTTCTTCTCACAGTGGTTGCCTGGAAGAGATCGCTCGAAAGCGATAAGGCCGCCAGTTGCTCTCCTTTTTATTTAATTATGTCAATTATACTATATTTATGTATATGCAACGAAGTGTTAATAAATAAATAAATATACTATATTATGTGTGTGTATATTACGTGTATTATAAATTGGCAAGCGACTGTTTTTAATATATTTATATTATTGGTATTAAAAAAATAATGACCATACTATGGTAACCATTGGTATATTTGAACGACTACCTCAAAGATGAAATTCAAATTAAAAATCATTTATTCATTTAGGTAATATACACTCATGGACGTCAATAAAGAAATACATATTAAGTTCATCTAATGTTACTGCCAGTTCTCAAATCAAGGGCGCAGAACGGACGAGAAGAACTGACAATAACTCTCCGTCGCTTTTAATCGCCAAGTTTTTTGTTTTATAAAATGTTTGTAAGGATCTGCAACCATTACACCATGTTCCACATGATGATCTTGATCATGATCTTTAAGTAATGAATAGTTAATAATTACAAATGCAAAGATTTTTCCTCTATCAGCAGTAGGCATGGTGAAATAGGACCACGCACTTACATGCTCGTGGGAACAATACGCAAACGTGTGAGTGCGCCTAGCACATTATAAAGTCGATTTTAATAATGCATGTTTGTTAAAAAATACATTTTTAATAAAAACCATTTTATTTACAACTACCCTCTAATTTACAGAAAATATCAAAAACATTTTGGCCACACGAACAATGCATGACGCCGGCTGTACTTTATAATTTATACCGGAAGCTAATAGTTAAATAAATAATTAAAGAATCTGTTTTTTTTCTACTACCCTCTACTATCCCTATATCACAGTCTGCTATAAGCCGATTCATGTCGAACCATATCTCGAGTTATATCATCTACGGTGGGTGTTCCTGAAAAAAAGCAAGATTTAGGTAAAAGAACAAAGCAATATTCATGAATATACTCGTAGTTAAAAACATAGGCAGTGGTCAGATGGTCAATATAAATCGTGATCCTTGTCGAGATTTCGTCAATATTTTTTGATGTGTAAACGGCAGAAATAAACATTGAGCAATGAGCATATTGGCATAAAATCTAGATATCTGTGATCCATCAATATCTATAGAAGAGTAACTAGACTTAATATGGTGATCGAGTAACTTCGCAATAAACTGTTTTATGTCCATGTTGAATTGTTTTGATAAATTGTAATTATTTCTAATTTGGATCTTGATCTTTCTGTATAAGAAAACATTAAAGCTAATTAAACATTATTATTACCCGCTATTTGTAATGTATATTCCAACTCCTTCCTTAAAATACCGAGCATTTTTCTAACACCCGCCTCTCCTCCTACTGTTAGACCCCACAGTGCCGGTCGTCCTACGAACACCTACAAAGACAAATAACTATGTATTATTTTCCTGAAAACCTAACTCAATTGATATTTTTATGAAAAGTTTTTTTGTGCATACAACACCCATAAATCTCTAGCAGTGGCGGATGTACCAGCAGGCTCACTAAGCTGAAGGCTAGGGCGGCAAACTTGAAAATCAAACAGATTTTGTAGTTTTCTGATGTTTTACAGACATTAGCAACAAATTTTGCCAATGACTTTCACCTCTCACTTGTCATTATACATTTGGTGTAGCAAACTTCCATATTCTAGAATCTAGAGTAAAACAGCTAGTATGCCACCCTCCAACCAGTAATCCACCTCTGTGCTCTAAGCTCACACTTTGTATAAATATATTTCCCTCTTCCTCCTATCAACTTAAACATGTTAGTCCTACTACTGATTGGAGGCTGCAAACTGGATGTTGGATTGTAAAAATAATCATTCTAGGCAACTATGTTTATTCAATACCAGGCCATTGTAAAAAACCTATTAAGTATAAATTAATTATTACAGTACTGGCTTAGCACGCCAGCTGTTTGTAACTAAATGAAAGCATGTACGCATATCTTTCAAATATTATGTAATATGCGGTAGATTTGTGTCGTCAAAAATGTAAATATAATTAATTTTAACCATCTGCAATCAGCCTCTTGGCTTTTATCAGATTTTTATGACATGATATTGAGGCAATTAGGGAATGCAAATTCAATAATTTGTTTTCCATCCGTAAGTCGCTAACTATCAAACTGCGACCAGTCTCGCCCTTCTCAGCCGAAACACACGATTAATGACTTGTAAAAGATCAACTAAGCTTTCATATTCGTAAATATGATAAATTTACCTCATGAAGACTAAGTATTCAGGCTAAAGACAGTACGAAACTGATCATCAAACTTGGTGATATGCATTTTGATTTACTGTTAAATAACTAATTCTGCGCATTTAGCTCGCCAACAATACAGGAAAAACAAAATTAATTACCATTTTAGCACCGAGAGCCAGGGCTTTATATATATCTGTGCCACTCGATACACCTCCATCAAGGTATACTTCGACGTTATAATTCTTCACTGCTTCTATCACTTCAGGAAGCGCCTCAATCTAAAAATACAAGGTTTAAGACTTTAATTTTTAAATATAACAATAGGGTGGCAGGGCTGGCAAAATTCCACGGGCCCCCGACCCAAGAGGGCCCCTAACCAAGAGATATTTTGTTCTCTGGATGAATGTGAAGGCTCCATTATGCATTGGGCTAGCGTGGGAACTACAGACCATTCCCTTTCGCCTAAGAGAGGAGGCCTATTGGCCATTAGAGGGACATTTACAACGTGTAATTGAGTTCGGTGAAAATCTCTAAGTTTATTAAAATTAAACTGAGTGACGATTTTTACTGATAGGGCCCCATCAAAAGAATTTGCCACGGGCCCCAGATGGTATAGTTACGCCACTGGTATAACTCGTTATTCATTTTAATTTAATCGTTAATTTGTTGAATCCTGTGTATTTATTTAAAAAAATATTTGAATGGTTCTTGTATGATGTAATATTTTCATGTGGTGTGGGCTCCGGTCTAAACTAAAAATACACAAAATGAAGACTGTTTAGAAAAATGATCAACTGCATGTTTATATGACAGAACAGCGCATACCCAAAACTTAGTTATAATGATAATAACACGTTAGACAGAAGAAAAATAAAGTTAAAAAAAAACAAGACATAAATGGGCGACTCACTGCTAAAAGCAGTTCATCCAGACTTCGCAATATAGTTTTTATCGTAACTCGATTTTGGGTTTGACAATAGAAGTCTCATTACAAAATTTATGTGTGTCTGTCCCGTGCTCCATGCTACAGGATTTCAGACACCATCAGAATACCATACCGTAGCTGGTACTCCATCGAGCTGCCTCGCGCCATGATTAGAGACCAGAATTCCAGCGCAGCCGGCCTCAACCGCTTTAACGGCGTCATCACCACGTAATATTCCTTTAGCAATGATCGGCAATTTTGTAATGCTGCAGCAAATATATAAATGTTATTTAAGGAAAATTTTATTTTTTATTTTTATACATTTTTATTTACACAAATACAGTATTTACAATTTTCTTAACCTATAAAGTAATAATAAAAATAAATAAAATGAAAATCAAAACAAATTTAAAAAGTTTGATCCCTGTGGCAGTGTACCTTTAACGCTGGCAGCATTTCCTCGCTGTATTGCGAGACTTATTCTTTGAGCTAGGAAAGTGCCAGCTCTGCGGTCACCGGTACTATCTACCAGGCGCCAACTTAAATCTTTAATAAGCGCCTGTGCACTTGAACCCCACGGCCCAAGAGTCTCTACTCCAAAGGGAACAAAATTGAAGTTGGAGGAAAGACTCTTATATTTGTGCCGTTTGTTAATTTCTGCCTGTTCTGCGGCCGCGCCAGCTTTTTTGCTTGTCCGAAGGAGATGAGACGGGGCAAAGGTGTCTACACAGGTAGCATCACATACTAAAGCCCGTCCCATTTTCCAAGGGATCAAAGACATTCCATCCGGCCGCTTGCCATCGTCTCTTGCGATGCCTGTTGGCAAATTTCTGGAACATTGTCGGAGGCAAGAGAGCGGCGTATAATGTCGTTTAGCGCAGCATGGCGAGAAAAACGACCTGCACTCTTTTGGCAGTGTAGGCCATGATGTCCAAGGCTACTTACTTCAAATAAATAAGTAAGGAAATAAGTCTCAAACAACCAAAGGAATGGAAGAGATTTGTGCTGTTTTTTTCGTTTAGAAATAAGCTAAAGTTCTTTTTTATATAATTATAAGTTAGATTCAGCTCAGACTGCTAACAGCAAACTTGTCAGAGTTCTTGATTTGTCAGGCTTCCAATAAAGAGAGCCTCTGCTTAGAAGCTTAAAGGCTTAGAGTGCTTATTATAAGTAAGAGCTGAGTCAAATTGTTACTATTATTTGATTCATTTAATTTGATTCAGAACACTCACTCTCCCGACCTCCCCCCGCTTTATAAAACAGGGCGGATTGGCCGATGTCAATGGCCCTTGCTGTGCCAAGGTCCATTCCACATCGTTCGTGGTTTCAACGGCTGATCGCGTGGCAGGATGCGGATAATTCGTGTACTGCGAGCGATTGCATGTGGTGTGTGGGTTTTAGTGGGTATGCACAGCAGCGAGGCCCAGATAACCTTTCACCACGAGGCAACCGAGCCGCGGAAGGGTATACATACCTACGTAACGCATTTCCCCTCGAAAAAAAAACCAGTGTGTTTTTTTCTCGTAAGATAATATAGCTATCACCGATTGGAGAGGTACATGAGTTATCGAACATTGAATTGGCGCAAGAAAATTAGTTCAGTGGCCAATCTGTAATATGTAAATTTACCTTTTTAGCCATTTCACTTCGTCCCAAGTTAACGTTTTATCAAATAAGTTGTTAACATAATGGCTTAAGCCGCTACCTTCTCCTGTGCTGTGAATCTTCGTCGATAAATGTCCTTCGAAATTGGCTAATCTGAAAAGATTTTGTAAGAAACTGTTGTTAAAATTAGGCAAATATAAAACTGTTTACCGGACATCACATAAAAGTGCTTCGACACTAGACAAATTATTTTTTAACAAATGTGACCCGCTAACACTTGTGTTAGGGCTAGTTGATCTAGTTCTTAGGGTAGGAAATTAAACACTTCAATGATGACTTGATTCACTATAATTCACACATTGATTTTACGTAAACTGTATAACTTCAAACTTGAACAAAGGAATTGCCTGTGCGCATGTGTTAAAACCTCTTTTATCATCTAGTCCCCACTCCGACTCGACCTTCCCACTTCGGGCAGTTATTCGTAAATAACCGAACGAGTCAAATGAGTAATTATTGCAAATGCGCACTTGTAGCAAAAGAATATGTTTCATAAAAATGTTTAGAATTTAATTAAATAAATATTAAAAGCTAACACTTGTAACATTACAATACAACATTCTCGTGTCCAGGCGTAAACTAATATCATTTTCTATAGTCATAATACAATCCATTTTTTTATAAATAAATAAACTAAATGACAAAGACATCGCCAAGTTATGACTCCCTTATGTAAAAAGCGTGTCTATTGTTTTGATATTGTGACTCTAAATTCTTCTCTTAGGCCCTTTCTCCACTGCTCCGGTCCGGCGTCGGATACCGGATGAGTCATGAGAAAAATATCGGAAGGCTGGATTGCGCTTCTCCACTATATCCGATCCGACAATTATCCATACTTGTATATTTATCATGCAATATTTATATTAACTAAAACCCATATACTTTATTTTATTAATAAAACGTTCTAAATTCTGAATATTTTATTGCTCTGGCAAGTTTATTACTTTTTTTATATTGTCTATCTTAAAATATTATTTATAATCTACTTAATAAATAGTTCACTAGTACGATGGTATAAAAATATAAATAAATAGCAACATAATTTGGTTTGGACCAGGTTATCCAGATTCATTCAAATTAAAGAAACTATAAATAAACATGTGAATAATAATTTATAACCTCTTGGATATACTTGGACCGATAAAACACCGCGTTCCGATCTAGCAAGTTATCGGATAGTTAAAAACCGGATGCCGGAGTAGAGAAGTACGTAAGTACTGTTGTGAGTTTCTAAATCGGATCGGTAATTCAGGACCGGAGCAGTGGAGAAACGGCCTTACACTCAAAAATCGACTATGATAAATAAAAAATATTATTGAAAAGGGCAGGTAGGATAGGTAGTGCTCCAGGCGACAGTAAATAACCAAGCATTAGCAAGCGAAAAGCAATGTCAAATTATACTCACTTTAAGTGACGAGGTAGTGTGAATTTATTTCTAACATCAGCCCTTCTTAAACCGAATATCGGAGTATCAACAGTTAGTGCAATTGCTTTAAATCCAGCCTTTTCAGCTCTCATCACAAGTCGCTTAGTGATTTCCCTGAAAAGTAAATTATACAGACTCGTAAATTACTAACTAATAAATTATGTTAGTTATCCAGGCTTATAAAGCCAGGGGTCTTATAGTAATAATTAAATAATCAAGCCATTGCAAAGGCAACCCTAGTCCTAAGATACAAACACAATTATAACTATGAAAATAAGTTATAAAATTGCAATATCTCTTACAACGCTACAACCTTTTTAGGTCTGGGCCTCAGATTTCTGTAAATAGGTTATCAGTCTCCTGTGCCCACACCGTCGACTTTTTGAGTCTAAGGCAAGCCGGTTTCCTCACGATGTTTTCCTTTACCCTTCGAGCGAATGTTTAATGGTGCATAGCCGGGGCTCGTACCTACGACCTCAGGGATGAGAGTCGCAGGCTGAAGCCACTAAGCCATCACTGCTATTTCTATATAGTTCTTTAAAAATCCTTAACGCTGATCCAATCACGTGGAACAGAAACTTAAAATGGACGTGGATATTTGAGTTTGATCAAAGAAAGATGAAAGTTTCGATGCTTTTTACACGCTTTATATTAGCTTCACCTGTATGTATGTATGTATGTATGTATGTATGTATGTATGTATGTAACCGACTCCTTCGGACTCGATTTTGACCCACTTTAAACAGACAGATTTAATTCAAACTTTGTACACTTATAAAGAATCAGCGACAATATAATAATTTCATAGGTTTATCACGAAAAAACAATGAATTTTTTTTTAAGTCCACAAAGCAATACGATTAAATTGAGACAACACGTATTGCTGCTAGGACTAAAAAGTGGAAAATAAATATAGTTAAAAAAAACTAAAAACCCACGCTTTTTCACAATAATACCAGTATTTTTTGTTCATTACCATTTTCAGCCTAAATTAGGAATTATTTTTCACTTTTTAGTTTGATGTGCTTTAAAAGCGTGTTATTTAGTTTTTTTAAATTATATTTATTTTAAATGTAATATTTGCATATGATAATTTTTACCTGTCATTATAAATGTACAGCTGAAACCACTTTACGGCATTAGGACCAGCCTCGGCCACTTCTTCAATGGAACTGGTTGATATTGTACTTAAAGTGTATATTACACCTTCAGCTTGTGCAGCTAAAATAAAAATTTGGTTATAATTCAAAAGTCAAAAATCATTTTATCATATAACACAATGTACCTACACTTATGATCGTCAAAAAAAAGAAATGCATATGAAATGCTTCTAACTTTACATTTAGTGTCAGTTCTTAAATCAAGGGCGTAGAACGGAATAGAAGAACTGGCAATAAACTCTCCACCTCTCTTTTTAATCGCCTTGATTTTTGACGTGACAACGTCTTATAATTGATGGAGCGGCTGTAGCACGAAAAAACATAGATGCGGGTTACCTCGCTCTGAAGCTTCATTTAAGGCTTGAATAAGGAGAGCGGGAAGAGCGACAAGAGGCACAATCGGCCTCCTTCGGCAGCGTTCGTTGTTAAAAAATTGACATAATTTATTTATGCTACAAATAAAATTAACTTGATCAATAATTAATTACTCTTCTTATCATACAAAATATCTATCAACAAATAAAATTAAAATTTTATTTTGAAAAATGCAACCATTCCATCATATTTTTTATACTTTATTCAACTATCGTAGTTAACCACTTTAAGACAACCGATTTTTTTACACAACGTTTGTAGGGAGCTGCAACCATTATACACCATGTTTCACATGACATCTTAAGTAATTAATACTAATAATAAGTAATTAAGAACGATAGTGTAACACTGGCCGTTCACCAACCAGATAGACCGATCAAGTGAAAGACTCAAAACTGTACATTGTCATAAGAGACGCTCTGGAAACCGGTGGAAGCAGATGGTCCGCTCCAGACATGAGCTGCCGAGTAAAGAGACAATAGTGTAAAATGTACATACTCAATTTCAATAATATCAATTGAACAAGACTCTATGACAGATTGCAAACTATCTATCTAAATAAAAATGAATCGCAAAATGTTGTTGAGCCCAATACTGGAAGACAGCCGGATCAATTCGAGTATTTATTTAAATTTTATTCCTTGTTCATAAATAAGGAAGGTTTTTTTTGAGAGAAATTGCACGAAAAACCTAAAAACCAGTTTCTAAAAAAATCATATTAAGGCGAAATGAAGTTCGCGGCTATTTAATATAAGGAAAATATATTTAGCATTGCAAATGTTAACAGCTCTTAATGCTGTTTTATCATATAATTATGAAGTTCGCCCTGCGATTCTGTAACTCACTTTTCGAACTCACACAGCGGTTTTCGCACCGGCGGTCGCTCTCAAATCAGTCGTAGCAGAAGCAGTCATTTTATGATTTGGCATTATGAAAAGGTGGGAGCTTGTAGCTTATTGTTTATTAGCATGCCAAATCATAAAATGACTGCTTCACGACTGATTTCAGAGCGACCGCCGATTCGAAACCGCTGTGTGAGTTCGAAAAGTGAGTTACAGAATCGCAGGGTGTTACGTATATTTTTTAAATGTATACAATTAGCAAACTTACATTAATGTCAAAATACATATGTATTAAGCTGGCCTTGAGCAGGCGGAAACTCATAAACGGCAAAGAGAAGAAAAGAGACTCCTGGGCCGTGAGGTGAAGTACGCAGACGCTAATTAAGATTTTAGTTGGGGCCTAGTAGATAGGTGTCCCCAGAGCTTGGAGAACATGCTGACCAAGCTTTTTAAATTGAATAATTTCCTAGTTTTAAAAAATTATTATTATTATTTTTTAATAAAAAAAAAAAGGCCGGCCGTAGAAGTACGAAAGTAACGAAGATTTTTGCCTAGTTTTTATTCTATCTATACTGTCAGATTTCATCATTTGAACATCAACCAACTGCTGACATGGATCAAGTGTGTTCTAAATCTTAGCTGAACATGCGCGGTACACCAACAGCTCACTAGATTAATATCATGTATGTATGAATAGGTGTAATTAGTATTTAAGATAATGTTTTTGAATAATAAATCAGAATATTGCTCTGTCTTATTCATTTCTCGCTTCCTCTCAAAATGGCGAAGACTACAAGCCCCTAATTATCGTGGTGAGCCTGCCCGGTAGCTTTGAGATAATCCCACCACCTCAAACCTTTGATCCTACCCGTAGGGCTCCGTCTGTTACCTTAGGCTATGTTCACATGTAACGCGCGTTATCGCGCGTCACGCGCGATCAAATTTGAAGAGCGTTCAGATGATGAGCGCGAACGCCTTGCGAGAGTACTCGTTAGTCTAGTTCGGTAGAACGTAGAAAATGGACTGGAAGAGGCTATTATTTTGTGGTTATATTATAAAGAAAAATATAGAAAAATAAAACGTACAATTGGGTTCATCAATTTTGAAAAAAATACAAATTATATTATATTTTTTATACAAATTTGCTATATTCCAACTTGCTGGCCTTTTTTTCTACTTCATCGATTAGTAAGTCGATGTCAATATCTTCAATTTCACTCATTTTAAATGCGAGAACAAAATATAATTACGAAAATTAACAAAATTACATGCGATCGCGATGAAATCGCGCGCTCATCTGAACAGCAAACGGACATTACATTAGGCTATGTTCACATGTAACGCGCGTTAACGCGCGTCAACGCGCGATCAAATTTGAAGAGCGTTCAGATGATGAGCGCGAACGCGCGTTGCGAGAGTACTCGTTAGTCTAGTTCGGTAGAACGTAGAAAATGGACGTGGAAGAGGCTATTATTTTGTGGTTATATTATAAAGAAAAATATAGAAAAATAAAACGTACACATTGGTTCATCAATTTAAAAAAAAATAAAATTATATTATATTTTTTAACAAATTTGTATATTCACTTGCTGGCCTTTTTTTCTACTTCATCGATTAGTAAGTCGATTCAATATTTCAATTTCACTCATTTCAAATGCGAGAACAAAATATAATTACGAAAATTAACAAAATTACATGCGATGCGATGAAATGCGCGCTCATCTGAACAGAAACGGACATTACATTAGCTATGTTCAATGTAACGCGTTAACGCGCGTCAACGCGCGATCAAATTTGAAGAGCGTTAGATGATGAGCGCGAACGCGGTTGCGAGAGTACTGTTAGTCTAGTTGGTAGAACGTAGAAAATGGACTGGAAGAGGCTATTATTTTGTGGTTATATTATAAAGAAAAATATAGAAAAATAAAACGTACAATTGTTCATCCAATTTTGAAAAAAATACAAATTATATTATATTTTTTATACAAATTTGTATATTCCAACTTGCTGGCCTTTTTTTCTACTTCATCGATTAGTAAGTCATGTCAATATCTTCAATTCACTATTTTAATGAGAACAAAATATAATTACGAAAATTAACAAAATTAATGCGATCGCGATAATCGCGCGCTCATCTGAACAGCAAACGGACATTACATTAATATCAAAGGCGCGTCAACGCGCGATCACCTGCGTCTAGAGACTTTTTCTCTGAGCGCCGCGTTGACGCGCTCAACGGGCGTACGCGCGCTCATGTGAACAGTTGTATGAAAATACCAAAGTCTAGTGGGATTTGAAAACGTGTTTTGCCTCTGAAGCCTTAGGTCTCTTTGTGCAGACATCCCGTACTTGTTGGGGAATACCCCAACTACATTAACTAATTAGGTTCTTACATTTCACCCTCTTATATATTTAGTTATCTAGTGCGGCTTGCTAATAGATACGTTACATATTATAATATACAGATACTCATGACATTCAATACATATAAATTTTAGACAAACATTTTACAGTCCACTGGCTAAAAATCATCTCAAACACAGAGTGATATATTTTCTAGATAAACAGGCTGTGCTTACCATTCAGCCGCATTATATATCGTCCCCGTGAAGCGAAAACTTTATCTCATACATCAAAAACCGGAAATAAAATTTCCAATTTATTCACATCACAATGATTGCTTTTGACTGTTATATATGTGCGTCACATCACATATAATATGTATATCCGTCGGGCAAGTAGGTCATCAGTTTCCTCACGATCTTTTTTCTGAACCATATTAACAAATGAGCAGTGTTGGCCTAGTGGCTCCAGCGTGCGACTCTCATACCTGAGGTCGTAGGTTCGATCTCTAGCTGTGCACCGATGGAATTTCTTTCTATGTGCGCATTTAACATTTGCTCGAACGGTGAAGGAAAACATCGTGAAGAAACCGACACGTTTTAAACGGCGTGTGTCAGGCACTGGAGGCTGATCACCTACTTGCCTATTAGATTTAAAAATGATCATGATATCTGAGGCCAAGACTTAAAGAGGTTGTAGCGCCACTGATTTATTTTATTATATTAGCAAATATGAATTGCGCATTGTACAGCCGGGATCCACGACATCTCGGTTGACCTATGACTGCTTATTGGCTAGGAAGTATATATAAACTATAACCTTTAACATTAGCTGTCTCGCCATCGGGATGAGCCATCCGCTGCATTGCGGTTGGTGATATTCCAACTGGCATTGTGACTCTTTCTCCTAAAATAGTTGTGTGCAGATCGAAGTGCGAAATACCGACGAGGCATTTTGGTCTTATACGGAGCCTAAAAATTATAATTATTTTTGTGTGGCCGTGTTTTTTTTTTTATAGAACGGGGGGCAAACGGGCAGGAGGCTCACCTGATGTTAAGTGATACCGCCGCCCATGGACACCCTCAATGCCAGAGGGCTCGCGAGTGCGTTGCCGGCCTTTTTTGTTTTCTGAAATAAGCGAGACTACCTGCAAGCCTTGAGTTTCGCCTCCTGCAGTAATCGTTTTGGCAGAAGACCAAACCTAATTGTCTTAATTAATTCTATTCGCGAGGTCAAATAATGTTCTTAAGTTTATAAATTGTCTAGAGGGAATATTTGTAGCAAAATGTAACGAATATGGATAATTTCTATGGTTTATGGATTACAAAATAATTGGCTGATGCTACTTAATACTAGCTTTGAATTTGACTTAAAGAAAATGTATGTTTCATTAATTGCTAATTAAATCTATCGAGTGTTTTCGCAGTTGCTCTTGCTTAGCAGCGTTTACAGCTCAAAGCTTCCTGTGTAATGGTTTTTGCATTTGAAACCGGAGACAATATAATTTAACATAAACTATGTATTGAAATATGTAGGGGAAGATCGTTACCTTCGTACGTGGGGCACATTCATACAGTCAAAATAAAACTTGAACGAAACAGTACAGTCTTGTTTTTGTATGTGTGATAGTCGAGTAGAACTATAATAATTTGTGAAATTCACATAAGTGAATTAGATGATTTTTTCTAATAATTTTTTGATCAATTTTTTGCTCTTGTTACGTAGATAAAATAATTTTCTTAATATTCTATAGTACTAGAAAATATACTTAAGATACGTCTCAATACTTAATTTATAGTTTTCCTTTTAATATTAAAATAAGTTATATTTATATTAGTGGGGTACTTTCGGAAGACTAGATGGGGAATTTGAAGAATTGTACAACTAAATTTTATGAAAATATTTTTGACAGAACTTAATTTTCATAAAATTAAGTTTTGACTTGCTACAAAAATAATAATAAGGCATCTTGACTAAACCCTTGGTAGGTAGGAAAATTGTATTATGTTAATTGCTAATATTTGATTAACTTTGTCTGTTTGTATATTGCTATCGTCTATGTAAATATATATAAACCTATTTTTTTATTTTATAATTGATTTTATGTGTGAACCAGATGTTTGAATAATTTACAATCCATCAATAATTTAATATTTTGAAGAAGGTTTGACCCTATCATGTTGTAAGAAGTAATAAACAATAAACACGCCAGGAAAACCAGAATTTATACTGCCAACAAAATAAGAACTAATCCGCAAAAAAATGTATTTTAAATACCTAACTAATTATCTAAGTATTAATTTTTTCACTATAAGAAAGTATTTTATTTTTGTTTAATAGAATTAATCTTTTTTTTTAATTTCATTTAAAAATAATTTATTTAATTTTTTAATCGCACGTGGAACTACCCACAGCTAGAAGGTACTCAACACTGTAGAAGGTGCCGTAATGGGGCAGATTCGTAGTTTCCGATTTAGTTTAAATATAATTATGGTTGAACCATAAATGAAATCATTTATTTTTTATATGAATCTAATATGGACTATAAATTTAACTTAATTGATTATGGAAAAAGAAAAAAATTAAAAATAAAATGTGAAACCTAGAAGGGTCCGACCTTCCCTTATATATCAATTCAAAATTCGCGCTATATACGAAAGACTATCAAAAGAAACAAAATCGACAAAAAGGTTAGAATTTCTCAACCTTTTGGGATGCAATAATTTTACTTTTAAATAAAAAGAAATGCGAAAATATTCGACAGTTTTATTCACATTTCAGATCGAGTACTAAATAGTTTATGCATACCTTTGAAATGCGTTTTTATTTTCACCTAAGGTAAATTCGTCCGTCGCACCACTTTTATAATAATCCCTGGCAGCCTTCGGGAGTAACGCAGTGGCTGCATCTTCCAAATCTTTAATACATATATATTTTTCCATTTGAGAAATGGACTATTTACTTTAAGATGTTTAACTAAAGTGACGCATTTACAGCGATAAGACCATTAATTACTTATCAAACAAACAGGTCAGAAGTCACTATTTCGATACGAAAAATTGCAAACAAAAATCACGTAAGTTACATAAGAGTAATTATAATTGGAACGTAATAATGGTAAAATAAAAACGCGTGTATATTCATGTACTTTTATCAGTCCTTGTTATGGTCACGGAGCCATATTTTTTTTCAAAGAGACCGGGTTTAGGAGAGTACTAGACATTTAAATAAAACTTATACGTTTCGCGCGATAACCATGATAGCTGAAAAGCACTCGAAACGTAGATTTGTGGAAGTTCTTAAATACTACGGTAAAATTTAAATGATCTAAATTTCTGTTCCTTCTCATTGAAGTAGACACAACAACGGTGGCTGAGAACAATTATTTTGTATGCTTTTAATAATCGCAACTCATGGGTTTTATTCAGCATGTAGTGTCAACTAACTTAATACGAGTATAAAATTTGTGCGAGCTATGTCAAAATCCAATACGGTTTCGATGTAGGAGTCAGAGAGTCCATTGAAATGTTACAATTTGAGGGCCAAACTGACTTTTTTTATCATTAAACCAAAATTAAAAAAGTTATAAGTAAAATAAGTCCTTTTTTGCTTAATAACTTTTTAATTAAAATATATAAAATGTGACAGTTAGCGTAGAAAAGATAAATCATAACAGAGAGGACTATGCTTCTTTTTTATTGGTGTACAGAAAGTGAATATAAGGTACTCTTCAACCTGAAAATTGGCCAGTAAATATAGAACTTTGTGATTGGGTGTGTTTCGGAGATCGAACAAAAGTAAAGAAGGGTGGAAGTAAACCAATTGATATATTCTATCAAAACGTAAGGGGCTTCGGACTAAATTAGTTAACTTCAACGCAAGTGTGTTGACAGCAGAGGCAGACTTGATTGCTGTCACAGAAACAGCTGTAATGAGTCAATAGCTGATCTGAGTTGGTTCCAATAGCTTTACTATACTACGATTGATCGCGCGGACGGCCGCAAGCAGGGTGGAGCCTGTTTGATAGCCACTCCGGTTTAGAGATGAGCGAGTGATATTGCCTACCGATGTATATATCGAGTTCGGGCATTTGAACTTGTTTGTGCGACTGTTTTTTTAAAAAGTAGGTTTTTATTTTTTGTGTGTGTCCTATATATTCCTCCTAATAGTAATGATCATGAATATTTGTTATTATTTAAAATAATAGAAGATTATTGCCACAAATATAGTAGTGTATTATTTAGGGATTTCAATTTATACTCTTTTCTAATTTGTTAGAAATTATTTTGAGGATTATTTTTTACATTATTGTGAATTCAGTCATCAATTCAGTAGAAAATATTAATGAAAGAATTTTGGATCTGGTTTTATGCAAGGTTGGGGGTTAGCAGGTAAATGTGTGTGTATCTGATCAGCCTCTGGTTCAGTGGATAAACAACATCCACCGCTTCAATGTTGTATGGCCCCGATCGGCGGGTCCCTGGTGAAATATACGAAGGCGGTAGATAAGGTAGGTAGACCATTGAAATGGAAATTTCAAAAGCCAATTAGATATTTATTCGAGGATAGGAGCAGCAGACTGTCTATATATTTTCTTCGACTTAGATCGAGTCTAGATAGCTTTTATAATATTTTAAATACTATCTTTGACGATTGTGTGCCAAAAGAAACCCTAAAAGGATATTTCACTCAAAACACGCGTATCCGGAATGGTATAATGATGAAATTATTCGTAAAATAAATGGAAAGCTAAGCTACATAAGTTATGAGAACTAAGTTGCAAGGTGACTACCAAGGTTTACTTGTGTAGGGCTGAGGTAAAGGTAGGATTGCTAAGGCTTTGATAGGTATCAGAAATTATTGAAACGAACTCATAGAAAATCCTGGTCATTTTGGAAATTTGTAAAGAGCCAAAGGCTGAAAGACACCTAGGGGTATTGTTAGTAACGGAAAAGAGTTAACTATGGATAAGAGGGTAGAAATTGCATTATTTCAGTTCAGTGTATGTTACGCAAAAGCCCAAGCTTACTTAAGAAAGCTATTGGGAGGCGGATTGTGGAAGTGGGGGAAATTGTTCACGTAGATAATTGATTAGAGGATACGGAATCCTTACAACTTTAAAACCAAAAAGTCCGGGGCCTGATGGTATACCTCCGTATACTTTAGAGACTGTGTAGTATTGGCGGAACCCCTTCTCCATATATTCAATCTTAGCCTTAACGTCAACATTCCCAGATCGTTGGAAAATTAGCAAAGTGGTTCCGGTACCTAAAGGTAGACAAGTGACAAAGTAGACCATCATAGACCGTGCGATTTTGTCACACCAGCGAAGGTAATGGAGTCAGCCTTCAAAAGTGCTTGATAGGTAGATCTCAACTCTCTGACTCACACATGATTTGACAGCAAGAAGTACCACGAGCAACTTATGCTTCTTGACTTATAGTACCAGTTTGATATGAGGACAAGTTGATCACCTACTTTGATTAGAAAGATTTGAACGTCGATAACGACGTGCTTTGATGAAATTAGAAAAGTTGTTCACTGCGTCATTGATTCGGTTTATGGCAAGTCAATGACAGATAGGAGCAGTATGTGAATATATGGCATTAAATCTAGGAACTATTCACTTGTCTGCTGACGCAGGGGAGCAATTTAGGACCTTTAGAATTTTTGTTAATGGTAAATGATTACCAGGGTAGTAGAAGAGGCAAAATGTTTAATGTTCGCGGATGATTTAAATTATCACGCCGATTAATAGTGAGGAAGATTGTCTACGATTGCAGAGGATATTGATCGGGTAGTAAATTGTCAGGAAAATCGACTGCAGCTTAATTCTGAAATTCTTTATTTTTTTTCCAGAGCACGGACACCGATTCTTTATAATTATAATTGAGAAACAGCCAATTCCAAGAGTAGCCGAAATAAAAGACCTAGGGGTTCATTTAAACTGGAATTAAATTTTCGGATAACATAAAAATAATTTGTAAAAAGCTTATAGGAATTTAGGTTTATTTTGGTATGGCCAAAGGATTTTCAAATATAAAAGCGGTAATGCATGTAAAGCATTGTTAGGAGCCACTTGAATATAATTTATATTGGGCCCCACAAGAAAAAAAATATTCTCTAATGGTGGAGCGCATCCAAAATAAATTTTGAGATACATTAATGAGGTTGTATGGAGTGTACCCATTTTACCCAATAATGTATCCAACTTTGTTTGTCTTGGGCATGTTGATACAAAAGTTAGAGGTAAGGAGGACCTTACTATCACCTATATTTTTTAAGATCCTTAGAGGTAAATTTTGGAAATATTGAAAGACTGGGCTGTTGCCAAATACCACACTCGCGGAGTAAGCGGTCGCAATTCTGGCAGTGCCTCGGCGGACGAATTTACTTAGAGAAGCACCATTTACGCGTGTTTTGCGCACCCTAAACACTATTGTTGTGAGACGGATATATTTAGTTGCACACTGGCTGAATTCACAAGAATTTCATTATTTATAATGTTATAAAATTTTTAGGTTTTTTTAAGTTTTTACTTGTTATGGTTTATATTTTTAAGTTAGTTTTCTTTGTATAGTATTTTACTGTAAAAATAGGAAATAAGGAATAAATAAATAAATAAATAAATTTTTTCTCTATAATTTTTTTAATTTCGTTAATTGGAAACGTTGTTACTGCGCTCTAAAGTTGACCGTATTCTTCAATATTCAGCCCATGTAACATTTCAATGGACTATTAGCGCCATTTAGACGCATCTAGAAGCAGGCAGAAGCCGACTCTCTGAGTAGCACGCAAAATGTCGACCTCATCTGACGAAGATTTTTTTCTGTTTGAAAATGTTTTTCAAAATTCGAAATCAAAGCGTACACCCCATAAATAAAAAAAGAATTACCCTTAGCGCTTAACCGCGACTCTAAATATGAGGGAATATGTATACAATTAACATATACATATATCGCCACTGTAGAATGATAACCTTGTATGTCAAAAGCATTTATTTTTTATTCTTAGTCTCTTCTGTCATTTAACTGGTATAATCATGAAGAAAGGACTTATTTATGTTGACACATTGACAAAATGAAAATTATTTTCGTTTACTGTAATGTTTGGTTCTCTTGACATAGGTACGAGGTTATTCTACAGCGACGATGTGGAATCGTGGGAAATAAATCACTACAGAGGGTCGAATAAAAAACACATAATAAATTTCAAAATTTATTTTTCGATTTTAATATTTGTATGAATGCCAACGCATCCTTGATGTCACATGCCTTTCCTTATATATTTGCCATAGAAACGTTACTATATAAAACTCAACCGATCTTATAACAAATCTATTAAATACAATATTACATAAGCACACCATGCTTATTTAAGTCAATTTTAGGAATACTTAAGTTTAAAATAATCATGATGGCTGTTTTACAGTTTACGTGAAATCGCTGTGAAATAAAATGTTAAGAATAGGGACGCGCCGTATAACCGGGTATAACCGAGTAACCGGATACCCGGTTACCCGAGTATGGCCCAGTTTTATAGCCACTGAATGAGTGGTTTGATTTAATGTTTTATACGCAAGAAATACGTTGATTCTAATCGACTCATGTATTAAGATATTTACATTACTACCGGACTAATCTACAGATTATGTTTTTTACGAGTAAAGATTAGCCGAGTTATCCGACCGAGTATAACGAGCAACTGGTGGCGCATCCCTATATGTTACCGTATTTACATTGGCAGTATAAATCGTATGCACTTTTCATCACCTATCTAACCCTAATCGATCACATTTTAAATTTTGTTAAAATAACGCGAATATAAAAGATACAAAACATTACTGTTACTAAGCTATGAGAACGAGGGCTTCTATAACCCATAAACCCATCTTTGGTAATCAATCCATGCACCATTCACGTTCCTTCATAAAATAAGCGATTAATTTTCAAAATCCTTAATCTAGCGAAGCGAAAATAAATGTTCTACAAAGTGTGCAAGTTGAGCAAAACAAATTCAGACTTCATACACTGAAAAAAGAAACTCAAAATGCGTATCCGTGTACTATTTAGTGCTCGATTTTCCAGACTTCGAGTGAGTCCGGAAAACTTTTCTATATAGAAAAAAATATACAATCTTCACGAAATATAAAAATAAATAACATATATTACAAGCAGAACAGTGGCAACATTTGTTAGACTAGTGATTTAAATACTATATCTACATTTACTAAACACATGTTAATAAGTTAGGGATCGTTCAAGTATTACGTAACGAATTTTTTGTCCTTATGTAAAACGTTACGATGCGAGGCGGGGATTAAATTACGCGTTATTGTTAATATTTTTTTCGACTTACCCCACATAATAGTAACTAAAGAGTCACTAGGTGGTCACGAAACGTTTTACTATACTTGAGTACAGTACTGTACTAGGGTACTGAAAAACGTTACGGCGAGTTACATGGGGGGGTCAATAATCTCCAAAAATTGCGTTACGTAATACTTGAACGCTTCCCTTAGCGATACATTCACAATTACCGCATTGTAGAGTTCGTCTTAGGCAACTATACAATCGCGATTATTTTAATACAGTTCAATTATTGCGATCGCGCGTTAACTCAACATTAAATATCGCTATTGTTATTCAGAGTAACAAAACCGCCTGTTATTGGTGCTAATTCCGAATTAAACTAGACTAAAGGAGATCCTAAAGTCGAAACTATTAATTGAAAAGTTAGTTTCATTATTTAAAGTCAGTGTTTGATAGACTTACCTTCTTAATACTAAATCAGTGTTAGTTTTAGCAAAACTCTCTTCTAAATTGTGATCACACTGATCTAGACTAAAGACGATGGAAACTTCAAATTGACTAAACAAGAGACTACGTACTCGTATGTTTCACACCTGCGTACGCGGAAATACCAAGTATATGTTTTTACCGTAATTTTATAGTTAAGCTTCTTCAGAATTACCACCAATTATTAATAACTTTAATAATATACAATTTAAATATACCTCGGTTATAATAGAACTCATAATAATTTACTTACCAACTAATTTTTGCAATGTTATTCGCCGACCGCTCAAAAGCTGTATTTTCAATTTAAAAATAAAAACTAGTTTTTATTCGCTAATACATTTGAAATTGCGATATTTGTCGATAATGCTCTAAAGTACGAAACAAAATACCACAATATGCCTTGTACTTTAGAATAATTATTTTAAGTCAATAATACTTTATCTCGTGTATATGTGATAAATAAATAAATATTAAACGATTCGATAATATTAATTTTTCATTACGTTTCGTTGAAATTACCGGCTAAACCGATAACCCTAATCTTAAAGGATTTTTTTTAATACGACCGCGTTTAATATAATTACGACCGCATAATATATTGAAAATAATTCCTGACGGGGGTTTTAGCCGAGAAATCGTTTTCAGCTATCTTTATAATTGATATTCTGTAACAAATCAACTTGAACAATGCACGTAATCATTTTTTATTTACGAACCGATCTAACCCTAAAGGAAATGGATCGACACGCAGAATTCATTTATTTTGAGAAACGACAAACGAATTTTAAGAAGCAACTAAGAACATAGGGAGATCAAAAAATTTACACAAATATATCAACTAATAAAAATTAACAAGATTTTTTCTACGAATAACAATACTATAGCAATGACTGCGAAGTGTTTTTTTATAAAACATAGGCTTATGCCTGGACAGGAGGTTCATCTGATGTCAAGTGACACCGCCGCCCATGGGCACTCAATGCCAGAAGGCTCGCAAGTGCATTGCCTACCTAAGGAATTAGTACGCTCTGTTCTTGTCGAGTCATAGAGATTAAAAAGACTGGCGGAGAGTTTCTTGTCAGTTCCTCTTAAGCGGGCCATAGACGGACCGCATATTGCAGTCAAGACCGACTGCAACATGCGGTCGACGCACGGCGATCTGCAGTTTCCACACTAAATTCATATTCGCAATACACGTACAGCTCGAGCAGTTCCTGAGTAAACCGCATGTTGCAGTCGGTCTTGACTGCAACATGCGGTCCGTCTATGGCCCCCTTTACCCGCTCTACGCCCTTGACATGCGAACTCATAGTAAATGAAAATTTAGAATCAACTTAACATCTTTTCTGTTGACGTTCATAAGTGTTTACCTATATGAATAAAGTAATTTTTAGTTTTGAGTTTGAGTCGAATTAGTTTCGAAATACTTCAATGTGGTCAATTTTTTTTTCATTCAATCAAACGTTTTGAAATTTTGAAACGAATTCTATTGTTAAAACTTTTTGATTACGAGAGCTTTTACTTTTTCCGTTTCAACAAAAGCTCCTTCTAAATCGCAATCAAATTTAAGGTATACTTCAGAGTCGAGACTGTTTGGACTTTAGAGTTTCAGAGAGTCAACACATTTTTTCAAAAGTTTGACATATTCGACAACGTTCAAGATAGTAACTTGTAGTAACGAATAAGAATACGGACCATAAACTACAACTCACTGTTAAAATAATTTTTGACATGACATGACTAAATCCAAAACAAAATCTTTATATGGTGTCAATTTTATCACAACTCTATACCAAAATGCATTAAATTTTGTTTAGTTATTACAAGAACTTACTGCAATTGCTGAACTAAATCTTCTAAAAAAACCGATAGCGATTTAAATATTTGGGCTTTTACTGTTACTATTCGCGGCGTGAAACTTCCAAACTAAACATTGCTATAAAACGACTCCTGCGCATGTGCTTAATACGTTTCCACCATTGTTATTCGTAGATTTATACATTTACTTAACGAATATGAAATTATATTTTTTAGAAATATTTCCGTACCAATAGAAATCTTACTATCCTTGTTTCTTCCTCATTAGCTCTGTAATTCGCGATATTTTTATGGCTGATCACCTAATTGTCCCAAGTTGGGACATGGTAATATTGACAAATTAAAAGCAGAAGCGCTAACCTTTTAGGTCTGGGCCTCAGATTTCTGAAAATTACGTGATCATTTGTTTATGTAATAGGCAATTTGGTGATCAGACTACTGTGTCCGACTTTTGGGGTCTAAAACATTCTGTTTCCTTCACCGTAGTATTGTTAAATGCGCTAAAAAGTTTTTTGGAGAAGCTACATCAGGGATCAACATTAATATTGATACGGAATTTAAAAAAACTTAAAATTAAGCGATTTATAAGTGTCGAGTATTAAATTATTCTTAACAAATGCCCTTCAAGACGAACTTTACACTTTCATAACATCACAGAACAAATAGAGCGATGCGCGTGCTTTCATTTATGTTCTTTAGTCTATGATTCAGAGACAAGACTAAGTACAAAGACGAAGTTAATTAAAACTGTCATTTTTGACAGATCCGACAGTTCGAACTTCCGTGAAAATGTCATTTTTGACAGATCTGACAGTTCGAACTTCCGTTTCTGAATTTTTTTAAGCTCAACTAATTTCGTACCATTATCTATGTCACTCAAGACTAGAATGTCTCACCCGACAACATTAGTTTTATAAGGCCGTCAACGCACCCGCGTCACTAATATACCATTTGCGAATATCACCTTACAATAAAACGTATTATATTTCAAAATTGATTTTCTATAAAATTTTATAAAATATGAAAAAGACATTTTCATATCACAAAATTATTAAAATGCTTTTCAAAACTGCTCATTACAAAAACTTTAAGTCGTCAATGTTCTGTCCCTTTCATCTCCACGAGTTATCAGAACATTCATCTCTCAAAAATCAGCATTAAGCAACGCGCATCGCAAACAAAAAATGGCGCGTTCAAGTATTACGTAACGAATTTGGGGGGGGGGGTCCTTTTGTGAAACGTTACGATGCGGGGCGGGGATAGAATTACGCGTTATCGTTACTCACTGGGTGGTCACGAAACGTTTTGCTAACGTTACAGAAAACGTTACGGCGCGTTACATGGGGGGGGCTCAAGAATCTCCAAAATTTGCGTGACGCAATACTTAAACGCTCCCTAAAGGGGGATTCCATGAGCGACTTACAACAATAATGCATTGTAAAACGCACCTTAACACGAAGCAACAAATATATCAAAATATCAAACACAATGACAAAGTCCTATCGCTGCTAAAGTACGAGACGTCCGCTCATGGTGTACGGGGGACTAGTTCAATGGGGGGGCAGGGGGTCAGGGGGCGCGAGTACCAGGGGAGGCCGTCGGTCTTCGGGCTCTTCTTCCCCGCTTTCGCCCCCTTCGGCTGAGCCTCCAGAGTTGACGGAGCCGGAGCCGTCTCGGTCCCGGGTTTCTTCTTCTTCGTCTTCTTCTTCGGGACACAGTTGGTAGGCTCTGAAAGATTGTTATTTGTTATTACTGCATATTATAACCAATATCTTCGTGACAGTTTAGTTTAGTTAAGATATAAAGAATACTGCATCAACATCAATCAGTACTCAAAAAAAATCAATGGCGCTACAACCACTTTTAGGTCTTGGCCTCAGATTTCTGAATCTGTTTCATGATCATTTTTAAATCTAATAGACAAGTAGGTGATCAGCCTCCTGTGTCTGACACATGTCGACTTTTTGGGCTAAGACATGTCGGTTTCCTCGCGATGTTTTCCTTCACCGTTCAAGCAAATATTAAATGCGCACATAGAAAGAAAGTCCATTGGTGCAAAGCCAGGGATCGAACCTACGACAGTAGGTCGTGATTCTGTAGATTAGACAAGAATATACCCAAATTCAATCAATTTTTTTTATATTTACAAGTACTTTTTTTTTTTTTTTAAGACAATTCACACCAATTGACCTAGTTTCATGCTAAGCTGGTAAAGCTTGTGTTATGGGTACTAGGCAACGGATATACATACATATTATAGATAGATAGACATATAAATACATATTTAAACACCCAAGACCTAAGCACAACATCAAACGCTCATCACATCGATGTTCGTCTCAGCCGGGGATCGAACCCGGGACCCATGGTTTCGCAGTCAGGGGTACTAACCACTAGACCAATGAGTCGTCTAATATGAGTATGAGTCGTAGTACTAGTTTATCGCAGTATATTAACTAACATCATGTTATCATCTACACATTATATTAGTAAATACTTTATTTAAAGGTTAAATAATAACAAAAATACGTGTGTGTACTTATACACGCTTTAGATGTATACTTCTTTGGCGTAACAAGAAAGAAATCTTTTGAAAAAAAAATTTCTACATTTGTAGAAAAAACGACACTAACAATAGAAAAAGGTATTTAATACATTTAAAGTTTTATTATAACGCATTATCTAGTTAAATAAAGTTTATTATATTTGGTAATATCACAAAAATATTTCTACATAATTAAAGAAATTGACATTTTTTATTTTAAAATGTTGCTAACTTTGTGGTGTCGGTTTTTTGTGACGGTGTGCGCGCGCATTGTAAAAAAATACTCTCATAATTTTTCCCTAACGCACCAAAAGAAGTATACCTTCAATAACTAGAAGCACACCTTAATACCAATTCAAGTAAGAAACTATTTTTTTTTAATAAACAACATAAATTTTATATTGTTATTCCTGTCAATTGATTATATTGTATAGAGACTTTGCCAAGTTCGTAGGAGCGAACTGCGGTACAATATGGAACTTTCCTGTCTATGTTCCCGCAAATCCCGTTTGTGCAGTAAAGGAAAACTTAACAAGTCGACAGCTTGTGTCAGGCACAAAAGGCTGATCACCGATTTGCCAATTAAGAAAATATGATAAAGAAATGTTGCGCCACAAATATAATACTTACTTTTCTAACGTCTTCCTCGCGGAATTGCTGCGTTCGAGGAAGTACCCACTAGAGGTCTCATTAGAGGTTCCGGGCGGTGACCACGTGCCATAAGAGCCATATCCAGACCCGTACTGCAAAGATATGGTCATTATTTAGCATGTGTAGGCAATGCGATGTTTAAATTCAAAAATCATTTATTAATATAGGTAACACAATGTACACTTATGAACGTCAAAAAAAAATGAAATGCTTCTAATTTTACATTTACTACCAGTTTTCAAATCAAGGGCGTTGAACGGAAGAGAAGAACTGGCAATAAACTCTCCGCCGCTCTTTTTAATCGCCAAGTTTTTTGTTTTACACAACGTTTGTAAGGAGCTGCTACCATTACACCATGTGCCACATGACATCTTAATTAATAATAATAAAATAAATTAAAAACAAAGATTTGTCCTCTATCAGCAGGAGGCATGGTGAAATAGGAGCACGCACTTACATTCTCGTGGGAACACCACGCAAACACATAGTCGAAATAACTAACATCACCGCATACACGAATTCAAGTCCGACCAGTCACCACAAGTAGTACCCGTTCACGAGTATGACGCATGGCCAGCCATCGGCCACTGTGCGTCTATTTCTAAGAAACTAAGACACATCGGGATAATAAGTCTTTGAAATCAGTATTATTATTAAAACGTACCCGATCCAGTTCATCCTGAAGCCACGCCAGCAACTGCCTCCATCTGCGTCGCGGCTCCGCCTGCGAATGTACGGCGCGTATCGCGAGCGGCGTACGACACATCACCCCGACGAGCAATTTCACGCACGCGTACGTACGCTTCTGGTAATGGCCGCGTGCACGTAGACCTGTCTCTAGGAGACCTTGACGCTCTTCTGACACGCCCTGAACAGTTTTAAGGCCAAATTAAGGGGAATCTGCATATCGTGAAGTTAACGTTTAATGTATTATAGGATTTACATAAAACATGCAAATAAATATATGTATATCTCGATTTCCACGGACCACGATTGTTGTAAACAAAAATGGGGATAATGTAATAATTTCACACAGCATAATGCATAATCGCTGAGCCAGGGCCAGTTACAATCACAACACACACATACATTACACTTAAAATGTACCTTAGGGAGCGTTCAAGTGTTACGTAACGAATTTTGGGGGGGGGGGTCCTTTTGTAAAACGTTACGATGCGGGGCGGGGATTGAATTACGCGTTATTGTTAATATTATTTTCGACTTACACCACATAATAGTAACTAAAGAGTCACTAGGTAGTTACGAAACGTTTAATAACGGCGTAGTACATGGGACCGGTTACGGGGGGGGGGGGGTCAATAAACTCCAAAAATTGCGCTACGTAATACTTGAACGGTCCCTTTTTTTTTTTTAAATAATTATTCTTGTTTTATTATTATTTTGTGTGTTTCGTAAGTAATAAATGTTATGTCTGTCTACATGTGTATACGGTTTTAAATATTAACTCGCATAAAGACATCACAAAGTGTGCTCTTTAACATTATGTGTTTTTTTTTTAATTTTCTTCATGTTTCAGTTATTGTATATACAATAAAAACACTGTTTAGATTAAAATTAGCACAAACTAATCCAAAATGAAAATGATGTTAATTAAAATGATGTTAAAGAACTTATAATTGAAACAAATCAAACATACCAAACACAGTTGTCATGCGAGTTTGCTTTCTTTGCCAAAGCCACCAAGTATTTAAAAAAGACCTTCATAGTGATAACTAATGGTTTATTGGATTATTTATTGTAAGTTTTTAATTGTTTTTTTTCCCAAACAACAGATTTACTTCCTAAAGGGGCCATTCAGATAACAGTTGTCACACGTTAATGGGGAGAGGTGGGTATCACCGAAGTGTGACATAGTGTGACAAGGGCCAATGGGGAGTCAATACTTTTGTGACGTCACATGTTAAAATTTATAATATCAAGTAACCCACAAAGTTGTCCTGGATGTGAATTAAAAAATTTAAAAGGAATTTACGAACTTGATCTATAGTATTAAAATTTAGCATTCTCGCTATGCGATAATCTCTCATGCAACGTCATTTAAACCTTCCAGAGCGCCGTTGTAACACAATACACAAATTTTCAAAATCGGTCCAGTGATTTAAATAGGTTTAAGTGGTGGCAGTACTCGCTCGCTTTCTATGTTGCATCGGATTAGTTCAGAGACCTTCCAAAGTATTTCATTGAGTTAAAAAATGTGTGACGTCACATCAGGAGCGAGGGGGGCTTATAAATATGTGACAACACAGAGATTAAGGACCCCGTCCTTCTCCGATGTTGACATAATAATTAGGTTCTTGAAAAATAAAAAATATCATTTGGTAGATGAAAATAGAGGTCTTAAAACATTATAGAGAATAGTGATAAAGCCGCCAGTAGCACTTTCTAATGTAATTTTTGATAATTGTTTGTAATTGTGCAATAAAGCTGGAATATTTAATGAAATAATTATATTTATTTTAGATTGTAAATTATATGTCATATTGACGTTTTATTTAATTGTAAGATAGAGAGTTAGTTAGTCAATGGAACGACGTGAGTTTTGCCTTGACAATTTTGTGGAATATTTTAGTTTTAATTCAAATTCACAAAATCATTTAATCATATTCGGGTACGGTAACACATTGTACACTTATTATGACTTGTCAAAAAAAATGTACATAATATTAATGCTTCTAATTTTACATTTAGTGCCAGTTCTCAAATCAAGGGCGTAGAACGGAAGAAAAGAACTGGCAATAAACTCTCCGCCATTCTTTTTAATCGCCTTGTTTTTTTTACACAACGTTTGTTGTGACCATTACACCATGTTCCACATGACATCTTAAGTAATTAATAATAATAACATAAATTAAAAACAAAGATTTGTCCTCTATCAGCAGGAGGCATGGTGAAATAGGTGCACGCACTTACATTCTCGTGGGAACAACACGCAAACACATGTCGAAAGGCAAATTTAAGTACGACAAATTGGGATTAATTATTTTAACTTTTGACTTAGATTCAGATACATTTAATTCCAAATAGATTTGAGTGTCGTGTATCATAAATAAATACAATATTTAAGAGAATGGAGACAGAGTACTTACAAATAAATAATTAAAATTACCTTGATAGCATTGTGGATGCGATGCTGCTGCCAGCTGTCTTCCATCAGCAATAAGGCAGTCAGTGCATCGCAGTGCCTCCTTAGCTCGTGGCAGTAAGCACAGGCCATCTGCCAAAGAAGCTCCGCGAGAGCAGCCCGAGACCAGCCCGCGTGTTCCCAGCTCAGGAACTGAATCAATCTGATGCCTTCTTCGCAGCCACAGCATTCCTCGCTGAGTTTCTTCACGTATGTACTGGCAGATATAAAGTAGATGGTAAGACGATGCTATACATAATTATTGTTCAAAATAATTAAAAAAAATTTTTTTTAGATAGATTAAAAAAGAATTTCACACCTACGAAAATGTCTCAAATTAATTAAAAAATATAAACAAAGTAATTATTGTTTGTCTTCATTAAAAACATTTTAACCCAAAATAACATTTTGTGCAAATTATTTTTGCAAACTTTTAAAAATGTATCAATCAAATAAAAAAAAATATACTCTATATATATAAAATTCTCGTGTCACAATTTTCGTTCCCATATTCCTCCGAAACGGCTCGACCGATTCTTATGAAATTTTATATTCATATTCAGTAATCAGCTGCTATCTATTTTTCAAACCCCTAAGTGATAAGGGGTGTCCAACCCAAAAACATTTTTATTTTTTTTATTATACAGCATAAAAAATACCCCTAATTTTCACCCCTCTACGATCAACCACCTATTTTTTTTATTGTAGATAGTTATTTTATTGAACTAAAAAAATGTTTCCTAGAAATAATATACATGGCAAAACAACGTTTGTCGGGTCAGCTAGTAACGCATAAAAATGTAACCTTTTCAAGTCTTACTTACGCAGTCTTATTATAGAGAACATCTGCTGCGGCAGGTGAGAGCGTAGGGCGAGGGCCCGCGGGCGGAGGCTCCGCGTAAGGGTTGACCAAGGGCAACGCCCCTTCGGCTGCATTTGCCGACTGGCAACGACTGCTTACGTCACAGCAGCGCACTAACGCACAGACCACCTGCAACGTTTCATATAACTATATATAAAAGAATCACTAGCCTTGAATTACTATATGTTTTCTAGCAAAACAATGTAGTTATGACGTCACAGCGTGTAATAAATCTATAAACACCGGTACACGCACGAATAAGCATGGCTCATTGTCCCGTTACGCTCCCTGTACGCTTGCACCGTATCTATCTCTCTTCGATTGGCCTATGCGTCCGAGGATTCACTCCTTTGTATCCATACAAAATAGTGATACTTCAATAAAAATGATTCAATTTTATTCATAAAAGTATGCAATCATTTCATCAATGTTTTGTTATGACGTTGTCACGTTAAACTATCGTCCGTAAACCGACTTTACAGACAACCATTTAGTTATAATTTTAAATACATGTTGCGTTATGGCGACCTGTAATAACAAGTTATATAAAAAAAGTTTTTCAGTGGCAAAATCATGGCAGCCCTTTTCTTTCTACGCCCTTCACTTAAGCAATGGCAATATAAATATTTTCTTTGATAATTGTGAGTAAATTCCTTTTTGGGTCTTACATACTTTGTATTGTGTTTTACGACTGTTTTAAAGTTTTCTCATGTAATCAATTACCGAAAATTTTCTCGCGTTAGGTTAGGTTAGGTTATTTTCACGAGTAACAAGAGTTTCAGATTTGCCGCCAATTCACAAAAACAAATGACAAATGAATGCAATATATAGGTCGGTTATCGAAAGCTGGCGCATTCACAGTACTCACACTAATGCAATTTCACTATACAGTATGTTTAAAAATATGACTTTTTTGCCAAGCTATATATTTTAGTCTACTCTGGTTTTAGTAAGGTTGGTGGTTTAAATAATAATGAGAAAAAAGATCAACATGTACAGTAAAGATCAACATAAACAGTAGCAAAAGCAAAACAATAACTGTCTCTTTTATACTCATAAGCTTGACCGAGCGCGAGAGAGACGGACAGTCTTTTCATGATGTATTTGTGATTGTATTTCAGTTTTATATCACGCCTCGCGCTTATTCACAGACACTACACAAGCACTAAGTGTAAATGTGTTGAAGCCGCCAGCTTTAGATAACATACCAATAAATTAGGTTACCAAAGAGATCTAAAATTGCAATTCAAAAAAATATTCATTAGCAATGTTTCTAACTGGTCAGTTCTAAACATTTTCAGTGTTACCCACGTATCAGAAAACTTGCATTTTTGAAAATTATAATATAATTAAATAATTAATACTTCCTCATACGAAAAAAAACATCGGCATGCCTCATATAAGATAAGACAGAAAAAGGTCCAGACCTAGAAATTGAATCACCACTGGTATTTTACATTACTATAAATAAAATAATGAACATACCTGATGGACTTTAGCCGACTCGGGATATTGATATTTTCCAAGTGACGAATACGATTCGTCGATGCACACCGACAGTACAATATCCAAAATTTTGAGCTGAAACCAATACAAATACATTTTAGGAATCAAACCTATTGTGGCCATACTCCTCCGAAACGGCTCGACCGATTGTAATGAAATTTTTTATGCATATTCAGTAAGTCTTAGAATCGGCTACTATCTATCTTTCAAACACCAAGTGATAAGGAGTGTCCACCCCAGAATTATTTTTTTGAAGTTATACTTCCTTAGGCGCGTTATGAAAAATTGATGAGAGTGAAATTTTACGATGCGCGCGCACCTGAGACACAAAGTTGTCAGTGTGATTATAGCGAGCGCGAGCGAGATGGGAATAAGACAATCTACAAGTAAAAAGAAATAGAATATGCGTGACGTTAGCAGCTATGCCAAGAATTTTCAATGACCATAATGACATTTGTAGTACCTTTTAAACAAATAAAGGAGTTTTTATTATTTTTTCAAAGAAATTTAGCAATGCTTTTTCACAAAGACCTATTGTTACTTAGTTAAAAGGTTATGAAACATACGTGGTTATCAAATTGAATGAATAATATAATAAATAATAATAATTATTATTAATTAATAATTGAATAATATACTAAATATTAAATATTATTAAATTATTAACGTTAAATATTTGTTATTAATTATTTAATATTTAAAAAAAATAAAGAAAGCCAAAGAAGTATAACTTCTTACGCGCGAACTACACGCACCCTTTTTTTTATTTTATTTAAAATGTTTCCTAGAAATAATATACATGGCAAAATAACGTTTGCCGGGTCAGCTAGTATATATATTTATAAAACAAATATGTACATACCCGTAACAGCTGATATTTCTCTTGCAAGCCCAGCATAGCATACGCGTGGAACAGGTTGAATAACAAAGGCAGATGCGGCGGCAGTCGGTGCGTATGCGGATCTGGCGCTGCCAGCGCACGCGCACAACATAATACTTGATCGGAAAGACTTGTCACTTCTTCGCGGCTACACCACGAGCTGTAGCCATTGTTGACTGGAAGAAATATATTTTTACATATAACTAAAAAGCTACTAGCAGACTCGGCCAAGCGTTGCTGTGGCTAAGATTTTTGTTATATTACATAGTAGTAAACTATTCAAGGGAAACGGTAGGAGAACACCAGTCATGGGGACCACCATGCTTTTGTGGTGGTTATGCCATTAAAGTGTAGCTTATGTGCTAACGTTGGTCTTCTGGAAACTTTCAACACAGCGCTATCTGTTAGAATTGTGACTGTCAAATAATAAACAAATAATTTGCAATAGAATAATATTGCGGGTATAAATTAAAATGTTAGCTATCCTATCTTTTAAGTTAGATTAAACTGCACATGGTGTGTAAATTTGATGGAAATCGGTTAAGTAGTTTAAGAGTCCATAGCGGACAAACAACGTGACGCGTAATTTATATATATTGAGATATAAGGCTAAAATGCTTGGATCTCCCTAACTACTGATTTGAATAGAATTTTATTTGCGTTAGATTGTAGAAGTTTGTTGCAGCATAAACGTTTAAATTTAGCTAAAAACTGTGACAGATTTTTTTTTTAAATCTGCTTCAATTTTTAAATTTGTGAAGGAAGGATGGATTACTTTAAAGGCCAGCAACGCACTCGCACATGGACACTCACTTCTGACAATGAAGTATTTCCGAACCAATTCGACTTAGGGTCCTTCAAGAAAAGAGCGTACCCTCTGGCATTGAATGTCCATCGGCGGCGGTATCACTTAACATCCGGTGACCTTCCTGCCTGTTTACCCCCTGTTCTATAAAAAAAAATACCTGGTGGATCTTGTGTGGAGAAGTGGGCCAGGAATACGATTATCTTCATGAATACTATTCGGACATCGCTTGTAGGACACGAGAGGAGGTAATCGCCTAATCTGAAAATATATTATAGAAGCTACATTAAAAAAAAGTACAAGTTACCCACATATTTATAATTTGTCTTGTGAATCAAATCTTAAAAGTATTCGATTCGATTTTTCATAACTATTTAAACATATTATACTATATAATGTAAGACATAAAAAATATATATAAACGTGTGGCACTCGGGGACTGCCGCGGTAAAGCTATAGCATATTTTTTTTTACAACTTATGCAATTATAATTATTTATAAATTTTTTATTCATGCAGTTTTTTTTTTCTTTGATATTAATTCAATCTACCACTCTACCAGACTCAGATTAACACGCCTATAATATAGTCTGTAGTGAGACAGTGAATACAGTATGCATTCTGTCCCGCTCTATCGCGTATGGCCGCACCTATATTACGTCATCGTGTGTTAGTTTTTTTTCGTTACGGAATTTCTTGATTCGGTCGCCGCGCTCAAATCCCGCGACAAAAGCTATGCAATAGCTACAAAATCTTTGTCGAAGTTCACATTTATTACGGTCTAACCAATTGCAACAACTTATTTCGATTCTACCTTCATTTAGTTAATAAAGTGATATTTATTTATTATTATATATATCTATTGTATACTACAAATTGCCTTTAGAGCTTAACTGACTACGCAAAAATCTGGGTGTTGTGTTTGACTTTTTGAAGTTATACTTCTTAAGCGCGTTATGAAAAATTTATGAGAGTGAAATTTTAAGATGCGCGCGCACCGTGACACAAAATTATCAGTATAGGCGCCGAGCGTGAGCGAGCGAGATGGGAATAAGACAATCTACAAGTAAAAAGAAATAGAATATGCGTGACGTTAGCAGCTATGCCAAGAATTAAGAATGACCATAATGACATTACCTTTTAAACAAATAAGGGAGTTTTAATTATTTTTTCAAAGAAATTTAGCAATGCTTTTTCACAAAGACCTATTGTTACTTAGTTAAAAGGTTATGAAACATACCTAGTTATTAAATTGAATTAATAATATAATAAAATAATAATAATTATTATTAATATTAATTTATAATTGAATAATATACTAAATATTAAATATTGTTAAATTATTAACGCTAAATATTTATTACTAATTATTAAAAAAAAATAAAGAAAGCCAAAGAAGTATAACTTCTTACGCGCGTACATAAGTACACGCACCATTTTTTTTATGTATCTGTGGCATCGTAGCTCCTAAACGAATGGACATATTAAGATGCATTTTATTTCTTTAGCAAGTCGACGTAATCGTAACTATTCATATATGTTCAAACGTTATAGTCTATGGTTAGCTCGGTAATACCTTTTAATTGTTTATTTATATAATACAAGTAAGCAACAGATACTATTATTCTAATTCTTATCTCAAACGACAATATCGCCTTGAGTGCTCACAATGGTAGCGAGGGATTTGGGATTTACTAAAGCGCGGCAGATTAATATACAGGGGGATAGCTTGTACTCGGTTAAGTACCTCCACAAAACATGAGGTCCATATATAAAGCCGCCTGTGAAGGAGACAGGATCAGATTAGTAAAAAAAAATTGACCATCAGAAATTCCCGAGCGCATCAGATTAAGGTAGGGTGAGTTAATTACATCCTAAAAAGTGTATATTCCACTAATCTGACAATTTGAGAGTGACGGAAAAAAGGGGAGGGCAACAAAGTTGTAAAAAAAACGTCATCTCGACATTCTCGAGCGTAGCTAATTTTTTTTTTTTTGAAGGAAATAATTCAAGAATAATGAAAAATATATAATCTGCGATTTCGAGCCGAAATAACAAAAATTCGTCGATAAAGTTAAATGCGTGAGCTGCGTGATGCCTACATTTCCTTAAACGATCGGAATCTACTAAACGGCTTCTAAATATTTCCCTCAAAATTACATTTCCTGTGAATTGAACATGACCATAGATTTTGAGAAATTTTGAAAAATCTTAAAAAATAAGAATTTTTTTTTAAAGTGGTTTCTTTATCGATCAACTTCAAAAACTAATCCACCTTTGAGCTTGAAAAACCACGTTGATCGCCACTAAGCTGGTCAAAAGCGGTTGATTCGTTCGAGAGATATCGTGAACGAAAGAAACCCGAAAAAGTATTTATTGGGATTACTCCGAAATTTGTGGTTCGATCAATTAAAATTGCAAAATTACTTATGAGGATGATAAAACTGCGTCGAATGCCGCCAACCGGTGAAAATTGCTTGATCCATTCAAAAGTTATTGGGTTTGAAAATCAAAAATAGTGTTTGAAACTTATGTTTCGACCTGGGAGGCTCAATGCATAGAAATTTATTTCTTTGAACTCAGGAGCTCAAAATATCAATTTTAAGCGCCCAGGAATGGAATTAGGATAGATGGCCCTTTAGGTGAACCGTTTTCTAAATTTTTTTGTAGATCAGGCGAATCCCTCTAGATAATCGTCGATTATGAGACAGTACGTTTAGAACATAAAGATGAACCACATATATCTTAATACGCGTTGAGTATTTCAAAATTGTGATTTTTTTGAAATTATGAAAATGTTGGGGCATCGAAATCGTAGATTAGTGAATGGGGGGGCTTTTTTGGTGCACTTAACACTCCCTTAGAAAATCTGACGCGTCGATAATTTTTTTTTTTCATTTTCAACCCTTAAATACAACCACCCGCATCATGCAAACGATCAGATTAACATACTACATTATTAAAAAACTAGGGATAATGCTATCAATATCTGCTGAGGATTCCATAACAGTTTTTTTAATATTAACTATAAGCCCTTCCCCACCGATGAAAAAATTTATAATAAATTTTTTTCTTCTTAATCTTTTGCACCATGTATTTGAGTCCGGGGTCTCACAAATATGTCAAAAATAATATAAAAAATGGTTTGACAGCTCCTAAAATTGGATTTACTTTTGTCAGTCACTGATCTAATCATATTTTGTGATATAGACCTAAGTATTTTTAAAGAGATAATTACAAACTGCATTAATTCGTATCTTTTATCTATAATCATAAATTATATACTATCTACTATAATTATTATAATAATACCTGTGTGTATGTTTAAAGAGATCTGTGGCAAACCAAGCTCGAACCGTCTGCGAGCACCTTAGATGTTGACAAATTATATCGTGCCTGTAAAAATACAGAAATAAAATTTAATAATACCTTCTTATAAATAACAATAATTGAATGTTATAATACTAATATTAAGAAAATTAATAGTAAGAACACAACGATTCGTTGCATATTGTATGATTATAACCTTTAGAATGTAAGTACAAAATGTAATTGTTTTTCGTCAAATAAAGTGATTTTTATTTATTATAATTAAATTAAGGAAATAATTAATCTAAACCAAATAGAAAGTTTCTATTAGATATAAAATAAAACCTAGAGATAAATATAAATGCCAATAAATATTTCGCCGCTACAGCTAGAAGGTAGAATCTGCTTTTAGCAGTAAGTCTGCCCATTAACATCATTTGTCTTTTTTTCTTCTATTTTATTTCTCCTGTTTTATGTTATGTACACAGTACAACTAACCAACAAAGCTATTTGAAATTTGCGGGACATTGATTATGATGACCTCTGGTTCTTCATTTTTATATATTTACAAAAAATATTTTTTTTATATAAGTCCTACTCATAAAACAGAATTCTATCACTCTTCCTTTACTATGCAAAGTATCCTGCTATGGAATTCCTTACCAATTTTTATCAGACGAGCTCGGTATTTAAAAATCTTCTTTTGGATCATTTTTCTTCTGCCTCGTAATTAGCTACTACTTATATATGTTAACGTAAAATTGTAAACACTGTTAGATTGTAATCTATCTCGCGAGATTATAAACTGTCGAAAGATTGTGAACCTCAACGAACTGCTTATAATTTAACGTATTATTATTCGGTAGATTGTAATCTATCGAAGTGAAACCGTCAAATTACAATCTTAAAAATGTCAACTGTCCGAAGGTTGTCCCTGATTGGTAGGCTTTGTTTGTATATAGAGTTAGGAATGAAACAAGGGTATCAGAGGGTCAAATAATTCTGTCATCACATGATAAAAAAAAATATATCAAAATAAAAAAAACAGAAACGTAACAATATTTTCTCGGTAACGATTTAAAAGTCGGTAACCCGATTGGGGGTTGGGGGAAGAGGTGAAAAATAATATATTTTTTAAAAGTGAAAATCGATTTTTGTGTTCGATTTCCAGTTGAACAGTTATTTAAAAAAAATATTAATATACTAACCTAACCTAACCAAATAATCATTTTTTGGACAGCTCCGGCGCTACGGGAACTGCAGCCCCTCCACCCTTGCGTACCAAGGCACAGGCAATTTATTCAAGCCTCCTCAGCTTGCATAATGCCTGTGCTTTGTTACAGCGGGTGGGGGCTGCTCTTCCTTCGCGCCTCCGGTTTTTATATACACTCTAGGGGTAGGGCAGACAAGGATAGTGGGGTGTTCTGATTAGGTTTTGGGTACTTTTTGAATAATTTCAAAATTTTCTGAACCCTACTCTAATTGAAACATGAAGTTAATGTAATGTATGTACATTTGACAAGTAATGGTTAAATTAGGTTTAACTTTAAAATTAACAATTGAGGAAATAATCGATTCGATTAATTTACCGAGAATGTCACATCACTTATAAGTTATAACCAATAGAAAACGAGAATGTCACATCTCTTATAACCAATAGAAAAGTAGAAAATGGCCGTTTCACAATTTGACGGTTTTACTTCGATAGATTACAATCTACCGAATAATAATACGTTAAATTGTAAACAGTACGTTGAGGTTCACAATCTTTCGACAGTTTACAATCTCGCGAGATAGATTACAATCTAACGGTGTTTACAAATTTACGGTGACATATATATTAATTGTGACTCAATTAACCTTTGGATTAGCTTTTACATTTTTGTTCATACATATTTTTTATTTAGATTTTATTTTGTTATTTTAAGTTTTTGTTTGTTAATTATTTATGCACTTCTTGTACTTTACCCTCTGTAGGTGTTTCTTTTTTTATTGTTCCATATTAGGGTTGCCTGGAAGAAATCGCTTGTTACCTGATTTTTTTTGTTTCTTATATGTATGATTTTGTTTATTATGGTAAAGAAGTGTAAATAAATAAGTTTTACTACTAACCAATCCGTCGCTGGACCGCGTAGAGTTTTCTTCGTGTGAAAGCCAATTTGAAAGAGAAACTTGGTGGCCAACTGCACTGCTAACATCGACATCTCTTCGTGTTCTGGACCCTGGAAAAATCGAACCCTCGTTACAATTCAATTGTGAGTAATTTTTTGAAAACATCATTGTTTTGGCAAATTCCGGGTAATTTCGACGTGTGATCGATGATAATTGCATCTCATATACGAACCATTCTTAATCAAACGCATATCATACATGTATTTACATTATTGTGCCTTGTGTGTGCACAAGACAATGAAAACGCAAAAAAATCAATGCATTACTCATAGGAACTTGATTATTATTTTTTTATTTGAATAGTCGGATCTAGATATTTAACAAATATTATTAATTTTTAAGGTTTAAGAATAACTTTGTGTCTCAAAAAAATTGCATACATAATTCACTTACTGAGAAACAATATTTAAAACTAAGATTAAAAATTTGAAATTAGAGCGCACAGATATAAAATAACAAAACAAAACAGCAACAAAAATATGGGTAGACATAATAAACTTGATCAGTCAACCAAGCAAAACACAGATGTTCGAATTTGATTTTTTACTAGATGTGGCATTGACGGTATAGTCTGACAAAGCAAGTTTATATTTATTATTTTATTATTTTTCATAACACTATTTTATTTTTAGTTTATTGTTCCATTTACATGGTTTATAAAACATTTTAATTATTATTTTTTATTTGTTTTTGTTTTATTTAATTACTAATGTATTATTTAAATTTAGATGTGTATACTTAATTTTATGTAGATCAAGTACAAGGGTGTGTTATTTTATTTTTGTCAATATATATTAACATATTATATTTTTAGTCACTTATTTGTATGTATTAATTGTATGAGTTTTCTGTTTTTCTATTCAATAACTGAGTTAATATGTAACAGACTAAAGCGGGCCATAGACGGACCGCATGTTGCAGTCAAGACCGACTGCATGCGGTTTGCTCAGGAACTGCTCGAGCGGTCCGTGTATTGCGAATATGAATTTAGTATGGAAACTGCAGATCGCATATTGCACTCGGTCTTGACTGCAACATGCGGTCCGTCTAAGGCCCGCTTTAGTGTTAAGGGAATTGGAGGGTTTAAGTATTAAAAATCAGAGTATAAGAACATAATAAAAATAATCACCCAAACTGCGCTCTGTGATCCAGGATGCAGCCGCATACAACACAATTTCTTCATAAAATTGAAGTGCTCCAAGCTGAATTGATCCTGGTTGTGACAAAACGCAATATTGCTGCGACGTACCGAGTTCCATATTGGTTTCGGTATGGTACTTTCTCTGTAATAAAAGTTGAGTACAAAATCGCTTTTTTAAATTGTCTATTTGTGTACTATAGTTGCCCCTTACAAGCGATAAGCTTTTGTAAACCTTTACGATGCGGGGCGGGGATGGGATTCAAGATTACGTAACGAATTAGGCATTTTGTAAACATTATTTTCGACTTTGGGGATGGACTTGAACCACATAATGCTAACTTTTAGGTATAAAGAGTCACTAGGTGGTCACGAAACGTTTTACTATACTTGGGTAGAAAACGTTACGGCGCGTTGCATGGGGGGAAGGGGGTGTCAATAATCTACAAAAATTGCGTGACGTAAAATTTGAAGGCTCCCATACCGTAGGGAAATTAATAAGAAATTTATATCAATGTAATCGGCTATATTAAGACCATTTCCATTATAACAATAAAAAGCGGTTTATTCTAAGTTTTCACATGAAAGTAACTTCAACATGACAACAATATTTACTATTACGAGAAAATCATTACTCTGTGTTACTGAGGCGCAAACTAACTGTTCTGGTCTCTGGCAGAAAGACCAGCGCTGTGGAAGACCTCTGCTCCACAGCATAATGCGGAGCCAGGGCCAGATACAACCACAACACACACATCACTTAAAATTTACCTTTTTCCTTTTGATTATTGTGTGTTTCTGTGTGTGTTTCGTTAGTAATAAATGTTATGTCTATGTCTACTCTTAATACGACATCGTATTCTATAGTAAACTGGGCCGTGCGGCTTCAGCGTGCGCCTCTCATCCCAGAGTTCGTACGTTCGAACCCTGGCTCACGTACGCTCGTACATTGGGTACGTACGTTCTAACACTTGCCCGTTCAAGGAAACCGGTATGTTTTAGACCCCAAAAGTAGACAGCACAGTCGGCTTATGATGAATCTAGACACAGACTTGTAGTTCCTAATCCGTTCGAATATGAAACTATAACGTAAAGAAATGTCCGTGTCAAATATTTATATGAAAATCTTATATATAAAATTCTCGTGTCACAATGTTAGTTACCATACTCCTCCGAAACGGCTCGACCGATTTTTATCAAATTTTATATGCATATTCAGTAGGCTACCATCTATTTTTCATACTCCTAAGTGATAATGGTTGTCCACTAACATTTTATTTTTTGGACAAAATTTTAATTTTCAATTTTTTTATAATGTGCCATTAAAAAATACATATATGCTACAATCAACCCCTATTTATTAATATAGTAGATAGTTATTTTATTGAACTAAAAAATGTTTCCTAGAAATAATATACATGGCAAAATAACGTTTGCCGGGTCAGCTAGTTAGTTTATAAATAGCCGCTCTAAGTGTAAGATTCAAAGTGGAGATCGGTGACTTCCATATGACAAAAACGTTGTTGACACACGTGAGTACTTAGAGTACTTTTTTTTTAATGGCTCTGGCACGTTTTGTGCACTTAGCCATCGTCAAGTATAAGATTTTTAATAATTCGTGCTTGCCTTAGAACTTCGACCATGTCCTCCATGTACGGTTAAAGCACTCGCCCCGTACCGCACAACCCTCCCAAAGGCCGAGAACAAATTTAAATTAAATTAAAACTTGCCCTCGAACCGGGAATCGAACCCGGTACCCCTCACCTAGCTGCCACTTAATAAGACCGCTAGGCTATGAGGCCCCTAACTTAGAGTACTTAGTACTAAGTCTCGATTACTATACTTACTTAAGAGTCATACTCTTCATAGATTGTTCAAGTGAAGTGCTGATCGTATCCTTCCGTGTGTAAAACAACATATAGGCGTTCCACCATCTCTTTTGGCGTTTGTATGATATCCTTTTGATTGTTGAATCAAATACCTGTAAACAAAAATGTGTGCGTGTACTAGGTGTACACACGTAAGAAGTGAAACTTATATAAAACCTTTGTTGTACGCAGAGCCATAATTGGTTTTTTTAAGTTTAGAGGTCCGAAACTATTTCTTTAAACACAGTAAATTTTGGTACACTGCCTAGCATACAATTTACAAATTAATTCCTGCAAATTACGATTAGGAAATTTCAAGTCGAAAATGTAATCCGTTGTCAAACTTCAAAGTCAAAAACATACTATATGTCATATTTTAACGCCGATAAAGAAGTTCGACTTCAAAAAGCAACATGGCGCGTAACGGAAAAATGTGACGCGTAACGCAAAAATGTTACACTAAATTTTTTTCCAACCCCGATAAAGAAGTTTCACTTCAATAAAAATTATACTTTATTGTTTAAGCGAATACTCGAGTAGTGTATGTAGTAAGAGCTGTCCAGAAAATGCTCAGCCAGTCAAAGTCAAAACCATTTATTCATATAGGTAACACAATGTACACTTATGAACGTCAAAAAATAAAGACATATTAAATGCTTCTAATTTTACATTTACTGCGTAGAACGGAAGCGAAGACTGGCAATAAACTCTCCACCACTCTGTTTAATCGCCAAGTTTTTTGTTTTACACAACGTTTGTAAGGAGCTGCAACCATTAAACCATGTTTCACTTGATATCTTAAGTAATAAATAGTTAGCAGCAACCGTCTCATACATGCAAAAGATCATGATTTGATGATCTATGAACAGCCATGAGCGAGCGGCCGACACTTCCAAGATATACGTTGGCATTCTTACTCTAAGGCCCTTTCTCCACTGCTCCGGTCCGACGTCGGATACCGGAATGAGTCATGAGAAAAATATCGGAAGGCCGGATTGCGCTTCTCCACTATATCCGATCCGACAATAATCGATACTTGTATATTTATCATGCAACACTTATATTAACTAAAACCCATATACTTAATTTTATTAATACAACGTTCTAAATTCTGAATATTTTATTGCCCTGGCAAATTTATTACTTTTTTTAGTTTGTCTATCTTAAAATATTATAATCTACATAATAAATAGTTCATTAATACTATGGTATAAAAAATATAAATAAATAGCAACATAATTTGGTTTGGTCCAGGTTATCCAGATTCTTTCAAATTAAACAAACTATAAATAAACCTGTGAATAATAATTTATAACCTCTTGGATATACTTGGACCGATAAAACACCGCGTTCCGATCTAGCAAGTTATCGGATCGTTAAAAACCGGATGCCGGAGTAGTGGAGAAGTACGTAAGTACTGTTGTGAGTTTCTAAATCGGATCGGTAATTAACGTTTGCCGGACCGGAGCAGTGGAGAAACGACCTAAAGGCTGTATGCTGTAGCGTTCAATGCACCAATACATTTTTTATGACAAATAAAATTTGCTAGTACTGTGAAGGTTTATACGTGAGTAAATAAACAGATTTTAAGCCAAGACGAAGAACATATGGTTATAGTGACATGGTACATTCAACCACGGCCACACAGAAGTTATAATTTCTTCAAGTCAAGAGACAATTCATAAAAAAATATGACATTTAAACGGTGACAAATGCAAGATGCCGCAATTTATTTATTGGCACATAAAAAACTTAGTTTTTCGACTAAATATAGAACATATTAGGCTGGTATTAATAAAGTTCTAAGTGAGCAAAAGAAACCAATGTGGTACTTCTACCTGCTGAAGTATTTCCGAACCAAGTCCTTCGAGAAAGAGCGTACCCGGTACGTACTCGAACGTACAAATTCCTAAAAGGCCGGCAATGCACTTATGAACCTTCTGGCAGTGTGAGTGTATCACTTAGCCCAATTGCCCCCTGTTCTATAAAAAAAAATTTAGCTATCTTTACCTCGCCCATATATTCTCCTCCAAAGCATTGCGCCTTCATCTCGTCATCATCGTGCATGGCACATTCCGACACCTCCCCATCGTCCAACTTAACCCACCGACCAGCCGAGCCCGTGTCCCTGAAATTTAATACATAGGCACATAAACGATTTACAACTTTATAAAACCCATTGAGAAAAGATTCACAAAATATGAAGTGACCACAAAATCGCACACGTTCTAACCCACGCCTTGGCATGGAATTGCGCAGGCCATATTGCAAGGTATACATATAACTCAAACTCAAAATAACTTATCCATATAGGTAAACAAGTACACTTATGAACGTCAAAAAGAAGTAAAATTAATTGTAAATTTACATTTTACTACCAGTTCGCAAGTCAAGGGCGTAGAGCGGGTAAGGACTGGCAAGAATCTTTTCGCCACTCTTTTTAATCGCTAAGTTTTGATACATACAAATTGTTTGAACTGGAGCAAATCAATCCCAAGGATTAGGATCATTTAAGTATTCGTCAAATTTATAAAAAGCTTTATTGATTAATTTACGTTTAACGAGGGCTTTGAATTTATTTAGTGATAATTCTTTAATATCCCTTGGGATAAAAGATGGACCGCCGAAGCCACTTGGCTGGAGGGGCCCTCCAGCCGGAGAAACGTGGGAACACCACAAAAGCGATGGACTAACGACATCATAAAGGTTTCTGATAGAAATGGACGGAAGAAGCAAAACAAACTCACCATCCAAAAAACGTTACGTGAGCACCATTTTTATATAAAACTCAATTATGTGGGGTAATGTACCGGAGCAGTGTTGGCCTAGTGGCTTCAGCGTGCGACTCTCATACCTGAGGTCGTAGGTTCGATCCCCGGCTGTGCACCAATGGACTTTCTTTCTATGTGCGCATTTAACATTTGCTCGAACGGTGAAGGAAAACATCGCGAGGAAACATGTCTTAGACCCAAATACTCGACGGCGTGTGTCAGGCACTGGAGGCTGATCACCTACTTGCCTATTAGATTTAAAAATGATCATGAAACAGATTCAGAAATCTGAGGCCAAGACCTAAAGAGGTTGTAGCGCAACTGATTATTATTAAAGTACCGGAAAGTCGCCATAATACCATTGTTATTCGCCTTATTTTTATTAAAAACTATAACCCCTCCTATAACCTCGATTAACCTAACTTATTATTACTCGAATATTATCCAATTTCAACATATCACATACAGATAATTAAAAACATACTTTTACGAAAACGTTTAAAGACTTACCTCAATAACACATATGAGAAGTAATGGCCACCAGACGCCTGACCGGAATGAACAACAATCCCGCTGAGTTCGTACTGCGTGCACCGCGAGTCCTTTTCGGAATCCTCACTTCCTTCCCATATGGTCTCGCCCTCCGCCTTTGCTAGACCCCAGGCTGCATTAAGAAAATTTAAGTTACTAAACGCCTCTTTTAAAACTTCATCATGTCAAAACTGTTTCAACTAGATCTTTCTAATCGCAGAGTAAACCAAACCTCACAGAATACGGAAAGTTTTTTAAAGGTCCGTTAAAAAGGTTTAAAACGAATGTTACTACTCGACTATTGTATAGGAGAACTGAATATAGCTTACCTGTATATGGTTCGACGTCAAGATCCCGCGGAAACTCGAAGTAATCGTTAAACTTAATTGCACACACCCTTTCAAAATCGTATTCAAAACGTTTAAGCTGTATGACTAGAACTGGGGGTAGTTTGTTTAAACATAACCTTTTGACTGTCACCACCTGAAAGATAAAATTACCATTTTGATAATGCCGAAAACTGAATACATTCTAATTGCAGTCTTTTAACTCAAATTTTTAGTTTTAACAGATTTTTGCAATAATAAATAAGTACTTTATCATCTATTTCTATCAAATTGTGTTTACACTGTGAAGAAACGAGAGAGATTCTAAACGGTGCAATTAGAAACTCTTTACAGTATCAGATTGAAATTGCAAGAACCAAAACTCAAATCAGTCGTAGAGCAGTCATTATACGATTTGGCATTCTGATAGACAATAACCTACAAGCTCCCTCCTTATCAGAATCGCAAATCGTAAAATTACTGCTCTACGACTGATTTGAGCGCGACCGCCGCTGCGAAAACCGCTGTGCGAGTTCGAAAAGTGAGTTACAGAATCGCAAGGCTGTATCTCGGACACACGAACAATGTGTCAAAACATTATAGAACACAAGATTGTTAATGAACTAGTATTGTAGAAAATTAAGTCAACATAAAGTTTATTAGCCATAATTATTGTTTACGCTAGATTGTAACTCATGTAAAGTCGCACTATCTTTTGTTAACTTTATTGTAGGAAAAAAATTATATCCTTTATATTTCATAACAGCTGGATCTATTCGTAGGATTTATGATTTTATCTGTTTACAAATACATCGTTTAATAGTATTGTCTTTAATTGACATAATTTTTACACATTTAAAGAAAAAACTTTTTAACCGGATTAAAGTTATGTATTATTATAAGTTAACAATTATTATTTAACATCATTTTAAATTTATCCGACGTTTCGCGTGCTTTACAGCGTGCGTGGTCACGGTGACTGAAGACAAAAGGTGTTGGATGTCAAAAAGTATCACAGCTGTAGAGAAAGTTGCATTATCTGTATTTATTTCCCCGGAGTTGGTATCAACTAAAAGATGGAGGGTTTTGGCAAAAATGGCTCACGGTGTCCTCTATTTTCGCGGATTGTTTTTGAGATTTTAATTTGGATATTATTGGATCTCAGGTGTTTGACAATTTTAGGCCGTCTTCTCAATTGAAATTGGGGTGTTTTTTGATTTCAATGGCTTCGCGTACCAATCTTGGGAAGAATTTATAATAATACATAACTTTAATCCGGTTAAAAAGTTTTTTCTTTATACATCGTTTAATATTTAATTAAAATTGACGTATTTGAGGTACTATTATGCACTGCACTTTATCATTGTCATATTGTGTTGTTATTTTGAATAACATAAAAACTTAATTAAGTTCTTAGTTCTCTTTTACAAATATTAAAGAATTCAAACTTTATTGCGTAAAAAGCAAAAAAACATTTCAACACGCGGTTTTCTCGCTACGAAACGGTATCTTTAACAACCCTCACAAAAGTGTCAAAAAATGTGAACCGTCACGGGACGCCTGGCAGATGTGAAACATCGACATTATTTTGTAAAAGTAAAATGAAAAGCAGAAAAGAACAGATTGTGATAGGAACTAAATATGTCATAATGATAAAATAAAATATTACGATTTTTTTCCACATAACGATGACTATTTATTGAATAAACATTTATTTTCATTAAATACAAAAATTTACGAATTTATTTCAAATCTTGACTACTTAATTCGTTTAATCAGTGACTTAGAAATACACACACCGTACACACTACTGCATATAGTCTGTATATATATAACATCATATAGCGTGGCAACGCGTCGCCACGGCATGCGTCGCCACGCCAGAAATCGGTTTTACGTGCGGCTATAGATGTTTCACATCAAAAGATTTATTGTAAAAAGTTCGAAACTTATAAAAACAATAAAATATTATGTATATAAAATTAAAGAATAACTTAACAAAAGACAGATAAATAAAAATGGCTCCGACACTTACAAAACTAGAAAATGTGCCATACTCTGATTTTTAATTCTTTGACATGTCAGAGATTACAAACCTTTTTGGCCGGGCACATTTTTCAATTTCAATACGATTCTGAACATCTGAGTTTATAAATACATTTTATTTGTTAGTGAATGTATCCAATTTATTAAGTGCCGTGCAAAAGATTAAAAATTTTACGGCGACTGATAATTACGCCCGTTTTCATTACAATCAGTAAAAAACGCACAAGTAAAGATGACATTTATTTACAGGTCTTCTAAACCTGGAATAGGTAGGCAGTGATGCCAGCTAAAGATTGAAATAAAGTAATTAAAGTCAATTCGATATATTCTTCGTGTTATTGAAATATTTGTTATTTTTGTATTCAAGATTTACCTTCTTGTAGGTAAAACATAAAAAATACGTAACATTTTATATCAAATGGGTCAAATTTGTCCCTTTTTCGGTGGAGAACTTTTTTAGTAGCAACATTTATGAAATGTCAGATTTTTACGGAATAACAAAATCAGAGTATAGATAATCTATAATAATACCTTCTTGCTACATTTATCACAATGGTAAGCGTCAGCGCCCTCCAGCAATTCACCTCGTACGTAGGCCTCCAACGATTCTTGGAGCCGCGACATATTCCGTATATCCAATGACACTACACTAAACGGCTCCTCCTTGCAATATCTATAAAATATAAAAAAAACTATATGTTGGTGTCCTATTATTAATATTCAATATCTTTATATAAAAATGAATTGCTGTTCGTTAGTCTCGCTAAAACTCGAAAACGGCCAAACCGATTTGGAAATTTTCGGCTTGAATTATTTGTGGAAGTCCAGAGACGGTTTAAACAGTGGAAAACATAAATTATAAGTAAAAAAAAACACTAAAAACGACAATTAAATTTTCCAATAAAATCTGTTCCTATATATATATCTTATATCTTTTTAGAAAAATTAAAAAAAATGTTGTATTACGTTTTGACACAAATATATGTAGGTGATACGAAGTTCACGAGTACATTATAGAATTTTTGGAAACGGTCTTTTTATACCTTTGATACTATTTTTATGTATAATAACAACTCTAAAGCAGCGTTGGCCTAGTGGCTTCAGCGTGCGACTCTCATCCCTGAGGTCGTAGGTTCGATCCCCAGATGTGCACCAATGGACTTTTCTTCTATGTGCGCATTTAACATTCGCTCAAACGGTGAAGGAAAACATCTTGAGGAAACCGACATGTCTTAAAGCCAAAAAGTCGACGGCGTGTGTCAGGCACTGGAGGCTGATCAACCACTTGCCTATTTGAAAAATGATCATGTAACCGATTCAGAAATCTGAGGCCATGACCTAAAGAGGTTGTAGCGCCACTGATTATTATTATTATCAGTGATCAAAAACTAGTATAATTGTAAAACCAGAAAGTAAACCAAAAATTTACTTTTATTATTACCTATTATGAATAATAGGGAATATTTATTTATCTTTGTATTTAAAAAAAAAACCATATATTTATACCTCTAATACAAGGTATTATTAAAAATACAAAATATTATATATTTCGCATGAAAATTACACCTTTAAGTGTCCAACTAACGCCAAGATAATAAATGAAATACATACTGTTACGAGCTAGGGGATCGGATAGAAACGCCGTAAATCTCTTCAAGGGTTTATTTCAATTAAATCTACGAGGAATTTGTTAACACTAAAAACTGGAAATTACGCACAAAAATTCACTAAATACACACACAAAATACTGTCACTAATTACTCTAATAACACGCACTTCACACAGTACTTGTATTCACTTTTCTTCACTATATTCGCACTTTGTCACTCCGGTGTTTATCGCTTGGTATCGCATTCAAAACTGAACTAATCGGTCGCGTTTCGGCTCGCTTATATATCCCTGGGAGCGATGTTCGAGAACTCTCTAGGCGGCAGTGCAACTGAGTAGCGATCGCACAATTCTAGAACGTGCGTACTAGCTATCTCTTTCGCACATTGCTCCGTCCTTGTCGTACGGCGTTCTAGAGTGCTCGGTCTAGCTTCGAGAAGGTTCCGATCTTCCTTCTCTCTCGCGTATCGTTCCGTCCTTGTCCCACACCTAGAAAATTCGTTCTAGAACATTCCTTCGTCAAAGGGGTATAACCAGGCCTGAAAACGCCTGAAAACGGGTTTCCTGAAAAGTGTACCATTCGACTACACGTGTTCTGAAACGGCCTGAAAAAATGTTTCAGGCTCCTGAAAACTAGGGTAACATTATGTAAATTGCGATTTTCTAATATGTGATTGACCCTCCCCTGAAACGGTCAGAAATCACATTTCAGCCTGCTGAAAAGTTCTCTAAGTAGTGGAAAAATCTAAAAACATTGCAGTCGACCCGTCTTCGTAACACTACCCCCTCCTTAGACATGCTCGTCCCGAGCATCATTACTTCCTTTATAGGGAGCCAATCGATTTATGTGAACGACTTTCGGTTTGCTTCTTAAACCACTCATTTTCTTTATCCGGTAAGTAACGTCATTAATCTTCGTGATTATCGTGTATGGACCATCCCAGTCAGCTTGAAGCTTTGGTGATTTGCCTTTGCGTTTTGTTGGATTATGGAGCCATACTTGCGAGCCTTCTTTAAATTCTATGTGATTCGTCTTTCTTTCATACCTAATCTTCGTAGTCTCACTTATTTTGCTTTGTGATGCTCGTACGTGTTCATGGATTTCATGCAGTTTATTACGCAAATCCGCAGCATATTCTGTAACACTCTCCGGGGTGTCAGGTGGTCGTCCCGTTACAATGTCTGCTGGTAATCTAAGTTGTCTCCCAAACATGGCTAAAGTGTCCGCCCGATGAGCCATCATGAAACATCTCCAAGATGTTGCGAACCTTGGATCTTGGCACAACTAACTGTAGATGAGAAGCATCCCCTCGAGTGTTTTCCCATTTGCGACATAACACTCCATTATGAAGAACTAAGCTATCCCATTGAGCCCAGTAACTCTTGGTCGTGGTGCTAGTAGATGCAACATCATTCCACCGCGGCTTGATAGCTGAAGATTTCATCCAGTCCAGAATTGGTTTAATGTCAGAATCTTGTTGTTGCTCTTCCTGAATTAATTTCCCACACCAATCTGGACTAATGGTGTCTGTCCTTAGTATCCTTACATGGGCTACCTCTCTACCTTCGTGTCTTGTACAATGTTTGCAATCCTCCTCACATGGCCTTCGAGACAATGCATCTGCGTTCCCGTGGGCTCTGCCCTTGCGATGTTCAGTAGCAAAGTCATACTCTTGCAGTTGTTCGATCCATCGAGCCACTTGTCCTTCCGGATTCTTGAACTGAAGTAGCCATTTTAATGCAGCATGATCTGTCCTAAGACGGAACTTGCGACCTAGCAAGTATTTACTGAAGTGCTGCAGCGTCTTCACAACAGCCAGTAGTTCCCTCCGAGTGACACAGTAGTTCCGTTCTGGTTTCGACAATGACTTGCTGAAGTAGGCTATTACTTGCTCGTGCTCACCTTTTACTTGTGATAGTACACCTCCAATGCCAATTCCACTGGCATCTGTATCTACCACATATTCACCATCTTGATCCGGGTAGCCTAGTATTGGAGTCTCACACAGTCGGTTCTTGAGCTCATTAAACGCATGTTCACACTCTCCATCCCATGTGAATTTCCTCTTCTGTTCGGTGAGTCTGTGAAGTGGTTTTGCAATATCCGCGAAATTTCTCACAAATCTTCGGTAGTAAGAACATAAGCCTAAGAAAGCGCGGACTTCAGTTTTATCTTTAGGTACTGGCCAATCCTTCACCGCAACTATCTTCTCAGGGTCTGTTCGAACTCCATCCTCTGATATAATGTGCCCCAAGTAGCTCACTGCTCTCTTGAAAAATAAACATTTCTTTGCACTTAGTTTCAGGTTGGCTTTATGCAGTCTGGAGAGCACCCGTTGCAGATTTCGTATGTGATCATCAAAATCCTTCCCAATGATGACTACATCATCCAAGTACACTAAGCAGGCTTCTCCTATCAGTCCTGACAGTACTTTTTCCATTAGTCTTTCAAAGGTGGCAGGTGCATTGCAAAGCCCAAACGGCATAACTTTAAACTGCCATAGTCCTTTACCAGTTGAGAACGCTGTTTTCTCTTTATGACTTGAGTCTATTTCCACTTGCCAGTACCCACTTTTCAAGTCTAAAGTTGTAAACCATTTTGCCCCACTTAAGGTATCCAAGGTGTCATCTATTCTAGGTAACGGATAACTGTCCTTCTTCGTGATATCGTTAAGACGACGGTAGTCGACGCAGAACCTTAAACTGTTATCCTTTTTCTTGACTAAAACTACTGGAGAGCACCAAGGGCTGGAAGATGCTTCAATAACATTATGGTTTGACATTTCTGCAATCATCTTGTCTATATTATTTTCATATGCGACAGGTACTCGTCGCGGTCTTAAACCTATAGGTGCTTCGGTTCCAGTCTCAATTCGATGTTTAACTACACCTGTCCTTCCTAGATCTCCATCGTGTGTAGCAAACATGTCAGAAAATGTTTTTAATAGTCCCTTTGCTTTCGACATTTCTTCTCTCGTCAAGGTTTCCTTACAGTCCTCAAGTATTGCTTTAACTATATCTCGTTGTTTACTAACTGTACCATCTTCAATGATAGCTCTATACACGTCGTACCCGTTCTTCAATGTGTTATCTTTTAGGGAAACTACTTCATCTCTACACTTGAATGTGCCGTTCTTCAGGTCAATCTTACAGTTGTAATGCTTCATGAAGTCTAAACCGATAATACAGTCATCCACGATGTCAGCAATAACCACCTCATGTCTGTATGTTCTTCCACCAATCTTGAAGGTAGCGATACCTTCTCCTCGAACGGTTATGTGCTGACCAGTAGCTGTAAGGAGCTGTACATTTCCACCAGAAAGGCTCTTGTAAAATGACTTCAGAAGTTGGTATCTGATTACTGTCCGGGAAGCTCCAGTATCAAGGGTTAACTCACACCTAGTGCCGTTAACTTCTCCGTCGATGACAATGGTATTCCCATCCTGAGTTTGAGAGATCATAACTTTTGGGGCCTTCCTTACAGAACCGGCCAGCACCCGCCCCGTGGTCCTGGCTTCTATTCGTTTCCCTGCCGCTGTTCAGCGGCAGTCACATCCACGTCATCGGGCTCCCCACGTCTTGTCTTCATTTCACCTCGGAGATCTCTCTTAGGGCATGAAAACCTCATATGCCCTACTTCCCCGCAGAGGTAACAGGTGGGTCCACGTTGGGAACTACGTTTTTCCGAGACAGCCCTAATGCGGTTAGGTCGAGAATCCTTGCAAAATGCTTCCACTTCCAACGCATGAGCGAGAGCATTCTTGAGGTCCTTATGGTGACCTAGGTTCACAGCCATTCGAATTTCACGGTCTCGAATACCGTCGACGAAGGCTTGAACCAACATCTTGTCTGCAACGTCTGGTGAGGATGCATAGGCTTTCCTAACCAGCTTCTCTATTTCACATCCCCATTTTTGCAAACTTTCATTTGTCTGCTGTATTCTATCCTTTAATTGAGCCCTATAGACGTGCTCTAAATGTGCGTCTCCGTACCGTGATTCTAGGGCATCCAGCAGTTGCTTCAACGTCACTTTACCTGTCTTGGTATCTAATATGGTGAGGGCTTCATCTCGCAGTCCCATAATAAGGGCGGTGACAGCCTGATCGTCATTCCACCCGTTTGACTCTGCCACAGTCTCAAACTGTATTTTGTACGCGCCCCAGGAAGATGTACCGTCAAAGGGAGGTACTTTCAGATTTCCAGATGGTGCTACAGTCGTTACGACACCTTTGGTCTTCAGGCACTGCATCTCTTGTTCTAATCCGAGAATACGTTTGTCCTGTTTCGAAAATTTGCAGTCCATATCAGATTCCAAGTTCTCGATTTTTTTATCTACTTCTTGTTTTAGGTCTCCTAATCTTTCTCCGATACGGCAAGCCTGTTCCTCCATCAAACGACGTGTCTGAGCCTGCTCTTCCACGATTTGGCGTGCCTGTTCCTCTTGACGGCGAGCCTGTTCCTCCATCAATCGCCGAACCTGTTCCTCCTGATGACGGGCCTGTTCCTCTTGACGTCGTGCCTGTTCTTCCATCATTTGTCGTGCCTGTTCCTCTTGACGACGTGCCTGTTCATCCATCATACGACGTGTCTGAGCCTGTTCTTCCATCATTTGGCGCAGGGCAAGGAGGATGTTGCTATCGTTGCTTTCGCCCATCCCGCGGTTCGCATCGAAACTTTGTCGCCGGGCGGCGTCGCGTGCTGATTGTGCCCTTGTCTGCACTCCCTCCGCAGCTGGAGACTCGGCCACAAACTCCTCTTGATTCTCCCTCGGAGTAATTGGCATTTTTCTATCCCACTTCTGACACCAAAATGTTACGAGCTAGGGGATCGGATAGAAACGCCGTAAATCTCTTCAAGGGTTTATTTCAATTAAATCTACGAGGAATTTGTTAACACTAAAAACTGGAAATTACGCACAAAAATTCACTAAATACACACACAAAATACTGTCACTAATTACTCTAATAACACGCACTTCACACAGTACTTGTATTCACTTTTCTTCACTATATTCGCACTTTGTCACTCCGGTGTTTATCGCTTGGTATCGCATTCAAAACTGAACTAATCGGTCGCGTTTCGGCTCGCTTATATATCCCTGGGAGCGATGTTCGAGAACTCTCTAGGCGGCAGTGCAACTGAGTAGCGATCGCACAATTCTAGAACGTGCGTACTAGCTATCTCTTTCGCACATTGCTCCGTCCTTGTCGTACGGCGTTCTAGAGTGCTCGGTCTAGCTTCGAGAAGGTTCCGATCTTCCTTCTCTCTCGCGTATCGTTCCGTCCTTGTCCCACACCTAGAAAATTCGTTCTAGAACATTCCTTCGTCAAAGGGGTATAACCAGGCCTGAAAACGCCTGAAAACGGGTTTCCTGAAAAGTGTACCATTCGACTACACGTGTTCTGAAACGGCCTGAAAAAATGTTTCAGGCTCCTGAAAACTAGGGTAACATTATGTAAATTGCGATTTTCTAATATGTGATTGACCCTCCCCTGAAACGGTCAGAAATCACATTTCAGCCTGCTGAAAAGTTCTCTAAGTAGTGGAAAAATCTAAAAACATTGCAGTCGACCCGTCTTCGTAACAATACTATGATTCAATTTATGACCGTGTTTCCATTTGCATTAAAATTATAAACTTTTTAAGTTATACTTCTTTAGGCGCGTTATGAAAAATTTATGAGAGTAAAATTTTACGATGCGCGCGCACCGTGACACAAAATTATCAGTATGAAGTTTTTAAACCAGCCGGGCGCCGAGCGTGCGCGAGCGAGATGGGAATAAGACAATCTACAAGTAAAAAGAAATAGAATATGCGTGACGTTAGCAGCTATGCCAAGAATTTTCAATGACCATAATGACATTTACCTTTTAAACAAATAAAGGAGTTTTAATTATTTTTTCAAAGAAATTTAGCAATGCTTTTTCACAAAGATCTATTGTTACTTAGTTAAAAGGTTATGAAACATACCTAGTTATTAAATTGAATTAATAATATAATAAAATAATAATAATAATTGTTATTTATATTAATTAATAATTGAATAATATACTAAATATTAAATATTGTTAAATTATTAATGCTAAATATTTACTATTAATTATTTAATATTTAAAAAAAATAAAGAAAGCCAAAGAAGTATAACTTCTTACGCGCGTACATAAGTACACGCACCATTTTTTTTTTTTTATACTCTCAATCATCACACATGTTACAAGGAGGCTGTTCACCAATGTGCCTATATATGACTAACATTCGCTCGTGTCAGGCACAAAAGACTGACCAACTTGTATTTAAGAAAAAAAAAACACGAAACAGCTGGTTGGAGACCAGGAGTTGTAACGTCATTTATTTGTATACCTGTGCGGGCAACCTTTGCAAATCTTCTGGTCTGAGAAAGTGCCTCCCATAGTCTTAGCCATCAACTGCTCTTGTCCCAACGATTTGAGGGCTTCATCCAAAGACTCGACGAGAGACATGAAGAATTCCACGGCATCTTGTTGCTCGCGTAGATTCACTGGTTCGCCTTGTAATCTGAACAAATAATAGATGGCAATCGTAATACTGTCAAAGGTAATTGTCTAATCGAAAACAATGAATACTGTAAACTAAAACACTGACATAATTCACGTCTGCGAAAACGTCTTAAAAGGCCGATAACGCACTCGCGAGCCTTGTGTCCGTAGGCGGTAGTATCACTTAACATCTGATGAGCCTCTTATCCATTATAAAAAAAAATTTTTTTGAAGAAATCTCGATCTTCGCTTTCAGCGCCTTGACAGCTCAGCTAGACTATAAGGGTGTGCAAGTATTACGTAAGCACTATAGGGGGGTAGGGGGGGTGGGGATTTTATTTTCTTATTTGGATATTTAGCCACACATTGTCTATGCTTGAAAACGAAATGCATTTTCGAGTATTTCTACAATATATTTATTCGTTTATGTATACTATTTTTATATATATGTATATTAGAGATGTTATGGATATGATATTTCGGATCTGGATATGGATATAGGAATAAAATTATATCGGTTTCGGTTACGGTTACGGATATGTAATTATTTCGGATTATCCGTTAGTTTCGGATAGTTTCGGTTACGGTTATTAGTTTGAAGTAAAATATAAACACAAATAGTATATAATTTAGTTATTAAATGTTTTCTTTTTAATTATTTTTGTGAGAAATGAACCCATTAACAAGACCCTGTCAAAACATGTAGTTTTATCTAGATTTTTGGACTCTGGCCTTATCCGAAACTATCCGAAAGTTGTGAAACGGATACGGTTAAGGTTACGGATATATATTTTTTTCGGATATCCGATTATTTCGGTTACGGTTACGGAGCTCCATAACATCCCTAATGTATATATTTGAGAGCTTTATTGAATTAACATTTCGTTATTTCGCTTATATGCTGCTACTTTTGCTGAAAAGGGGAAGGGGGGAGGAAGGAAATTAAACTTTATACTACAAATAATTGACACATACCTGAAGTGAGCCCAAAGTCCCCTCGGTACATAATACTGAAGTTTGCTGTAGTGCAAATGTGCGAATATCGCCTGAACCTGCTTCAGTATGGTGATGTTGTACTCGGCGCTATTCTGGTAAAAATTTACATCTTTAATATATACTACTCAAAACAGTTCTCCAGCACATGCTCCTACGGTACAGGCATACCGTTCCACATCGCGAGGAACCCGGCATGTCACAAACGTGTACTTGTATATAAGAATAAAACTGGTCACATACCCAAATATGGATGACATGTGTCAGACACAGATGGCCTACTAGTCTACAAAAATAAAACTGGTCTCATACCCAAATATGGATGACATGTGTCAGACACAGATGGCTGATCACCTACTAGTCTACAAAAATAAAACTGGTCTCATACCCAAATATGGATGAAATGTGTCAGACACAGGTGGCTGATCACCTACTAGTCTACAAAAATAAAACTGGTCTCATACCCAAATATGGATGAAATGTGTCAGACACAGGTGGCTGATCACCTACTAGTCTACAAAAATAAAACTGGTCTCATACCCAAATATGGATGACATGTGTCAGACACAGATGGCTGATCACCTACTAGTCTACAAAAATAAAACTGGTCTCAAACCCAAATATGTCAAGTCAAGTCAAAAATCATTTATTCATATAGGTAACACAATGTACACTTATGAACCTCAAAAAAGAAATATACATTAAATGCTTCTAAATTTACTGCCAGCTCTCAAATCAAGGGAGTAGAACGGAAGAGAAGAACTGGCAATAAACTCTCCGCCACTCTTTTTAATCGCCAAGTTTTTTGTTCACACAACGTGAAAATGTATTTAAGAAAATTTAAGATGTATATTTGTAAAAATTTAAAATAAACGGGCTTAATTATTATTTCTAATTAATCAAGGACGTTTTAAAAATAATATTTTCCTTACCTCAATATTATTTTCCATCATATTATGATGCATCTCACCAGAGAAATCTTCGTTAGGATCCGTTGCCGCTCCTGAAATCAATCGTAAATTACTAATGTTGTCATTCAAAAATACATTTTCTTTACGGAATATATTTCTATATTAGCTACTTTAAATTTATTTCTGAGGAATTATTTAAATTAACTATTAATAGATGACGTATTGTAGTACTCGGTATTCTATAAAGGGTAAGTTTGTTTAAAGTCTCTAAACACAAATGAGACATTTTTAACAATACCAGGGCTCACAGCCAGAACCGACTATAAAATAAAATAATAAATAATAGTTTAAAAAAAACTAAAAAACACGCTTTTAAAGCACATCAAACTAAAAAGTGAAAAATAATTCCTAATTTAGGCTGAAAATGGTAATGAACAAAAAATACTGGTATTATTGTGAAAAAGCGTGGGTTGCTCGATAGACGAAAAATATGGCACAGAGCATAGGAATTATTTTTCACTTTTTAGTTTGATGTGCTTTAAAAGCGTGTTTTTTAGTTTTTTTTAACTATTATTTATTTTTTATTTTTTAGTTAATTTTTTATTTCTCGGATTATTGCATTGTCATCGATCTTTGACAGGTGCGCAAAATTTGAATAAAATCTGTCCGTTTAAAGTGGGTCAAAATCGAGTCCGAAGGAGTCGGTAACATACATACATACAGGTGAAGCTAATTTAAAGCGTGTAAAAATAAAATATGTTTATTATGGAACATAAGATACAGGTATCATTCCACGTCATTAAATTTGAATTTGTAGGCATCCCTACTCATCGGCAAAGAAGACAGAGGGTGTAGGCCGAGAGGAAAAGCCGGCGTGAAAAACTTTCGGTACTCTTTTAAAATAGCAAATCATCAAACAACACATATTTAAAACAAATATCGCAAATTAATTAAAAGTAGCCTGTTTAGCACTAGGCAATATTGGAGGCGTGTCAGTTGAATAATCTCTTTCTGACCGGCTTGATCCCTTGGCGTTGCGTAGAGATGCATCTTCTACCACATTTACCATGAAGAGTTTTCAGAGGAGTTCGGACTAATACCTGCAGCTGAGTTTCATCATCGGACGTCGAGGCCGAATACGAAATTCCATCCGTATCGAAATTCATTCCGTCCTTCGACGGCCGTCGTTGCACAACGGAGCGTTTTTCAAGACAGTTTTTGTCGCCACCACTATGTGGAACCAGCTACCCACTGAAGTATTTCCGAACCAATTCGACTTTTACAAAAAGTGCGTACCGATTCTTAAGAGGCCGGCAACGCACTTGCGAGCCTTCTGGCAATGTGAGTGTCCATGTGCAGCGGTATCACTTAACATCAGATGAGCCTCCTGGCCGTTTGACCCAAGGTCTATAAAAAAACTTACCTTGTACAGTGAGTAGCGAATCCCGAACAGCGCGTACACAGTACAATTGTTGCAATACAGAGTTCATGTAGCAAGTGGCGCCAGCATTTTTCAACCCCACTAAACCAGCACAAGGGCGTGGCCCAACACACGGCATATACTCCCATTCCGCGAGCGGCATGTTCCTATCTGCACAAAATTTTTATTAAAATAAAATTTCCAAAAAAAATCAGCAATGAAGTTTCGGAAAAATAAAGTTTCTTGTGAAAAACTAATCTTAATAATTTGAACTCAACAACTAGTACATACTCGTAGTACAGTACCAGGCCATTTATAAATCGCATCGTGCTTTAGAAAGAGATACTCGCTTTGTAGAGCGTCATCTCTGTCACACGAAACACGAACAGTCCGGTATCTATTAGGAGACAGAGACGGCGCTATACGAAGCCGGAGCTAGCCGAAACTATAAATGCTACGGGAAAAAGTATATCTTAAAATTTATAGGAAATTTCTTGCTCTACAAATTAGTTACCACTATTTGTTATTTATCATAGACAATTAACTACATATTTAGCAAAAACCATATTGTAAAAAGTTTGAAGCGCTGCAAATAAAAAACTATGCATTTTACAGAAAAAAGTTTTCAATAAAAAAGATAGCAAATATTATTATCTATAAAAATGATTTCTAGAATTTTTGTCGTACGATGCGCGGTTCGCAAGATATTCGACAAAACGCGTTTTTCAAGATGGCGGCTGAAGTGAACCTTAAGTCATGACGCCCACTTGGATTTACATTCAGGGGACACCCCTGAACATATTCCAAAAAAATCCGTTTTCTAGTACTTTGCAAAAAAAACCCGGCGCTTGGACTATTAGATTTCTGAATCTGTTTCATGATCATTTTTAAATCTAATAGCCAAGAAGGTGTGTGTGCCTGTCTGACACATGTCGACTTTTTGGGTCCTAAGGCAAGCCAGTTTCCTCACGATGTTTTCCTTCACCGTTCGAGCAAATGTTAAATGCGCACATAGAAAGTCCATAGGTGCACAGCCGGGTATCGAACCTACGACCTCAGGTATGAGAGTCGCACGCTGAAGCCACTAGGTCAACACTGCTCTATTAAAAAAAAATACATACCGCTATAAAACATTAAATGCAATAGATTAGCCAATGCCGCCATATTGAAGAGGCATCCGTGCACGAGGGATAACAGCAAATCCGTGGCTGCAGCCACCGAGCCGGCGGTACGACATAGTGGTGTGGGAATGTCTTCGCCGCTACCCTCTCCTCTGTCGTATTCCGACATACGACACCACGCCCACGAGTATGGCCATAGAAATTGTGTTACCACTTCCTGTAAATTTCCTCTAGTTACATACGAGTTGCCTCTAGTTATATACGAGTTGCCTCTAGTTACATACGAGTTGCCTCTAGTTATATACGAGTTGCCTCTAGTTACATACGAGTTGCCTCTAGTTATATACGAGTTGCCTCTAGTTACATACGAGTTGCCTCTAGTTACATACGAGTTGCCTCTAGTTACATACGAGTTGCCTCTAGTTATATACGAGTTGCCTCTAGTTACATACGAGTTGCCTCTAGTTACATACGAGTTGCCTCTAGTTATATACGAGTTGCCTCTAGTTACATACGAGTTGCCTCTAGTTACATACGAGTTGCCTCTAGTTACATACGAGTTGCCTCTAGTTATATACGAGTTGCCTCTAGTTACATACGAGTTGCCTCTAGTTATATACGAGTTGCCTCTAGTTATATACGAGTTGCCTCTAGTTACATACGAGTTGCCTCTAGTTACATACGAGTTGCCTCTAGTTATATACGAGTTGCCTCTAGTTACATACGAGTTGCCTCTACACACGATACGGGCTACTTTAAGGATATAAAAAAAATTCATAAATAAATAATAATCTAATAAACTTTATCAATATGTCAAAATTATTCTAACAAAATCCTACAAAAAAATGAGATAGCTAGGATACAAGTATAGACTTAATTAGATATATAATCACTACATAGTATAAAAAAAGTCGCTTTCTCTGTCCCTATATCCCTATGTATGCTTAAATCTTTAAAACTACGCAACGGATTTTGATGCCGTTTTTTTTAATAGATAGAGTGAATGAAGAGGAAGGTTTACATGTATAATAATATCTATTGAGTAGTGGAGAAATACTGTTATTTTTGAGGTTTCCAATGTGATGTAAATATTACATTTTTTCCGCTTACATTGCGAATCCTACGAGATTTATCAAAATAATGTACTAAGTATTGTACATATTGAAAAGTTCTACAGAAAACTCCGCGATGGTATGTCTATCTCTTATGGATATCCCACAATAACATTTTTTTTGTCATTTACTTTTTACGACAAATGGCTAATTTTCGAAGCGATTTTAACCAATACAGCATTAATCCTTATCCAATTAAATACCTTAAATACATTGTTGATTAAATATAGATCTATATGGCCCTTTACAGCATATGATTTAAATGAATATATTACAGATTTAAAAATTGCGGCGGTACCGGCCGGCCGGGGCAAGAGCGTGCCTATGGAATATATTAAATAGCGCGTCGGAGGCCGCGGTTCTCCCTATACTCTATAGCACTTTGAATTTAGTATCAGCATTGCACCCGTGCGAAGCCGGGGCGGGTCGCTAGTTATTAATAATTATAAAGATTAACCTTGAAATTTGCTTTTACTTTAGTACCGATTTAAAATATGTTTAAAAAGAAAATACCTTTAACAAGCCCGAATCCTTGTGTTCCGGATGCGCGCCATATTGAAACTTAACCTGCGCAGGAACATGTGTGAAGAGCTCCTTCGTCAAATTTAAATGACCCTCGAGTAATGTGTCGTCTAAGGTTTCGGGATTATCTCGTAATGCCCGCAGCCATGCCACCTGATCAAAAATTTTGATTTTCATTCCGTAGAATCCTGACATAAGTGTTGCTACTAAAAAATGCGTGTACTTATGTACGCGCGTAAGAAGTTCTTTGGCATTATTAAAAATAGTTTTTTATTGCATGCAAATAATTAATTACAATTAAATAATCAAAGATTGGAAAAGGAGTCATTATAGTCAATAAAGTTTAGTTTACATTTGAAAAATTAAATAAATAAATATTTATTAATATTATATTTATAATTATTTTCAATCACTTCTGATTATAATTCAGACGCACATATAAAATTCGCACTTGTATAATGAAAACACGTGTTTTAAATGTAGAAACTCAAAGCATGTGGATAAATATTATAAATATAAATATAGTGACACACACATAACACAGTGAACAGAGGCGGCGTGCCAACATGCGCCACTAACTTCATTCTGTTAATTTTGTGTCACAAACTTCAAAATGATGGCGCGTAACCGAAAAACGTGACGATTTGCTACAAAATTTCTCCCATACGACGATAAAGAAGTTTCACTTCAATAGCTAATTTGAAACTTATGTAGAACATAAGTTCTAATTTAAATCACTCAAATTTCCCTTTCCTTTCTGAACATTAACGGTAGAACATTTCCCTTAAAGAACTTTTCGTTATATAATAATTAATTTTTAAGATAAAAACTTACTTCTGTAGCAAGATCCTCCAAAGTTTTAGCAGTGGGTCCGGCTAAGGCCACTAGCCGGCACAAGAGCTGCAGAAACTGATGGGCGTTCCTCGAATGCTGAGTGAGGCGGGGCAAAGTGGCTGCTCCACCCGCACCCCCAAGGGCCAACAGCGCCCCCCCTCGCCCCTCCGCCGCCGCCCCATCCGCACATAGACAGCAATTGTTCTGCGCACGATACCCGCACCTAGGAACATCATAACAAAAAAAAGTAGGCCACAAAATTTAAAGTTTCTAAAAATAGGAAATAAAAACCTAATCAAGACAGTAAACTACATAAATAAGTTGTATGTGTGCGAGGGAGTGAATGTGTGTGATAGAGCGAGTGTGTGAGATAGTGAGTGAGTGTGTGTGAGAGAGTAAGAGTATGTGAGAGAGTAAGCGTGTGTGAGGGAGTAAGTGAGTGTGTGAGTGAGTGTGTGTGTGTGTGTACGTGAGTATGTATTTGGGAGGGTGTGTGGTTTACGCACACGCTTAAGACCATGATATAAGGAATTTATTTTACTACATATAGCAGCTTTTCCGTTTGGTCATAGTTCAAAGTTAGTAAAAATTTATAGACTATTTGCTTTACACATTTTTTTGTGTTTACATCTGCGATATAATTTAATGTGTAATTAATAAAATAAATACTTTAGTACGTATTGTATTTATTATTATCCAAACATATATACCTGAGCACTCGGGCAGTCAATCATCAGGTACAAAGCCGTGTCCTGCCACCAAGACTCATGCAGCAGATCTTCCAGATGTCCACCTCCAAAAGCCATACAGATCGTCACAACTTCCATACATTCCCGAACCACTAGAAAATAAATAAATCGGTAATTAATCATTAGAAAAATTACAATAAAAATTAGCACCACCAAAAATAGCTAAATATGTGTTTTAACTTAATTCTTATCTCGCTGAATGTATATAATAATAATTTATGATTTTGTTATAGGGGCAGAACTATATTGGGTCTTTGATTTTCTTATTTAGTGATTACGTTAACATTAATTTACTTTAGTATTGTCTTTGATTAACATAACCTTTACACATTTAAAGAAAAAACTTTTTAACCGGATTAAAGTTATGTATTATTATAAATTTACAATTATTTAACATAATTTTAAATTTATCCGACGTTTCGCGTGCTTAACAGCGTGCGTGGTCACGGTGACCACGATTGATGATTTATAATAATACATAACTTTAATCCGGTAAAAAGTTTTTTCTTTAAATTAATTTACTTTTTTACACATATTACCCACACTTTGTCTATGCTTGAAAACGAAATGCATTTTCGAGGATTCCTACAAAAAATTAATACGTTTATGTTTATGGGGTAAATAAATTAACCACTATTTTAAAGTAAATTAATTTAATTTAATGTTTGGTTACAATTCACTTAATATATAAAGAAATAAACATATGTGCGTCAAATACCAAGTCACCAAGCGCACTACCTACGTACCACCGGTTACCTGCGAACACGCACACATTCGCGCGAATCCCGCAATACGTTTTCTGTAGTTCTGTGCGAGTGACGATATTATGATATCGATGTAAAATGTCGATAAAAATATAATACATGTGTATGCTACATGTTCTATTATTTTTGAGAGCTTTGATTTTTTCATCAGTGTTTTCTTATGACGTTGTCACGTTCAACTATCGTCAAGTAAACCGACTTTACAGTCAACCGATTTTTTTTTTGGGATTCACTGCTGGCTTAATTCGAATTCCAAAATATTTCTAGTAATTTATTGATTGAGGTGTGTGTGCGAATGTGCGTTATAATGTGATCTTAAACGTCGATTCGATTTGCTTATCTCCTTTGACAACATTTGATATAATATGGAATAAGTCGGCCTGCGTACTCATTATACACAAATGTGGTATAACACGAAAAACAATATTTTAGTTCCAAATAAGCTCACAGAGCGCTATGAAAATACTTCTCAATACTTCAAATACCTGTACTAACACATGGATCTAAAACTTGCCCACTAAAGCGCAGCATACAAAGCTACAGTCAAAGATTCATAGAACTATGTATGTTAGCGAAGAGGAAAATTTATAATATAAAGAATACATCATTAAGAAGAATAACTAAGGTAGATGTCACAATGAAAATAAATAAACTTAAGTGGAAATGGGTGGGGCACATGGCAAGAGAAACAGAAAAGTGGAGCAAGAAAGTATTAAACTGGCCCAAGTTACAATAAACGAAAAAGAGGAAGACCATTCAGAAGGTGTATAGACAGAAATGACGAAATTTGGGGAAGGACTGGATGAAAAAAAGGATGAAATAAGGACCTTTGCAAAAAAAGGCACACAGCTACAACACTCCTAGAAATTAATGAGATTATAGAAATATAAATGTCATTAAATGTAAAGTATCTAAAATTAAAGGCTTTTATTATTATTATGCTCCCAAAGCCTTACTCAAGTTTTCAATTAAAACGTGTCGTCCGTGCGCCCGTAAGTACGTACACAATACGTACTTACGGGTGCAGATGCCCATATGCTGCACACAATACGTGTCCCAGAATTCTTTATTACACACAATCAGAGCACAAATTAAAAACAGTTGAACACGTACGTGTGACGTCATCCGAGTGCACCAATCCGGTGACTTCCAAGGGCTGTGCCACAGAGTAAGTGAGTGCGTACAGAGCCCGTACCGTCGCTGCTGTCGGCACTCGCCACCATACAAGAGACGATACCGAATCACTGTCTTCGCCACTAGTTACCACCTGTATTCAAACTTTAGTTAGTAAAGTTAATTATATTCATTATTTTTTACAAAAATAACAGTATCCATCATTCATGAGCAGTGTTGGCTTCAGCGTGCGACTCTCATCCCTGAGGTTATAGGTTCGATCCCCGGCTGTGCACCAATGGACTTTCTATGTGCGCATTTAACATTCGCTCGAACGGCGAAGGAAAACATCGTGAGGAAACCGGTTTGCCTTAGACCCAAAAAGTCGACGGCGTGTGTCAGGCACAGGAGACTGACACTTGCCGAATAGATTAAGACATGATCATGAAACAGATACAGAAATCTGAGGCCCAGATCTAAAAAAAGATTGTAGCGCCACTGATTTATTTTTTAACAATATTCATAAAAATCAGTTTAATTGCAGCGTTTTTAATTAAGTTTTAAAAGAGATAGTTTAATTCTTAATTCAATTAACCTCTCTCCCTTTTGGTAACCTTTTTGCGTATTTGTTTGATTTCGCTGTTTTTTTTTCACATATTAGGTCCCTAATCCCTCTTCCATCCCTCATTTTGACATTTATAAAAGTGTATTTGTTCAAAAAATCTGTCATACACAAATTGACGAGTACACTTTTGTTACAGTGCAATTACATTATTTTTATGCTTAGAGGAAAAATGTTTTGTCACTTAGTTTTCAGAGTGAAACAATTGAAAATGTCAAAAACGCAAATTCTGACTCTACATATTAATTACCTTTAGATGAAGCTTGTTTATTAGAAAAATAAGAGCTTAGAGCTTTCTGCTCGCTACGTTCAAACTTATATCAAGTTTCAAGAGCTTTTTTATGTGGATTAATACAAAATACTATTTGAAATAACGAATAGAAGATAAATACAAAAAATCTGATATTCGTTTAAAAGATTGTTTATTAAACAATTTAAGAATATATTTATTTTAGTACTAACCTGCTCTGCAAGTGTATTGGCGAGTTTCTCAGCAATCGCTTTAACAATAATCTCGCAATTGTGATTAGGGACTGACTGCAATGCCTCGCGTAGTATTGTGACATCCATTCTGAAAAATATTCGTACTCCTACAGGGACGCATCGGATTTGGGTTTTACAACAAGAATGATTTCGGCATGCATATTTATAAATATATTACGATATTTATGACTTAGCCATGACTCCTTTATAATAGTATTTATTAAGACATACGTCATTAAAGTCTCAGCTCTGAATTTGGCTAGAAATTTCTTTATTAAAAAATAATATAAGATTGCCTGAAAGCCTACCCCGTATTGTTTCTAAAATAAGTGAAAAAATTACGAATTTTGGTCATAGAGGTACGCTCTGCTGAGAGAAAACGAAGAGTTCTAGCCTAGGATTTAATTGTGTTGCCTTGACATCTAATAGAAACCGCGGAGTTCCTATGTCTGTACAATAAGTTTTTTTTTTTAATTTAGTAAAATGTTTGAAAAATATGTACGAAATAATGAGCAATTATTTCGTTTTCTCTCACACTTCTTTATTTTTTTTTATAGTTAAACCTTTTTATTTTTGGATTTAAATGATAGGGAACTATTACAATTGAAATGGTTGTTTTAATGAGACCTTATTTATCGAAATCGGTAAGAAATGCTCTGTCTACTGTGATCGGGAAGCTGGCAGAGCATTATACAATTTTAAAAAAATAATCTGGGCTTAAAAGTCCAGAACTCTTTCTGAAAACTATCGGGAACTATAGAACTATTGAGTGTGCTGCTAGAACTCTCTATTTTTTGTGCTCTACTGGTAAGTGCTCCGCTAACTTCACAGACACGTCACTCATTAGGAGGTTTGCAAGTGCGCTGCCGGCCTTTAAGCACAACTTAGCTAACAGCTTTATCAACACTTACCTAAAATCCTTATCGAGGGCAGCTTCAGTTCCATCTGGTGCCAGAATTTCGAAGAGGTGTCCCAAAGTGTACAGAGCCAGCTTCGCCAGTCTTACCAGAGCTAGATATCCCACTCTGTAAAAATATACCTACTATAAAAGTATTCTAATAATAATTTTGTAAGGGAACTGGTTATTTTATTAAATTTTTATTTATTCATTTATTTTCTATTCATTGGTTTACCCGAGTTAGGTTAGGTTAAATACTAGCCATCAAAATAATATTTCCAGTAGAACAACAAGCGTGTAGCCAAATATACCAAAGAAATTCAACAATATAAAAATTGTCATACAACATCAATTTTTTTATATCTGTGTATTGGCAAACTAATACGACAGTATAAACAACTATTAACTATGCAAAAAATATAACAATATTATTATTAAAGAAGAATATGACTAGATTATTATAAAAAAATTTATAATAATGTATCTTCAAAAGATAATTAAGATAATTGATTTCATAGATTCCTTAACAAGCAGACACATGAATGGTTAAACTAATAAAAATATGGTTTCAACATTCTTAACGTCCCTTTCAAATTACTACGTACGCACGTTATACATAACGTATGCACATGTAACTACGTGCACGTACATATGCCGAATCTTTCGTTTCATTTGTTTTTGCAGAAAAAATAATTAACTATAAAAAGCCCTTCATTAAAAAATATAGAAATATACTGTCATAGCAAATAGAAATTTCGTTTTCAATGGAAAATAAGTGTATGTAGTTTGTTCTATTTCGATATTTTCCCGAGCAATTGTACAACTTTGTGATTCAAAGGCGGAAGGAAGATTCCTATTTAAAAACTAATAAACGTTTAAGTTATAGTTACCCTACCGCTTTGTCTTTATCTCTCACTTTGTATAAAAGCGAGACAAAACACTCACAAACCTACCTTCTAGTATGAGGTGCGGCACCCTTCAGAAATTCCCCGTTCGACAGACATTGTACTAACAGTGGGGCCTTCTTAACACAGGCCAACTGAAAACTTCTGTTGCGTTCGAGTCTCGTATCCGACGACGGCATTACCATACTGTACAAGACCTGCAAGGATATTTACATGTTATAATAAGTGCCAACTCATGGGGACATGTAAAGCATGTGCTACACGTATGAAACGTTTGAAAGAAATAGGATTTCGGCTACAGTTTAAAACCAAAGTTCCAAATAATTCTGAAGACTCTCCTATTGAATTCTGCATAAAATCAATTTTTAACGATTTTTTCTAATTTTTGAATCAATTTCAAAATAAACACCCTAAATTTTTTATTTTTCATGGTTTTTAATTAAAAGTAAACAATATAAATTATAAACACAAATTAACGTTTAAGAATAATCAAAATCGAAATTAAAACGAACTAAATCTTTTTGATAATTTAGGTGAAATTTGATAAATTGAGAAATTGGTTGGCCTTGGGTCTATAATTTTTAATTTTTCCGAGACGAGTCTTTATATGACTCGCATGATATATCCCAAAGACATGGCAATTCTCTTTATTCGAGCATTTCGTAACAACTTCACGTTCACTTGTCTTGTGCCATTGTGTAGAACGTCGTCGTCGGTGCGTCTACGCTCGCCGCCGCAGCACGACTGCCGAACGCGTGGTTTTAAACAAGCGGCTAGACGGTTTCAAACCAAGGTTTTGGTCGCGGTTTGCAACGCAAAGGCTGCCAAGGTCATATCAGTTAAACGAAATTTGGCATAAAACAACTATCCACACGGTTTGAAACCAAAGTTTCAAACCGCCGTTTCATATCGTGTAGCGCATACTTAAAGCTTACGGGTGTGTAGCCGGTTTTTAAGGATTTCCGTAAGCTGGAAGTCCTTTAAAAGCGTCCATGCGTCGAGTTGTCTCTCTCCCTAAAATATGGCTAGGGACTGATGGCTGAATATGTATCATACGCGTGAACGGGTGCTACTTGTGGTGACTGGTCGGAATTGAATTCGTGTATGCGGTGATTTTAGTTATTTCGACTATGTATTTGCGTGTTGTTCCCACGAGAATGTAAGTGCGTGCTCCTATTTCACCATGCCTACTGCTGATAGAGGACAAAACTTTGTTTTTTCTTTAATTTTCTTATATTATTAATTAAAGATGTTATGTGGAACGCGGTGTAATGGTTGCAGCTCCTTACAAAAATTTTGTAAAACAAAAAACTTGGCGATTAAAAAGGTGGCGGAGAGTATATTGCCAGTTCTTCTTTTCCGTTCTACGCCCTTGATTTAAGAACAGTAATTGTAAAATTAGAAGCATTTAATATCTATTTCTTTTTTGACATTCATAAGTGTACATTGTGTTACTAAAATGAATGGTTTTGAGTTTAAATTTTGAAAAAGACTTAATAGAGTGGAGATTCAACGCTAATTTTTTTTATAAATTATTATGATTAAGTGGTGAAATATTATTGAAATATAAGGTGCAGCAATAAAATTCTATTTAATTATTAAACTTACCTCTATATTATAAGCAACGGTGGGAGGAGATGGGCCATACAATATATCTTTAAGTTTGGAGTCATCCCGAGACAAGAGCGCTTCTGTTAGTTTCTCTACCTGTAAAGAATTTGCAAATAAACACATTGCTAAATCTAAATTCATATAAAAACCTTTAAAAAAACGTGTATGTACTTATGTACACGCGTTAGAAGTTATACTTCTTTGGCGTAACAAGATAAAAATCTTTTCAAATATTTTATTCTCCGTTTGTAGAAAAACGACATTAACAATAGAAAAAACTAAAATGTTAACTAACGCTAATTTCAGGGTGTCGGTTTTTTGTGACGGTGTGCGCGCGCATCGTAAAATCTCATTTTTCCTTCGCTATATTCATTTATTTCCTCGTATTTAGAAACTTCATTGCTGGAGGCAAGGCTCGAAGAACACGTGAATGTCGAGGCTATTAAACATCTTGTAAGAAGATTGAAAAGGATAATACCATTTGAATGACTGTGAGTGCACGTTGTCTTAAGTGCTAAACAATGGTAAGTGAAACAGAACACAAGAACAGAGTGTCTTCCCTTTTTAGGGTCGATATAGACTAGCTTATTTTTCTGCGCGTCGGTCGTACAGCATACGCGTTTCCGGACGCGCGTAAACTGGCATATTTCGGCGTGTTCGCTCAAACCGGTAGTGGCGTCGTGGCAGTATCAATATGGATTCTGACGAAGACACATTTCTATTTAGGTTACCTATTCGCCGTCGACTGAGGAGACGAAAAAGACCATCTTTTGGGGGTGTCATCGATGGTTGCATCAAGACAGAGAACCGGCCACTTTAATAAACTCTACCCAGAACTGCAAAATGATAATAGTGGCTCGCGCTTATACGAGCTTAGAAGCGCGTCAACGCTACGTGCCCACAGGCGCTTTCAAAACACGAGCGCGTAAAAACGCTAGACTGTAACCGCCCTTATAGAGACTGTAAGTAGTATGAGACACTTTCGTATGTAAATATCCTTATTAGTAAATTGGGTTAGACTTAAATTACTTATTAGTCTTTAGTTAAGGTAGATCGTTGTTAAATAGTTTTGTGCAGAAACAATTTATATAAAAAAGCAACTAAGGCAAGCCATTTCCACAAATCATAACGTCCAGCATGAGACATCTCAACTAGTAATCAAAGTACACCTGAGCTAAGCCATAGAGAAGTGACATTGGACATGATTAAGACTGAGCTTTTTTCCACAATTGAGCTTCATAGCAATCGATGTACTTACAGTCAGTGCTTATGAGGTGGGCATATTTGTGACAGCAAATGAGCTGCCTCAGTCAATGGGGCGTGCCCCTTTGTGATGCCGATGTGTTCCAACTCCAAAATGAATGGGAGGTACCAGGTTCCTTGTGCGAATAACTGGAATTAAGAATAAATTAAAAAAACTTTAGACGTGTCAAGGGACACCCGGATGGAACGAAATTCCTTTCGATTAATTTATATGTTAATTGGTATCATAACAGTATGATAGATTTTCTCGACACCAATCTTACGACAAAAAAAAGCCAACATCACGAGGTGTTCCCAGGCGGTCACCCATCCAAGTACTGACCTCGCCCGAAGTTGCTTAGCTTCGGTGATCGGACGAGAACCGGTGTATTCAACGTGGTATGGACGTTGGCGATAGCTAAATCGAAAATGTAAAATTTAACAACTATAGCAAAAAGTGTCGTTACAACTTTTGGTCTTAATTTATTCCGCCTAGCCCCCTTTCGCAACGCTCGATAGCTTCGTTCCAAAAAGACTAATTTAGTTAAGTGATTCCAAAAATAATTTTCATTTCTTATCCCTACAAAAAAAAGCCAACATCACGAGGTGTTCTCAGGCGGTCACCCATCCAAGTACTGACCTCGCCCGACGTTGCTTAACTTCGGTGATCGGACGAGAACCGGTGCATTACAATAGCAAATAGCAAAAAGGGTCGCTGACAACAATTGTTCGTAAGTATTTTTACCGTCTAGCCCCGTCTTCACAACGTTCATGGAATATAAAATGAACTTCGTTCCAATAATGTACTTTGATCAAAATATTAATAGGTGAAATTGGTGTTTTATTTTTTTTTTTTCGTGTCAGAAATGCGTTATCAACTACCGTGTACTTCACGGTTGACCTTATGGGGTGGGCTATTTGGGACTCGCACAACAGCTGCATACCGTCACTAAAACGTCCCACGGCGCCGACCAGTCCATCGCCCAAGAAGGGAGGTAACAGCGTGGCCTTGTCCGCATCAGACTCGAATTAAATATTCAGCCGTTAGTATTAATCGGTCCTTACGGATTAATGTATGTGGAATGGACCTTGGACAGCAAGGGCCTTTCAATCGGCCAAGTCACCCTGTTAATAAAGCTAGGGAGGTCGGGCACGTGCTTGCAGGATGCGTCAGCCATCCCATTCTTTTCGACGCATGGTAACCTCTGTGATCCCCCGACTGGAGCAACCGCGTGCCTTACAATGGATTAGCACACGGGTTGCTCGGTGCAACGTTTCGGCAGGCTGTGGTCTCCTACGGCGACGCGGGTGGGCTACAGGATCATCCTTCCATGGCCCTTTCCGCCTCTTCCTATTAATAGGTGAAATTGGTGTAGAGGCAACGGTAAACAACACTGATACTGGAGTGTCACAATGCACTTGAGGCAATTGCTTTTTTCGACTTTCCAGTGCTTTCCACCACATAATGGTAAATTTTAGGTATAAAGGTCACGACACGTTTTACTATACTTGGGTACAGAAAAACGTTACGGCGCGTTACATGGGGGGTCCCCGAATCTCCAAAAGTTGCGTGACGCAATACTTGAATGCTCCCTATGTGCCTGACTCGGGAAGTAGATTTTTAGTTTTTAACTCATGTTCTTTCATCGTAAAAGCAAATTTCGGTGTTCGCACACCTTACCCAACATTCAGCTAAAAACAGCATACTCACAACTCCCGGTAGTGCGTGCTCCGCAGTGGGTGGCAGGGGTGGCGAAGTTGCGCTACTATCGCTGCTGGATTCATTTGACGAACCGCATCCACCACTACCGCATACCTGCCCGTCGTAAACCTACAAAAAAAATAACTTTTTATATCTTTTACTTCGCAATGGTCTGACAGTATAAAATCAGTATTATCTGTATAAAATATTACATTATTATTATTATTGTCATTGCGTTATGGAGTAAAATAACTTGAAAATTTATATTTAAAAAAAAAATTTATACGTCCGTCACGCGGACACAAAACGATCACAGATTAAATAATTTAAAAAAATATTTTTTCGCTTGACCACGTGTAGTATTGGTTAGGTTAGGTTAGGTCGTTATTTTTGAGGTGATAATTCCTTATCCCATAAGAGTAAACCTTCGTTACGTAACGCGTTACGACGCCAGTCTGTCTAGCTTCTCTAAATCTTTAAATCTTTGATATTAATATCACCATATATTTTATACTGCAATAAAATTTGGAGTAATTTATTGATTAAAATACTTTTTCAAATATAACACGTTACGTCTGCAAAAATCCTCGGAACGGTGAGGTCGCTCCGGGAAGCCTGTGAAGTGCCCAGGAGACTTCTGTGCTTCTGGAAGGAGCTGGGCTGGCTAAATTAGCCAGGACTTAACGCACATCGGACCAATTATGTGTCTAATTGCGGAAATGAGTCCATCAACACTAACCCTAACACGTTACGTCACTAATTAAACTGTACAATGTATCGAAAAACTCTATCAATAGATAAATGCAACCCGGCTGAGTCTTTTGGCCCCTACAAGAGGACATTTTGGACAATCACAAACAAACTACTGCATTCATTTTCAATAATAAAGAAAGATTACATACCTTAGCAACCAATATGGTTTTGTCCCTTAAATGTATTTGTGAGAGAATCTTCCGGTCATGACTCGAGTCCAAAAGTTCTCCATTAACATATAATTCTAACTTATTTATATACATTTCTAGTTTAATACTGCTCTCGGACGAGCACTTTAACCTGAAAAAAATAATACTTTAGTGCCTTTACTATATTCGCAACAAAAATGAATCAGTGGCGCTACAACCTTTTTAGGTCTTGACCTCAGATTTCTGTATATGTTTCATGATCTGGACTATATTCGTAATAGATTTGTTACAGTAAATTTTGGACCATCCATGAAATATGTAAATTAAATCTTGTCTACTCATAAAGCAAGATAAATTCATTTGTTGAGCCTTTAATGTGAACATAACAAGTGAATGTATCGAATTCTTTTTAAGTCATTAAAAAATTTAAAGTCTAGAATAATAGTCTTTGGTCACATGCATAGACAATATATACATTTATAGAAAAGGAGGCAAACGGGCAGGAGACTCTTCTGATGTCAAGTGATACCATCGGCCATGGACACTTTGAATGCCGAAGTGCTTGCGAGTGCGTTGCCGGCGTTGAAATTATTGGAACGCTCTCTTCTTCCACATAGTGGTGGTGAGTTAATAGAACTCAGTTGTGGAACAACAGACGTGGAATTTCGTATTCTGCCTCAACGATCGATGATGAAATATTTTAAGTCTTTTCTATAGAATTGACTGTGACCATAGCTCTCCATCCGGTATGCATTTAAAAAAAACGACGGGTTGCACTCCGGGAGTGCCGGCAGAAGTGAAAACTTTAATATTAACGTTGTGAATTTTTGATATTTTGGAATGGTTAGGGAATAATTTTGCACGAATTGCTTTAATTATCAGTATAAAAGTACTATCATTTATGTGGTAGAATACAATATTTATTTATTGCGCTATCGTACACAAACATGACAACTTATATTACATTAAATACGCCACGCCAGCAGTCTACTCTCCATCCGTCTTACGAATTTTCGATCAGGTCACGTGTCCTGACGCGAGTTTAACATTTTTTTACCCATTCCAAAAAAAGTGTACAACGCCGCTAAAGAAGTTTCCACATACACTACATACCAGTATTAATTAACTTACCGCCTTTGCACAGCCACACGCAACGAATGAAGCGTCTCGTTCGAGTGTGAAAAGAGTTCAATATCATCAATTTGTCTTTGGCCCGTTTGAAAATTGAATCTCACTATAATTGTACACTGGCGCCCTCTGCCCGATCTGTATATCGGCAATATCTGACGATCGGCCGAAAACTTTCTATCACATTCGTTTATATATTCTTGTATGGCACGAATCACTCTACACATTTTTGTACAACACTCCGATGCGGCTGAAAAATAAAATATTCAATCTTATATAATTCTGTAAAGTTGGACCAATGTATTCTGCCCCACAGCCACCATGTAAGATATCTTGGCTTACACATTCATCAAATGTAAAAAGCAGGAGTTACAGCTAAAGTACAACAGCCTTTACTGGATGCTAGGAAGAAACTCAAGACTTTCTCTAGATAACAAACTTCTTATATATAAAGTCATCCTAAAGCCCATTTGGACATATGGCTTCCAACTGTGGGGCAGCGCAAGTGATACCAACATAAATATACTCCAGCGACAACAGAACAAGATCCTAAGAGCAGTTGCAAAAGTACCATGGTTCATAACCAACAACGAAGTTCACGATCGCCTTAAAATGAGAACTATCAAAGAGGAAATTCGGAGACTGGCAGCTAAATACAAAGAGCGGTTAAGCTGTCACCCGAATGAACTTGCTCGCCAACTCACCATTAGACAGTATGTGAGTCGACTAAAACGTCACCATATTCTAGAGCTAGAAGACCGGCAGTAGCTCTAGACAGAAGATGAGTAGATGCTTCCAATGGGAAGTCACTCCACATGACGGCACCACAGAGAAAATTCTCTCATAGCCTTAGGGCTGATTGCAAATAACCGCAAAAAAAAACTTATATAAATATGTCTGTACTACAGCTTTGCCTTCTGAGCCTTTGGACTAGTAACTCATTTTAGATATATATTGATACACAATTAACCAAATTCGAGGCTCATTGGTCTACAGGTTCGATCCCCGGCTGAGACAAACATCGATGTGATGAGCATTTGGTGTTGTGCTTAGGTCTTGGGTGTTTAAATATGTATTTATATGTCTAACTATCTATAATATGTATGTATAATGTATATCCGTTGCCTAGTACCCATAACACAAGCTTCACCAGCTTAGCATGGGACTAGGTCAATTGGTGTGAATTGTCCAAAAAAAAAATAAAAAAAACAAAACATTTACGGCAAGGGTATTAATGTGTGCATAACAATAGAAGAACACGTACTAAGCGCGTATCGCGTTTGGCTTCAGTCTCCACCGTAAATGCTGTGTGTAACTTTTGTGCGCGCACAGTGTTGCACACTTATTCACTGAGAAGAAACATATGCATCTTGCCCGGGCTTCCCTTCATAAATTCTTGATCATTTAAAATTACTTGGCATAGTCCGCGCACAATTAAAATTGTTCGCTTTGGTAGCGGAAGCAAGATTGAGTTCGCGAACAACGTGTATGTGCGCGTCGACACGAGTCCACTACTTGTAACGGGTGCGCGCACACAAGTGCACTGTTGCGCGCAAACTTTGCTGAAATATTCGTGCACAATTTTTTGCCTCACGCTGTGCAATACTGTGCGGCACTGCACAGCACACTGGTGTAATCATACTTTAACAAAGACGAGAAAATAAGTCCCTTTTTTAATCTCATCTTGAAGCTAAGGGTTGAAATCACACCTGGATAATAATTAATATAATCGCATAATATAAGCCTAATAAAAATCAGTACCTTCATCAACCATTTCGCTATGCAGCCTCTGCGTACGCGCACAGCACTGAGTGAGAAACGCCTCGTGCTGTTGTGCGGGCGATAGAGACGGGCCCGTACACGTGCACGTCTCGCGGAGCAACTCTATACCACGACTCGATATCTCATCGTTACACTCTGTTATCACCTAAAGTTAAATATTCTTTAAGAAAATTAAATTAAAGCATTATTCTCCTAACAAAACAATGCTTTAATTTTTTTTTAATTATTAAAGTACAATGTGTCCCGACCAAGGAGGTTTCAATTCAATTTAAGTACACATAATCTGTGGTGAGCGCTGGTTCCGAGCCAATAGACCAATAACAGACTTTTGTTTCTTTCATATTGCATTTTATTTAATGTACCTATAGCCATGAGATTAAATAAAGTAGTGTATGCAACTGCATATAATTAGGTATTAAAACACTCGTGTAATCTTATTTTGACTACACTCATATTTTACTACCCTCTATTATATGATAGCATAAACTACTATTATTTAAATATTTCTTATCTATATATTACATGACAGCGTAGTATTTGTTAATTTTACTGGGTAAATATAATACCTCAGTTACATGGGAACTAAACATTAGACTAATCTAATTTAGTATTGAAAGGCCGGTAACGCACTTGCGAGCCTTCTGGCAATGAGAGTGTCCATGGGCGGCGATGTCACTTAACATCAGATGAGCCTCCTGCCCGTTTACCTGCTACATCAAAAAAAGTTTAAAACAGTCTGACACAAATCGTTAACTGTTTTTGATGAATGATAATAAACAACGTGTTTTTAAAAACTTTAAAAACACGTGTTTAAAAGCTTGGTTCGACGCCATCTTGACTAGAGGAAATTTTTTAATGTTAGTCAATTATGTTTTGCATAATCAAATAAAAGCAACTAATTAAAAAATATGTATTATCTTCCGTATTGTATGGAACTGACCCTCCACAGATAATCCAATCCGATAAGATTTGGATCGTTAAGAAGGAACCCACGCCGTCTCGCCTTCAATTTCCCCTCCTTTGAATTGACGGCTTTGAAAAATCTGAAATAACACATAAGGAATTAATATCTCACGATTGACAAATTTGCGGCCAATCATCCGAAAATTCCGATCTCTTCTGTGTGTTTTTTTTTTAGTTAGTTTAAGGTCATCTAGTAAATCAATAAGTATTTATTATAATTTGAATGAATAATTAAAATTAATGTTGGCAATTAGCTTGTGCCTAATATGACAAACTCGAAGTGGAGAATTTAAATCACGACCACAACAAATGGATAAGTGCGAACATTGATCAAAAACATCGCGAATAAATCGGAATTCCTTACACCCAAAATCCGACGGACACAGAAAGATGATCACCAAATTTATATTAAGAAAAATATATCTGTTTGATGTAAGTCTGTCTTTCAAAGTCAAAAATCATTTATTCATGTAGGTAACACAATGTACACTTATGAACGTCAAAAAAGAAATATACATTAAATGCTTCAAATTTTACATTTACTTCCAGTTCTCAAATCAAGGTCATAGAACGGAAGAGAAGAACTGGCAATAAATTCTCCGCCACTCTTTTTAATCAATGTTTGTAAGGAGCTGCCACCATTACACCATGTTCCACATGACATCTTAAGTAATAAATAATAATACAATAAATTAAAAACAAAGATGTGTCCTCTATCAGCAGTAGGCATGGTAAAATAGGAGCACGCACTTACATACTTAACATCACCGCATACACGAATTCAAGTCAGACCAGTCACCACAAGTAGCACCCGTTCCCGAGTATGACGCATGGCCAGCCATCGGCCGAATAATAAAACCAAATCGATGCATATAGTAATTGAACTTTGCGAATAAATTGAGGGTAGAAATAAAAACGTACCTCTCGAAGCACTTGATCCCCGAGTGAGTCAAAAGATTTGGTAACAACGTCATTATGTTTTGCCGAAAAAAAATGTAAATTTATATTTGGATCCAAATCTGGTTCCTCGCCCATTAATTTACTGAACCAACGAAAACACGCCTCACGGTCGCCGTTGTGTGCCGGCTTTTCGGCTAGACACACCCAAATCTGTTTAGCCTGAAAATAATGTAAACGCTTTATTAATTTTCATTTGATTACTTGATTCAATCTATATGAAAAAAATTGAAAATAATTCCTAGCTGAATGTATCTGAGCAAATGTTCTATTTACTTTATCTATGCACATTGACAAATGACAGTTGACAGTGACATACGCTAAGTTATTTATTTCGTAATCCTACTATCAAAAATTATATATAATAACAAACAATTCCACTATAAATATAGCCAGAGATGGAATACATAATCCTCAGGCAGTCCTCGTACTTACGGCATGTTAGGTTCTCGAAATACGCGACGTTAATCGAAACGACGTAAGTCGAGACATATTTTTTCGTATGTTTACATGTAAAACTCAAGGGTTAGGTTCCACACGGACTCGAAATTAAAAAAAACTGCATTTATAACATTTTTTTATTTTTTTTATTATTAATTTTAATAATAATTATAAATCTTTAATATGTAATCAAAATATGTAATGAGAAATAATAAATTAAACATTTGGCTAAAGAAACTATCAATCTAGATTGCTTTGCTTCTTTCTCCTTGCTATCATACAGTTCTTGGTAATACTGATAGGCTGCACAAATTTTATTATTAACGTTGAAATATCTCAAAATTAGGATCATTTTCTTCAAAAATTTTCATGGCATTCTCCAAATTTGCACAAGACAAGTGAATTCTCCTATGCCGGAAATCGAAACTAATGACGTACGCTTGAGGAATAGTGTCAAAACATTGTTCGACGTAAATCGAAACGACGGAAGTCGAGGACTGCCTGTATTTAACTACAAAAAGGTTCAAAAATTTACAAAAGGGAACGAACAATAAACATTATTCGATACATTTAACAAAGAGATAACTAATTTGGCTGTGTTGTGTGATGTTGTAAAAGTATGAACGCGAAGTTTGTATTGGTCTAAGATCCCGATATACAACGACCTTCACCGAGATGCTTATTTAATGAAACGTATTTTATATTCAATTTAATATGTCAATAAATATAATCCATATGGGTTGCCTAGCAAATTTCAGTCCAGAGTATTTTAATATTGAAAAAAAAAATTTTTAAACATTTCACCGGCATGATTATTAGATAAATTCTAAACCAATCGAAAGTATGAAGCCCATAGAATATGCAAACGTTAGGTTGTTTTTAATTAATTAATTATTTATGTGTATATTTTTTATATGACACTAAAGTATATATACATCTTTAGTAAAAAAGAAAGTTATAGTGATACATATATAATACTACCCTGATTAAAAATATGGATTGAAAAAATTTACTACATGCAAATTATAATTTTTTTTTTTTTAATATTAATTAAACATACTCTGGACTGAAATTTGCTAGGCAACCCATATGGATTATATTTATTGACATATTAAATTAAATATAAAATACGTTTCATTAAATAAGCATCTCGGTGAAGGTCGTTGTATATCGGGATCTTATACTATATGTGGTGATTATGCGCTATGGATATTCTTAATACTCCTTTTAAGATTCCGATAGCTTTGATTTGTTGGCTTCAATATTGGTCGTTGTATGTTCGGGCTGCGCGAAACCAAACCGAGTTTTTTGCAGTTGTGAGGAATGAAACAAAGCACGATTACCTGTTCAGCACATAGCCATAATTGTCCATCCTTCAAGAGAAACCGTAGAAAACTGAGCCTTTCATGCACTTGCGCGGCGTGTGGATATCTTCCATCTGGCAACCAATTGTCCCAATCTAGTTCACTTTCCGCTGAGAAATCATACAAAATGCTTCTTAACTAAATACTAAATTCCTATAAGTGTCAAATTTTGGTAAAAATGTATCAAGAAAAGCAAAAGGTCATCCTGATATCTTCTGGTCTAGCAAGTCTTTAAATTCTTGTACTATGTGATAAGTTCGTAATACAACAGGTAACAAATCCTAAAAGAACTTAATGCTTTTTCAATAAAAAAAACTATTATTACGACAAAAACAACTAGATAGATATCGTAGTCCTTTTAAATTAATTAGAGGCTAAGAGCAGTGTTGGCCTAGTGGCTTCAGAGTGCGACTCTCATCTCCGAGGTCGAAGAAAAAAAGCATTTAACGTTCGCTCGAACGGAGAAGGAAAACATCGTTAGGAAACCGGTTTGCCTTAGACCCAAAAAGTCGACGTCATGCGCACAAGAGCCTGATCACCTACTTGACAAATGCTCGTGAAACAAATACAGAAATCTGAGGCCCAGACCTAAATAAGTTGTAGCGCCACTGGTAATTAGCTTAACGGTTGATTTTATTTTTCTTATTGATATCATGTGAAGCAGCCAATGATCACCTCCTTACATCTTATAAAATTAATGATTAAATCGATTGGCAGAAAGTTTCGTGTAAGTTTTCATTTATTCCACCTTCGAGAACTGGCAGTCAATGAGAATATTCCAGAGTCTTCAATAAGTTACCTACATGAATATAAATATTTTGACTTTTCAAGCAGAAGTTAATTACAAAATATCTTAACAAGCTCTGAAGTAAAAACTAACAAACTATAGAAAATAACTGCCCAGTGATTTATTAACCTCATAGAAAAAGCCCTTATATTTTAAGAAATGTAAGATTTACTACTCCTGTTTTTAGTAGGAACTATACGGTATTAGTGACCTGATGCATTATAGTATACTAAGGTGGCTTCGTATGTTTAATTAAATAAGTACAAAGCCACACTGGGACACGAAAAATCGAATAACTATAGTAATAATAATAATAATTAAAAAATGTGTAATGTGGTACAATCCTAAGTTTGCATATTCATCACACACAATGGCGCGCAAATTTGTCTTAAGCTATTTTACATTTCACATTATTAGTCATATGAATTGGTCAATTCTTATATTATTTATATCATACATATCATACGTTACTAAATTTAGGGTCGATTCGACCAAACTTCAATTTATACACGAGTAACTATACCAAGAATAATCTATTCCATGATTTTAATCTCGAGTAAATCCATAGTCGTTTGTCCACGTAATCGATAGTATAATTGCGCTAGGAATAACAATACGCGAATAGCAAGAGAATGGTGAACGAAAATAAAACTCGGCAAATAAATGTTGTTCTACAACGGGACAGTGTAAGAGCATACATCATGTCAACTCGATTTTGCCGTATTATAGAGTGAAAAAGTAGCTTTTAACAGGTGTCAAACGACAACAAAAAGTTTTTATTTCTTGTTTGTTTGAGGCTTTTGTCTAAAAAGGAACTTCTGTTGAGCCTAGTTGAATTTCATTCTAATATTATAGAAAATAAAAAATCTAAAAATAAATAAATAAATAATAAATTGTTTAAACGTTTCATTATACAATGCCAGACTATTAATTTAGTGCGTTGCGTTGACTTGAAATTAAAACACAGAATACATATTTGTGAAATGACAGAAATCAGCTGATTGGACTGACTGACGCCATTAAATTATTCTAGGAATAGCTGTTATTCCGTGCGAAACGGCGGTATAGTAGCTATTCCCGAATAAGCCCACTATTCTTATAATTTGTAGTTGGTAAAACGTAAAATTGATTTACTCTCGATTAACTGACGATTTATTCTAAGATTAAGATTTACTCTTGTTTGGTCGAATCGGCCCTTATAGCAACTACAGTCTCACGTAATAAGAAAAGTAAAAGTAAGAATATTATTAATTTTTGTAAGAAAACGAAAAAACCGCTCCGTGGCTGTATTTGTAACTAAACGAAAGCACGAACGTGCACCGTTGTGTAAAATGCATATATAGATTATGGATACTTTTGATCTGTGAAAAAAACTCCGGGAGTGCCAGCACAAGTGAAAACTTGAATATTAACGTTGTGCATTTTTGATATTTCGGAATGGTTAGGGTTTAATTTTGCACGAATTGCTTTAATTATCAGTATAAAAGTACTATCGTTTATATGGTAGAATACAATATTTATTGAAGTGAAACTTCTTTATCGGGGTTGGAAATAAATGTAGAGTAACATTTTTGCGTTACGCGTCACATTTTTCCGTTACGCGCCATGTTGCTTTTTGAAGTCAAACTTCTTTATCGGCGTTAAAATATGACATATAGTATGTTTTGACTTTGAAGTTTGACAACGGATTACATTTTCGAAGTCAAACTTCTTTATCGGCGTTAAAATATGACATATAGTATGTTTTTGACTTTGAAGTTTGACAACGGATTACATTTTCGAAGTCAAACTTCTTTATCGGCGTTAAAATATGACATATAGTATGTTTTTGACTTTGAAGTTTGACAACGGATTACATTTTCGAAGTCAAACTTCTTTATCGGCGTTAAAATATGACATATAGTATGTTTTTGACTTTGAAGTTTGACAACGGATAACATTTTCGACTTGAAATTTGCTAATCGCAATTTGCAGCAATTAATTTGTAAATTGTAGGCAGTGTATCAAAATTTACTGTGTTTAAAAAAATAGTTTCTAATAAGGTCATAAAGAACTTTCACTTCTTACGTGTGTACACCTAGTACACGCACAGATTGTTATTTATTTATTGCGCTATCGTACACAAACATGACAATTTATATTACATTGAATACGCCGCGCCAGCTGTCTACTCTCCAACCGTCTTACGAATTATCGATCAGGTCACGTGTCCTGACGCGAGTTTAACATTTTTTACCCATTCCAAAAAAAGTGTACAACGCCGCTAAAGAAGTTTTCACTTCAAAAACTTATTGCCTACGAACATTTCACAATCGTTCAAAAACTCTTACCTGTCATCTTCTCCCGTACCATGTCCATATAATGTGTGAGGGAATCCGTGACCAAAATAACAAGGGAATGTTGCGTCTGTAGTCGATCTATTAACTCCTGCCGCGTCACGTGAGGCCTCACGCCCGCATTACCACCGGATTCGTACAGACAACATATATCACGCATCAGTTTTAACGCTGGCAACACCCACTTCTCGTTGCTCTTTAGTTCCTCCACACATCTAAAAATATCTAACTTTTAAATCATGGTCATTTTGTCTATGTCATAGATATAAATAAAAGTAAAAAAAAAACATATTTTACTCCTTTTCAATCACCAAAACTTATTTATAGATAATCGTAGAGATACTGTTCACTTGTTACTGTTTATTTATAATAAATATTTAATTTTATGAATGAATATACTTAAAAGCTACGAGCTTGTAAGAGCCAATGCTGTACATTTTGCTCACTCAGGCTTTCTTTTATAAGCGTGGCGCTTTCTTTAATCGTCGGAGTTACACCCCGAGAGTATAGCCAGACATAGGCACTCTCTTCCGCTGTTAACTTACATTCATTCGTTACATAGCAATTAACATTTCATAATTTCGCTTATATTCTATTGTTGTACACAAGTGGGTAATATAGAGTAAAACAAAAATCTTTTATTATTTAAAGCACCCCGATGACCCAGGAACCATACATTTTGGTCCTTCGAGCCGGAGAACCAGCGACCAGCCGTGGCTTGTACTCTAACCTACTGATGTAATATTATTGTAGTTAACACAATAATATAATATGGACTTATGTTAGCTTAAATAAATAAATAGCAGGCACAGACACATTTTAATGTACTCACTTATCTAACCAAAGCGTTTTCTGCGCATCGCGATCTTGGCTACAACTATAGTCGAGTATTTTTATGAAATTTGCCAAAGTCGAATCGAGAATTTCTGTGCAGACATCGTCAGAGTGCGCCAAATTCCAAAACAGTACTAACACCTATAAAAATATTAATGTCTTGAATATTTGCATTACAAGGTATACCAAGTGTCAAATTTTTAAAGCATTTATTATTTGACTGTTTTGCATATAAATGGCGCTACAACCTTCTATACTCTGATTTTTAATTCTGTAAAATTCTGACAGCTATCATTTTTTGACATGTTTTGGGCGGGCACATTTTTCCATTTCATAACGAGTCTGAACATCTGAGTATATATACATATACATACATTTTATTTTTTAGTGAATGTATCCATTTTATTAAGTGCTAATTGATAATCACGTCCCTTTTTATGACAAACAGTAAAAAACGCACAAGTAAAGATAACATTTTTTTTTTTAAGTTTTACTAAACCTGGAATTAGTAGACAGTGATGCCAGCTAAAAAATAAAATAAAGTAATCAAAGTTAATGCGATATATTGTTCGTGTATTGTAATATTTGTTATTTTTGTATTAGGTCACTTGAGTAAGTAAATTTTAACATTTAACTTTTTGTAGGTAAAACATTAAAAATAGGTAGCATTTTATTTTTTATTCACAAATGGGTCAAATTTGTCCCATTTTCGGTGGGTTTTTTTTTTAGTAGCAACACTTATGAAATGTCAGAATTCTATGGAATGAAAAATCAGAGTATAGGTCGGATTTAAACACTTTTACATACTTTATTCGCCATAACGCCGTCCTTATCATCCTCGGCCAACCTCCTTATCACTTCTAATAGTTTATCACTTTGTTTCTTACTTGATGTAGACCAACTAGCCTGAAATGTACCAAAAATCATTTAAACTCTAATATTAATAGACAGTTGCTTAGGGAGCGTTCCAGTATTACGTAACGAATTTGGGGGGGTCCTTTTGTAAAACGTTACGATGAGAGGCGGGGATTGAATTACGCTTTATTGTTAATATTATTTTCGACTTTCCAGTACTTTGCACCACATAATGGTAACTTTTGGTACTTGGGTACAGAAAAACGTTACGGCGCGTTACATGGAAGGGGTCATTAATCTCCAAAAATTGCGTGACGTAATATTGAATGCTCCCTTACGACAGTAGATTATTTAGAATGTTGATTATTTTTAGAGTATAACACAGAACACTACATAATATAGTTAAGTGACAGTAATAACTTATAACAAATATAAAAAAACTGTGGAGCTATGTACGTATTGTCCTAGCCCGTAATAAACTCGACTGTCGGCATCATACGTACCGAACTTTCCAAAAAATACGTTCATTTTTTTTTACAAATTGCGCATGCTTGCACGTGCTTTATCACGAAGATGCCTCAATATCGCAAGATATGAATAAAATAAGTAAAAAATACAACATATTTTCTGGTACAGCAAAAGCGATAGCATAGCGTTCAAATAAGAATTGTATTTTACGTAATTACTAACATTAGTCTGAAAAAAACTTTTTCTTCTTCTAATACAGATTTTTCTTCTTTCCATTTAACGACAACTCTTTGTTCGTTACATAGAGTTACTGTATTTAAATATAGTTCAAGAAGTCTAATTAGTTAAGTGTCATATGTTATTAAAGCTATACAATAGACATACCTTAAAACAATCAAAAAGATGATCCAACTGGTCAGGCGTGAAGTCCCAAGCCAACTTAGCCAATAAATCGTGTAGATTTTTAACGATCGCTTCATGTTTCCCGTGCTGGGCCTTCCATATCGCGTCTAAGTCCTCTCTCGTGAGGGAATTCTCTTTTATCATAAACCTAAGCATTTTCTCCAACCGTTCAACATATTGGGGCTGGTGTAAGGAATCACGTAATACTATATCAACTACTCCATTTTCTCTTATCCATGTCTAGAAAGGGGTACAAATTATTCATTATTTTGTACAAAATAAGATTGTGTCCAGGGTAGGGTCTTGACTACAAGGTTTAATTTATAAATTTGTCTTGGAATATTTCGATTCACTATTAAAACGTTCCAAATCAGTCACCAAGCACTTGTATATACGTTGTTCATAAAAGTTAACGTGACCCCCGAACGCTATTTAAAGGTTCGTCTTTGCAATTAATCCCAATGGGCCATGAAAGAATAATTTAAGATTCATAAATTCCTGTGATACAGTCACAGGATATAACAATAATAAAACCACAAAAGTCTTCGAGTCGTCGAGAACAAAGTCTTTTGTCAAGTTAATGCATAATTAGTTTTAAGTACAAAATGTCATCCCATTTAAAAAGGAAAAATTTTAAATGAAAATTTAGGGAAGAAAAAAATAGATAAAATAAAGAATACATAATTAAGAAGAATAACTAAGGTAGCAATGAAAATAAATAAACTTAAGTGAAAATGGGGGAAACTTGGCAAGAGGGACAGAAAAGAGCTTTGCTCCACTTTTCTGAAGAAGACAATTTAGTAGGTGGATAGACCAAATTTAGAAAACAGGAGAAGAGAGTGGCATTGTGCAAACAGAAATGGCGAATGATGAGTCCTTCGTCAAAAAAGAGCACACAGATACAACTAGAAATGTGATGATAGAAATATACATGTAAACATACTAGATGACCCGGCAAACAGTGTTTTGCCATGTATATTATTTCTAGGAAACATTTTTTAATTCCATAAAAATAACTATCGACTATAATAAAAAATAGGGGTTAATCGTAGTGGGGTGAAAATTTAGGGTTGTATGTATTTTTTAATGGCACATTATAAAAAAATTAAAATTTCATCCAAAAAATTAAAATAAAATGTTAGGGGTGGACACCCCTTATCACTTAGGGCTTTGAAAGATAGATAAAAGTCGATTCTCCTACCTACTGAATATGCATAAAAAATTTCATAAGAATCAGTCAAGCCGTTTCGTATGAGTATGGGAACGAACATTATGACACGAGAATTTTATATAAAAGATTAAGTAATAAAGTAAAACATTGAAAATTTAGGTAATCAGAAGTATTGAGTCAAACAAAAACGCAAGGTAACAATATAGCGTAACATATAGGCAACGTTAGGGAATGGACGGTTAATTTGACTGCGGAAGAGTCGCCGTATCTGACACAGGACACGACATTCTTCACGAGACTGACGGCCAGTGGCGTCTACCATCTGGGGCCCATGGAATTTGCCACGGGCCCACTTTTGATGGGGCCCTATCAGTAAAAATCGTCACCTTGTATATGTCCCACTAATGGCCATAGGCCTTCTCTCTTAGGCGAGAGGGAATGGTCTGTAGTCCCCACGCTAGCCCAATGCGTATTGGAGACTTCACATTCATCCATAGAACATAATATCTCTTGGGTAGCATCCGTGGCATTTTGTCGTCCCTGTCACCCTATTGTTACGCCACTGCTCACAGCCAACCACCAGTAACGGAGAGAAATAAAAGAAGAATAGACACTTACCGTTATCACACCCGGCGTCAACCATTCCGGCTTCGGCTGTTGGCAAATCGTACTTATAAGTTGATTTATTTCATTCAACGCCGACATTTTCCCGTTAAACGACGACATTTGCAATAACCGCAGTATCATCTTCAGCCGAAACATTTCCAAAGCTAAAATACAAATTTAATTATTAGTATTTCTACTGCTGCCGCTGATAGCCAGCAATTGGAAGGAGGTGGGACAGGAGGAGCGCTCCCTGCGCTGGAAGTTCCTCGTTTTGGAGGGCTTGTGTTTTACAGAGGGAGAGAGGTGAGCTACTTCTAATAATAGATATAAAAACCGGAATACATATTAAAGCCAGTTATTGACACAATCACAAGTTACAGTTGATTTACTTCTTTAGGCGCATTAGGGAGCGTTCAAGTGTTACGTAACGAATTTTGGGGAGGGGGGTCCTTTTGTAAAACGTTACGATGCGGGGCGGGGATTGAATAACGCGTTATTGTTAATATTATTTTCGACTTGACAGTACTTTACACCACATAATGGTAACTTTTAGGTATAAAGAGTATAGGTGGTCACAAAACGTTTTACTATACTTGGTTACAGAAAAACGTTCCGGCGCGTTTTCGTGACGTAATTCTTGAACGCTCCCTTATTTAGTCTACATATTAGTTTTTTCTTTGTTCGCTTGTACATTGTAAAAATTATACAAAACTTGTGAGTGTGGTAAACAAATACAGTGTAAACTCTATATAACGACACTCAAGGGACTGTGAATATTTTGACGCTACAGAGAGTTGGCGTTAAATAGAAAGTAGAAAAATCTAGACAAAGAAAAAGTTTATTTCAGACTAGTGTTAGTAATTACATAAGAAACAATTCTTATTTGAACGCTATTGCATATAGTCTGTTATTTTCGCCTGACGCCTTTTGCTGCACCAGAAATTATGATGTATTTTCTTACTTGTTTTATTTATATCTTGCGATGCGATTGAGGCATCTTCGTGATAAATCACGCTCAAGCAATCCCAATTTGTAATCAAAATAATGGATTTCTAAGAAAGTTCGGTACGTATGATGCCGACAGTCGAATTTTTATTACGGGCTAGGACAATAAAGCGACAAAAGAACGTACACAGTTCCGTAGTTTTAACTAATTTCGACAACTTAAAAAGTACATTTTATTATTTAATTGTCGTTATTGAGAGTGGATGTAATGCGATGTAGAGTGTATCATTGTATGGAAGACAAGCTAAACCAACCAAAGCCGAGTGATTTCGACGCTTTAGGGAGTTCGTCGTTAAAAGGAAGAACGTTACATGGAGTTTTCACTGTACTTTTAAATTGTATACAATTAATTAAACTACTTTTATTTGTTCTCGAGAGAACGAATAAGCTTAGTTTAACAACGGACAGATGGCAGATGGTACAATGTTTGTTGTACATATAAAAAACGACGGGTTGCACTCCGGGAGTGCCGGCAGAAGTGAAAACTTTAATATTAACGTTGTGCATTTTTGATATTTTGAAATGGTTTGGGAATAATTTTGCACGAATTGCTTTAATTATCAGTATAAAAGTACTAACATTTATGTGGTAGAATACAATATTTATTTATTGCGCTATCGTACACAAACATCACAATTTATATTACATTAAATACGCCGCGCCAGCTGTCTACTCTCCATCCGTCTTACGAATTTTCGATCAGGCCACGTGTCCTGACGCGAGTTTAACATTTGTTACCCATTCCAAAAAAAGTGTACATCGCCGCTAAAGAAGTTTTCACTTCAAAAAGTATTACAAATACATTTAAATGTATGCGTAAGAGAAATGAAAAATTTTACAGCGCCTGTTGCTTACGCGCAAAATATTAAATATTTGACACAAAACCTATCATATCAGTTGTTCCTAAGTTTGCGTCACATTTATTTAAGACTAGAACTGTATTTTTTTAAATACTAGTATACATTGTTTTATTAAGACATTTCAATAAATTATTAAGTTAGCCTGCATGACTTCAAATTATTCCCCTTATACTGGCAATACAAATATCCATGATAGCGACGCTGACAGAGAAATGCGTCGGGACATTGTTGATGAAAAATGCTTTCCAAGCATTCTCCATCAACAGCGTCAGACGTAAGTCATTTAAGCTCTCATCGCAAATACAGCATACACATATAGTTTATATGAAAATACATTTTAAATTATATCACAGGTGACAATCTCGACTTCGTGTCATAAATACGTAGTTGGTCCCAAAGTTCTGTCACTGTCACATTATTTTTAGATTTCGAACATGATTTTATATAAAAAATATTGCATTATATTTTTGAAAATTTGACTATTGTTTTAAAACAAAAAACAATCACTTCCCGTAATTTTTCAGGATGAAATGGACATTGAAAGAAAACCGAATAGCTGTATTGCTGCTGTGCTGCTGCGTTGCGATAGACGACTGACCGCGGCGCTTAAGGGCCTTTATTAAAAATAAGGGAGGTCATTTCCAATAATTGTATGCTATTTATATTCCTTAATTAATGTACTATAAATTGATATATCACTTATTAAAAAGTGATAAGTACTTTTGTTTTTATCATTATTTCCATTTATGACAGAACTTTGGGACCGAATACGTATTAGTGTTGTTATAGTAGACGCATTTTAAACTGAATCGTCGGGCTATAAATGTCACTGACAGTAGGAACGTGCACGCAATGCAACCCTTTCTGATACTTAGCTACCTGCGCACGCACTCTGACCCCTGATTGGTCGTTTTAGTAAGGTTAATTTATAAACAAAATTAACAAACTTTTTGTCAGACTGCAAAAAGTACTCCAAAACTTAACCTAATTAGCATTCGATGAACGATATACCAGTAAATGACGTGACTTTAACTTTTTCCCCATAGAGAGTAAAATTAGTAATAGGACCGTTCAGTAACGAATGCATTTCGTTTTCAGGCATAGACAATGTGTGGGTAATAACTGTTGACGTAATCACTAAAGAAGAAAGATCTCAGAAGAGTATTCTCTTGGCGCTTAATAATAAATTCCATTGTGTTGCATTATTCGGTACGATGGCCCACATTGTAGTGGCATAGGAGCGGAATATTACCACGCCCCTATGCAACTACAGGGTAGGCTTACGACCTTAAATCTTCCATTTTCTTGCTTCGACGTACCTAAGAACTCTTAATTAGGTAATACATAACATTATAAAATGTTTACCCTCTTATTCATGAAAAACTTAATTACACTAAACTAAAACAGTATTTCATTTATTTCTATGAAATTGGGTTTACGCTGTGAGGAAAGAAGAGAAAGAATGTAATTGGTGAAGTGTGTTTTAAGCTTGTAATTGATGAAGTGTGGCTTGTAATTGATGAAGTGTTTTTAGCATGTAATTGGGTGAAGGGGTTGTAATTGATGAAGTGTTTTTAGCATGTAATTGGTGAAGTGTGTTTAGCTTGTAATTGATGAAGTGTTTTTAGCATGTCATTGGTGAAGTGTTTTAGCATGTAATTGGTGAAGTTTTATTAGCTGTAATTGGTGAAGTGTGTTTTAAGCTTGTAATTGATGAAGTGTGTTTAGCATGTAATTAGTGAAGTGTTTTTATCATGTAATTGGTGAAGTGTGTTTAGCTTGTAATTGATGAAGTGTTTTTAGCATGTCATTGGTGAAGTGTTTTAGCATGTAATTGGTGAAGTTTTATTAGCTGTAATTGGTGAAGTGTGTTTAGCATGTAATTGGTGAAGTGTGTTTGGCTTGTAATTGATGAAGTGTTTTTAGCATGTAATTGGTGAAGTGTTTTTAGCATGTAATTGGTAAAGTGTTTTTATCATGTAATTGGTGAAGTGTGTTTAGCTTGTAATTGATGAAGTGTTTTTAGCATGTAATTGGTGAAGTGTGTTGGTTGTAATTGATGAAGTGTTTTAGCAGTAATGGTAAGGTTTTAGAGTAATTGGTGAAGTGTTTTTATCATGTAATTGGTGAAGTGTGTTTTAAGCTTGTAATTGATTAAGTGTGTTTAGCATGTAATTAGTGAAAGTGTTTTTATCATGTAATTGGTGAAGTGTGTTTAGCTTGTAATTGATGAAGTGTTTTTAGCATGTCATTGGTGAAGTGTTTTAGCATGTAATTGGTGAAGTGTGTTTAGCTTGTAATTGATTAAGTGTGTTTAGCTGTAATTGGTGAAGTGTTTTTATCATGTAATTGGTGAAGTGTGTTTAGCTTGTAATTGATGAAGTGTTTTTAGCATATCATTGGTGAAGTGTTTTAGCATGTAATTGGTGAAGTTTTATTAGCTGTAATTGGTGAAGTGTGTTTAGCATTGGTGAAGTGTGTTTAGCTTGTAATTGATGAAGTGTGATTAGCATGTAATTGGTGAAGTGTGTTTAGCTTGTAATTGATGAAGTGTGTTTAGCATGTAATTGGTGAAGTGTTTTTAGCTTGTAATTGGTGAAGTGTTTTTAGCATGTAATTCGTCGAGTGTTTATATGTAACTGAGCATGTACTTACATTTAAGTAGGCTGTGATAGTTCGGTGTCCTTACAGAAACATATTTGCATGCCTTTATCAAACACGATACTGTATCAGTCTTGTTCTCACTCCCTCGCGCTTCGCGTTTCAACTCGTCATCAGTTAGACTTTCTAGAAGGGTCGGGATACATTCCTGAAAAAATAAATGCGTCAAAAATCCTGCAACTTATTGACTCTTTAAATTATTCTTAACTTAGTTGACAACTGAGCACTAACAAGTGTCGAAACCAAAACTCTATCTGTCTTTGGCCTCTTTTTGTATCTCTTTGTTTAGTTTTTTCTAATAGGCCAGTAAGTTAGTGCACATCTAGGGTTCGAATTAAACTTCAGGGATGAGAGTGGCACGCTCTACCTCTAAGCTAGCAGGATTCAAATTCAAAGATTTTCGGACAAAAGATTAAAATGAGCCGGGATTTCCCCACTCGATAAAACCCTTGGTACTTACCAGAACTGGCAATAGATAAACGGTGACAGTGTGAGGAGTCAGTAGATCGTGGCAAAGTCCAAGCGGCTTCAGTAATTGCCATACAGCCGCAACTCTGCTTTCACCTGATGTTGACATCTCTAGAGAAGACGGCTGTTCAGAACGAGACGATATTGAACCCTGAAAGAAATTATTGTTAAAAAACTAAAATTAATATTGCCAACCATTGTAACTTCTGCAAAATGAAATCTACTTGGATTTACTTTAAAATCCTAAATTTTAGTACGTTTGTTTTTTTTTAGCTTCAATTGACCAAATGCTAAAAGTATTACGTCACGCAATTTTTGGAGATTATAACGCGCCGTAAAGTTTTTCTGTACTATACTGTACCCAAGTATAGTAAAACGTTTCGTGACTAGTGACTCTTTATACTTAAAAATTACCACAATGTGGTGTAAATTACTGGAAAGTCGAAAATAATATTAACAATAACGCGTAATTAATTTCCTCGCCCCGAATTGTAACGTTTTATAAAAGATCCCCCCCAATTCGTTAGTAATACTGAACGTTCCCATACCCAAATTCCAAATGCCTATTAATAATGACAAGACCGTACAAATTAAAAAAGGCCAGCAGGGGTCTGGATCTCTCCTGCCGGTGCCCCTGCTCTATAATTACATACAAAGAAGATATACCTCCATATTGTCGGTACTGCTGATTATGCTATCGGTTACGTCCACCTTCTGTTCCTCACTTTCGGTGATCTCATTGATAACTTTCTCTTCGTTCACAGATGTTGTTAATTCTGTCTTTTTGAAACCCATTATGATTTCAAATCGTTCCCTTATTTTCGCGAACCCACCGTTCTGGCCAAATCTAAAACAAATTTTGTGAAACTTATTATTTTAATTTTTAAATCTAATTTCCTTTCAAAATTATACTTGATTGTTAGCGTTACTTAAGCCCAAGTATCGCTTAAGAATGACAAGTAGTATCCAGGCATATGGAAGTTATTCTTTTAATTTATAATAATAATAATTTAATTTAATATATTCAAGCTTAGGTAAAGCTTTAGATTTTTGTATTCTGATATTTTTGATAAGAATGTAAGTTCTTTGACTTGATAACATCATAAAGGCATCACCTTATTATCAAAAGGGCATTAAAGATTCATATTAGAATGAAACTAAGACTAAAATTGGGATAGCTGATGGCGACGTGTATCTCGTTCGTATATATTAAGTTTCTCATGTAAATAAAAATATTTTTTTTGTAATAAGAAATAAAGTTCTTTAAACATTATCACGCTTTTTCCCAATAATCATAAAACTTCAGATTGTAATTAATGCCGCAGCTAATCAACTCCTGAACATATAATAAACCATCTCAATCAAGTCATCTTTCTAATAAAAAATATCATAATTGATCCATTCGCCAGAGACACCTCATACTTACAACATTCCATTGAGTAGGGGATTACAAATATGCATTGGTATAGTCGCAGATTGAACGCATGATCTCAAAATTCAGTGTAGCGCATAGCCACTTAAAACTTACATAAATAATTTAAAAAACAATAAGTAGCGCTACAACCTCTTTAGGTCTTGGACTCAGATTTCTGAATCTGTTTCATGATCATTTTTAAATCTAATAGGCAAGTAGGTGATCAGCCTCCAGTGCCTGACACACGCCGTCGACTTTTTGGGTCTAAGACATGTCGGTTTCCTCACGATGTTTTCCTTCACCGTTCGAGCAAATGTTAAATGCGCACATAGAAAGAAAGTCCATTGGTGCACAGCCGCGGATCGAACCTACGACCTCAGGTATGAGAGTCGCATGCTGAAGCCACTAGGCCAACACTGCTCATATAAATAATTAATATATCAAAATACCCTGCACATAATCTACTGGAAACTTAAAAGAGATTATCAAATTAAAATATTTAAGACCATAGTTAGGATAACATTCAGCATCCATCTTTGGTCTTAACAAAATCAAAAAGAAGTCTACAGATCATTAAAGCAATGTTTGAGCAATAACAGAAAAAAAATACATACACATTAATAAGATGAACTAGCCATCCTCTGGGTGTTCTGTGATCTTGTGACTTAGCATAAACCTCTGGCTCTTGAGTAGACCCTTGACCGTTGGCCGGTGAAGTAGATGTCGTTAGGCCTTCACATGTTCTTGAAGCGTTAAATGTGTGAAACCTGCAAAAAAATTTAAAATTAAACTTTCCTGACAATTGAATATTGTTTTGAGTGTGATGATATGTTACCCATCAGACAACACCTTATTTAATTTATAGATCATTGTTTGTTTGCCTGTGCCCTACAACTTAAACTATGCTTGCACTAGGAATCAAACACCAATCCTTCAGGTTCAATAAACTATGATATAAACAGAGAAAGTATGTGAGTCATATCTGATGTATGTTTATTTATGATGTTTTTATCTGCCCTTGACTTTGTTGAACAATTTAAGATATGATTAAGAAAATATAATAATTGTGATGCAATAAGCAATGACCTAATAACTAATGTATTATCACTTACTTATTGTTAGGATTTAATGCCATTGAAAGAAGATTCAAGAATCTAGGATCATCCAGTTTCATGGCACATAATTTAACAAGTTTCTCGCAGTTTGAACGCACACATTGTTGGATATTAATCTTCCACGATGATACTGCATCATCAGTAAGAATCTTTGTAAATGATAATGTGAGTGCATCATTGTAGAAACGCTGACAGCCTGGGTTATTAACATCTTCACCTAAAATGTACAAATATTATTTAAATTCTATGTAAATAATTAAGTATATTTTTAGCAATCTTGCTAGTATTGTTTTAGGGGACTATGTAATTTTGGAATTGGTCTAAAAGATCAATTATTCAGTCACAAACAATCTAACAAAATAAATATGATTAATTACAGCAGTATTAAGCTGTGTCACTGCCCCACTGGGGCATAGAGCAGTCTGGTGGTGACACAGATCCTGAGGTCCCTCAGATTTCTATATACATTTCATTATAATTTTTTTCTATTAATCAAGAGTTAAGAGATCACATAGATCATGACTTATATGCCTGACAAACCTCTAAAGATTCACTGCTTTAGGTTTGTATTAAACATTGTTCGAAAATTACTATTGTAATTATATTTAAAAGTGCTTTTCAACTAACATTCTAAAAAAATATACCATATATATTTGTTAAATTTGTATAATCTTAAGATACAAACCTTTGGCTGCAAGGTCTGTGGCAGCAATAAGTAAACTCTCTAACTCCTGTTCAGGCAGCACAGGCACAACCCAACGAGGGCTTGAAATTTTTTCTTCTAAGATTCTCAACTTTCCCAGAGGAAATGAGATCTACAAGAAGGAATATTCTCATTAACTAATTATGAAAATTATTGAACACAATACTTGAATTAAAGTGACTTGGAAAACAATTTTAACTATAATGTTTTAAATAATTTAAGTTTAAAGATTACTTAAGATTTAAATTACTTAATAATTTTTTTGCAAAACTAGAAGAAATATTAAGATAGTTACCTCCCCAGGTACAGGCTCTTGTTCCTTCATTGATATTGTCATTATTACAACATTACATTAATCATTTCTCTCTGTAAATATATAAAATAATAAGGCGTAAGACATTAAAATACGTTTCAAGCTACGAAAAAATTCAATTAGACTTAGTATTCAAATTAAAAATTAATTTTGTATAGAATTTTGAAATTAAGGAAAATGTTTGCTATTATGCTTGCTACCAAAGAATTTACATTATTATAGCTGATAAAATTTATAACATCAAGTATTCATTTGTGTATCTTACATGCATTTGAGACAGGAAAAATATAATCGATACTGCCACACCGATAGAGATTTTTTTATTATATTACAGTCTAGTTACTATTAATAACTTCTTAACATATGGAACCATATAAGTACAAAATATTAGGCGAAATTATCGCTTTTTTCTACTGAAAATTAATATTATCCGATCAGCCGGCGCGACAAAATGGCGTCATCGACTAATTTATTTACATTTTATAACGATTTTAAACTGAATTTATTGAAATACTCGGATAGAAATGAAACAACATACAATATATAAGAACAATAATAATTTACCTTCACTTTATATTTTAATCACCGCACTGAAATCAAAAACCACAAATTCATTCACTACCTACACTATTTGACGTAATAACGAAAATAGATAAAACCCACAGGTTACTTAGAACAAGAAGCAAATTTCTTTGAAACATTTACAGATAACACACAAAGTATTTTCCTTACCATGACAGCCATCAAATCATGAATCATCAGCAGTCATCATCAATCATCAGTCCGAAAAGGGCACACAAATAACATTTAAATGAGAAAACTATTTTTGAATTAAAATAACAAATATAAAACAATGAACCACAAAGTTTGGTTCTCGACTGGATTACATTTTGATGAGTGGAATCATCATAGAATTTTCAAAAAACTCGGTTGACGGATCGGTTAGTCATTCGTACGTCACTACTGAGTACTGAGTACTGTCAAGTGTCAACTATGAGTCTATGGTTATGAACCAACCACTGAAATTAGAAATATGGAAACAGTAAACAATATTGTTATAAATGATTAAAAGAATATACCTTATTATTTAATCTTAATTGTATTAATAGGTTTTAAAACTAGTGTACGATTTACCTACCAAGACAATTTTCTGACGAAATGAATCCAAAAAGTCCTGAAGCAAGGAAGCGGGAAGAAAATCCATTCGATGGATTAAAAATAAGTGACTCCGATGTTTTGCTTAGTTTAAAAAGTCGGAATCCATGTCCACGTTGTAATAAATCGCGGATGTATTTTTGTTACACTTGTTACGTGCCGGTTTCCACTCTAGAGGGTAGGATTCCATTTTGTAATGTAAGATATGAATAGCTCATTTTACTCATGTGACATTGTGTTCTTACAATCATTTTATTTTTAAAATATGTTTTAGCTACCTATCAAAGTTGATATAATAAAACACAAGCGTGAAATTGATGGAAAGAGCACATCTGCACATGCAGCAGTGTTAGCCCCTAAAGATGTAAACATTTTTACATACCCCAATATCCCACAATATGATGAAGAAGAAAGAGTGGTTCTCCTTTATCCTGGGACTGATGCTTGCACAGTACCCGAGTTGTTTACTGGCAGACGTGAAAAGCAGTCATATTCAGACCACCTGTTAGCTGAGTTGCCCCATGGCTATAATGTTGGTACATTAATGAAGAAAATATTTAATAACAATCAAGTACATAGAATTTGCCACAGTGAGAATTTACCTATTGATAGACTTGTTTTAATTGACAGTACTTGGAATCAAAGCAAAGGAATATTTGCTGATAGCAGATTACAATGCATACCAAAAGTTGTTTTACAGAATAGAGTTTCACACTTTTGGCGCCATCAAAAAGGTAGTCCACGTTGGTATCTATCAACAATTGAAGCTTTGCATCAATTTTTGTTAGAACTACACATTTGTGCGTGGGGTTGCGATGAGAAATATGTATCTGTACTAACACAGGAGTATTCAATACATGAAGAACAAAACCACTTGCAGTGTAAGCCATATAATGGTCAATATGATGAGTTATTATATTTTTTTAAATTCATGTATGAAAAACTACACAGACTGTATGACCACGAAAATTTACTGGCTTACAAAAGACCAATGGAAGTAAAATGATTAAATAATAAATAAATAAATAATTATTTTGAAATGTGCGATTCCTTTTTTTATGCCAAGGGTTCCATAAGTTGCATTAATAAAAAATAGGCATTTTATCAAAAACTTATATATTAATTTTAATCTTAATTTCATGTCATTTTCTATAGCCATTTACAAAGGCTGGTTAATAATTCAAAGTATAGGCAACAAAAATTTTAATGTGATATTGCTTAGACAAAAATTCAATATTTTAATACATTCTTGTAATACAATAACAAATTAAAGTTAATAAAATAACTACTTTAAGAATTTATTTGATTGGCACCTTGTCAACATACCCAATGGCTAAATAAGTATTTTGAATAGCCTATATTTATGTATGCTATACGATATATTCTATGCATTTTCTAAGTTCTATATCAGTTAAGTTATACAAGTTGCCAGCTCAAAAAAGCTATATAATACACATTTTGTATTCCTCTGAGTCTCTTTTAGATATAAATTTCACAAATATAATTCCTTTAACAAAAGTAGGTCTATAGTGCATCATTCATTTAATAAGTACTTAATTATTTTAAAATTACTGTGTTATCTCCAATAATGTGAAAACCAGAAGCTATGTAGTACAAAATCCTTAACCAATAACCTCATACTATAGCTTGCGTAAATCTAAAACAAAAACACTTCCATCACTAGCACTTGCACCAACCTTAGTGCCTCTTGAATTCCAACAAACCTCAAATATACCCCCAGTTCCCTTGTATGAGTGAACAAGAGATCCCGTTTGTGTTGACCAAATATGAACACATTTATCAAATGATCCACTTGCCAAGAACTTTCCATCTGGAGAAAAGGCAACACTGTATACAGGTTCTGTATGTTTTGTAAGTGTGTGAACACATGCACCTTTCTCCACATCCCAAAGACGCACAGTGGAATCGAAAGAGGCACTTGCTAATATTAAGTTCATGTTGGGGTTCTGAGTCCCTGGTCCAGTAGGTGACCACTTTATGGTGTATATTTCCTTTGAATGAGCTTGCAAGTCATGAACACAGGTATCTTGCTTCATAGACCAAATCTTTAATGTCATATCGTCAGAACAAGAAGCAAGAAGCTGTCCTTGGGGATCCCATTTGATCGCGTTAACTTCATTCTGTAAAATATGCCACATAAGGTTATATTAGAAAATATTATTTATTATGGTGAAGAACATATTCAAAAACATGTTTTAAAATAATAATAATGAAAAATAATACTTACTGTGTGACCTAAGAAACTCTTTATTGGCTTATCAACATTCAGTTTACACACTTGGATGCTCTGGTCCGTTGAACAGGATGCAAAAGAGGTATTAGTTTGCCAATCTACATCTAGTGCTGGTGCTTTATGGAAGCAGAACTGTTCAGTGCATTGACCAGAGGCCGCATCCCAGATAATAGTTGTTTTGTCAACCTGAAGTGTAAAAAAGTTGTAATTGTCTGTTCATGATTATAATACAATATCTATTAGAGAGAATAGATATAATTTAATACCTTCAAAATAAAACTTAACATATGGGTGTAAAAAATTAAAATAATTATTGATAAAGAAAGCACATGTTATGCTAAAAAAAAAATCTTCTGTAATTGTTTCTTGTTAAAATAACAAAAACAAATTACAAATTAATTGAAATAAGTTAAGTCTTATGATTCTTGTGACAATTTCTAACATACATAAAGCAGGTAGATTTATCAGACAAACCAACAAAAGATACAATATATGGCATTAAAAAATTATTCATACATATAATATCTAATCATATTATAACATAAGAGCTTACCCCTGCACTCAATATATAATTGCCTCTTTTATTCCATTTTAAAGCAAATATTGGTCCTTTATGTTGACCTAATGTTGAGGCAAGTTTCCCATCGGTAGTCCAGATACGGGCATATCCATCATAAGAACCAGTGGCTAATAGATTACCATCACACTACATGAAAAATAAAAAAATTATGACCTGAATATTTGGCTACTATTGATATAATTAAGTATCATCATTCTTTATATTAAGATTTATTTTATAATTTTGAAATAGAAGTTTCTGGAATCATCTAAGAATTAAATAATTCATTTATCTTATATCATAATGATTAACAATGTTATATATCAAAAGGGAAACAATATAGTAAATTATACAAACATTCCAATCAAGTGATGTGACATCCTTATTACTTGGTACTTCTGCTCCACCTCTTTGAATACAGTGCCTTAAAATTAGTTGATTTGGAATACTTGTTGGATTATCAGACATATCCCAAATTCTGAAATTATGTAACAATTTAGTCTTTATTTCCTGGGATAATAGGAATTCTCACATTAATCACATAGTATATCTTAACCATAATATAGTCATTAAGGGATGATAAATATTTTTTATACTATAGTAAGACAAACAAGCTTGTGGGTCATTTTATACAACTAACCTGGCCGTGCTGTCTCCAGAACCACTTGCTAATAAATCTGTGCTAGGATTCCAAGCACAAATAAACACCTCAGACTCGTGGCCTCTTAGTACTGTGGCTTTACTAGGTGGTATTTCAATAGATTGATCAGTCTCCATACTTTCAGGTGCACTTGGGGTTTCAGCACCACCTGTTGTAGTTGGAGCTGTGCAGGTAGGAACCTAGAAGTATCAATTTGGTAATGTAGAGATCTGTTAACAATTGGAAGCTAATAACACAAAGTTCTGTAATGCAAACCTCAACACCATTCTGTTCACTGCCAGAACCAGTTTCTTTATTAGCTTGTTTCAGAGCATTGTGTGCGTTTTGACGTGCGGCCACTATATCTGGTGTGACAGCATCTATTAGACTGAGGCTTTCAGTAAGTCTGGTTTCAGAACCTAAAAAAATATTTCAGTTATTATAACTTGTATTACTTTATCATATGAACAGTCAGTAATATGTAGGTATGTACCGTCTTCGCCCAATGTTATCTCCGCTTCGGTATACTGTAATCCTTTTTGAAGTATATTGAGAAGAGCTGCTGGAGGTACGAGGGCTCCATTTATATTGCTTTGTGAAATGTGCGATTCAATCCCAAAAGTATATGCTGAATGGTGAAAACCTAAACAAATAGATTTATTTAACTATATATTCAAACTTCTGTCGAATCAACAACTAACAAGTCTGTCACATTACCGGACTCTTGTAAGTATCGGTATACGAGGAAATTCACTTCGTCAATAGAAAAACTCATCTTAGTTCATGAGATTTAATCGCTCTGTCCATTAATTAATTTAAATTTAATGTTTAAAACAAATCTAATTTTACAAATAAAAATGCACAGCCACACCAAGAACCCAAAAAGCGCTATTGAACACAGTCCACAGAACACATTATTAAAATTTTTTTTTGGAGGATATGGCCTGGTATTTTTTTATTATTATTTAACTATCGACCACAGTGTCTCACTGAGGGAAGTGGCTATACAAATATTATCTACGTCTAATAAACTATTTTAGGGGAGGGAGTCTGGGCCTATGCTGCTACGGTTCCTAGTACGACAAGCTTGCATCGCATGGTAGCATAGGCTCGGGCCTACACCTTTTCATTTTGATAAGTAGATGGGCGTAGACTTGGGAGTAGCACCGGTGATGAGATGTTTGTTTGTTTTGCAATCATAGGGGAGCTTAGTAGAGCTAGGAATACACGGTCGAACTAGGTCGATTACACAGCCGAATGAAGTACCAAAATTCAAAATCATTTATTCATATAGGTAACACAATGTACACTTATGAACGTCAAAAAACACCGGCTTTAGTACTTCATTCGCACCTGAACTATATCCTAAATGGATACACTTGCATCGCCTATTTTTAAGTTCTGGAATAGTGCCCAGATCGTGGTAGCCTGCTAATGTGCGGTCTGTGTCCAAGAACTGTAGCCATGTCGACCCTACTAGTTTCAGATTGGGGCGATGCGAACTTAGTCCAATTGTCCCGAGTTGCATGGCATTTAACTGTCGGGTGATCTCAGCTTTGGGCCGTTTATTCACTCTTAGGCTCAGGTGGCAGGCAAAAACATTGGTATTTTAGCATAAATCCTAAAAGCTTTTACTTTATCAAGCTCCAGTGTGCTTAATGTGGAGTAAAGCAGTAATCTCTGGGCCGGTGCTTCCAAATGCGATCTGGGTGCTTTGGATGCTATTGAGAGGCGGGCTAAGCGAATCATAATTTAATCATAGTTTAATTTAGGTTTATTTAAGCGGTTAAAAAGGCATCTTCTGAATAGGCGTACCCTCCAATAAGCCACATCTCACTTAACATCAGATGGGATTGTGTTCAAACGTTTGTACAGTTTTGTATTAAAAAAAAATTGTGGGTGGAGTCCCTCGCGGAAGATGTGAAACTTCGTAATGTGGAAATGAAAGTAGGAAGGGGTAGAAATTGATGTTTTGTGAAATCATATTGTTTCTTTAAGACAAGCTTTATTAACATTGCTTACTTGGAGTTTATATTTGGTTTAGTTTGTTGATTGCGTTCGAAGCTTCGAAGAATCGTGTGTTTGTAGAGATAAAAAATTCTTGAATTAAGTTCCCCCTAAAAAAATGTATCCCCTAAAAAAACCCCTGGACATTTGATTACCCCTTTTAATTATTCATAAACTGTAAATAACTATAACAGCGAATTATAAAAATCTTATACTTGACGCTGGATAATGCACAAACCGTGCCAGAGCTATAAAGAGAAAAAAAAGTAAAATTGACATTGGCATTTAGCATTTTACTATCAGTTGTCACATTTGTCATTATTGCAAATTTTGTTTTATTATTCCGATTTACGGTTAAAAAATAACATTAATCTATAATTATAATATTCTATGCAAAATAACTATGAAAACTGTACCCAAAACTTAAAATTCATATCAGTAATCAGTATTTTACTATCTTGGTTATTACGTAACGTTATGCTAAGATTATATGGTAGTAGTGGAATTTTGTGATGTAGTTATGCGTCTAATACGACCACTAACGACTATATTTAGAAAAACTGTTCTGTCGAATAAAAGCATTCAGTTGCGACATCCTTTTACCACTGGTATTAACCGTATTTTTTTTAAACTAGTAACTGTAAATCACATTTAATGCTTGCAAACAAATTGCTTATGATTAAACGCACATTTATCGTCATACTACATAAATAATACGACTTACAGCGCTTGTTTGGAGAGCCATGGAAGACAAGGAGTCAATAAAAAAAAGATTAACGCCACTCCAATATCATGTCACACAGGAAAGAGGAACTGAGAGACCTTATACCGGTATTTAATATTTAAAAAAAATAACAATTTTCATTAGCAAATTTTTTATTTTGATATTCTTTCAGGTTGTTACAATAAATTTTATGAGGAAGGCCTTTATGTGTGTATAGTTTGTAGACAGGATTTATTTACATCAAAATCAAAATATGATTCTGGATGTGGTTGGCCAGCATTCAATGATGTTCTAGCTAAGGAAAAAGTAACATTACACCAGGATACCAGTGCCGGTATGTTTTGTTTGAATTCTTATTTACACCTACAAATATTTTAAGAGAGTAGAACAAGTATTATAACAAAGTTTATAGTAACTAGACTACTAGACTTGTGAAACTTTCTTAAATTCACTGCTTTATTCATTTATGGTTACTACTACCTGATTAATCAATGTGAACATAATTTATTAAATTCCAAAATAAATAGTTTCCACCAAAAATCATTATTAGTAATATGTTATTTTAAATTTGCTGAGTTGTTTTACTTTTGATTAGCTATAGACATGTTGTTTTGTAATGATTGTCACTTAATAAAGAATACTCTGCAACGTAAGCTTTACTGATAAAGAGTTTTAAATTATATTACAGAGTAAACAGTTATGTTCAAAGGATGATTGTACTAAAAAAACCAGTTTGCATTGTATTTTATCCTTAGTGACTATTGCTTGATAAAAATCTATTCAATCTCATTAATATGCGACATTCAATCAAGTAGAACAAATATCAATGTCAATAGCTATTTATTGTTCCATAAAACTAACAAGGTCTTTTAGCTATCCAATGCCATTTAAATATAATCACACTTACTCACAGATTAACTTATCCATTATCACTGGTTCAATTGATATAGTTCTCACCTCTAAATATAAAATTGGAAAAAGTATAAGTTTAATCTTCAAATGATTTCCTGTCGCATCCTGTTGGGGAAATTTTTAGCAACATTTATTGTTTTAAGTTCTGACTCTAAGGTTGTGCAATGTAGCCATAGAAGTGCTCTTACAAGTCGTCACATAATACTTTTTCCATTATTTTGAACAAATGTACACCCATAATCAGACAGATACTCTAGATAACATGATGCTTAAGGTGAAAAGATTGTTGTTATCTTGAGTTAGTTTATCATTTGTTATGATAAATCATTGCCAAGCGTTTTTGTTTTACTAATAATAGACTAACATTGACACAATATTGGACTCCACTTATCTGAATGTATATATAAGTATTTTTAAGTCTGTTTAGTCTCTATCAAGTTTAAAGAACAATAAACATTTATCCACCTGATCTATTGTATATTCTATTTATTCAAATCAGTCAAATTATTATCAATATGGTGTTGGGAAATTTGTGCTAATATGTTTTTATTATTTTTTTCTCCTCCCTTTTCACATTGTCCATCTTGATTTATTCCTGTCCTTCACCAAAATGTATGTTTATTATTGTATATTAATATTGCTGTTTATATCTGGCTACAAACATAATTTTGATCTAAACCTTTACCTAACAAATTGGGTTCTTTTTATTACTGGTGTTTAAAATATATTATATTTATTCAATGACAAATACAATTTTATTTATTATATTATTGTTCTGTTCCATTGCTTATCACATCTTTTCAATTGCATTACCTCTAACATGGCATCATATTTGCATCTAACATGGAATGTGCATGACAAATTGCATTGCCTACACTCCTTGATCCGCCTTGTCCTGTCCTGCCTTCTCCGGATGGCTGCTCCGGACATCAACTGCTGTGCTGCTGCGTCGCCAACCTCCACACGAAACGAAAACCATTGGAATCATGGAATCATTATATGTGATATTTTGTGCTTTGGTGAATGAACATAGTTGGGGCGAATATATTACTGGTTTTAACACGACCAGGTATGGTGCGAACTGAGGTGCGATGCTCCAAGTGCTCAGCTCATCTTGGACATGTGTTCAATGACGGGCCGGCCCCCACCAAGAAACGTTTTTGTATTAATTCGGCATCTATTGACTTCATACCGGCGGAAGAGAGAAATGATTAGAATTTTCTTAAGTACAGAATTGTCTACTCATTGTACTTAACTGAATCTATACAGTAACTATTTACAAATTATGTATACTATTTATTTATGTAACGAATAAGAGCGGTAACTTAATAAGGCCTTTTGTTCCCATACTAATTGTATAAAAAGTTATTTTTAACTATATATTTAATTTAGACTACAATTTGTTATTTTGCATAATGTAACATTGGTTACCACATTGAAGTCATGATAAATATAATTCCATTATCAAATATTGTTTATTTTAGTATCTTTGTAGTACAAAGATGTGTAATATCTACTGATTGATGGCTTGTGACTAACAATAAATATTTTTGTAAATAATTTGCTTTTTACTGTAAAATTTGGTTATATTTATAATTTTCCCTATGTGCCCATCCCGTTCCTTCAAGTGTTGATTGCTCACAGCTAATACGCAAATGCTATACAACTGCTCTTTTTAAATTTAACGTCGAAGTAAGGCGACCGACAAAAGTCGGCCTGTCGATTCGATATTCTAGGGTTCTGAGTAAATTCACGGGAAGTGAGAATGTCAAACAAATGGTGTTCCATTCGGATTTTTTTTAGTTAAGGTGACCAAATATTTTTTGTTCAAAAGAGTACATTTGCAAGTATTTCATAGGTAAAAAATCGAAGAAAAACCATAAAAAGTTTATTTTCTTTTAAAAATATTTTTCTTTCAGAGTGTTTTTTTGCTAAATTAGGATGTTCCTCTAATAATTTGGCCATATCCGAACAACTTTTATTTTGCATATAAATTTGACTGTTAAACGGCAGATAATGTTTTTACAGAAAGTTGGACTTCTCACTGCCCCAATAATCATTCCCTAGTGAAAACCCTACAGCAGATTAGTGCCTGGACAATATATCGAAATTTCTATTAAAACTAAATTTATACAAATGGGTACCTTTCAGAGTACAGGATTTAAAAAGAGTAGCGGCACGTTTGCGAAAAAGAGTAATAAACTAGTAAATTGCGTATAGTTGGTCGACCTTAGTGATTAGTCAACAACCTATCTACACGTTAACACGCCAGTGATGCCAACTCCAAACACACTGCCAAAATATTGTTCCCCCTAGGACCTACTTAAAATACACGTAAGTATCGATTGTTCTCAAGTTGTTGTTATATTTAAGATAATAATTTATCAAAAATACATTCAAGTATAAAATAGCTGTAGATTTTGATATTTCAGCTAGTTATAGTCACGCTTGGAGATTATATTTGGTTTAGTTTTGCGACACTTAATATAAATTGTATAAAATCAGTCATTTTTAAAGAATTAATTGTTTATAACGTTGGGTACGTTAGTCTGGCTAATGAAAGAAGATAATTGAATTATTTGAAAACTTTCGGATGGCAACACAGAATGTCATTGAATTTCTTAGGTTATGATTATGATTTATTGTCTTGATACTTCATGCAATACTCATTTTTATTTCTATTATATACTGCTCAAAACAATTAGCGGAACAAGATTTTTCTCCTTTCTATTGCTTAAACTAAAATTAGATTTAAATTAACTTGTACGCTATTTTTTACCTTGTTAGTTTGTTAATTACTACAATTAATAAAAAAATTCTATTTGTATTTTTTTATTAAAAAAAATTAAAATGTGCATTGTAGACGAAAAACTAATTGGTGATAAAAAGGTCCATCAAAGAAATATTCTTATATCGTTTGAATATTCGTCTTTAGTGACTTTCAGTAATGTGGGCCTCCATGAGCCCTAATGGCTTGACAACGACGCGGCATGCTTCGTATGATCCTACGAATATCTTCTTGTGGAATTCCTCCCATTCTTCAATCAACGCTTAGTGAGCTGCTGAGTGTTTGAGGTGAATGGACGCTTCCGGATGCGCCTGTCAAGCAAGTCCCAAATTTTAATTGATTTAGGTAGGGCTCATGGAAGGCCACTCCATTAACGGATTACCTGCTGTCGTAAGTAATCTACGTATGGCTGAGTATGCGGCTGGCATTATCTTGCATTAAAGGAAATCTGGGCCCATACCATATGCTGCGGGCCAAACATGATCTTCGAGGCACATTTTCAATGTAAGTTTGAGCACACAAGCCCGGGAACAACACGAGATCTGTGCGCTCTCCTGCCCCAAACCATCACAGAGCCACATCCAAATTTGTCATATTCAGGGGCCTTAGTCAAGATGCCTTAACAGTAGTGTATGTAGAAAGTCGAAAACTTAATTTGTATGGAAATGACAGTTCGTGTCGAAAAATTTTCATACAAATTTAGTTTTTCGTTCTACATACACTACTGTTAAGGCATCTTGACTAAGGGGCCTGGACTGCTGCTGCACTGTATCGCTCGCCTGGGCGTCTGTAAACAGGAGACGACCATCGCAAGTGTTAGATGGAATCGTGATTCGTCAGTAAAAGCACTGGCCTCCAATGTCGAAGTTGCCAATTAGCGTGATTTTGCGCGAACTGTCGGCGAGCTTGTCTATGTTGAATTGTTAGACGACAGCCCGAATGGTCGGCGTGATCTCAAATTGCTTCCAACAACCTATTTCTTACCGTCTGGAAATTTCTACACCAGTAGCCGTCCTTAGTGTATTTTGTAGATCTCTTGCGGTTGTGGTGCGGTTACGTAAAGCACAGTTGACGATGTAGCGATCTTGCTAACGTGTAGTTTTTCTCTTTCGACCTTGACCAGCCTTCGTGAGTATTCTCCCGTCTCACGGTATCGCTTCCAAAGTCTGTAGATAACAGAAGGGGCTACTCCTAGATCATTTCCTACATAACGCATAGTTCGACCCTCTTCAAGCAAAGCGATAGCTCGGGAGACATGCAATTCAGTCGGATCTGGCATTATGACCTAAACTCACTCGCTTCAATGAATAACAATACTCAAAGGCTCACTTAAATTTCTATTAATACTCAAAAGATTGAAAAAACTACTTAAAATGTGTTTTCTGTGATTAAAAGTAATGAAAATTAAAGACGTCACTTTGTTTTCTCTACAATGACATTTTAATTTTTTTTAATAAAAAAAATACAAATTGAATTTTTTATTAATTGTAGTAATTAACAAATTAAAAGGTAAAAAATAGCGTACAAGTTAATTTAAATCTAATTTTAGTTTAAGCAATAGAAAGGAGAAAATTTTTCCGCTAATTGTTTTGAGCAGTATAGTTCTAAGCTTAAACTTCGTTTTATTGATATTTTGGATTCTGATTATTCCGGATAAAGTTGTGTTTTATAATAAATATAGTTTCAGTTTTCCATGCAATGCTAGTCATTTTAAATATCAATTGTAAATGACTAAATACGTATAGTACTTAATTTCATAGAAATACAGTTACTATCAATGTAAAAAATCATAAAATAAAATCAAGTAAGTTTAATCCACAAAATAATATATCAAACTTTTAGGGATACCATACTATTTTTTTTTAATTTGCCGCGCTTTTTCGTTATCTTCTTTCATTAGCCAGACTCTATAAACAATTATTTCTTTCAAAAAATCCCTAGACATCATGTTTACCCCAAAATTGGGAAAAATCCAAGTTGGCATCACTGATACGCGACATGACAGTTGACACGTCCATGATTTTGCGTAAGTTTCAACGTCTTGCAACTCTCTGGATCCTCTTTGTAAATTTTCCCGATGGCAAATAACTTCTATACAAAATCAAAACACACTACATTAGGGTGAATCTGGTATTTATTATAGGTTCATAATTTATGCACAAGATGCTCATACATGGCACTGGTGTTAAATAAATAAAAAACTGCATGTTTCATACATAATATTACATTATACATTTTTGAATTAGTTTACATATAATTACAGTTAATTCTTATCTTAAATTCATCTTCAAGATCACAATTACACTCCTATAAGACTAATTTATAAAATAAATGGAGTACTTTCTTCAAGCTCTCATAAATTGGCTCATCTGTACAATAATAGGCCAATTGCCCCAGCGATTCCAACGATGACTTTTGGAATGCAAGCTGTTACAGATGCAAAATAAAGTATAGGCCGTGGTGTAAAGAGCGAATAGGCAACGGAAATTCTAAATTTCTTTGGGTATGTATTCATAAAACATGGAAAACAGCCGAAGGTCGCGTAGTCCGAAGTATTAGACGGAAAGACGAGATATAAACAAAAGCGTTTACAAAATGTGTATTTTTTTAACGGGCCAGAGATATAAAAGGCCGGCAACGCACTGGCGAGCCCTCTGGCATTGAGAGTGTCCATGGGCGGCGTTATCACTTAACATCAGATGAGCCTCCTGCCCGTTTGCCCCCCGTTCTATAAAAATAAAAAAAATATATTAATGCTTTATTTTAGCCATCAAAAATTCTTACTCAGCTGGCTTAATTATTTTATTTTCGTATTATTCCCAGCGTTTCCACGCCCCACATTTGGGGGGCATTTGATTGTTAATACAATTCGAAAATTATTTTCGAATTTCAGTTTTCATTATCTTTTGCAAATTTACTTACCGTATTTCGTTATCAATTTCCTAGTAATTGCATCCTAAATCCTATCATTTAAGTTTGTTAAGCGAACAATGAAATTGTTTAATATCAAAAATTATATAAGTTACATAGCAAGAATTTAAGAAAGGCTGAAAAAAAGGTTGGATAATTGTCATTAAAATTGGTATATATTATTCGGACTACGCGTCCTCATGTGAATTAAATTTTAAAATTGCATAAACAGTCTTCAGTTTACCTACGTTTATAGTAATCTCACCCTTATTTATAAGCGAAAAAAGCTTCTATCGGCACAACCTAAATAAAAGCAGAGAGACAAAATCTTAAGAAAAAAATATGCAATTTGATTATTATCTACTATTGTCGTAACGGATGATTTAATCTCAAATAGTTTCAAATATTACCAAATAGACAGAGCTAGTAGGTTTAAAATACTTAATACGAGTAAAAATATTTTAGTTTTATTCGTAAGGAACAAAGAAAAGTTTACACTTGACATTTCTTAAAAAAAAAAACAATCAACGTAAACTAGAAAAACAACCATCTCTATGGTTTCGTACTGCATGTAAATCTCAGAAATTTCCCGGCAAAACAACTGTTGTAGAAACTATGTCATTTTAAAAAATATATAATAATACAGAAGTGTGTCTGCCGCCCCCCCCACTTTCTGGGGGTTGAGTACATCAAACACTAATAGTAGTACTCGCAGTCGTTAGGAAATATTTGAATTAGTTCTCTGCACTATATTAATCAAGAGCAAACTTTATAGATAGGTCGCTGATAAGATAAATTAAAAGCTTATGTTATAATTAATTTAAAAAGAAGAGAAAAACCAAATGAAAATAGCACAATAGTCTTACTTTTCTCTAAAAAAATCTAGCTCTTCTATCGGATTTATTATCATTCACTTATCATTAACTTTTGTGCCACAAAAATTAACCAAATGATTCTTCCCTAATTTTGTTTAATTTATAATAGACTATATAAACTTAATACTATGTAAATGCTTTTATTCATGACTAACAATAATTAATGACAAAATCAAAATCTTATAAGCTTACACGAAAATATACTGATAGGAATTCAATAAATGTAAAAAATATCTACGAATAACAATACTGCGTAACAAAATTTAATCATCAGAAACATAAAGTCATAAACAGATTAAAAAGCAAACTCGACTGTCAACTGTACGTCAAAAATTGTATTTTGACATGGTTCGCCCTCAGTGTCGTTTCATCTGTCACCGCGTGTTCGCGCCAGTCTTTGACAGACTAAGTGACAGCTCACAACAACAAATGCTTAATCAAAATCGAATAAAAATTAAAACTGTATATAAATAAAACGGAATGTAAATAAATACTATCAAACGATAGACCATGCCTTTGAACCACAATTAGTACAAGGTCACAGCGAACCAAATATAAGTTCGGAGAGTGTTTATTTTCTTTTGATTTGTCGGAAAAAATCTAATACTCCGTCATGTCTATGTTTTTCCTTGACTTGTTAGCTCGGATTTTAAATTAGACATTAAAAGATTCACTAATCTGTGTAATAATAGTTTATACACGTTGAATCTGTTGTCATATTGTGACAGCATATAAAGGGCGATTAGGACGTTCTGTTATTAACTGATTTTTAAGATATATTTTGATTGTATTGTTATTCGTAAATCATATAGAAATCTAAAATATTTTCGCGTTAATAACTACGTGAAAACCAAGTATAAAAAATACAGAAATAAGGCTACATAACAATGTGTCAAAATATTACAAATATAAGGCATTCAAAATCGAAGAAAAATAGCGTATATATAAATAGCAAAGCCAACAAAAGCAGTTAAAAATCATAATACTTTTCATGTCAGTAAAAATATTTGACAGTTCCATAGTTCGAGAACCTTTAATATAGCAAATTATAACTTAAATATTGCGTACACGTGGATGAATTGCCTGTTACACGTAAGCGCAATTATGTACTTTAGCGCTATAGAAATAAGGTCGATGTCGATACCTCTCTAAATCTAGCTCGCTGACGCGTTTCCTACCCTCCCCTATAATCACAGTGGAACAAACCGTATTTCGAAGTTCTATTCTAATATTTATAAATCTAATATATAAAGTGACAGTCTTCGTTTGTAGATGAACCGTAACAATTCGAATCAGCTAACACTACACTATCTACACTATTCGAAAAACACGCCAGCGAGAGTCACGTCACTAATAAATAACGTCTACGTCTATTGTAGTACACGGCGATGTCGGAAAGAGAGAGATAGATTCGTATAGCGTTCGCTCTTTCGCACAGCGACTCGAATCTTAACGTGGATTTTTGCCTGGTTAGTTTTAGGAACGAAGCTTAGTTGCCATATCGAATACCAATGGTATTTTCTACTCGATAATTCTTATATGAATAATGATAGCTGTCAAAAAAATAAGTGTTTAAGTTTTTATATTAGTTTTCATAAATTATATAATGAATTACATCTTTCATATTAATCTTAATATCATATTTGTTTATATTACGGTTCATTCAACAAAGAAGACAAAACTTGGCCGTAGGGGTGTAAAAGAGACAGCACTAGCCGAACCTATCCCTCTCTGTCACATCGCCGAACACTCGTTACTACTGGACTGCATCGTTTGTAAAAATATAATTTGTATGACACGCAGCCAAAGTCCTAAGCTATTAAGGGATGCACCTGTTGGGGCATGGGGCCCCCGGCCGTCGCTAATGCCCCTTGGCCGCTTCCTTCGCCGCCATTATTAACGGCGTGAGGGACGCCAGCGGTCGAGCCATTTTTAGGAACGGGTGCTGTGGACAAAGTGTACTAGTTGCAGTTCCTTGTAAACCAAAAAATTGGCTATTAAAAAGAGCTCGATTACTTCATGAACTTTTAGTATTCCTTTTTTTTGTTTTTTCCTTACTAGGGTTGCCTGAAATAGATCGCTTGTTAGCGATAAAGCCAACCTTATATTATAATTTGTGTTGATAAGCGTTCAAGTATTACGTCACGCAATTTTGGAAATTATTGATGCCCCCCCTGTAACGCGCCGTAACGTTTTTCTTTTCACAATAGTTTCGTGACCAACCAGTGACTCTTTATATCTAAAAGTTACCATTATGTGGTGTAAAGTACTGGAAAGTCGAAAATAATATTAATCCCCGCCCCGCATAGCAACGTTTTACAAAAGGGCCCCCAAATTCGTTACGTAATACTAGAACGCTCCCTTATTCGTTTCAAGTCCAATGTAACGCGTTAAAATAAATCAAGTTCCGCTCTGTTTGCCCATGGATGGCGCAGTCTTGCTCTTTCGCGAATTTTGTAAACGTTTTTGACATTCATAAGCATGCGCTCAGACGCATCTAAACTGAATAAATGTATTTAGATTGATGATTGATTGATTGACTCAGATTGTAGATGTCGCTATAAATAGCTTTTTATGTAACAGGAGGCAAACGGGCAGGAGGCTCATCTGATGTTAAGTGATACCGCCGCCCATGGGCACTCCTAATGCCAGAAAACTTACAAGTGTTGCCAGCCATTTAAGAATTGGTACGCACGAATTGGAAGGACCCTAAGTCGTATTAATTTGGAAATACTTCAGTGGGCAGCTGGTTCCACATAGTGGTGGTGCACGAAGAAAACTGCCTTAAGGCCCTATCTCAGCACGAATTGCTGTGTCAGTGTGTCGGGGTGGACTGCGTGGCGCAGTGGAGAGCTGGAGCACTGAGGCCCGTAATAACAATTAGTTATGTAAAACATTAAATTAATGTAAATTACCAATTTTTTCCGAAATCGATTACTTGGCATGCAATAAAATATATCGTGTAAATTTCAAAATCATATTCTATATACATTTTCGTCATAAAATGAATTAAAAGGTGTCAAAAATTAGCTATGTTTGGATTTTTTTCCTATCTAGCGAAGTTATTTAAATCGTGTATCGATCTTTCAATATGGATACATAAACTACTCAACTCCACCATATATTTCTTCCATTCGCCCTACTTGAAGAAACGATGACGAAAAATGGAAAGAAACAATGTACTTCTTGGAGTTTGGCGACCAGATAGGTCCTTAAGAAACGCTCAGTTGTTGAACGACGGATGTCGAGATACGGATGGTATTACCTTAAGTAAATCGAGAGCTGTGGCGCGTCTCTCAACGTCAACTTCTAGGCACTGGTCGAGGAAGTCTTGAAAGACCGCACTCAATTTGTCTTTGTCTTTGATATCTGGCTTCCCATTCGTGGCTATCAGATACAGCGCACGTAACGGGTTCTCATTGAGGTATGGGGGCTCGCCTTCAATCATTTCGATCGCCATTATACCTAATGACCACACGTCCACCTGGAAATTAAAAAATACTTTAATCATAATCAGTTAATATTATGTTATAATATTTATTATTTAAACTGGAAAACAATTTTTAATATTTTTCAGTCATGTATCGTATACCCTCAGAATATAACACAAGTTACCAACAAATAGATATATTTAGGGTATGTTTCACAATGTATGGATAAAGTACCAAATAGCTATGCAACACATAAATTATTTGGAAGATAATTGACACTTCATCGGACTCATAGCTTATGATGGAATTTATGTGACAAATATCGCTATCTGACAGTCGTGAAACGCAAAAATAGTGTTTATCCTACCAATAAGTAATAAATAGCTAATTTGGAACTTATGTAGAACTCACAATGTACGGTTAACCGTACATTGTGAGACTTAAACAGACCCTAAATGTAACTAAAAATACAAAAAAGATAATATAAAAAACTCTGGTATCTTTTATTAATGATGGCTTTGTTATTCTTCCTTTTTATTAAATATATATAAAGATCAAATGCATCTTGGAATTTATTATAATACTAGCTGACCGGGCAACGTCGTTTTGCCATATATATCATTTATAATAAAAAATAGGTGTTGATCGTAGAGGGGTGAAAGTTAGGGGTTTGTATGTATTTTTTAATGCTGTATCATAAAAAAATAAAAACAGAAAAAAATATCTAAAAATAACAAAAAAATATTTAGGGGTGGACTACCCTTAACGGACATACCCAATATGCACACAAAATTTCATGAGAATCGGTCGAGCCGTTTTGGAGGAGTATGGCAACGAAAACTGTGACACGAGAATTTTATATATTAGATTATATGATTTTATTTTTATTTTTGTATAAATAGGTAAAAACTGTGCTTTATGTTTATATGTGTATTCCTTTTTAACTTTCGTGTTTAATGTAATTGTTTGGATATTGTTTAATGAGTAGCTGTAGGAATACTAATGACCAAATAAATATGTATATAAAATAAAAATACAATCAAATATATTAAAATTCTCGTGTCACAGTTTTCGTTGCCATACTCCTCTCCTCCATATTGGGTATGTCTGAGAATCGGACAACATCTATTTTTCATCCCCCTAAATGTTAAGGGTAGTCCACCCCTAAATATTTTTTTTTATTTTTAGATATTTTTTTCTGTTTTATTTTTTTATGATACAGCATTAAAAAATACATACAAACCCCTAACTTTCACCCCTCTACGATCAACCCCTATTTTTTATTATAAATGATATATATGGCAAAACGACGTTTGCCCGGTCAGCTAGTTTTATATAAAAATAAGTCACTTAAAACTAAGCCTCAATTAAAACCCAATTCAAGTGTACAATGGGCCATAATTTTATATTTTATTAAAACTTCGTTACATTGCAAATAAAACCATGTATTAGGGAAGCAACGGCCTTATCGCTAACAAGCGATATCTTCCAGGCATCTCTAGTAAGGAAAAAGGAAATAAATACTAAGGGTAAATAAAGTGCATAAATTAATAATTTATGCAATTTATTTACCTTTATGCACTTTTATATTTTATTTTGTTAAACAAAAATAAAATTACTAATGATTTCTATATAGTTGTTTTTTTTTATATAAGTGTAACCAATACATATAAAAGGTCAGCAACGCAATTGCGAGCCTTCTGGCTACCAAACATCGGGTGAGCTTCCTGCCCGTTTGCCTCCTATTACATAATAAAAATAGTTACTTAAAGTTTATTCCACACAGAATTTGATTTACCTTTGGACCATACTGTTTTCTCGTAACCACTTCGGGGGCCATCCAATATGGCGTTCCAACCATCGTTGTTCTTTTGTTTTGTTCCGGAGATATTTGGGCGCAGAAACCAAAGTCCGCTAAAAACCGTAACTTTTGTTAAAATATACCTACACAAAATAAATTCTTTAAAAAATCTTTAAACAAAACTCGATTTTTATCAATATCTCTAAAGCGTTCAAGCGTAAATAATTTATGTAGGAATACAAGATTTTTGTGAAAATATCTATAGGTGAAAAAAAAATTGCTGATTTGTGATTATAAATAAACTTTGTTTGTTTAAAAACAAATACAAATATTACTATTAAACACAATTTTTCACAGAGAGAACAAAATTTAAATTAATTTATATAAACATACTTTTACTAACTTATTGTTTTTCGTTAATTGTAAAATATATAAATTTAGCCTTTTTCTTTACCTTAAATAAATTACATTTAAAAAATAAATCAACATCATTTATTCATATTTAACACAATGTACACTTATGAACGTCAAAAAAAATACATTAAATGCTTCTAATTTTAGTGCCAGTTCTCAAATCAAGGGCGTAGAACGGAAGAGAAGAACTGGCAATAAACTCTCCGTCACTCTTTTTAATCGCCAAGTTTTTTGTTTTACACAACGTTTGTAAGGAGCTGCAACCATTACACCATGTTCCACTTGACATCTCAAGTAATAAATAGTTATTTTCATTACTTAAGGGATATAGTTGGTCTATATATCTAATAATCTAAAACATATATGAAATAAAACTATACATACTGAGTTTAACTTGTCCGTCCAGTCCCAAGAGTATATTATCAGATTTGATATCCCGATGGATAACATGGTTTGTATGCAAAAAGTGCAATGCTTGAAGTACCTCGCGACACACCGCCGCTATTTGCCCCTCGTCCATACACGTTTCAGTTACTACGTCGGTCAAAGAACCACCCGCTAGGTACTCCATAACCACCCATAGTTCCTATTTAATAAAAAAATTTAAGAACCCGCACAAAATAAAAAAAAACGTCAGTACTTATGTACACGCGTTGGAAGTTATACTTCTTTGGCGTAACAAGATAAAAAAATACGTGTGGCACTCGGGGACTGCCGCGGTAAAGCTATTGCATAGAATTTTTATAAACTTATGCAATATAATTATTTATTTATTTTTTGCATTATTTATTTTTTTGATATTAATTCAAGTTTTTCTTTGATATTAATTCAATCTACCACTCTACCAGCCTCAGACTAACACGCCTATCCGATCACGCTAGACCGATGCGAGACGCAGTATGCGTTCTGTCCCGCTCTAACGCGTATTGGCCGCACCTATATTACGTCATCGTGTGTTAGGTTAATTCGTTACGGAATTTCTTGATTCGGTAGTCGCGCCCGCGATAAAATCTATGCAATAGCTTAAATGTTTTCAACAATTTTATTCTACGTTCGTAGAAAAAACGAAAATGTTGACTATAGCTAACTTCAGGGTATCGGAAACATAGTGGCCAAATTCACCGATATTTGTTTTTTTTTAAACTATCGAGTGCGTACATAACGAACCTCATTCACAAGATAACTGTCCAGATAGTTGACGACATTGTTATGCTTATTCTCCCGCATGACAAGAATTTCGTTGATGATCAATTCCTTTTTGGGTTGCTGGCTCAGGTTCATCTGTTTAATGGCGACCTCCATGCCCGTTGAGGTCTCGATCGCCGTGTACACTGTCCCAGATGCTCTGTAATATAATAACATAGCTAACATAAATTATATATAATAGTTTGGAAAATCCAAAAGTGCACGCCTCATATCGGTCATTCACATTAAAAAAAAATCATTCGTTTACATTTTTTAATTTTTACTTCTTACTTAATATAATAAAAAAATATATAGTGGCGCCATAACTCTAAGTGAGGAAAAATATACTAAAATAAATGTCTTATTCATATATATACAAATACACAGTCGTATTTTTTTTTACAAATTATAATTAAACGACAGTACTTAGAACCTAATATTACTAGGAATCAGCCCAGGTATAACTTTATATAATAAGAAAAAGTATTTGTAGATAAATTTTTCGACCAATTTCTTGCGACATACTGGATCCATAAACACAGACTGACGACTCCAAGAATGATTATTTTAAGTTATATACTTGTTAAACAAAATAATTGTTCATAAAAATACTATATTCTTGATAATTATTTAACTCGATTTTAGTTCACTCTATTATCCTGTAAGTGTTATATTATGAGAAAAAGTGTACTGGGAGGCGTGCAATATTAATAAAAAGTGTGCGTAAAGTAGCATCGAAACTCGGTCCAATTTTTAAAACCCGGTTTTGGTCTAAGAGTAATCAAAACCCGGGTACCCGGTTTTTCGAGCATTTCGTCTTTTTATTGAATTTTTTTAAATGCACTAATTGGGTTTATATATCGATTTCCTACAATGAATACAAATATAAAGATGAGGAAAATTTAAATAAATGAAACAGTACTTTACAAATTACATAAACAATTTTAATGTTTAAAAAGTATAAAGATTTATTTTTTCTTCAGAATATCTTAAAACTTAGTAAGTAATTAGTATTTTTTAAATCACAGACTTGCAGAGATTGGTTTTAAATTAAATGAATTATTTTGGAAAATTTACTTTTGTATTTAAAAGCTAATAAAAATAAAATCTTCAAAAGACATTTTTGTAGTATCACAATTAATTTTAATATTAATAAAGCTCTTCTTCCATTAAAGTTAATAACAAATAATTCTAGTCTTCTATTCTACTATAATTTAAATTGCAGTCGTTTTCTTAATAATTAGGTCTTTCTATAATTACCTAAAATATTAAGTAAAAAGTAGTTATATTTGACAATTATTTAAGACATAACCTCTGACCATCTGACCAAGATTTTCTAAAGAGAAAAAAAGAGAGGAAACTCTGCTGTCGCGTACCGCCATTCTCGAAGAGTGCTATTTCTACCCTCATAGTAGGTAAGCAAATCGTCTGATGGACAAGCTGATTCAGTTTCAGGAGCATTATTATCAGTAGCAACACTTGACTTAACTGTCTGTTCATTCCTCTTCATTTGTCAAAGTAGACAGCTGAATGTCAATTTCTCGCAGGTCTTGGTCTGGCGTGGCAAATTTTCAAGAGGTAATTTTATTTTTGGTTTTAATCAATTAACAATTTCGTTTAATTTCATTTACTGTAGGCCGATTTAAACATTTTATCTTCATTTTGAATGTTCTCAAAATATTTACCCGATTTGTCAAGTAGGTACTGTAGTGTGGCTGCTTGAGTTAGTTTTTTTTGGGGTATCGTTTGCCAAATGCAGTTGCATTTTGTTATTAGTGGTGTCTTCATTTCATCCATTTTCTTCAATGCAAATTTTAGGGAAACATCAGTGTAAGTAATGTTATCGCGTCGACATAGCCCTCGACACAGTTTTAATAACATCCAATATTGTTTGATTCATCTTTATTTCTCCAGTCATCATCAGTAAATACAATATCTGTTTTTAAATCAATTAAAGCTTTTATTTAAAAAAATCATACGGCAAAACCCGCACAAACGCGACAAGCTTTGCTACACCCTCCCTCTCCACTGCTCCACCTTCACTCTATTCATGTCTTGAGATGGACGCGGAACGCGAATTTAGCTTGCAAGGCTTGTTTTATTGGTAGGAACGTAGCAACGAAGCTACTTTTTACGTAATAAAGAACAATTTATCAAAGCGTCTTTTTATTCCATTTACTTATTATTGCTTCGAGTGGCTTAAACTAAATAAATAACAATAACAAAAGTATTAAAAAACCGAGTTTTAAAAATTAAACCCGGTTTTTTGTAATCCTCAGAACGGAAAACCTTTTTTCGGTCCGGGTAAACCCGGCTCGATGCCCTAGTACAAAGTACACGTCAGAAGTGAAACTTCTTGGAAACTAATTTATGTCTTATTCATATTTATACAAATCTAAAACTTGGGATTTCCGAGACTTAGAGGGAGGGAAAAAGGAAGATATGTAATTTAATTCATTGAAATATTAAAAGTGTCGAAAATTAATTCAATTTATATTTTTATTTTTTTTATAATAACAACACGTGGCATTTGAATTTACAATTCCTATTTGACATATTCCTTATTCCTCATTGAAAATATAAAATACTAATATTTCATAAATTCTCTTTACCTTTTGATATACATTGTCGATTCTCCGACATTTGCCTAACACATGGAAATTAATCACCTTTGGTATATTTTGCTTTGAGGTAAAGTTTCCAGTAAGGACAACTTAACCAGAAAATATGCACTCCTTTCAATATTGTATATCTATATATATAAGAAAAATGGTCTTCGTTTGAGGCTCCTTCGCGCCTAAACCACTGATCGTATCGACATGAAATTTTTCCTAGATGGTTTAAGGCTATTATTTTTTTAAATTCCAACGTTCCTTCATTTTTTTATTGCTGTTTTACTTTTATGAAAATTTATACATATGGACTTCACCGCGGAAACATTCGAAGAGGCTTCCTAGAACCTCAAAACGTCAACATCTGTTAAAAACTCGATTTTCGAAAATTTTCAATTTTCTTAGCGGGAAGTTAAAAAGAAGAATAATAAAAATATGAAAAAAATAATAATAATGAAACGTAACATTTTATTTATTTTCTATTTTAATTCGCCTAGCAAAGCGGGCGGGAAACGGCTAGTATAATATATAAGGCATACATAATATATATTTTGTTAACTCACCCCTGTCCAATCTTTTCCATTTTGGTATATTTTCTATTAGGATCACCAACACTAACAATTGTTCTTAATTTCTCTAATATCTCTTCATCCGTCATCTTCTTTTTCCTTTGCTGTTGGCCTGTCGATCTCCTGAAATATATTTCAATTACTATTTATTTTCCATCTAATTTAGCTTTCTATAAATGATGAAAGGATGAGATGAAACTTTTTCAAATATGATGTATTACGAAATTATTTATTTCTATTTTGCACACAAGTAAAAAATTCCCCTTTATAGGTCTGTTATCTAAAGCTGGCGGCTTCAACACATTTACACTTTGGGCTTGTGTAGTGTCTGTGAATAAGCGCGAGGCGTGACGTCTCACTGAAAAAAAAAAAAAGGGGGCCCCCCCCCCCCCCCCCCCAGGGAGGGTTTTAAATTTTTTTTTTTTTGGTGGGGGGGGGGGAAAAAAAAAAAAAAAAAAAAAAAAAAAAAAAAGGGGGGGGCCCCAAAAAAAAAAACGGAACCACCCGGGAAAAGGGGCGCGGAAAAAAAATATTTTGAAAACCTTTTCAGGGAATAAACAAGTTGCAGTTCAATTTGAAGGAAGTTTGTTGAGCTAGATGGAGCTTATGTCGAAAAATGAAAAATTATTTACACGAACTACTCTTTCACGTCCACGCTTAAAACTTTTGGATCCACCCTCGTATGCACATAATATTTATATATGTATTATGTATATTTCACCCACCCAACCTTACTAAAACCAGAGTAGACTAAAATATATAGCTTGGCAAAAAAGTCATATTTTTAAACATACTGTATAGTGAAATTGCATTAGTGTGAGTACTGTGAACGCGCCAGCTTTCGATAACCGACCTATAATTGGATAACAAATTCAAACTAGTGTAATAGGCTGGCAAAGGCGGTTTCAGGCGACGCGTGTTAATCATTTCTCTCTGTATCTTCCAAAAGTATGCGACGACATATATCTACGGTTGACTCACTATTTATTTTTATATATAACATATGTTACAAGCTATCTAAAATATATGACAATTTTGGTGTTACCAAATATAAAAATATATACAAAATAAACACAAAAATATAATTAAAAAAATTACCAGCAAAACAGCGGATCAGGTATGAGATCAGGCACTTAACAATATTTTCTATAAAATTTATCAACCCACTATCGAATATATCCGTTATAATCGTGAAGAATTCGAAAGAGACATTATTGTTTATGGTACTTATATTTGTATTAAAATAGTTCATGTTTTGTAAAGATGTTTTTATATGATACGAATCGTTATGCAAATAAATTTTAATCACAACTATTAAATGTTCAAGAAAAATGCAGATATTATTTTATTTAAGTGTGAAATATTATTGTATGATATAATTAACAGCATATTGTACCTGACATACCCTGTGTCAGTGGCTGGGGCACCATTAGGAGGGGCAGGCGGCGCATGGGCAGGGGGCGTATGCGCCGGATTCTTATTGCGATCCAGACTTGGGGCCGGGACCACTTCTGCTCTCGGTATCTGTCGATTTATATTAATTAATTACAAATTAAATATAGTTAAGGATTTACTAGACAATCTTGGAAAGTAATTGTTCGTATTGGAACATTTTTTTTATGTTGGATAGTCAAGAATCGAAAAGAATTGTACGCTAGAATAGATATCTTTAAAACTACGCAGATTTTGATGCGGTTTTTTAAATAGATAGAGTGATTGAAGAGGAAGGTTTATATGTATAATAATATCCATTAAATAGTGGAGAAATACTGTTATTTTTGAGGTTTCTAATGTGATGTAATAATTACATTTTTCCCGCTTACATTGCAAACGCAGGCTGAACCCTACGAGATTTATCAAAATAATGTACTAAGTATTGTACACATTGAAAAGTTCTACAGAAAACTCCGCGATGGTATATGTCTATCTCTTATGGATATCCCACAATAACATTTTTTTGTCATTCACTTTTTACGACAAATAATGGCTAAAAGTTAATTCCTATACGTCAAACAAGTTCTGATTGACGAGTCATAGTTTGCGTTCTCGACTCTGAACCATACTTTGATTTCTGTATTGATTTTTTTGATTATTTTGAAGTTATACTTCTTTAGGCGCGTTATGAAAAAATTTATGAGAGTGAAATTTACGATGCGCGCGCACCGTGACACAAAATTAACAGAATGAAGTTGCCCACGAAAGATGCTAAGGCATTGGACATAATTTAAAAACAACATTCGAATAATAATAGAATTTATGTTACACTTAATGTAAGTGAGGGCCAGCGTGGATTCCAAAAAAACAAAATATATTAATATTACTTTAATTAATTACTTTTACAAATAATAAACTTAACTAAATACAATTATTTAATCGGCCCGATATTAGGTGCACGATAAATATATTATATAATAAACTTAACTACTTGAGACTTGACCGGTCCGATATGAGGTATCCGATCAAAAGCTGTTGGTTCTCTTGTCCCTTTCCTTATATATAGCGTATTTCGTAAGAGGTGACTTGTATTGGTATGGGGGCAAGGAGTGAATGAATATGTAACATCTCCCGTAAGATAGCAACTATTTGCTATTGATTCTATAGCAAAAGTTGCGGCTCGAATTCTTGGAGACATTTCTTATTACGTTTTTGAAATCGGTTGAAGATTATTTGGCGATATGGAGTAGAAGAAAAGTACAGCTGAGGAGTTGGTCATAGAAGTACAAAGGAATGTTGTGGTATATTATGTTTGATGAATATTCCGCGGTTTATGAATCATTTTGATATTGTGTACTAATCGATTGAATTAAGTTGAACTGTTATTTTGTTGAATATCCATTGAGGAAAATTAATATTTGAACGCTTCCTTTAACTCGATGTCGATTTGTGGTAATTTATATGAGATGTGGACTTTTGTCATGATTTTGATGGTGTGGGTGCTGCCTCTTGTGAAATATTAAAACTTAAGTTATTAGTTCGGTACTTGTGGGATTAGGAGTATATTATTATACGCTGACTCGACGATCCTACCGACTGCGCAATTAGTAGGGCCAGTGATTCCAAAAAACCAAAATATATTAATATTACTTTAATTAATTACTTTTACAAATAATAAACTTAACTAAATACAATTATTTAATCGGCCCGATATTAGGTGCACGATAAATATATTATATAATAAACTTAACTACTTGAACTTGACCGGTCGATATGAGGTATCCGATCAAAAGTGTTGGTTCTCTTTCCTTTCCTTATATATAGGTATTTGTAAGAGGTGTTGTATTGGTATGGGGATTATATTACTTAATGTAAGAGAATAATAATAAATATTTATTTATTTAATTTTTCAAATGTAAACTGAACTTTATTGACTATAATGACTCCTTTCCAGTCTTTGATTATTTTACTGTAATTAATTATTTGCATGCAATCAAAAACTATTTTTAATAATGCCAAAGAAGTATAACTTCTTACGCGCGTACAAATACACGCACCCTTTTTTTTACTGGCAAAGTGATCAAAATTCTGCGCCTGACACCACTTTACACTGCTATTATGTAAATCCAAACGTAATGAAAGGCCGGCACCACGGCTTGGGTGAGTGTGGTATACTTAATAGGTGGCCCGCGTATCAAAATACTCACAGAATGCGTCGTTAGTGCCGGATGAGAAACGTGTGGGGGCGTCGCAGGCGCAGGAGTAGGCCGAGGGGGCGGAGCCTCTTCTTCTTCTATGGGCTTCGTGTACTATAAAATAGAATGTAAACGCAACGGTCAACCTATATTGAGACTGGCCATGTACGTATAAATGCGTACACAAACTCACTCTATATACCTACCATAACTCTCATTCGATAAACCGAATGTCCGACGTGACCTGTGCACCGCGGGCGGCTTTATGTCATATAATACTTTGTGTGACTAAAGAGAAGTGAACACTCTTCGATTTAATACCAGCGGCGCTACAATCTTTTTATGATCATTTATCTATATTAGGGAGCCTTCAAGTAATACGTCACGCAACTTTTGGAGATTATTGACCCCCCTCCCCCGTGTAACGCGCCGTAACGTTTTTCTGTACCCAAGTATAGAAAAACGTTTCGTGACCACCTAGTGACTCTTTATACTTAAAAGTTACCATTATGTGGTGTAAAGTAATGGAAAATCGAAAATAATATTAACAATAACGCGTAATTCAATCCCCGCCCCGCATCGTAACGTTTTACAAAAGGAACCCCCCCACCCCCAAATTCCTTACGTAATACTTGAACGCTCCCTTAATACACAACTAGGTGATCAGCCTCTTCCTGTGCCTGACAACCGACAAGCCTTGAGCCAAATTCAACAGCGTGTGTCAGGCACAGATCACCTACTTGCCTGTTAAGACAAAAAAAGAATCACAAAACAGATAAAGAAATCTGACACCAAAAACGAAACGCCAAGGGTTGTGGTGCCAAAGTTGCCAGCCTGATAATAAAGTCATTCATGCCGGGTACCAAATTCCGTTAATTTAAATCATCACTCAAAAATATCACATTAAATTCCTAATCTAATTATATATGAACACGACTAAATAATAAGAAAATTATTGCTTACAATGCTCTTAGTACGATCAGGCCTTGAAGGTGGCGGGGGCGGCGGCTCCGGATGTTCAGTATCTGTTGGTGTCGATGATGACGGACTGCTTGATGAGACACGGGACACAGATGATCCTGGAACATTAAACTTGTCGGTTAAAAAGGGCAGAGAAGAGTTAATTGCAAGTTTTAAAGACATTTCGTCATAGTCGTATAATAGTGACGGATCTGACAAATAGTAAACTTTACATGGCAGCCATTTCGAAATAATATAATCATGTTAGTTTTTTTCATAACTACTTTAATTCATATTCTGTTATTATGAAAATTGGCATACAAGAAAACAAAAAGATTTATTTTGAAACAAAATAAAAATAATAACATTAAATTACACAGTTTTCTAAAAAAATCACATGTTTCTATCAAATCCGTCACTTTATCGACTGATTAATTTGAAATTTAAAACACATGGAATTTTTTTTAATGTAGCCGTAATATTTAGTCGATGTAGTATCCAAATATGATAAAAAGTGGATTTTGGAATTTTTTCAAATCCGACATTGTTTTATTCTCATAACAGACAATAGTCACTTACATGAGAACTTATATACTAAAGATACAATTTATCGCGTCGTGGGTCATGGAAGAGCTTCAAGGAATTAGCGAAGTAGAACTTGGGTAAACTTTCATTTACGTAGGAGAACTGGGATAACTCAAGAGATGGTCTTTTAGTCTTAATTTAAATATTGCCAGGCTGTCTGCACTTTATATATTTTGTGGAAGTTTATAATAAACCGCAGAATTCTCATAACGCTCAATGTTTTTTTTACCGTAATTTTTTTTATACTTAGGTAGAATTAGAGTTTTACGCCTTTGATTTGAAAACTGTTATTTTATTAGTGATGCTCAAAAGTTAACCTATATTAATAAAAGTGGATAATGGCAATCCTATCTATATTCAGGAAGACAAGTTATTTCGGGCTTTCTAAAGTCATAGACACACACTTTCTAAAGACATTGTCTATGAATATAGAAAATAGCAGTATCCCATGCCCCATATAAAGTATTACAGTTCACAGATAATTAGAGGCCTTAATTGAAAGTTAATCACAACAATGAACCTTTTGGTTTTTTCCAAGACTCCACAAAAACCACAGAATCTTATTTATTTATTTACACTTCGTTGCAATAAAAATAAAAGAAACAAATAACACAATACATAAAAATTAGAATTAGAAAAAAAGGGATGCAACGGGCGGCCTTATCGCTAATAAGCGATCTCTTCCAGGCAACCCTAGTAAAAGAGAAAAACTAAAAAAAAAAGAAACATGATGCGTGCGAGAAGTGCAGAACCAAATGTTATATAAAAAAAAATATATATATATAGAACCTTAATCTAAAGTTATACAAAAAAAAATATTAATAACAAACTAAAAACTTAAAAGCTAATCTTACAGATTCATGAACAGCGAATAGTGATGCAATGCAAAAGAAAAGGAAACAAGAATTACACAAGTCACGATTGATCAGGATAGGATAAGGGTAAGAAATGTTTATACAGAAGAGTTTTAAAAGATGACAGAGAGGTAGCCTATCGTATCTTACCTCTGTTCTCCAGGCTGTCTAAAGACTATGGCAAGCAAATGGCCTCATGGTCTATAAACTCAACTTTATGATATTAACTAAGCAAAAAACAAAAGAATTTAAGTTGTATGCATGACAAAAACAACAAATGATTTCACAGAACTCACAAATTCTAGGAATGTTGAATGTACAAATTAAATGATTATTTGTATAAAATGAATTGTTTAAAATACCTGAATGTGTTGTGTGCATCTGTGCCGATGTCATGTATTTGGACACCGGTGGTTGGGTGGCCGACGCATCATACCACTTAAGAACATCAAGTACTGCTTGAGGGTTACTCTTTTGTTCTTGTTTGCTGATATTTGATGCCATTAACAACCTCGCCCATGCTTCTGGCATGCCCTAAAATTTTTCCACCTTAGGTATATCTTATACAATTACACGATAATAATCAAAGTCTACAATAATCATGCTTAATTCATGACCAAGAGGAAGATCAAAGTGATATTACATACAAAATATAAAATGTATGAAAATGCTAGCATGCATTTGTTATCTCTATATTTGCAACTTTTTAACATGTTAACTATCCGTCATTCTCAGAGTCATCCATTAAATAACTTCTACTGGCACATTAATGGACTATATATAGTCGTGCAACTTGTTTGATAATGAAGTACTGAAATGGTAACTTAATCATGAACATATATAAGAAATATACACACTCTTCCCCTGCACTATTTTAATAAAGTGTCTCGTTATCACAATGTAAATCAAATTTTAGTACTTTAGTTTAAAGAGAATAATTAGACCTATTATGGATAAGGGGATTAATGAACAACTCTGCTATGGATATATGACACACAGTAAAGAGAAAGTGCTGCAACATAGTAAAAAACTAGAGAACAGCAAATAAGTTTTTTTAAATTGTATAAAATAGTTATGCTACTATTACTTACTGTCATGGGCAGCTTGAAACAAAGGCGGCAATACAAGGAACTCAATTACATGTTTATATTATTCAATGTCTCATTCAATGAACTCTATAAAAGTCTTTGGGTATGTCTACTATTGAATATTAATTAATTGTATCTATTTAAATAATGTTCATGTTTACTTTTAATTTTTGGGTGCTTGCTATTGCTAAACATGCATTAATTTAATGCATTGTAAAAAAATACTATAGATGCACTTTGGTTGTTTATATACTTCATAAGTAACTAAGGGCATTCATTGATCTGATTTAAAATCAAAAATACTGTTTTACAGCTATAAGTTTTAGATTTATCTAAAGAAAATAACAGTTGTTGAATGAAAATTCAGTGGAAAAGTCTACTAATTAAAGCATTTAATATTGGTAGAACGATAGAAACCAGTGTAGATCTACATATTGTCAACAAACACTTTGTGGGTGTTACAAATATAAGTTTATGGGGGAATTAAACAGCCTAGTCACCAATTGCCACAAATATAAAATAATCCAAAGCTAGAATGCAATTGAAGCTTATAAGCCCATGGGTACATTTTAAAATAAAAGCATTAATATATAAGTGATAGTTTCAAGCAGTAAATCCGTTTCACAGTGCTTAACAGTGCAAATAATAGGGTAAATCTTGTTCTAAATCTTTATATAATTGTTATGCAAAGTGCAACCTTACAAACTTTAGTTAATAAATATTTCTGTTATGATTTTCCTATATTTAATATAACATATGTTAGTAAAACCACTAATTTAATAAGTCCTAGATAACATAGACTATATTTTATCCAGTGCATAAGCATTGGCTACCTAGTAGACAATAGTGATGAGACTTTTAAAACTATAATAATATATATAGTGCAGTACTAAACATTTTGAAGGTGAAAACTTACAGTGAATTCTCCTGTAACCGCATCAAAACCAACATGAACTGTATGTTCAAAATTTGTTGGATAACTAATATTTGGCTTATTATCATTGTGGGCAGTACTTTTTGATCCTTTTATTTTAGCTTTGAGTGTTTTCTTCTTTCTATCACTACCATCATCGGGTTCTGAAATAAATTTAGGAATTAATTTGATTGACTAAAGTTCACATGTTAGTACTAAAATTGTATCGCTATCAAATGACAGGACAGTCAATGTCCTGAATTCTATAAATGTATGAGTGTGTCACATAACTTTTCATATTATCTTAATTATATATTTCGAACACTGGGGGAAAAAAAAAAAAGGGGGGGGGGGGGGGGGGGGGGGGGGGGGGGGGGGGGGGGCCCCCCCCCCCCCCCCCCCCCCCCCCCCCCTGGGGTTTTTTTTTTTTTTTTTTTAATTCCCCTCTTTTTTTTTAATTTTTGGGGGGGCCCCCGGTGGGGGGCTCCACTAGTATTATATAAATTAAATTGTTAAAGACATATACTGTACCTTTGGGCAGTGGTCTCATATCAACCGAGGATACAGAATCCACTCGGTCCGTTGCTCGATTGCTGGTAAGGCGCACTGGAGGCGCAGGTGGTTTATCCTCGTCACTCGACATTATGGAATACTATCCCTGAATAACAATGAATTTGTCACCGAAAGTGTTGTACAGTTCGATAAAACTAAGTTGATTATGATAGTGTTTAACGTAACAAATTCTTCACTTAAATTTAATGTTAGCTTGTAATGGCACAATTGTATATAACAATATTATTACTCATGGACGCGCCCCGAGCATTGCAACCATGGTTCTTGGTATAATTCTGGTTTAAAACTGGGCTAGATTTACATACCTGATAGCGAAATAATATGAAGTGATAAGGCGATAGTAAATATTCACATTTCAATATATAACTATTTGGAAATAAACGTGTACAAGTTAATAAATATAAATAATTATTTTAATGATCAGTGGTCAGAAAAAAAACTAAAAAGACATTTGCATGATGCATCGAGCAGGTGACTATTGACTACTTTTTACTACAGATTGTAATTTCTTCGTTTACTACCACAGGTAGCTTTGAAAATATTCACGTTACTTGTGTTTTTTTTAAATAAATTAAGATATAAGAATTTGTATTAGTAAAATGTGTATTACTTAGAATTAAAAATATATATAACATTTTAGAAATTTACATTATAGGAAATGCTATATTCTTCACCGTATATATATTATAAAAATATTTATAAACTGAGAATCTCAATATTTGGACAAGGATACATACCATCCCAACCCCTTCTTCTTCTAACTTCCCCTTCCCAAAAAGATCCAATCACGTTTGCTAATGACAAATTAAAAGCCCCATACGTGGCAAAGCCAATTCAGGTGATGGTAAAAAACCCGCCTTCTCTAAGGGAAGACGAGGTCCCTTACTTCATACTTCATTGACTCCAGTGACCTTCTGTCTTCTGTCAGCTGCCTTTCAGGCGATTAAAGCCCTTGCGCTGGTCGCGGGAAAATATCAATTCCGCCTAAGCTACGCTCGCCAAAACAGCAGCGAGTTGAGCTGATAAGGCCTTTAAGGTCAACAGCGAGATTTGTTTTCCAAAAAAGCATCGATATATGTAATATCATTAAGTGTCGCCGCACACGGGCCACACGCCCCAACGCCGCCACGAGAAGCTAGAAGCGGCTACAAAGGTAGCTGAAGCGCGCGACAGCCACTTGTGGCCGGTGGTCGACACTTGCGGTCGGTGGCTGCTACTTCTTTTAACCCTTGCCTGCAGTATCATAATGGACTCTGACGAAGAAGGTTAAATATAAATATCCCCTCACCACGACAGGTCGGTAATCGACAACCATTGAACTATACATGATGAAGCATTTGGCCTCAGTGAAAATATGTAGAGGCCATATGCTGGAAAATATTTGGACTTAGACAAAAAAGTTTTCAATTATAGGTTAAGCCGTGCCAGACGTTGCATTGAGTGTTCCTTCGGCGTACTAGCAAACAAATAGAGAATATTACATCGCCTAAAACACTCTGTCTAAAGATCTTTTTGCACCCATTAAAGTTAAAGGGGGAAGGGTGAAATTTTCGACACTTTGAAAAAGGGGGGACAGAGAAAGATACAAAAAAAAGGGTGGGGCAGGAACACGAGCGTCTAAGGTCAACAGAACGAAAGATTATTTTCTAAAAGCATCGAAGAAAATATAATATAATTATGGTATTATATATTTTAGAGACTTACCTTCAATGTAGAACATTGAACATTTGGAGTTTTATATGTCTGCCAAGTTTAAACCGCTTATAAAAAAAAAACCCCACCCACAAAAAAAAAAAAAAAAAAAAAAAAAAAAAAAAAAAAAAAAAAAAAAACAAAAAAAAAAACAAAAAACCCCCCCCCCCCCCCCCCCCGCGCGCGAAAAGAGGGGGGGGGGGGGGGGGGGGGGGGGGGGGGGGGGGGGGGGGGGGGGGGGGGGGGGGGGGGGGGGGGGGGGGGGGGGGGGGGGGGGGCCCCCCCCCCCCCCGCCCGGGGGGGGGGGGGGGGGGGGCCCCCCCCCCCCCCCCCCCCCCGGGGCCCCACCCCCCCCCCCCCCCCCCCCCCCCCGGGCGCCGGGGCGGGGCGCCCCCCAAAAAAAAAAAAAAAAAAAAAAAAAAAAAAAAAAAAAAAGGGCCGGGGGGGGGGGTTTGGGGTTGGGGCCGGGGGCCCGGGGGGGGGGCCCCAAAAAAGAAAAAAAACCTGTAGTATGTCTCGCCAAGTTTAAACCAGTTATGAGTATCTAATAATAATAATAATCATTTATTTGCAAGAATATGGTACAAAAATCTATCTTGTGGATCTCATGAACTCGATCCGATTTCAAAATAAGAATATTATAAAAATTAAACTTAAGTAATTGAAGCTATATGCGAGGTATATTTTAAGATGGTGAATACATAATTCTACTAAACATTTTAGTTTAGTTTTCTCATTTCATCTGGGAATGGAGGTCTTTAACTTCTCAGTGGGACAATGGACATAATATCTACTTGTAGTCTTTGGTATAACTACTGGATCCTTCTAATAAATATCAGTAGCCGAATTAAAAACGAACTTCCTATTAGACATTTAATTAATTTCTTATACTCTTAATGTATCATCGTTCTTTGGAATTTCTCCTTTCTGTAGTGTGGGAAAAAAATTTTGTTTTAAAAAAAAAAAAAATTTCTTTTGGAGGGGCGAAACCCCTCTTTCAGAACTTTCTTTTCATAAAATATGGTTTAGTTCTAGACTAATAAATATATACCGGATAAAAAAAGATTAGACATTAATTAATATGTATGGAATTCCGTAGTGTTTAAATATGGTATTCCTCAATTTTCATTTTGTATATTGAAAATATCAATCACTAAAAAAACTGTAGTTTAATAAACATAGTGATTATTATATACCATTACATTGTGCCTGAACTCCTCGCAATGTTTTCTTGCGATCTGGTCGGTTAGAATGTAAAACGAAAAACGTTTCGTACGATTGTGATTCGTTAGAAGTACTACACAATAACATGACACCAAGTCGCATGTCTACACATAATATTGCATTAGATATGCTATTGACCAATCACAATTGTACGATGCGCTCAATCGTGTTGTGTTTCGTTTTACATTCTCACGTCCCCGATATTTGAAGTATTGAAATCAATCAATTTGTCGGATCGCATGAAAATCCGACCTTCGAAATATTCACATGGAATCACTAATCTGTGCATCAGAATTCAGATTGTTCGTCACCAATACTATTTCAACTTTCAACACAGCAAGTTTTTTTAAAAATAGTGTTTTCAGATTTGCGATTGCATTTACAAAATAATATTTTGCGCATATGCTTTTAGTAATTCAAAGAATCAATTATTTTCCTATATCGTCATGAATTTGGATTTTCATTTTTGCATTTAGAAATCTTCATAGACGGTACATATTATGGTCAAACTCTAAAACATAATTACAAAATGGATAATAAAGAAAACAAGGTAATTATAATACTGTGCTATCATACTTTTAAGTACAATTTCTTGTTTTTTTCACGGACAGAAATGAATACTCGTTATCGTTATTTACGTATTTAATTTAAGTTTCCTTTTTGAGTAGATATTTGAAATTTCAGGAATTTCCTGTTATACCACATTCTACACCATATCACTACTACTACATGTGTGTCTGATTTCAGGGTCTTGATGAAGAGAAAACCAATAAGCGAAGTCCTTTTGATGATTTATCTAGGGATGAATTGATTGCAAAGTGTAAGGGGCTTTTAGTTTTAGCCCAAAGAGCAAAGCAAGCAAAATCAGGTATAGTTACCTTAACTTGATGGATAGAAGTCTTCACTAGAAATTTGTTTATGTGAACTAGCAGTTGAGATAAGACCTCCAATTGTTAAGAAAAAGAGCATACTCCTCCCTCAAAGGCCGTAACGCACCAACTGAAATGGGGGTCCATGACCTGTGATTGACTGCCCTTTTTGGAAGTACCGTAGGCCTGTTTGCCCCCTATTCTATAAAAAAAGGTTCCCAGATATGAAATCTGCAAACATTGTTGGGATTTTTGTATTGAAGAGTTGTTAATCTGTCTTGTGCACCTGTGGATGAAAAATATTTATTATTTGTCTGAGAATTTAACTTTGAAAATTGTCATCAAATAAATTACTTGTTTATTGAAAATATTAATATATTATATTAATCACATATGTAATTCACATTTATTTTATTATATTACAGATTATCAATTAGAGGTAGATAAATATAAACATCAAACGGCAGAATGGGATAATGAGAAAAAAGGTTTGTTAACATCTATAAAGACTCTGCAGGAACTTGTGGATTCACTTACTGAGCAAAAGTTAAATTACATAACAGAAATAGATAAAGTGCAAAATAAATTTAAAAGCATTGAAGATAGATGCTGCAACTATGAAGAAGCAGTAAAAAAATATAAAGATGATATATTAGAAAGGGATCAACAACTTGCCACATCTTTACAAAAAATATCAGACCTAGACAGTGAAATAATATCCTTTAGAAGACAAAATAATAGACTTATGGAAGAAAATGAACAGCTTATAAATCAGATGACTGAGTTAGAAGCGAGTACTTCAGAATTTAATAAAATAGGTCTGCAACAAAGAGAACAGTTACAAATGCTAGAACAACAAATATGCGAGGGTAAGTTGCACAATGACAGGGTTTATAATGTGTTTGTATGATTTTTTTTAAACAATTTACATTTTCAGATAGTACTTACAGTAACAAAATCGATAAATTAAGCAATACAATTAAAGAATTGGAAAGTGACTTAGAGAAGACTAAAAAAGAATTACTTGATAAAGATGCTGAGACAAAAATAAAATTAGATGAAATAAATATGTTATATGAAACAGAAAAAACTAAAAAAGATAAAGCAAATATTAAACTTAAAAGTTATAAAGACAAAATATTAAGATGTGCATCATGTATAAATCAACTTAAAAATGCTAGATACATACTAACAAAAACTATCAAGGAATATTCAGAAAATATACCTAAGTGGCAGGATGAAATTAGAAAAGCTTCACTCCTACTTGATGCACAGATGAATGACTTGAACAAGGAGAATTTATCATTAAAGACTAGAATTGAAAAACTGGAAGAACAACTTCATGAAATTAATACATCCCAAAATAATGTAAAATCACACAGTTCTGAAGAACTGATATTTGCCAGAAAACAGATCAATGATTTAGAAGCTGACAACATTAAACTAAAAAAAGATCTAGAACACCTGACATCTACATATGAAGATGTACAAAATGTAACTGAAAATGAGAATAAGGTTCTCAAGGATAATTTAAATGCAAAAATAGCAGAACTAGATAATGTAACAAAGGAATTACAAAACTTACACATATATGCAGAAAGACTTGAGGCAGAAAATGAAAAACATACATCAAATGAAGATAAAAATGCAAATGAAACTCTTATTTTACAAATAAAAGCATTGGAAAGTGAAAAGTCAATGTTGGTCAAAGAAAAATTATCTGCCAAAGATAATATAATAGAATTGGATAATTTAAATAAATCATTAAATAATGATAAAGCTAAGTTGAAAAAAGAACTAGATGGAGTTAAGATAGAATTGGAAAGACTTTCTATAGAAAATATTAAGTTCAAAGAAGGTTTCTCAAAGGAAAAGGATCAAGAGTTTAAACAACTTGAAATTAATTTAAACAATGCACAGTCTCAGTATGAGAACTTAAAAAAAGAATTTGAAAACTTACAAGATATGAATGGTTTGCTGAGAGAGGAAATAGAGACTCTTAAATTTTCATTAGAGCAGCCAAATGATGAAACCGAGAATTTATCAGATGTTAACGCATTGCTTCAAGCTGATCTTGTCAAATTAGAAACCAAGTTGTCAGCATATAAACAAGAAAACGCAACACTTTTAGCAGAACTAAAAGACTGCAGAGGCAAAATGAAAGCTTATGACGAAATCGTTGTTGAATATGAAGATTCAAAATCAAAGCTGCTGAGTTATAAAACAGAAAATAATGAATTACTAAATGAAATGAAAGAAATCAATCATGTCTTAAAGGAAAGAGGAGAGACAATATCAAAATTGCAAAAAGCTGTTTCCGAAATGGAAACCCTAATTGAAACCCTTGAAAAAGAAAAAGATGAAAAGCAAAATGATTTAATGATGAAAATTAATGCATTGGAAAGCAATTTAAAAAGTGCCGAATTCAATACAAGTAAAAGATGTGAAGATTATGAGAAACTTATAATGGAAAGAGATAATGCTGTCGAAACTTTGCAAGAGAAAGAAGGTTATATAGCAAGTTTGGAAAAAGAATTGGAGAGGCTTAAAGCTGCTTCGTGTAATGGTAAATATTTAATACTAAATTTTTCTGTTACTTCACAAGTTTCATTTTGGAATTGATTTTTGTCTTTTACTTTGAGACAATTTAACTATTTAAGTAATACTTTGATAAGTAAGATTCTTCTTGTGGGCTACAAGTTTAGATTATAGACTGTTCTGTAAGAAACGAACGGTTTTTAGACGATGGAAACGAAAGCTATTTTCAGTCCCTAGGGAAGAACGAATTTGTGGCACCAGGCCCTTTAATAAAGGAGTTGTGTGCTGTCCCCGATAATATTAAGCTCCCGATCGAAAACGATCGATATTTTATATTTTCTCGAATTCGCAAAAACAAAAAATTAATATATACTATCGCATTGGCTATTAGCTGTTAGGGAAGTTGTATAAATAAATAATAATAATTTAATACATATTTTTAAAAATAACTAAAATAAATCAGTGGCGCTACAACCTTTTTAGGTCTGTGCCTCTGATTTTTGTATCTGTTTCATGATAATTTGTCAATCTAATAGGCAAGTAGGTGATCAGCCTGAGCCTGACACACGGTAGCGCCTTTCTAGGTCTAAGGCAAGCCGATTTCCTCACGATGTTTTCCTTTACGATTTGAGCGAATGTTAAATGCGCACATAGACAGAAACTCCAAAGGTGTACAGCCGGGGCTCGAACCTACGATCTCTGGAGAATCGCACGCTGAAGCCACTAAGCCAACACTGCTTTTAAAATAATTACTACATTATTATAAAATTATGTGTAATAAAAGTGTTATCTTCTATTATTGTTAACATATCTTATCTCGTATCGTAAAATTTAAACGTTGTAACGATTCTATAATGACGTTCTTTATAAATTAAATCCGTATTTGCCCGTTTAACTTGAATACTCTTTCATCTCTTTCCGTCAAATTGTGTTTACGCTGTGATGATATGAGCCAGAGTACTTTAGTTCAATAAGGGAGAAATTAGTATTGTCTTTAATAAGATAACTTTTATACATTTAAAGAAAACACTTTTTTAACGGATTGAAGCTATGAATTATTATAAACTTATAATTATTTTACATAATTTTAAATTTTCCCCGACGTTTCGCGTGCTTTACAAATTTAAAATTATGTAAAATAATTATAAGTTTATAATAATTCATAGCTTCAATCCGTTAAAAAAGTGTTTTATTTAAAGGAGAAATTATTTGATTTCCGTCTGTGCTCTTAAAATTTTATTTCCAGCAATGGAGTTACCAAATGAAGACATGTCAACATCAACGATTTCAAAAGCCGAAGAGCATTCGCGAATGAAAGATCTCGATGAAACATTTGAAGACAAGTATATATTTTTATTTTAACATCTCTATATATACAAAATTCTCGTGTCACAATGTTCGTTCTTATACTCCTCCGAAACGGCTCGAACGATTCTTATGAAATTTTTTATGCATATTCAGTAAGTCTGAGAATCGGCTACTATATATCTTTCAAACCCCAAGTGATAAGGGGTCCACCGTCCACCCCAATTTTTTTTATTATTTTTTAGACAATTTTTTTAGATAATTTAAATAAATTTCAAGATGTGATTGGTGATCAAATTAGATTTTTTTTTCTTGTTATCCTATATATCCTGTATCCTAGCTACCTTCAGCAACGTCAATCGGAACCCCTTCATGGGTAAAGGGAGCGTTCAATTATTACGTAACGAATTTCCTTTTGTAAAACGTTACGATGCGGGGCGGGGATTCAATTACCAGTTATTGTTAATATTATTTTCGACAGTCCGGTACTTACAAAATGGTAACTTTTAGGTGTAAAGAGTCACTGGGTGGTCACAAAACGTTTTTAATATTGGGTACAGAAAAACGTTACGGCGCGTTACATGGGGGGGGGGTCAATAATCTCCAAAAATGCGTGACGTACAAGTATTAACTTGAAGAACAAAGGCCCTGCTCCAGCTTTTTCTAACATACTCTGTCCAAGTCTTTCTTTCTCCATTCGCTTTCTGCTTCTGCTTCTATTTCTTCTATCCACCTTTTTTTGGGGGCGCCCTCTTCTCCTTCCTTTAGTCCTTTTCAGTTGTCCACTTAGTGTCGTTTAAGAGCCTGATATAAAATTTGTGCTTCTTTGTTATTGTTGAATTAGTGTCTAACTAACATTATTATTAATATAGATCTTTTTTTAACAGATATACAAAACTACGTATATTTGCGCTTAAACTGAAGAAAAAACTAAACGAGACGATTTTACAACTCCAAACATCGGAACAAGAGAATGTTAAATTGAAGAAACTTCTAGATCAATCCAACAACAGTGTGGATGAAGTGGACTCTAAAGATGCCGGTTTAGAATTGGCATCTAAAATAAAATCTTTGACATCTGATGTGGAACGTCTAGAAGGTGTGTAAAATGATATGAACGCTTTATTATTTATTCAGAGCAGCCATTGATGGCTAGTATTGAAAAAAAAGAAACGCCTAAAAAGTCAATAAGTAATTAACAAACAAATTGCGACAAATTGACGACTCATTGGTCTAGTGGTTAGTACCCCTAACTGCGAATCCATGGGTCCCGGGTTCGAACCCCGGCTGAGACGAACATCGATGTGATAAGCATTTTTTTTCTCGTAATGATTGGACAATTCACACCAATTGACCTAGTCCCATGCTAAGCTGGTGAAGCTTGTGTTATGGGTACTAGGCAACGGATATACATACATACATATTATAGATAGATAGACATATAAATACATATTTATATGTCTGAGCATTTAGTGTTGTGCTTAGGTCTTGGGTGTTTAAATATGTATTTATATGTCTATCTATCTATAATATGTATGTATGTATATCCGTTGCCTAGTACCCATAACACAAGCTTCACCAGCTTAGCATGGGACTAGGTCAATTGGTGTGAATTGTCTTAAAAAAAATGGTTTTCCGTAAAATCGGTTTACGGTCATAACAAAACATTGATGACATGATTGCATACTTTTATGAATAAAATTGAATTATATGGATACAAAGAAGGAGTGAATCCTCGGAAGCATAGGCCAATCGAGTGGAAGAGAGATAGATGCGGCGCAAGCGTACAATGAGCGTAACGGGACAATGAGTCATGCTTACTCGTGCGTGCACCGGTGTATTAGACGTTGTCACGTCAAAAACAAAATTACACTAGATCTAAACGAATTTAAAAAAAAATTAAAAGCTAAATCTAGGGTTAATGATTGCTAATTAATTTATATTTGTAGCTAATTACGAGGCAGAAGAGAAATTTAAATATAAAATATGCGTTTTGTTTAATATATATGTCCAATCTAGGTCTTGCCTTGAGTATGTTTTGGTCGCGCAAAACTTGTGTCACTTTGAAAATAAACTAGACTCAATAAAATATAAAAAAAAGCTTCAAAGAATTTATTTTTTTGTTATGGGTACTAGGCAACGGATATACATACATATTATAGAAAGATAGACATATGTATGTGTCGCGCAAAGTATAGGAGACAAACGGGCAGGAGACTTTCCTGGTGTTAAGTGATACCGCCGCCCATGGACACTCAATGACAGAGAGCTCGGGAGTGCGTCGCAAGCCTTTTGAGAATTGGTACGGACTTCAGTGGGTGGGTGCCACACTAGTGGCAAAAACTGCCTTAAAAACGCTCATAATGTGTAGTGTGTATCATCATAACTTTAACAAACTTTTTAGCGGATCTGTCTCAAAAAACGGAGCAATTAAAGTCCGAAGTCAATGCGCACGCGTCGACGAAACAGCAATTAGAAAAAGCATTACGCGATGTGAAGAAGAAAAACGTGCTTAGCTTAGAAATGGAAGATTACGAAAAGTCCATGAAAGATTTGACAAATAAGATGGAAGAAAAGAAAAAGAAAATTATACAGGTGAGGTGAAAATAAATGAAATTTAGTTGGGTTTCATTTTTCGTACAATATTTACGAATCATGGTTTTCATGTAGGAATGTGTATATTGTCAAAGTATCACATATTTTCGGGTAGTACCGTCGCCATTTTGGTGCGTTCAATAAATAATTATACCAACATCTAATAAAAATTTAACTAAAATGTATTTATTTTTATTCCTTGCATTATTAATTACAATGACAAAGTTTTATTATCGAACGGTTCTGATTGCAAGGTCTTAAAAGATATTATATTAATAGTACGGATAACAAAGCCTATCATATCTGTTGTTCCTAAGTTGGTGTCACATTTAAAGACTAGAACTGTATTGTCTTGATACTATATACATTGTTTTATTAAGACATTTCAATAGATTATTAAGTTAGCTTTGACTTCAAATTATTCCCCTTATTATGCTTAATTTTTATTTACCGGCCAAGAAAAGTATGTGGCACTGTACGACTAACCCGCAAACCCCACTTCATCAATGGATCTTTCTCTTTAAGTATTAATGGTTGCCCACAATAATTCTCACCGCTATCCTCGGTGACCAACATTATAAATGCTAAAGAGTCCCTTTAATAATTCAGTATTTGTTACTTACTACGCTTGATGTGTTCATTATTTCAGAACATATACAGTATTTTTATTGTATTTCCTTATATAGATGGAGTCTACAATCGACACCCAAGAAGGTACAATCACAGCAATGAAAACACAAATAAAACTACTTGAAGAACAAATAAAATCCGAAGAAACTGAAAATCGACATCTCAGAGAAGAACTACTACAGGCAATACAAGACAGCAAAGAGAAAGATAACGTTATCAATGCAAAAAGAGAGATCATAGAAAAATTCGTTCAAGATTCCGAAGATGAGAAACGGAGAAATGAAGACGCTCTTCTAGAAATAACAGCTTTGCTGAGTGAAAAGGAGAAAGTTATTATGAACTTGGGAGAAGAAAGAGTCGAGTTGAATAATAAAATGAAGAAGGTAGAGTTCAAGTGTGGAGAATTGGATGAGAAATTGAGGATAACGAATATCGAATTGGCTGATTTAAAAACTGAATATACAAGTTACAAGGTAATATATAATGGTAGCATTACATTTAGCAGGTGCGGATTTATGTAAGGGTTTTTTGGGCTGCAGCCCAAGGCCCCGTGGATTCAAAGGGTCCCCACTGAAAACAATAGGCGATATTTTAAATTAAAAAACATAGGTATCTTAAGTTTAAAAAAAATCCAATAATAAGGTTTATATGGCAACGGGAATGGCCAACTGCCGATGAAAGAAAAATAACAAAGCTATATGGACTAAGATCCCGAACTTATATAATTTTTAACAGACATTAACTATATAATATGCTGGTAATTTGTGTTAATCGAATGTTTTATTGTGTTACGTATAGTTGTAGATCGGGCAAAGGAATTTGATGGGGTTAAGAAATGTCTTAAAGAAAAGCTGTTAAAAAAACTATAAAGTTAACGATTATCTAGTTGATAAAAGGGCCTATGACTAGTGCTAGACAGGCTACTTCTAATTAATTTGTTATAAAATAGGTGGTGTTTGACATAGTCATTTTGTATGATGATTTGCTATTTTAAATGAGTACCGATAGTTTTTTACGCCGGCTTTTTCTCTTGGCTTACACCCTCTGTCTTCTTTGCCGATGAGTAGGGATGTCTACCGATTCAAATTTAATGACGTGGAATAAGTGATACCTGTATCTTATATTCCATAATAAACGACTTATTGGGTCTATGGCAAGCCGGTTTCCTCACTATGTTTTTCTTTACCGTTTGAGCACACGTTAAATGCGCACATAGAAAGTTCATTGGTGCTCAGCCGGGGATCGAATCTACGACCTCAGGGATAAGAGCCCATACTGCTCTTTTCTAAATTACTTAATTTTATTGCATCAATTTTAATCTATACATACATTGTTATAAAGCTAATTATATGCTATTTATCAACTAACTTCAATTATACATTGAAATATTTCAAGCATCGTAACGCAGCCCTTTCGTTAGAGCCCATTTCTTCCCATTCCTTTCTGACCCATGACCTCTCCACTAGGTGTCTGATAAATTACGAGATTGATAATATTTTCATTAACAGGTGAGAGCCCAAGCAGTGTTGAGACAGAATCAAACAATCGACCACAGCCAAGAAGAACAACTGAAGGAGGAGACGGCTGCTTTGAAAGCTCAGAATGAAAGCTTGAACACAAAATTGAATACCTTACAGTGAGTGACTTTTACGTATAGTATTATTTCTGTCTGGGTACCAAGAATGTGGATTTAATATCTATGAATACAATAAACACTTTTCTAGAGTCTGGCTAATGAAAGAAGATAATTGAATTATTTGAAAACTTTCGGATGGCAACACAGAATGTCATTGAATTTCTTAGGTTATGATTATGATTTATTGTCTTGATACTTCATGCAATACTCATTTTTATTTCTATTATATATTCTAAGCCTAAACTTCGTTTTATTGATATTTTGGATTCTGATTATTCCTGATAAAGTTGTGTTTTATAATAAATATAGTTTTAGTTTTCCATGCAATGCTAGTCATTTTAAGTATCAATAGTAAAAGACTAAATACTATATATAGTATTTAATTTCATAGAAATACAGTTACTATCAATGTAAAAAATCATAAAATAAAATCAAGTAAGTTTAATCCACAAAATATATCAAACTTTTAGGGATACCATACTATTTTTTTTGAATTTGCCGCGCTTTTTCATTATCTTCTTTCATTAGCCAGACTCTAGGTGCATTGCCGGCCTTTTAGTAATGAATATGCTCTTTTGCATCGTGTGTGCATTGGTATTGCAATATTGCCCGAAGAGAAAAATAATAAAAAATTCTGGAGGCGCTAAATCAACTATGATTATAGCAACACGTTATTCAAACTTTTCTTAAGTGGCTCTTAATAGCTATCGGCATTTTAACGCGCTTATAACTAACACTATCCAAGAATTAATCCAAACCACACTTTGACAGATGACAATAATGACATCTTAAAAAATGTTGCCATTTGAAAAAATTAAATCTAATAGTTTTCCGCAATAGTTCAAATACCATCCGTATCACCTCGACGTCCGTCGTTCCACAACTGAGCGTTTTCTAAGGAAGTTTTGGCCGCGCACCACCACTATGTGGAACCAGCTGCCCACTGAAGTATTTCCCATTAGACTTAGGGTCCTCCGAAAAAAGAGCGTACCAATTCTTGAAAGGTCGGCAACGCACTTGCGAGCCTTTTTGCATTGTGAGTGTCCATGGGCGGCGTCCTGCCCGTTTGCCTCCTATGACATAAAAAAAAATTGTGATGTAAAATAAGGAAATCTAATTTCAGCGATCAGTATACAGAACAGAGTGCAGAATTGGAAGCAACAAGGAAGCGTGCGGTCGAAGCCGGCGCTGAAGCGTCGCGTGCGCAACAAAGAACTGCGCGACTGCAAAGCGATCTCACCCGTCTTTCCCAGCAACTAGAATCAGAGAGAAGTCAACACAAATTACAGGTATTTAATTATGAATTGAGCAGTGTTGGCCTATTGGCTTCAGCGTGCGACTCTCATACCTGAAGTCGTAGGTTCGATCCCCGGCTGTGCACCAATGGAATATCTTTCTATGTGCGCATTTAACATTCGCTCTTTGACTTTTTTAATTTTATTATAGTATAACAAATAAAACCTTTACTTTTAATATTAACATTTTAAATTGAAACGAATTTAACTTAATTTTTTCTTCAATACTTTGTAGACTGTATTTTTTTTATGATTGGACAATTCAGACCAATTGACCTAGTCCCATGCTAAGCTGGTGAAGCTTGTGTTATGGGTACTAGGCAACGGATATACATACATATTATAGATAGATAGACATATAAATACATATTTAAACGCCCAAGACCTAAGCACAACACCAAATGCTCATCACATCGATGTTCGTCTCAGCCGGGGATCGAACCCGGGACCCATGGATTCGCAGTCAGGGTACTAACCACTAGACTAATGAGCCGTCGTATTACAACGAAAAACAATTCTACTTAGCCATAGAAGTTTATTAACCTAATAATAAATATTAAAACAAAAATAATATGTATTTATTTCCTATTTTTACAGTAACTTAATACTAATACAATAGAAAACTAGACTAAAAACATAATATAAACATAACAAGTAAAAACTTAAAAGCTAAACCATTTTATAACTAACTAGCGACCCGCCCGGCTTCGCACGGATACAATGCCGATACTAAATTCAAAGTGCTATAGAGTATGGGGAGAACCGCGGCCTCCGACGCGCTATTTAATATATTCCATAGGCACGCTCCAGCCTCGGCCGGCCGGTACCGCCGCAATTTTTGAATCTGTAATATCTTCGAATATATTCATTTAAATCATATGCTGTAAAGGGCCATATAGATCTTTATTTAATCAACAATGTATTTAAGTTATTTAATTGGATAAGCATTAATGCTGTATTGGTTAAAATCGCTTCGAAAATTATTTTATTATTCGTTATTTGTCGTAAAAAGTAAAAATGTTATTGTTTTAAAATGGGAGTTTTTTGTAGACCTTTTCAATGTGTACAATACTCAGTACATTATTTTGATAAATCTCGTAGGGTTCGCAATGTAAACGGAAAAAATGTAATTATTTATCGATTCGATATCGATTTACGACATCACATTAGAAACCTCAAGTATGTTTAGTAAACCATTAAGTATTTTTGCATATTTAATGGATGTTATTATACATATAAACCTTCCTCTTCAATCAATCTATCTATTATAAAAAATTCGAAATCAAAATCCGTTGCGTAGTTTTAAAGATTTTAGCATACATAGCGATATAGGGACAGAGAAAGCGACTTTGTTTTATACTATGTAGTGATTATTATTGTAGTGTATTGACTAAATAAAGTGTTACTTGGTTGTCTCATGCGCCTACGTCACTTGTCAGTTGTCAGACTGTCAGTCGTAATCCGACACCCGAACGGAGCGGTTGTGTGTAGGACGTTTGTACAAGTGTTGTGGTGTTGGTGAGCCGTAAATCACTCCAAGAAGCAGGACATTACATGTGGCGACGAGGAAAAAGTGAGTACACATAAGAAAAAAAAAAGGGAAAGATACGGTGCACTAAACAATTAGTGACGTCATTCCCAGAGTACTTTGCCTATAATTTACTATGACCCGGTTGTTTTAATCATTAGCTATTGATAGCAGAAACAGTTGCATCTTGACTTCTGAACGAATGTAGATAATTTTATTGTTGACGGGAAATATGAACAGTACTTAGGTACTTATTGTTTTCATATTTCATAAATGTTTTGCTTGTATTACAATATTTAATATTGTCGTACCTACATTTAAACAGTAAGCAACAAACCTCTGCAATTACTGAGCTAAGGATATAAACAAATAATTACCTATAGGTTCAGCTAAGCTAAACTACGGGTACCTACATTGAATGTACGATTGTTTTGTAGCACCTACCTACATAGTGATATAAATATATTGTACTAGTAGACCAGCCAAGCGTTGGTGTGGCTAAGGATTTTGTTATATTACAAAGTAGTAAACTATTCAAGGGAAACGGTAGGAGTACACCAATCGTGGGGACCACCATGCTTTATGGTGGTTATGCCATTAAATTATAGAAACGTTGAAAGAATTCATGAAACGTTGGTACTTTTAACACAGCGCCATCTGTTAGAATGGTGGCTATTAAATAAGAAACAAATATTTTGCAATAAAATTATATTGCAGGTTTAAATTGAGATGTATCCTATCTTTTAAGTTGGATCAAACTACACACGGTGTGCAAATTTGATTGATATCGGTTCGGTAGTTTAGGAGTCCATTGAGGACAAACATTGTGACACGAGATTTATATATATTAAGATTATGCTTGTGTTTAGTGATGTTTCTATTTGTCTACAAAAATAATAATAAAAATAATAGCAAGGTTTATTTACAACCGTTGACCGTTAAATCGGTAGGTACCTGTCTACCTAACTAACGTAGATTTAACAAAGACCCTAAATTGGATCTGGTTCACTAAATTAATTAAACTATGTGGTTGTGATTAATACTGTAAAACAAATGGGAGTATCTACTGAAAGCAGTTGGAACCCAACTGATCATTAAATTGATACCAGTAAATAAAAATAAAAGCAGACAAAAAGTCTGATCATTAAATTGATATCTGTAAATAAAAATAAAAGCAGACTAAAAGTCTGATCATTAAATTGATACCTGTAAATAAAAATAAAAGCAGACTAAAAGTCTGATCATTAAATTGATACCAGTAAATAAAAATACAAGCAGATTAAAAGTCTGATCATTAAATTGATACCAGTAAAAAAAAAAAAAAGCAGACTAAAAGGTCTGATCATTAAATTGATGCCAGTAAATAAAAAATAAAACCAGGCTAAAAGTCTGATCATTAAATTGATGCCAGTAAATAAAAATAAAAGCAGACTAAAAGTCTGATCATTAAATTGATACCAGTAAATAAAAATAAAAGCAGACTAAAAGTCTGATCATTAAATTGATATCTGTAAATAAAAATAAAAGCAGACTAAAAGTCTGATCATTAAATTGATACCTGTAAATAAAAATAAAAGCAGACTAAAAGTCTGATCATTAAATTGATACCAGTAAATAAAAATACAAGCAGATTAAAAGTCTGATCATTAAATTGATACCAGTAAATAAAAACAAAAGCAGACTAAAAGTCTGATCATTAAATTGATGCCAGTAAATAAAAATAAAAGCAGACTAAAAGTCTGATCATTAAATTGATGCCAGTAAATAGAAATAAAAGCAGACTAAAAGTCTGATCATTAAATTGATACCTTTAAATAAAAATAAAAGCAGACTAAAAGTCTGATCATTAAATTGATACCTGTAAATCAAAATAAAAGCAGACTAAAAGTCTGATCATTCAATTGATATCTGTAAATAAAAATAAAAGCAGACTAAAAGTCTGATCATTAAATTGATACCAGTAAATAAAAACAAAAGCAGATTAAAAGTCTGATCATTAAATTGATACCAGTAAATAAAAACAAAAGCAGATTAAAAGTCTGATCATTAAATTGATATCAGTAAATAAAAATAAAAGCAGATTAAAATTCTGATCATTAAATTGATACCAATAAATAAAATAAAAGCTTTACAATAAAATTATTATTGTACGTTAGTGAGTACTAACTTAGCAGATTAAAAATCTGATTATTCAATTTATACGTTTGTTGGTATGGACAGCTTAAGTAGATTTATGCGGATAAAAATATAATCCGATCATTAAATTGATACGAGATGGAAGCATCTGAGATCAAATCTAACTGCAGATACATAGATATCTGAATCATTAAATTGATAATTCCTGGTCGCCCCAAAGATGTCACTCCTTTCACTGGAAAAGTTCGACTGTAACGGTAAATCTACCTCAATGGGTGCACGATAGGAGCGATGGAAACGAGCACTATTCATTTACCTCGAAGCGTCTAACATTGACGAAGACGTAAAGAAAAAGGCATCTCTCGTACATTTCGGTGCGCTAGACTTACAGGAAGTGTTTTACAACATTCCTGGAGCTAATGTCGAACCAACTGAAGGCAAAGACGTGTTTGAAGTAGCAATATCTAAACTTGATGCCTACTTTGCACCAAATCAGAACAAAGTATACGAGAGACAGACTCCTTAAACAAGAACCTAACGAAAAAATTTAAATTTGTGGTGAGACTGGGAAAACAAGCTGATAAATGTCAGTTCGCTGACAGAGATGAAAACATTATCGACCAAATAACGAAAAAATGTTTTCTACCCGAACTGAGAAAAACGATATCACAGATTGGGGATGAAATTACATTAGAGCAAGTAATCACCGAAGCAAATACTCTTGAAGTTGTTAATAAACAATTAGACGAGTTTAAAAACCCACACAAATCAAATGAGAATCAAGAAGTAAACAGGATGGATAGTAAATTTAAAAGAAAAGTCGTTTCGACAGGAAGAAGAACTTAAACATAGGGATATTATAGAGCCGATAGTGGGTTCTTCTAAATGGGTGTCCCCTGTAGTGCCGGTGCTGAAAGGAAATGGAGCCATTGTACGAGAAAATTACCCATTGCCGACGATGGACAAGTTGCTACCTAAAATGAAAAATGCAAAAGTATTTACAATATTGGATATTAAAGTCGCATTTCACCAACTTGAAATAGATCCTGCTTCAAGAAACAACCACCTTTATAACCAGTAAAGGCTTATTAAGATACAAGAGAGTCATGTTTGGCATATCATGTAACCGAAAACTGGGGACCAGAACAAAAGGGGTATTTTAAGTCGTTGAAGGAAATCATGACAAATATTCCTAGCTTAGGGTATTATAATGTTAGCACTTAGCGATCGTACGATTGTCATAGCAGATGCTAGTCCTGTGGATTTAGGTGGAGTTTTAGTTTAAACTAATTCCAAAGGTGAGCCCAGGATTATTGCATATGGCCACAAAACTCTGACTGACTGTGAACGCCGCTATTACCAGACAGAAAAAGAAGCGTTAATTCGCGTGTGGGCGGTGGAACATTTCCACATATTCCTTTATTGTAAAAGATTTGAACTTATAAGAGATCACAAGCCGTTGGAGGTAATATTTGGTCCTAAATCTAAACCATGTGCAGAGATAGAGAGATGGGTTATGCGCTTACAATCGTACGACTATAAAATAGTTTACCAACCAGGGAAAACCAATATCGCCGACTCATTGTCGAGACAACAAATAAGCAAAAATGCGGAGAAATCCCTGATAAAATTGGAAGACAATCACATTTGTCATATTGTAGAGTTTGCCCGACCTCGTGATGTTTCTATTAAAGAAATAATAGATAGCACAATGGACGATAGGAAAATATTAAACGTGAAAGAGGGTTTATATCGGAACATATGGAACGACGACGTGAAGTTGTATAAAATGTTACAAAATAAACTTTGTTTTCATGAGGGTATATTATTGAGAGGAATGGGAATTGTGGTTCCCTCGGCACTCCGTAAAATAGTTTTGGATGCAGCTCACGAGGGACATCCCGGTATCGTGTCAATGAAGGCGAGACTTCGTACGAAAGTCTGGTGGCCTAGATGCGACAGAGGCTGATAAAATTGTAAAGCCTGTAAAGGATGTACTCTAGTATCTGCACCATGTCCACCAAACCCTATAAAACGGCGTGAGTTTCCAGAAGTGCTTTGGATTGATATCGCAATTCATTACAAGTGGTGACCACATATTATAAAGAAGTGAAGATTTGTCGCAAAATTACCTCTACTGAAATTGTAGCCAAACTTAAAGGAATATTCAGTGGATTAGGAAATCAATAACTGCAGATAATAGAAGACAGTTACTCAGCGAAGAGGTTAAATCATTTCTAACAGAAATAAACATTATTCTTTTCAATACAGTACCGTATTGGCTGCGACAAAGCGGAGAGGTCGAAAGACAAAACTGTGTCATACTTAAACGTCTTAAAATAAGTATAGCTGAAAATAAAGACTGGAAGGAAAGTTTACTGGAATATTTAACCATGTACAACACATTCTGTTACTGGAAGAACCTCATCAGAACTTTTCTTCAAAAGGAAGTTTAGAGATAAATTACCTATTTATGTTATGGTAAACGATACAATAGAGAGGACAGCACAAGACACTGAGGTTATGGATAGAGAAAAAAAAGAAAACAAATGGGAAAAGAAATCGGATACGATAAACGGAAGGCTGGATAGTGTGATTTAATACCAGGAGACATAGTGTAAATAAAAATATGAATAAAGGAAATAAATAAAAATAAAATAAATAAATCCAGAAACACACACGGTGGAAATCACGAAAAGAGGAGATATCACGGTAAGAAACGATGAAACCGGTCAAACTCGAAGGAGGGAAGTTGTACATTTGAAAAGAGTTCAAGGGGAATGGAATGTCTGAAAAGAAATGAAGTTAACGACGAGGAAATCAATGTCGGAACTTAACCCTAGTGTAGCTGCATAAAACTTTAATTTCATTAATTATGTTTGATTCATGTAAAATCCATCACATTACATCCAAGTTACATTAATGAGTAATCAGAGAGATATAATCAATAAAAACAAATAAAACAAAAAAGGGATGTAGTGTATTGACTAAATAAAGTGTTACTTGGTTGTCTCATGCGCCTACGTCACTTGTCAGTTGTCAGACTGTCAGTCGTAATCCGACACCCGAACGGAGCGGTTGTGTGTAGGACGTTTGTACAAGTGTTGTGGTGTTGGTGAGCCGTAAATCACTCCAAGAAGCAGGACATTACAATTATAAATAATGAAATTCTTGTGAATTCAGCCAACTAAATATATCCGTCTCACAAGCAATAGTGTTTAGGGTACGCAAAACACGCGTAAATCGCGCTTCTCTGATTAAATTCGCGCTCAAGGCACTGCAAGCAATTGCGACCGCTCACCACGCCGAATGTGATTATTTGGCACACACAGCCCAAGTCTCTCCAATGTCTATGTCTAAATGTACTTCGCTATGTACTATTGTCTACAATTGTCTACAATACAATTGTCTATGTCTATGTCTAAATGTAAATTTGAGAACTGGCAGTCTATGTGTAAATATGTTTTTCAGATATCAACATTAACGCAATGTTACAAGTCACAAATAACGGATTTGGAGGCGAAACTTCAGAAGGAAAGTGAGAATTTGCGGAAACAGATCGCAATAGTTCAAGAGAGCGTCAAATATGAGGAGGACTTGAAATTTGTACCAGTTAAAGATGACTCCAGTGATGTGGAATTGGATATTAATGTGTCCATGATTCCGAGGGAAGAAGGAGAGGTAAGTCGAAGTCAAAGTCAAATCATTTTTTTTTTAATATTATGGCAATAGTTTTAACTTTATGCCAGTTTCAAGTAAAAGATTGGGAAACTACACGCGAGAAAAAGGAAATAAAGGGATAAGCTGGTTAAAAACAAAATATGTACGCAAACATATTACATCTTAATATTATTATTGATTATGAAAGAAGATAATACATTATAATACAATAAAGGATAAAGCAAAAGGCAGGAGATTTTAGTCGGAAACGGAACATAAAGTAAAGTCAAATCATTTATTTCAATTAGACCACCTAAAATGGCACCTTTGAACGTCAAATAAAATATAAAGAAGATTCTAGTTGCCCCCTCCAAAAGGTAGTTTCGTGTGGAGAAGAATGGGCAAGAAACTCCACACTTTTTTAAAATAGGTTTACAATATTTTGTTTACATTAGTTAATTATATGTAAAGACAATGTACTCTTAGAATATAACTACTATACTAATAATAAATATAAAAGTTAGTATATGTATACTTTTCTCACATATTTACAAATATCGAAACCATAGAATATTATACATTAAAGAGTAATAAAAATAATAGTAAAAAAACACAGTAAAACAGTGTGTGAGATAAAATAAAATAATTACATTTTGTAGTATTATAAATTAAAAAAATAACAAAAATATGTAAAAGCAAAAAATCAGCAACCGATTTGATTTTGTCCAGGAACATGTTCTTGGCTTTACGCTTTTGATAGACGTTGAAGTAAAGTCCCGTCCCTATTAGCTTAGCTCCTTCTCTATCTTCCTTTAAATTTCTTCTGTACAAACATTACCTGTTGACATCAAATTCAAATATCATTTAATCACATTGGTAACACATTGTACAATTATGATCGTCAAAAAAAAACGAAAAAATGCTTCTAACTTTACATTTAGTGCCAGTTCTCAAATAGAGGGCGTAGAACGGAAGAGAAGAACTGGCAATAAACTCTTCACCACTATTTTTAATCGCCAATTTTTTTGATTTACACAACGTTTGTAAGGAGCTGCAACCGTGTAATGGTTCCACATGATATCTTAAGTAATTAATAATAATAACATAAATTAAAGACAAAGAGTTGTCCTCTATCAGCAGGAGGCATGGTGAAATAGGAGCACGCACTTACATTCTCGTGCGAACAACACGCAAATACATAGTCGAAATAACTATATAACAACGTTTGTAAGGAGCTGCAACCATTATACCATGTTCCACGTGACATCGTTAAGTAATTAACTGTTCTAATAATAAAAAAATATATAAACGAAAAAAAAACAAAAATTTCTCCTCTATCAGCAGTAGGCATGGTGAAACAGGAGCACGCACTTACATTCGTGTACAACACGCAAATATATTATGTGTAATTTAGAATGATAATTAGAGAAGCATTTTGAAGGGTATTTGAAATTATGATTTTTCCAGTCACTATAAAGAAAAAAAAAACAATTTCTCACTAATAAATAATTTGTAATGGATTATAAAATCTTGTCAAATGGGTATCCGTCAGCCTATAGAGAAAAATATCTGAGTGGTTAGCTCATGAATTAAATTATTCTAGGGATCAGAATCCGCGCCATCTCCACCGCTGTCGAAGTCCTTCTTAACAGCTGGCAGACGATCCCCCGTACCACTAGACAGGTTGCTGGAGGATGGCGTGGCTGAAGACGACACACTTGATACATCATCATTGTCTCTCACGCCGGAACAGGAAATTCTAGATCTTAAGCGAAAAGTGTTTACGTTGCAGCAGAGGTATTTGTATTCTGTATTTGATAGTATAAAGGGTATTGTCTTTGATTAACATAACTTTTATTCATTTAATAAAACACTATTTTGACCGGATTGAAGTTATGTATTATTATAAATTTACAACTATTTAACAATTTTAAATTTATCCGACGTTTCGCGTGCTTTACAGCGTGCGTGGTCACGGTGACTGAAGACAAAAGATGTTGAATGTCAAAAAGTATCACAGCTGCAGAGAAAGTTGCATTATCTGTATTTATTTCCCCGGAGTTGGTATCGACTAAAAGATGGAGGGTTTTGGCAAAAATGGCTTACGGTGTCCTCTATTTTCGCGGATTGTTCTTTTTGAGATTTTAATTTGGATATTATTGGATCCCAGGTGTTTGACAATTTTAGGCCGTCTTCTCTATTGAAATTGGGGTGTTTTTTGATTTCAATGGCTTCGTGTACCAATCTTGGGAAGAATCTCAATTGATACCAACTCCGGGGAAATAAATACAGATAATGCAACTTTCTCTGCAGCTGTGATACTTTTTGACATTCAACATCTTTTGTCTTCAGTCACCGTGACCACGCACGCTGTAAAGCACGCGAAACGTCGGATAAATTTAAAATTATGTTAAATAGTTGTAAATTTATAATAATACATAACTTCAATCCGGTCAAAATAGTGTTTTGTTAAGTGTAAAGGGTATTAATATATAAAAATTCAATAACATATATTTTAAAGGCCGGCAATGCACTCGCGAGCCCGCTGGCATTGAGAGTGTATCACTTAACAGATGAGCCTCCTGCCCGATTGCCCCCTGATCTATAAAACAAAAAAATATATTATTTATTCTTTGGAAGTTCGAACTGAACAATCGCTATTTTTTAATTCAATTCTGATTAGGGGGCGTCCATAAATTACGTGAGGTGTTTTTTTTAATTTTCTGTACCTCCCTCCTCCCCTGGTGAGATGCCGTGAGATTTTATTCAACCCCTCCCCCATCCGCCAATCTCACGTGAGATTTTTCAAAATGTGGGTTTCTTACGTTAACGCGTTGGATTGTTATTGTAAAAAGAAAAAAAAAAAATTGCTTCGTTCTTTTATTTACGACTAAAACAAAATAAGTGAAATGTTGAGCTTTTAGGTATGGAGTTAGCGGGAAGTTGCAGATATGACCTGTAGAGTCAACCGTTTTCCTAAGTTTTTTTTAATCAGAAAAAAAATTGCGTGATATTTGCCGAGACCCCCCCTCTCTCCAACGAAAGATTAAATGAGATTTGACTCGACCCCTCCCCCCTTAAACACCTCACGTAATTTATGGACGCCCCCTTACAACTAACCTTATGAAGAGGAGAGATTTGTTTATTGACATTGAATAGGCTCCAAAACTATTGGACTGATTTGGAAAATTCTTTCACCATTATCCCTGATGAACAGAATAATTTCAAAAAAGTTAGGGTTCTGTGTGAAATTACGATAACGTAACACAAGGTGTGAAAAAGACCAATAAAGATTCCTAAATCATGTTCTCGGAAAATATTGACTTGACTACAATAATACAAAGTTATGTACTACAGTTTTATAGAAGACATCAATATATACACAAAAGTCTGTCATGTCTAACTAAAAAAGATTCTTTTTGCATTTTTATTTATTTAATTATAAGTAATCTTACAGCTAACATATATATTATAAAACAAACACTTAGACAGTACAGAAAGCCAAAACAAATTACATAGATAAACAATATTATATACGAAAAATAAAACAAATAAGCACATCAATAGACAAAACCATATAAAGAAAACTGAAATTTAACATTATAACAACAAATAATACTAAACAAAATTACGTAGTCGGTCCCAAAGTTCTGTCATAAATGGAAATAATGATAAAAACAAAAGTACTGATCAGTTTGTAATGAGTGATATATCAATTCTTAGTACATTAATTAAGAGAATAAAAAAAGCATAAAAATATTCGAAATAACCTCCTCATTTTTAATACAGGCCCTTAAGCGTCGCGGCCAGTCGTCTATCGCAGCACGCACCATATTCGTGTCGATTTCAGTCACTGGTTTTTTTAAAGATGACTTCAAATTCTCCAAATTTTCATGAGGTTTATCACAGACCTTCCTCTCTAAGCCCTGTCATAATTTTCGGGTCCAAAGGATTAAGGTCCGGACTGGAGGAAGGCCAATCCTCATGTCTAATTAAGACGATGTTTTGACGCTCAAACCAGGCTTTAGTGGTTTGGCTTTGTATGCAGACGAGAGTCCTGCTGGAACACGAAGTGATGTCCCGCAAATAGGGTGCTGGACATGTCTTTGACAAGGCGATACAAAACCGTCTCTTGGTAACTGTAGCATGGTTTGACCCCCTTTTCGAAAAAATTAACCTCAGTTAGCCCGTAATAGGACACTCCCAACCAAACCATTACTGATGATGGATGAGTCCAGTTGACCCTTTGAACTTTATTTCAGCTTCTTCAGAACTCCTAGCGTACACTGTATAATTCTGTTTATTGTACCTCTCTTCAATATCGAAAAATTTTCGTCCGTAAAGAGGGATATCACGGTGTCGGTTTTTCGCGTACCGCTTAAACAACACCCGCGATCTCTTAAGCCTTATTGCTTTTAGACGAGCATTAAGTAAGTGCCCACTCTTTTTTGTATGCTCGTAGACCAAGATCTTCATTTAAAACCTTTTTTACTGTTTTCCTACTGACACCCAGATGCAAATCCATCAACTTCTGTTTTGGACAGGATTTCACTATGCGCTTGATAGTTTGAATGTGGTTTCTTGGGGGGGCAGCCAGTCTTTTCTTGTCTTAACACTGGAGACTTCAAGGTACCTATCAATAGTACCGTACACAAACCTAAGCGTTATATTCAAATTTTTGAGCAACTTGAAAATGGTACTGGCGAGTGTCCACAGGGTGAACGCAATAACAACTATTCGGTTTACTTTCAATGTCCACTCCATCGTGAAAAATTACGGAAAGTTATTGTTTTTGTTTTAAAACAATAATCAAACATTCCAAAATAGAATGCAATAATTTTTTTATAAAATCCTGCTCGAAATGTAGAAATAATGTGTAGTGACAGAACTTTGGGACCAACTACGTAGAGTCTTCCCGCCTCTTCAAATATTTTCTCACATTTTCTTTGGTGAGGTGGACAATATCAATATCCTCATAATTAGTGTCATAGTTAGATAAAACCCGAAACATTTGTGAATTATGCAATATGCAGGTAATTCGAGTTCGTACGAGGCACATGGAACAATTTTGTGTCTTGTCGCATAAGGAGAAGGAATTTTAAAAGAAATTTAAAAGTCTATTTACCGAAAAAAGGTTTAGGCTATAGCACATCGTGCTATGACCGAACCATGCACCGACCGAACTATGACCGAACGAACCTCATAGGCCGGGAGATAGTGACACAAAAAAGTGGGTCATTTGTACCAGTTTGGCGGTTTTTCAGGGGTCTTATTACGCAATGTAAAAAATAAAAAGATGGTCAGAGCGCTGGTATCGGCGGACGAATCGCGTGGGCGTTAGTCTCGGAACTCGTCGGATTAATAACGAAAGTGTTTGACTTTCGACTACAAAAAATCTTGTATTTTCCGATAGTCCATAAAAAATAAAAGGTGGCAGTGTCATGCCATACTTCTCTTAATGTATTTCTGTATTAAATAAATAAAAATGTTGAATGTAGAAATCTTTACTAATATTATAAAGAGGAAAGATTTGTATGTAAGTATGTTTGTAACGAATTTGCTCAAAAAGCACTGGACCGATTTAAAAAATTCTTTCACCATAAGGATCCCTACTAAAACTACAATAATGTTACCCAAGGTGTATAAAAACCCTAAAAAATATCTTTCATCGCATGCGTTGTGAAAACTATTGATGATAGAAAAAAAATGTTCCACAATATTAAAGAACATATCAATATCTACAAAAAATGGCCGCTAGTAATGGATAAATAAGTATAAAATGGTAACGGTGCAAGCGTACACGTGCAGTGTCAAAAACAATCACGTCCCACTGTGTAAATTTTAATAGTTTTTTGAAGTTATACTTCTTTAGGCGCGTTATGAAAAATTGATGAGAGTGAAATTTTACGATGCGCGCACCGTGACACAAAATTAACAGAATGAAGTTGCTCACGGAAGATGCTACGGCATTGGACATAATTTAAAAACAACATTCGAATAATAATAGAATTTATGTTACACTTGAATGTAAGAGAATAATAATAAATATTTATTTATTTAATTTTTCAAATGTAAACTGAACTTTATTGACTATAATGACTCCTTTTCCAGTCTTTGATTATTTAATTGCAATTAATTATTTGCATGCAATCAAAAACTATTTTTAATAATGCCAAAGAAGTATAACTTCTTACGCGCGTACATAAGTACACGCACCCTTTTTTTTTAATTCCAGGGTAAAACACGTGACAGTATTGCTCTCGGAATCAGAAAGGGAGTGTGCTCGTATGGTTCAGCTAACTGAGCTTTTGAAGGCGGAGCTGCGACGTGTACGCGGCGCAACGCAACACGCACACAACACCGAATATATGAAGAATGTGACGCTTAAAGTATGATTATTTTAATATTGTCTTATTCAGAATCTCTTTATTTTCATATGTTCTAAAATTCGAGGAAAGTAGATAACTGTTATCAGAGAAGTGGAAGATTGGCTTCGAGTCGATAAAATCATTTAATCATGTAGGTAACATAATGTACACTTATGACTCGTCAGTAAAGAAATACATATTAGTCCTTCTAATTTTACATTTACTGCCAGTTCTCAAATCAAGGGCGTAGAACGGGAGAGAAGAACTGGCAATAAACTCTCCGTCACCCTTTTTAATTACCTTTTTTACACCACGTTTATGAGGAGCTGCAGCCATTACACCATGTTCTACATGACATATCAAGTAATTAATAATAATAAAATAAATTAAAAACAAAGATTTGTCCTCTATCAGCAGGAGGCATGGTGAAATAGGAGCACGCACTTACATTCTCGTTATATAGGGGGTTAGGTTTAGGGTTGTAGGACTCCTTTTCCAATTAGACTCCTGATTGGTCCGTTGTGCGTTAAAGTCCTGGCTAATTTAGCCAGCCTAGCTCCTTCCAGAAGCACAGAAGTCTCCTGGGCACTTCACAGGACTACGTGGGTGACTGTTTCCTCTGCGCTGAAACAGCCTTTCTCGTTATATATCTTATAGTGCAGTTTCCTCTCGAAGATTTTTTTTAAATTTATAATATGCATTTTTTCCAGTTCCTAACACTGCCCCCTGGCGATGAAAGGTTTCGCCTTGTTCCAGTCTTACAGAAAATCTTGACACTTTCATCCGAGGAAACGCAGAAAATACAAGCTCTAGCTAAAGGTATGGTATCTCTGATAAATTGTTAGTTTGTCTTTGGTTTTCTTTAAATGTAATTTTTTTAAGTACTGAAGACTTGACCTTGGACATAGTGAATCTTTTTTTTTAATTTCGAGTAGGTTAAATATTTGTAGTGAACACTCAAAAGTTAAATCACTAACATACGTAATGGAAAAACTAATTTAAAAAAAATATTTAACATAATTAGGTCCCACTACTTTTATCTCGGAAATTTTGTCATACAAGCAAGTACACTCATGGCTGGATCTTTGTCTAAAATCACATGTAATTATGATTTATTTCTTCAATTATATCAGCAAAATAGCTTTTTTCTTTTACCCATTCAATGGAAGTTTTTATAGGAGACCCTGAAAAATGGCATTAGGTGAGGCTTTTGCCCGGCGCAAGTGCGTTGCCAGCCTATTATAAAAAGTAAACAAATAGATAATAGACCTTTTGTTTTTAAAAACGGGCAAAAGCCTCACCTAATGTAAGTGGTGATGGACACACACGTTGCCAGAAATCTCGCAAGTGCGTTGCCAGCCTATTATAAAATGTAAACAAATAGATAATAGACCTTTTGTTTTTTTTAAAACGGGCAAAAGCCTCCTTATTTGAAAATGGACACACACGTTGGCAGAAGTCTCGCAAGTGCGTTGCCGGCCTATTAGTCAGTTCATTTAACGAATAAAAAACATCAAATGTCACTATTTCTAGTTCTCGCTGAACTGGTGAAGAGTCGGAAATGTTTTCTTACGAACGAAGTGACAATGTACCTATTATGGGTCTCGTATGTCAAACACATAGAAATGAATATTTCTTTTTACAGGTTTGGATCCGAATCCAAGTAAAGGCTGGGGCAGTTACCTACCTTGGCCCGGTGGTAAATAAGCGGAAACATTCCTGAAGCTAACATTATCTGTGATGATGCAACGTTCATTTGACAATTGACATTAATATGTGAAATGATTGCTTTGAATAAAAGGATTTATTTTTGTATTATTTAATGTATTCATTGATATCAAATTGTATTTATTATCTTAATATAATAATTGCCTTGTTTCGATGTTATTTCTTAGAATTATTCCCAGTGTCTTAAAATAATGTAATCTTATTTAATTTTGCCATTTTTTGCGCTAGTTTAGACGTTTAGGAAACTATTCATAAGTATAAAATTGTAATTTATAATGTTTTTAAATAAAAATGGATGCGGTACTTTTATTTGACATTTACAAACTTTATTTTTACCCCCCTTGTTTTGATATCCTTTAAATTTTTTTCCCTTATCCTTAAAACCCTTTTGTTGAAGCGTGAATATCGATTTTCGTATCTTATTATTTTATAAGGCGTATAAAAACCACTAAAGATAAAGCCGCCTATTAACAATACATCATAGGTATATATATATACGTATGAAATATTCTTGCGGAAGATACAAGATTCGACCGAAGGCGATATGGCAACTTCGTCTCCGTAAGACAAAAATAAATGAACTTCACATCTTTCTCTACACATAAATTCGAACCGGCTTCGGCATGAAATTATAGCAGAAAGAAAAAGTTATGCTTATGGTTTTTCTTATAGAAACCATTTCTTAACAAAGCAATTTAAATATATGTTACAAATAAGAAGAATTCCCTTTTTATTATTCTTATTTAAAACATCGTAAAATAATGGTGAGCTATATATATATATATACAACCTCTTTTGTAATCCTTTAGCTACATACTCTTTGGTTGCAATATGGATAGATAAAAAATAAAACTGACATATCCGTAAATTGGCGCTTTTCTTATAACTATTTCTTTTAATGTATTAATTTATACTACCACATTAATATATAAACAAACTTTCTAAATTTTAAATTAAATTATACAAATAATTCTCGTTAAATATATTGTAGTAGTAACAATTTCACAATTAAGGATATCGCTTGATATTATTGATTGCATTTCCCGGGAGACGAGCATAGCGCATGCTTGAAAAACTGGCTGAAAATTCGCGACTGCGGAACTGAAAGGTGAGCTTATTCTGTTTTCATTATATTGCGTATCGGGTAGTGGAAGTACACAGATTTTTCTCTCTGGTGAGTTTTATCATTATAATTAATAAAATTAAAGTATCACATTTTAATTTGATAAACTGTTGTAGTTTATTCTGTTGGAACATAGAAAGTTGCGCATGTTTCAATTACGCAATTTTTGTTTTGTTTTCTTATGATTTAGAAAAATAATTTCTATTAACAAATAATAATTTTAGAATTCTAAGATCCTATTACGTTATAGTGAATTTAGTGTGTTTTTTATTTTCTCGACATTTATATAGTCACTTCGAACATCTTGAATTTTATTTTTGTATCATTATCTATTGAAATTCAGTGTACAAGTTGTTGCATATTTCTGCATTAAAAGCGCAAAACAGTAGTGCACAAAATGGAAGCACTAAGCCGGCTAAACATGTGTCGTGCCGGTAGACACATGCCACGTCTTCGCGACAGTTTCTATATAAAAAGAGAACTGTCTAATAGCAAATATATCTTTAGATGCGCTATTATTAGTTCACAATGCACTTGCATCTTATATGTATCAGAAAATGTACGTGTTTTAAAGTATTTGCGTCATAACTTCGTATTACCTAAGTATATGATGTAACAGATCCTATGTGTTCTATATTTGGACTAAATAGTGGCTGTATCGACGTCCCAGACGTCCTGCGCACGCTCCGTGGAGCTCTCCCGGAGATTTGCTCGGGTCAATCGAAGCCTCCATTCTCGAGTGCATTCCCGAATAGTGCATCTAACAAAACAGATTGCAATTTGTGATTTTAAGCGTTTAATAGCATCGGTAGGTTTTTTAGTTTTAACTAGCCCCTAATATCAAATAGTTATTGGCTGTAAATATATTTTTTATACATTTGTTCAGATTAAAAAATACTTAATGGGCGGTGTCTTTTTCGGAAGCTGCGTATTTCCTTGTTTTTATAAAAGGGTTTTAAGAGAATGTAAGGTTATTTCTATTCAATCAAGGCTCTTCCTTAATAGAATCAGGAATTGCAGAACGACGTAATATTTTTATTTCCTACTTTTATACATAATTAAAAAAAGTTATGTCCACGTTGCGTTTCATCCAATGGTGGCTGGGGTTCATAGTTCTACGCGTGTATAGTTACTTTTCTGGTCTTTTATCTATATACGATATATATATATATATATATATATATATATATATATATATATATATATAAAACATTTCATAAAAGACTGGTTTTCTTAAAGATCTCTTTTCCCAAGGCTTTTGCGATTAACTACGCGAGTTAATAATGCTTTTGCAAGTTTTAAGAATTTTTAAAATCATGCTTTCTTCAGTCAGGTAAATCGTTGATAATCCGAGAAAATGGGTAAGGAGAAGACTCACATCAACATTGTGGTGATCGGCCACGTGGACTCCGGGAAGTCTACCACCACGGGCCACTTGATCTACAAATGCGGTGGGATCGACAAACGTACCATCGAGAAGTTTGAGAAGGAAGCGCAGGAGATGGGCAAGGGATCCTTCAAGTATGCCTGGGTATGTATTCTTATCTTGCAACAGCACCATATGTCATTTATTCTATTTAGTACCTTCACTGGACATTTGGCTGAACTGGAAATATTGAGTTTATTTAGTAAATTTAGAATACGTTTTATAAGTATAAAAAAGCACCAGAAAAATAAATTGCGTTATTAAAATTTTATAATTATTTGCCCAATAATTAAAAATTACATAACGGAATAAAATAAAGAAATAGCAGGGAGTGACTTTCTAGTATTTGCTTTTTTAATCGTAAAAAAAAATATTTTCGAAAAAAAAAACCTAAAGTTATTCCATCATGAATCTTATTGAAATAGATTCTCACTTATAAGACAAAAATATTAACTCAAAATTTACTCTGATTCGGTAAAAGTATGAGAGTAGAATGCTGAAGAAGAAGTTCCTATGTCACCGTAAAATTGTAAACACCGTTAGATTGTAATCTATCTCGCGAGATTGTAAACTGTCGAAAGATGTGAACCTCAACGAACTGCTTACAATTTAACGTATTATTATTCGGTAGATTGTAATCTATCGAAGTGAAACCGTCAAATTGTGATGTCGTGTTGAAAGTAACTCGTATTTCGTACTTTCGCGCGACAAGGACGAAAAGAGTTTTGTATCCTTGCAAGGCTCACTACGCGACACGATTTGAAGTAGGAAATATGTTTCTTCTCTTGGGGCAGAATCCTAACGGATCTGCTGTACCTTATAGCAATTAGTCGAGTGGGAGTTATGTCTAATATATAAAATTCTCGTGTTACAATGTTCGTTCCCATACTCCTCCGAAACGGCTCGACCGATTCTTATGAATATTCAGTAAGTCTGAGAATCGGCTATTACTATCTTTCAAACCCCTAAGTCATAAGGGGTGTGTACCCCAATTTTTTTTTTTGAATAAATTTTTGTTTTTATTTTTTTATGATACAACATACAAAAATACATACAACCCCTCTACGATCAACCCCTATTTTTTATTATTGTAGATAGTTATTTTTATAGAACTAAAAAAAAATGTTTCCTAGAAATAATATACATAGCAAAACAAATGTTTGCCGGGTCAGCTAGTAGATATATATTTTTTAAATATTTATTTGGTACATCTAAAGGTACTGGACAAGCTCAAGGCGGAGCGTGAGCGTGGTATCACCATTGACATTGCCCTGTGGAAGTTTGAGACTGCCAAGTACTACGTCACCATCATTGACGCTCCTGGCCACAGGGACTTCATTAAGAACATGATTACTGGAACCTCTCAGGTAACTTTCCAACTAGCTGCATTCAATGCGAGATTTTGTATTTGGTGATTCTCATACCGATAGCTTAGCTTATCTATACTATATATATATTTAAAAAAATGAATCAGTCACCCACGTAGTCCTGAAATGCGAGGCTGTGGCTAATCAACGTGCAGAAATCCTCGGAACAGTGAGGTCGCTCCGGGAAGCCGGTGAAGTGCTCAGGAGACTTCTGTGCTTCTGGAAGGAGCTGGGCTGGCTAAATTAGCCAGGACTTAACGCATAACGGACCAACTAAGTGTCTAATTGCGGAAACTGAGTCCACCAACCCTAACCCCCTAACCCTATATAAAGAAATTAGTGGCGTCAGTTAGAAATGTCTGTATCTGTTTCATGTTCAATTGTCAATCGAATAGGCAAGTAGGTGATCAGCCTGTGCCTAACACACGCCGTTTTGGGTCTAAGGCAAGCCGGTTTCTTCGATGTTTTCCTTCACCGTTCGAGCGAATATTAAATGCGCACATAGAGAGAAATTTGTGTACAGCCGGGGATCGAACCTACGACCTCAGGGATGAGAGTGTCACGCTGAAAACAGGCCAACATTGCATAATATATATATGTATATATCTTAAAAAGGAATTTACCTAAAGTAAGACACGTTATTTAATCCATGTAACGAAAAGACTTTTTACTTAGTTGGAGAAAAAACGATCGGATAAAAACGTTTCGAACGCTGCCTTATTTATTTATTTAAGTTTACTACATCATACTAAATCAACGGCATATTCTACAAAATCTTCCATCCAAAATATATGACAATACAACAAAACATAAGTGTTACAAAAAAAAACCTTATCGATTATGATTTTAGTTCTAGAGAAAAGTTGTAGAGCTTGTAGCCTACAATGTCAGCGATATATGTATCTATTTTGCCGCTTCTACCTGTATCCAACTGTTTGCGATAAACTCATAAACGGAATTTATTGCGTTTTTCACCAATATCCAGAATATACAAAAGGAAGATATAATTGTTATTTTTTCAAGGTTACAAACAAACAACATCAGTTTTCGGTTTCAATGGCTTATTTAAAAATGTTTTATTTTATTTAATTATTCAAAAAAAAAAAAAAATAACATAATACATAAAATTTATAAGGGATGCTTATCGCTAAGAAACCATCTCTTCCAGGCAACCCTCGTATTAGGGGAAAACTAAAAAAAGAAATACGATTAGTAAAGTGCAAGAAGAACATAACGAAATGTTATATAAAAAAAATTATAGAACCTTAATACAAAAAACAAACAAAAACTCAAAAGCTAATCTCACGGATTCATTAATTGCGATGCAATACTAAAGAATAAGAAATAAAAGAATTACAAAAGTCACGATTGATCAGGATAGAATAGGTCAAGAAATACAGAAGAGTTTTAAAAGATGTCAGGAATAGACTTTTCTTTAAAGTCTTTAGTATATATTTTATATGTCGAAGCAATGGCGCTGGTATCAGCTGCCGTTGTCATTATAATTGATTACATCTAAGTCAAATTAGTTCAAAACCGTTACATGGTTTATCTTAACTCTTAATTTGTAGATTTAGCAACATTGAACTAATTCGACTTTGATTTCAATTTATTTTCATAAAACATCATCATAGCTAAGTTGCAGCCAACTAGCTTCATAAGCGGTCCAATTAACCGCCTAGCCTCTAACTAAACAGCGCCGTTTAACTAGCGGCCTGAAAGATATTCAGCCGTAGTGTTTGTAATGGCGCTTCTAAACGGGCCATGTTTTGCTGCAATTGATGGCTGCACTGTTGGCAACTAATTGCCCGGCCATTACAAAAATATTTTAATGCAGCTGATGGCCGAACAATCTATGGGTGGGCAATGTGTTGCAATATGTCTGCAATAGTATGGCCCATGATGCAGACTCCTAAACGGGCTACACAAACCGGCAACAATGGCTGACGAAATCACACTTGTCGCAGCAGCTTATAATGTTTTAAAATAGAAACAGAAAAAGAAGAGATTGTGGATTCGACCTTACTTAAATAGGCGTGAAACTGTAGACAATCTGAGTCTAAAAATAAGCCTTGATAATAAATTATTCGAGAACTTTACTAGAATGTCAAAAGTACGTAGTAACCTAACGTCAAAATGCAGCTGATCGCAAAACACAGAATATAGCAACAGGCACACTTCCCTCATAGCAAACTTCATGTCGCGTAGAAAAGGATACACTGTGCCATAACAAAGAGAGTGACTGAAACAACAATAGAACTGGCTGTGAATATTGCAGTTGAATTCGATAGCCTAGCGATCGTCCGGCAACCCATAGGGGCAACATCGGCCATATGTGGCTATACAAAACATGTTTGGCTGTATGGCCGGGATATTACTGAAATATTGCATATTGTGGCTGCTATTGTTTGCAAGGTTGCCGGGCCACAGTGTTGCAGCCATCAATTGCAGCAAAACATGGCCCGTTTAGAAGCGCTATAACAACATTTAATAAACTGGCTGGCTAATGCTTAGGTATGATAGAGTGATCATGAGGCAGAAATAAGAGATGAGATATCTGACATAAAAATATTTTTCTTTAACTTAAGTCAGTCACAGCTAAATTCACATTATTATTGTCACTACACTCTTCCATTGTACTTGTTGTTTTTTCATTAAAATTTAGAAAACACCATTAAAGTTGAGGTTTACCGACGCCATGTTGATAGTTTCAAGAGGTTGAGAGTGGAACTAAATTTTAATTAACAGTCAACAGGCTAGGCAAGTAATGAAACGTCATCGATCCAAGTCATTTGCCTAGCTGTTTGATCAACTGGCTGAATATCTTTCAGGCCGCTAGTTAAACGGCGCTGTTTAGTTAAGAGCTTTGTAGTTTGAATAGCTAGCTAGCTTTTAAGCTAGTTGGCTGCGACATCTACAGTATATGTACAAGCTATCTTTTCTAAAATACATGACAATTATGGTAAAAAATAAATATTACAAAACATAAAAAAAAATACACTTCCAATTTTCGATTTTAATAGCAATTATTATTATGCCTTTCAACAGTACATTCTGGCGGATTGTTCAGTTTTAATAGTTGCCGAATAAATTATTTGACATTTGACGTTACCTTTTGTTTGTGTAGGCGGATTGCGCTGTCTTGATAGTTGCCGCTGGTACCGGAGAGTTCGAAGCCGGTATAAGCAAAAATGGGCAGACACGTGAGCATGCCCTGCTCGCCTTCACTTTGGGGGTGAAGCAATTGATCGTTGGCGTCAACAAGATGGATTCCACTGAACCACCCTACCATGAGGCGAGATACGAGGAAATTAAGAAGGAAGTCTCTTCTTACATCAAGAAGATTGGTAAGTAAAATATTTAATATAATAAAAACTTTATTTATGACACAAAGGTTGTGACAGAATTCATATATCGGTAGTCCCCACACTAGGGAGGCCCTGTGTTGTGGGTAACTAGAAAACAATTAATACGTGGTACATTTTTGAAACAGTTAAAAAAGTAATAATAATAAATTTACAATAATGAGTGTGTGAATGGGTGTGTATGCGCATGTATTTGAGAGTGTAGCGGAAAGTTGTTATGATCGTGCACTGTGTCTGTGTGAGTTTATGAAACCTCTAAGTCATACCAAGATATGTAGTGCCTCTGTAGATTGGAAATCCAATTTGGCTAGTCTAATTTCTATGTGACTTGCGAGTTTATATCTGGATAGTTTGACGATCTCAGAATCCATAGATTTGGAAATTTTATAAATGCCCCTAAATGCAAAGGAGCGTTGGCCAAACACAGTCATCAAGTTTGGAATTTGTTTGATATTTATGAATTCAGATTTATTTATTTACAAAAGCTTGCCAACGCTCTGCAAACTGATACATATTGAAAAATAAAATACAATATTTAGCACTTATAGACAACATACAAAGATAAAAAATGGTTTCATAAATTATAAAAACTAAAGAAAAATTTATTTCGAAGTGTTAGGAGAGCAACTATGGGTATCCAGACCTAGATCGTTTATTAGTGCTCAATCTGGACAAATGGAATGATGGGATGTCATGGGTATCTAGAGGGTACACGACATTTAGTGGTTTTTTTACCCAATAATATATTGCATTTGTAAACCACTTGTTTTTAACCTAATATACTCTACTTGCATCTATAAGTTTAGACTTCAGCAAATGAATTCTGACGATAAAAGATATTTATTTTTTTGTTTTTTTTATAAAGACGTGGAGGTTTAGAATTCGCCTTCTCAATTATAAAAATATTTGCTGCGAAAATATTTCGACCTATCACAAAATCATGTAGGTAATGACAAAATTATACCTTTTTAAAAATTATTTAAGATACTCGCGACTGTATCTGTCTATCGTTTAACCTTTTTATAGTAATCGAATAGTTCCATATAACTAATTGTTTCCAAGTTGTTTTTATATAGTACTCATCTCAGAACAAGATTGTCCATAACTTAATGTAAGTTCATTATTACGTACATTGTTGCTTGTTCTGAAACTAGCCAGGCAAATTTTGCTTTTACTTTAAACTTCTTTGCCGACATCCCGGTGTCGTACGTGCAAGTGTTAATTGCGCATATAGAAAGAAAATCTTAAACAAAAACGAAATATGTATGCGGTTGGGTATATTCAGTACGATTGTATTATTTCTATTTATTTGTTAGGAAACAAACAGATACGCTATACTCAAAACAAAAACGTCGAATGAAATATAAAGTATTAAATGTGTTCTAAAACAGTTTCACATAAAAACAATTATATACAATATGCAACTCACTGAAGTATATCCGAAACAACGTATCAACTCTAAAAAGCCGACAACGCACTCGCGAGCCCACTTGCATTGAGAGTGTCCATGCGCCTATGCCACTTAACATCTGGTCGTTCTATAAAAAAAATCAAACTCAAAATATCTTTATCCATATAGGTAAATAAGTTCACTTAAGAACGTCAGAAAAGAAGTTAAATTAATTGTAAATTTACATTTACTACCATTTCGCAAGTCAAGGGCGTAGAGCGGTTAAGAAGAACTGGCAAGAAACTTTCCGCCACTCTATTTAATCGCCAAGTATTGTTATACAAATTGTTTGAACTTGAGCAAATCAATCCCGAGGATTAGGACATTTAAGTATTCGTCAAATTTATAAAAAGCTTTATTGACTAATTTACGTTTATCGAGGGCTTTGAATTACTGAAAGACTAGACTGAATACTGTAACACAAGTAGACAATACAATATTTAGGAGAATGTATACACAAAATAAGTATGTATGTATGATGACGTAACTTCTGTGTCAGGGTACAACCCGGCCACGGTGGCCTTCGTGCCGATCTCGGGCTGGCACGGTGATAACATGCTGGAGCCGTCTGACAAGATGCCCTGGTTCAAGGGGTGGACCATCGACCGTAAGGAAGGCAAGGTTGAGGGGAAGACTCTGATTGAGGTGCGTCTTATTTTTACTACACCGAGTGAAGTTTACTCCTTTAAAAATCTGAAACAAATATATTAAGATAAAATGTGCAGAAAGTGCGAAAAAACATTACGACTTATTGACATATCTTTTATAAATGTGTTACATGTTTAAATTAATTAATAAATCAGTGGCGCTACAACCGCTAGGTCTAGGCCTCAGATTTCTGAATCTGTTTCATGATCATTTTTCTATCTAATAGGCAAGTAGCTGTGATCAGCCTCCTCTGCCTGACACACGCTATCAACTTTTTGGGTCTACGACATGTCGTTTCCTCACGATGTTTTCCTTCACCGTTCGAGCGAATGTTAAATGCGCACATAGAAAGTCCATTGGTGCACAGCCGGGGATCGAACCTACGACCTCAGGGAAAGGAAGCCACTAGGCCAACACTGCTCATATGTTTTAATTATGTGATGATAAAATGATGTAAGAATTGACTATGATGATATGTTTATATGATAATGTAATGTTTTTTTTTTAATTATGTATTTGCACGCCATTATGTGTGGCAGAATATGCGAATTTTAGATTGTACCACCATAATATTTTTGTACGATATTCTTGCAAATAAATACATTTATTATTAAAAAAACATCGTGAATGGAAATTAAATGATGTGTAATTTAATATTCTATGCATCAACTTACAGTCTTGGTATTCGAAATAAAATGTGTGTGGGCTTTCTGTGTATGGAGGGACGCATTGTATTTTGTATTTTTTGCGGTAAAAATAAATAAATATCTTTACGTTATAAAGATGTATTATACTATACTATACTATGCTATACTATACTATACTATAATATACTATACTATACTTATGGTATAAGTATTTCTGTAAAAATATTGTTACTGTCAAAATGGAAACCAACCAGACGTCCAAATACCCGTTTCTCTGTAATTTATGACTTGTATTAAATTATTGAAAAATAATAAAATTTGTGATAGGCGTTGGACGCGATCCAACCACCATCCCGTCCCACGGAGAAGCCTCTCCGTCTTCCTCTTCAGGACGTGTACAAGATTGGTGGTATCGGAACAGTTCCTGTAGGACGTGTTGAGACTGGCATTTTGAAACCAGGTTAGTTAGTTTTATAACACGTTAAAGATATCATTTTGGTCGCATTTTCTGTATCGCCTCTTTGTAGTACGTCACGCAATTTTTGGAGATTATTAAACCCATGTAACGCGACGTAACGTTTTTCTGTACCCAATAGTAAAACGTTTCGTGACCACCAAAGTGACTCTTTATACCTGTTAACGTAAAATTGTAAAAACCGTTAGATTGTAATCTATCTCGCGAGATTATAATCTGTCGAAAGATTGTGAACCTCAGCGTACTGCTTACAATTTAACGTATTATTATTCGGTAGATTGTAATCTATCGAAGTGAAACCGTCAAATTGTGAAACGGTTATTTTCTACTTTTCTATTGGTTATAAGAGATGTGACATTCTCGTTTTCTATTGGTTATAAGTGATGTGACATTCTCGGTAAATTAATCGAATCGATTATTTCCTCATTTGTTAATTTTAAAGTTGAACCTAATCGAATCGATTATTTCCACATTTGTTAATTTTAAAGTTAAACCTAATTTAACCATTACTTGTCAAATGTACATACATTACATTAACTTCATGTTTCAATTAGTGTAGGATTCCGAAATAATTAAATTATTCAAAAAGTACCCAAAACCGAATCAGAGCACCCCACTATCCACGTGGTCTTGTCTGCCCTACCCCTAGAGTGTATATAAAAAATCGGAGGCGCGGAGGAAGAGGAGGCTTGAATAAATTGCCTGTGCTTTGGTACGCAAGGGTGGAGGGGCTGCATTTCCCGTAGCGCCGGAGCTGTCCAAAAAATGTATTATTATTCGGTTAGGTTAGGTTAGTTTATTAATATTTTTTTTTAAATAACTGTTCAACTGAAACTCGAAATCGAATACAAAAATCGATTTTCACTTTTAAAAAATATATTTTTTTTGAATAATTTCAAAATTTTCGGAACCCTACACTAACTGAAACATGAAGTTAATGTAATGTATGTACATTTGACAAATAATGGTTAAATTAGGTTTTAATTTAAAATTAACAAATGAGGAAATAATCGATTCGATTAGGTTCAACTTTAAAATTAACAAATGAGGAAATAATCGATTCGATTAATTTACCGAGAATGTCACATCACTTATAACCAATAGAAAACGAGAATGTCACATCTCTTATAACCAATAGAAAAGTAGAAAATAACCGTTTCACAATTTGACGGTTTCACTTCGATAGATTACAATCTACCGAATAATAATACGTTAAATTGTAAGCAGCACGTTGAGTTCACAATCTTTCGACAGTTTACAATCTCGCGAGATAGATTACAATCTAACGGTGTTTACAATTTTACGGTGACATACCTAAAAGTTAGCATTATGTGGCGTAAAGTAGTTCGATCCCCGCCCCGCATCGTAACGTTTTACAAAATGACACCCCATTGTTGATCTTACTTGGTTGAAAAATAAGTTGAGTTGGCGGGGTTTTTTTGTTTTGTTTAAGTAAAAAATATAATTTTCCGTTAGAATATGATAATTTCATTACTTTACACGACAAGCAATTAAAGTATTAAGAAATCTTAAAAGCACTATTAAAATATGAAACACTCCATATATGAAAAAATATTTTTAAAATCGTACTTATCATTGTCAGATCTATGACCAACATGGCTTCAATTCCTTAGTGTGTCTATAGATAATAACACTGTTCCGCCAATTCAGTTAGTGTTATGTCACGTGATATGCAATGTGTCAAAAAAACTGACTATAGCTTAATGCCTTCAAAACATAACTTCAATAACGGGGGCCTCATAGCCTAGCGGTCTTATTAAGTGGCAGCTAGGTGAGGGGTACCGGGTTCGATTCCCGGTTCGAGGGCAAGTTTTAATGTAATTTAAATTTGTTCTCGGCCTTTGGGAGGGTTGTGCGGTACCGGGCGAGTGCTTAAACCGTACATAAAGGGCACTGTCGAATTTCTAAAAGACAAGCACGAATTATAAAAAGTCCTATACTTGACGCTGGCTAATGCACAAATCGTGCCAGAGCCATTAAAAAAAAAAAAAAAAACTTCAATAACAATAAGTTCTTCTACATTAAAAAGTCGTGAGATCCAAGTCATACCTAGATTAATTTGTTCAGTCCCTACTTAAGGGGCCTTTTTCTTAAGTTTTTACGTAATTAGATAACCTAACAACATCTTATAGTAACCATATCTTTATAACAATGTTTTTAATAAATACATTGAATTGGTAATGCAAATGCAAACTATTACTAAATCAATAAATATTTAGAATACAGTTTTTCCAATGAACATAAGAAAGTAAATTAAATTATTTTAACGCCTTTCTCATGCGCGTTAAATTTTTATTAAATTTATGAGTAACCATAGCTTAGTAGCCAATAGATTTAGATTTAATAGGATTACATTTTTTGAGCCATTAAAAAACAAATAAAAATATATTTGTCTCTCTCCTCCTCCTGTCATCTCAGACATTACCAGTTCTACACGCTTAATAAATTGTGGTGTTAAGGTATGGTCGTGGTGTTTGCTCCGGCTGCCATCACCACTGAAGTAAAGTCTGTGGAGATGCATCATGAGGCGCTCCAGGAAGCTATGCCTGGTGACAACGTTGGGTTTAACGTGAAGGTACGTGGGGTTTACAAGTTAAAAGCCTTTATTGTTTTTTGGTTAAATTAAAAGATTTTGACTAAATAAGTATTTGGTTAATTCAGAGCGAGAACAGCAAAGTTAAACTTGATTACATTTAACCACATTTTTTTGACAAATTAAACCATTAATTAAAACACTTTTTTTTTTAAACATACACTTAATAAAAATTAAAAGAGCGTGTACCCAAATAGTACAAACTTCAAATAGCATTAACAATAATTTAGAAACAAGTCGGGGCTTAAAGTGGGCCTACTACTAATCTCACTTGGGAGGGATGGAGAGCAACCCGAGTTCTTCAAGAGCTCGGTTTCTCTGTTTCTCTCAGGGCCGGATTTAGGGGAGGGCAACTGGAGCTACAGCCCCGGGGCCTTCACAATACAGACATCCGATTTTAAGTTTCAACTAGTAAACACTAGTCAACAACTTTTTTTTTATATAAATTTTTATATGTTTGTTAAATACTTGGTTTCACAATAAATTATTGATTGAAAAAAAAATGAAAAAATTAATTTTATTTGGGCCAGGGGGCCTCCATACTTCTTAATACGGCCCTGCGGTATGTGCGACGGCAAAGGCCAAGGTTGTTTGCCTTGTCTCCGACACTCGACATATTTATATGTTCGCAGAGTGTATGTTATATGTTGTAAAAGAGTTTATTTTTTAATATCGACATTATCGTATTGGCTTAGTACTGTACGAATGGTGTGTCTTGTAAATAAATAAATTTTAATCGACTAAAATCCAAAGAGTAGTTCAATTCCACGTGTATCTTTAACATTATCACAAAGCAATGAGAAATGGAATAATAGCTGCTAGTTCAAGAATATTAAAATAAATACGTTAATTAAGTTAAGAGTGACTGATTTTGTGATATGAGCCTTTCTCTTGCGAACAATGCACAGCCTTGGTATATTAATCAACTAAACACAATAGATGCAACCAGGGCTATAAATAGGTCATAACAGTTATGAAATTAAATTGATATTTTGAACGTGGCTTTTGAAATCGTTTTTCGAGCTGGGAACCCTGGCACAGATATTTCTTTACTTAAAATGGTTCCCAAATCTTTTTTTTAAATTAGAGTATTTTGTCTTCCGGAAAAATATTGGGCCCATATCATGGCGGAATGCAAGATTTTATTATTACATTGAATTCTCATTTTTATAAGCTTATTATTTATTTTTTGATTGTGCGTATATACAATAAGATTAGGCGTAGGCCGATTGGACTTTATCTATCAATATTTCTTCTTTCTTGAGAGATTCTATGAAATTTCGTGTCAGAAATATCTTACGCTGAAAGACTATATAAGTCTTTTATTTATGGACACGCCTTCAACTCAAACTGAATGAGCAGGCTATATTGCAAAGTATGCAGACTGAAGACGGACCGATGAAGCCACCCGTTGGGAGGGACCACCATGGAAGAGAGATGTGGGAAGACCACTAAAGCGACGAGTGTCGACATAAAAAAATCTGTATGGAGAAGCAAAAAATAGATCCAAATTGAAAGTTCAAGAGGAGATCTCTATATACCTCTATAACTTAGATTAACGGTAAAAATAACACCACCATTTGATGTGTAAATTTTTTTGTAATTAATGTGAAGTTAAAGTGGTTTTATTTTTTATTTATTTTATTATATTTATGGATATATTATAATAAAATGTCGATCAAACAATATATTCGTATACAATAACTACATAACCGATAGCCGTGTGTTAAACTTGACAGTGCCGTCAAACTCGGCCCATACTCTGTATCCATAATTAAACCAAGAATGAAATTAATAATAAAATTCCTAGACATAAACTTATGACAAAGTAATAATTTCATATTCAAATTGCGTTATCTATGCTGATAGACCAGTGCAGATAGCCTTTAAAATAAATAAAAAGTGAAAAAAATTACAGTAGGATGAAACCCATTAGAAAAGCAGGAGAATATTATAAAAATTAAAGGAAAAATAAATTACGGGCGATCTGAGGTCGGGAAATATTTTTAATCAAATAAATTACAGTGTACTCTAAAATTGAGATTTTAGCTTATAAAACTGTCAAAATGACGTTCTTGCGCCAGCCACGGCTAATGGCCATTCCAGCCGAACTATGCTCGGCAAATTAGCTGGAGATGAGCTTTGAAGGCCCTTCAACCATCATTTAAAAATAATAGAGCTAATAAAACGTTACCACCAGGGACGCTGTAATATTTTTCTTTCAAATGTTTGACACTGACGTATTATAGTTTAGCGTTTAATACTTTACCAAATGAATAATCGTGGATGACGAAAAGAAAATTGGTCGATCGTTTGATCTAATGAATCATGTAGAAGAAAAATTAAATAACGATGTATTAATCCACTTTTCGATTGTTATCAGATCATTAGAAATAATCTAGGCCTACACAAAAGCCACTTATATCTAAGGGCCATTCTCTAAGTGTGTTTCGAACCATTCTTGCGAAATGTGAGAACGAATTAAAAACTTGTTATCTACACCGTTTTTAAATATAATTCATACACTTGTGGAGGAAGGTGAACTATTCCATCAACCGAAAAGTAGGGTCTTTAAGCGACTAAAACCCCAAGGCCCCACTAACAGTCGCCCTGGCGGGAACAGCTGGGCCTTTTTTTCCGCCACACGATACGACGGTTGCGTCCGCGCCACGCCCATTGTTAGTTTGTGATGATACTTGACACAGCACGTATCCTTCCTAGGACCTTCAGGACCCTCGACCAGTGTAGCCCCCAATGGCTAAGGCCGAGAAGTTTTACGAGTATACATATATCCTTAGCGGGAATAACTTCGTTAGCACGTTTGAGGGTGATGTTGTAGGTGATTTCTTTTGTTCGGTTCTTTTCAGAACACACGGCCGTTTCTTTAACTCTTGATCTGTTCTTGTCAGAACACATCACCGTTTCATTACGACACGTAAACTAATCACCTACAATGTCATCCCAGTGTATAAAAGCGCAGATTGTAGATATCGCTATACAATTTCCTGAACTTTGTCGTTGGTTTTTATTTTGTTTTTGCTGACGAACATTGCACATGTTACAACTTTGTAACGTCAAAATATGCACAGTCCTTTGAGTGTATATAGAGTTTACACTGTATTGTTTAATTCGCATTTAAATTAGTTTTGAGAGTCTACTTGGCATTGACTTCTGTATTATGTACAGAACGTGTCGGTGAAGGAGTTGCGTCGTGGGTATGTGGCTGGTGACTCCAAGAACAATCCCCCCAGGGGAGCTGCTGACTTCACTGCTCAGGTAAGCTACTTATAATTCACAACTTCACGAGAATCTAAATGAATTGATACGCAGGAGTAGGATTTTATGGTCATTTAACAGTAATATAAATTGCTGACGTTATAAAATAGTAAAAGTTTAAAAAGTATCAGTATTTTACAATTTATCGAACAAATGGTGGCATTTTTTATAATTTCATTCATTTTGTCAATTTTTAATTTTTAAAAGAATCCTCTTGAAAGTATCAAGCCAATTAAATTTAGTTAAAATTTAATTTTAATTTGTGTAGCATAACTATCTGTTTAGAATCTGATATAGTTTTCAGTTGTGTATGGGAAACAATTAGATAATATCAAATAAAAATACTTCGACGAACTGAATTTAGTACACAGTAGAATATCGTTTTTGCCGCCATTTTTTACATGGAAACTAAATGTTTAGTCCGCGTTTGATAATAAGGGTGATTACGTAACAAGGTAGGTTAAGTTCGCATTCTAATTATTTTAATTTTGAAATCTATAACTGGTTGCTTATTTAGAACAGTGGTCAAATTGTGCAACAACTACATTTTATTTTTGAGACCAATGCCGATTTGTTAGGTAACCTTGCGTTAATGTTGCAATTAGCAAAAATTTTATTAAACTTTTAGAAATGAGCTATTATTATGACAAGCATTAGTCAAATTACAAAAATATAGACTTAATTACCAAGGAATTGCTAAATTTGCATTAACTTCATTGTGTTTAATTGGTTTCTATAGTAGTTTCTGATAGTTGTTAATTCTTATTCCTCTCCATAAATGAACATACATAATTTCTTATATAATAAAATTAATTGTTAATTTACACACTCTCTTGTTAAATGATAGGTTTATATGACAAAGTTTTAAAAACATATAATGAAAAAATTAAATTCAAATTTTAAATAATTTTATGAAATTTTCGAGTAGAGGTAAGTAATTAATTAACAATCAAATTCATCCCCAGTGGGGTCTGAGGCCGCCCGTTGGTACACACTGGATCAAAATATCTAATGAAGTCACTGAAATAAATATGCTAAAAAAAACAATATGTTAAAAACATATAAGAAAAAAATATATTATAAAACACATCAATTATGTTAAATTACATAATTAAAAACAATTATTTAATATTAAATTGAAATTTTAATAAACAATAGTAGAACTGTTATGAAATTTTACTATATTTTCATTTTTAATGAGAACTATCAAAGAGGAAATCCGGAGACTGGCAGCTAAATACAAAGATACGTTTAATCTAGAGACGACTAAAACGTTACCATATTCTGGAGCTAGAAGACCGGCAGTCGGTCTAGGCAGCAGATGAGTAGATGCTTCCAATGGGAAGCCACTCCACATGACAGCACCACAGAACAGATCATAGCCTTATGGGTGATTGCAAATAAGCGCAGAAGAAAAAAAAATCTTTTATCTACCTTCATAATAATTGTTTGTATTCAGGTGATTGTCTTGAACCATCCCGGGCAGATCAGCAACGGATACACCCCGGTGCTTGACTGTCACACTGCCCACATTGCTTGCAAATTTGCTGAGATCAAGGAGAAATGTGACCGTCGTACTGGTAAGTGCTCCAATATAATAGATTGGTAGCGCGATTTAAACTGTCGCCGCAGATTATATGTGTATATGTAGCGAACATATCGTTCAGAATATTTTAAGAAATAACCTTCATACTATTTGGTAAATTTGTTGAATCACGGCTCCACCGCTGTTTTACAGCTCCAAATTTTTTGAAGTTATACTTCTTTAGGCGCGTTATGAAAAATTTATAAGCGTGAAATTTTACGATGCGCGCGCACCGTGACACAAAATTATCAGTATGGGCGCCGAGCGTGCGCGAGCGAGATGGGAATAAGACAATCCTCCTTCCAGCCTCCTTCCAGCCAAATCCAGCCTTCTTAACATTACTTAGAGTACTACTTACAACTCGTATAGAAACTATATAAAAAAAATAAAAAAAAAAAAAAAAAAAAAAAAAAAAAAAAAAAAAAAAAAAAAAACAGCTGTTTTAAAGTGGAGCCGTGTTTCGACCTAGTGGTGGGCCTTAGCTTCCTCAAGTACACTTCGCCATCGCAATCTATCCAATGCTTCCCGCGTCCAATTGCGAGAGATCTCTGCGGTCTTTCTTTGGGCCAGGTTTCAGAACCATAAGTGAGCACTGGTCGCAGCAAAGTTTGCACAGAACAAGCTTGGTATTCGACAAATTAACCAAATATTAATAGAAATATTAGGTAAATTTGTACCTACTTTCAGTCATTCCACAAATCATGATGTTTTAATTAATTTCTATGGTTTTAAAGAGAATGCGCCACCACATTATTGCATGGTACAACATCATTACTGAGTGATGAAAATATGTAGAAAAAAATTTGAGCGGTTTTAACCTGGAGCCGTAACTCGACAAATTTAATATTTAGTACAATATTATAAATAACACAATGATAACAATATACATTATTATTATTATACATTTCTGTATAGCCTTATAACAACTTTTTCACCGGTATTCAATGCCTAGGACCACCTTTGTCCAGTATTGGATACAATTTATACCTATAAATCCTTATTTCATTTAGTTTAGTTCAAATGCCAAAATCGTTTAAAACAATGTTGTTTTTGCGAAACCAGTTTAAAATTCGAGTTTACATTCTAGTTTTACATGATGCTGTTATAGAAGGTGAAGGTCTTTGAAAATGTTATATACAGGGTGTCATGATAAAAAACAGTAAACAAACTTTTGGTACAGTCGAATCTTCAATTAAGACTACTTATGAGTAGAAGCAAAGAAAAATGTGATTCTACAACTGTGCTAGGCTATTTATTTTGCAAATTTAGATATTAGATCAAATTAACTGGTAGTAAATGTAAATTTAGAACCAATTTAACATATTTTCTGTTGACGTTCATAAGTGTACTTGGTTACCAATATGAATAAAGTTATTTGCGTTTGAGGTTACAAAGAATCTGTACCATGCATGTTTGTTTTAGTTAATTTATTTCGTGTCCTAAGCCCAGTAAATCTATTAGCTTTAAGAGGAATCTTAACATTTGGATATTTAAAGATTAAACTATAAACGAATAATGATTTTTTTTATTTCATATGTAACATCAAATATTGTTTACTTTTAAATTTAATCTTTTGTTTTTATCAAAATAATTAATTGTTGTGTACAGTATTCACGACATGTATTGTATTGTTGCACGTATATATGAACCACGGAAGAGTATCTGGGGGTTGAGTCAAGATCGAAAACTAAATTTGTATGAAAATTTGTCGACACAAACTGTCATTTTCATACAAATGAAGTTTTGGACTTTCTACATACACGACTGTTTAGCATCTTGACGAAAACCCTGGTCACACAAAACAGAGTTGTCCCTAGTGTGGGGACCACGTTTGTATGATTAGCTACCATATAGTTCTGTAATTTTTCAAATAAATAGGTTTTTCGCCGTAATTGAAATTCTCAGAACATCGTACTAAAGCTAAAAGTAAAGCAATATAAACGCTTATAAAACAGTAATGTTTATTAATTTAGTAAGAAATTCAAAAAGGATTTGTTTATTTGCATCTAAGACAGACCAACCAAGACAACTTAAACATAGATTAAAAATATGATTTATTTTTTTACACTTCGTTGCAATAAAAACAAAAGAAACGCAAATAACACAATACATAAAAATTATAAGGGATGCAACGGGCGGCCTTATCGCTAACAAGCGATCTCCAGGCAATCCTAGATAAAGAGGAACAGAACCAAATGTTATATAAAAAATATAATATACAACCTTTATCTCAAGTAATACAAAAAAAATGTATTAATAACAAACTAAAAACTTAAAAGCTCTCTTTTGTTTAACTTCCATATTCGAGGATTAAACATACTATATGTTACGAATAATAATTTAATATGTTAACAACAGGATGTTGCATCGATAATTTTTAAACTATGGACAACTATTAAATTTATTTAAATTAATAAATGCGAAAAAAATCAGGAAATCTTCTTATTAAATAAATTATTTTTATTTTGAAAACGAGTATTAGTATTTTAGTATTCTAACGTTTTAACAAAGAGCCTCTATAGCTATAGCATTGGTTACGAAACATGGTTCAATTCGCGGCGAAACAGAAATGGCGTCGGATTAGTATGGTAATACCTTCTGCCACACAGATGTTACGTCTCTTGAAAGTAAAGTCGTATTCCTGTCAGAATTAAGTTGAACTTTTTTGTGTATCAATCAGGTAAAACCACTGAAGTGGAACCGAAGTCCATAAAGTCTGGTGACGCGGCCATCGTCACCCTGATGCCGACAAAGCCACTCTGCGTTGAGTCTTTCCAGGAGTTCCCGCCGTTGGGACGCTTCGCTGTGCGTGATATGCGTCAGACCGTCGCAGTGGGAGTCATCAAGGTAATATTTTAGAATTGGATTATCATAGGATAGTATAAAAAGATTTAATCTAGAACAACGTTGATAACCCTCGTTAATCAGGTATTACGTGCCCCGAGGTTTCATTAATACCGCGCAACTAGTAATTCCTCTTACGCTGGCCATAGACGGCCGACGACTGTCTTAGCACGGCGATCTGCAGTTTCCATACTAAATTCATATCCGCAATATACCTACGGACCGCTCGAGCAGTTCCTGAGCGGTCGGAGCAGTCGCTCTGCGGTCGAGTTTCGCCGTGCGGTCGACTGCTTAGAGCTGCCGGACTCACCATACACGGACTGCTACAAGCGGTTGCTGCCGACCACGCGCTACTCGCTCCCCGCTGAGTACCAATCCCTTCCTCATTTTGGAATCTGTCCGTTGTATTTTATGGCTTAAAATACTAATTCATCAAATGAAACCACGGGGCACGGACATTCTAAAGTAGTTGTTTTTAGTTTCTTCTCTTAGCTGGGGATAGAAAGTATGAAATATAATTTATATATTATAATAATATTGGTTGTAGTATTGGACGCACCCACATACTACGATGTCTTCTATGCCTACGCTTGCGTAATAGTAGTACAAAAAGCAGTGTTTCTTCATCGAAATCCATCTTGTAAATGAACTCGCATCATATTTTGCCGTGTGTTCGACCGCTGCTCCAATATAGCAGTCCGTCTATGGCAACGTTTATTAGGGTTTTTAGGATTTAGAAATGGATTACTCTTTATATGCACGTGAAGAATCCCTTCTAAGGGTTTTAGATGTATTTTACTTTACTGATGATTTTTCGAATGAATGTGGGTTAGAACGTGAAACTTGACAATTCTAATTCGACTAAAACATAATTTATCTATTAAGTATATCTAGAAATAAGAAAGAACAACAATATTTCCTATTTAATACGTTAATTATAAATTTTAATTATAGGTAGGTATATATTGGAAAAGATTTTGTTGTTATTAGTGATTCGTCTTAAATTTTAATGGGATAACTTTTAGATACCTTTATATTCGTTATTTAAGTTGTGGATGCTAAGTCCGACTTCCATAAATCAAGAATGTATTCGATTTTCACATTTGGGAGTCATATTTCGGTCCCGTTTTTGTATCTATATTCAATTTATGCGTCAAACATTATTACGAGCGCATTAATAAGTTTTAATATATGTCGTAAGGGCATGTATCTTAATATTAATAATGGTTATATCAATATCCCTCTTTTTTTCAGAGCGTGACCTTTAAGGAGGTGACCACTGGTAAAGTCACCAAAGCCGCCGAGAAGGCCCAGAAGAAAAAATAACTATTGGGCTGTTTAAAACACGTAGAGCGGCCGGTGTGTGTCATCTGCAACGCTGCCCCATTTAACCCCACACCCCCATATTTAACCCACAATTGGATGTTGCCCCCCGAGCAGCCGGCAGATGATGAATCGGTTGCCCCCAAAATCCCAATATCGATGTTGTCTCGTAGTCGTGAGTCCCACTCACACCGTAGGAGCTTCTTAACTGGTGACATCACTCACGTTCCCAACTCTTGCATTTATCATAAGATACTCGTTCGTTTTAGTTACACATACGTACTAAGTTTATGTCTTTTTAATTTTAGTCGTAAGTTATTTTCTATGTTTGAATTTCCGTACTTGAAGGCTCGTTATATCTTAATAATTTCCCATCGCAAAGAGTTCAGGAGGAAAGATGTTGGTATAATTGAATTTTTAAACCGTTTCACCTCACTCACCACTCTGACATAAACGTATTTTGTTCGTTCTCTGAGAGTGATTTTATTTTGATAAAGGTACGACGCAGTCACGCTGTAATGTGGTGCTTGATTCGTTCACTCGTTCTTATTGACATTTCATTGACAAATTTTGGAAAAGTACATTTAAGATTAGATGTTATTTTCATAGACGGTGTTGAATGTTGTATTGTAGGGATTTTAACATCAGAGAGTTGAAAATGAAGGCAATGGTTTAACCAAAGCTATATAGTTGGATTAAGGGTATAATAATTAAGCGTTTAAAACGTTTTGATAGATGTCTGAAACTTTGTATGTGATTTTTGTTCCTAGGTTGACTTGTCTAAAAACATATTGTATATTCAGTTACATATTTTAGATAGAAAGTGTAAAGGTTTAAACGTTCAATTTGACGATTGTAAAATTTCTTGGAATAGGTATGTAGGTACGGATACAACTGGAAACTCTTTTTAAGCTAAATGTATCTTAATATTTTCAATAATTTTTGTAAAGACCTTGATCCTGATAAAACCAATAAAGAAGCGACTGGTATGTTGTGTTTTAATTAGCTATAATTAGTTAATACGATACTTAAGGAAACAATTCAATTAGTTAATTTAAACTATTTAGACAGGTACAATTACAAACTTCAATACACATTTAATAAGAATTCAGATGATTTTATAAAGTAAAAGAAGCAAATTTAACACCCAAGTATTGAACCTGCGAAATTAAAACAACTATATTCCCTCTAAGCAAACAGCGCCTCTATGCTTACCGTAGGTGCGATATGTTAAGGTAGGCATACAAAGACATACATACAAAAATTGCACCGTAACTGCAATCTAAAAACGCAATTGACCTTTAATCTGAAGATAAGAACGGGGCCAAAAAATTGGCTAAATTTCAAGAGATTTTTTTAAAGAATATTTTTTAATACATGTTCCGAAACGTATAATATAAATATATTATGTGTCATGACCCGAAACTACACGACACATACAGAGTATAATAATACTAAACCTTCCTAATTCTTTACACCAGATGTCAAAGACGATTGAAGCTTTAAAAAATTACTGTTGATTCATGTTTGACACTTGTGCAAGGGCTGACATTGACATTTGGCATACGTGTTCACTGTGCGGTGTTTTGTAAATTGTATAATATTTGATCGGAAGAAAACTTGTTTCGCCGGTGTTTACTGATATTTATTTTACCAATGAAAAGCAACGATAACGAAACATGATGACGTGTGCTTTGCCGTAAGTGAAAGTAACATATTAGTGGTAGGAGTCATTTGCAAAGGCCTTCAATAACAGTCGGGTTGCGGAACGCTCGCAGTCTCTCGTCGGTCGTGGTTTAGTGCACTCTAGTCGTCGTAAACATTCTATCGTAACTATGTGTGGAATTTTCGCATATATTAATCACTTGACACCTAAGAGTCGGCGTGAAATTTTGGAATTACTTGTCAATGGATTGAAACGTTTGGAATACCGAGGATATGACTCTGCTGGTGTCGCCATTGATGCCGCTGACCAGAAAGATATTGCTGTCTTAAAAAAAAAGGGCAAAGTAGCAGCTCTTGAAGAATTACTTCAACAACAATGCTTGGACTTGGCAGTTGAAGAATGTGTAGATTCCCACTGTGGTATTGCTCATACCCGTTGGGCCACTCATGGTGAACCAAGTGCTGTTAACTCTCACCCTCAGCGTTCAGGAGAAGACAATGCTTTTGTTGTCATTCACAATGGTATTATTACCAACTACAAGGAAGTAAAAACCTTTCTAGAAAATAAGGGATATTGTTTTGAATCCCAAACTGACACCGAAGCTATTGCTAAGCTGGTTCATCACATTTATAGTCAACACAAGGATTACAGTTTCCAAGAGCTGGTAGAACAGGTAATTCAGCAGCTAGAAGGTGCCTTTGCATTATGCTTCAAATCCCGCTACTTTCCAAATGAATGTGTTGCAACACGAAGAGGAAGTCCTTTACTTGTTGGTATCAAAACAAGACGCCGTCTATCAAGTGACCATGTACCTATTATGTACAATAACAACAAGGCTACTCGTGGTGTAGTGCCTTCTTTACCTCGGGTTAACAGCCATGCTCATTTTGAACCAGAAGAAGAGAGGGAAGTTGAATACTTCTTTGCCTCTGATGCTTCTGCTGTTATCGAACATACCAACAGAGTTCTGTACTTTGAAGATGATGATGTAGCTCATATAAAGGGTGGTGTCCTTAGTATCCACCGTATGTCTGGAAGCAGCACTGATCCTCATCAACGAGAGATTTTCACACTTAAGTTGGAATTGCAACAAATTATGAAAGGAAATTATGAGTACTTCATGCAAAAAGAAATTTTTGAGCAGTCAGAGTCTATTGTAAATACCATGAGAGGTCGTCTTAACTTTGCTGACGGAACTGTTACACTTGGAGGAATCACAGACTATATTCCAGAAATAAAGCGTTGCCGTAGACTAATGCTAATTGGATGTGGAACAAGTTACCACAGTGCAGTGGCAACTCGTCAATTACTTGAAGAGTTGACAGAGCTGCCTGTGATGGTTGAATTGGCTTCAGATTTCTTGGACAGAAATACACCAGTATTCCGTGATGATGTGTGCTTCTTTATTTCACAGTCTGGAGAAACTGCAGATACATTAATGGCATTAAGATATTGCAAACGTCATGGAGCTCTGATTGTTGGAATAACAAATACAGTTGGAAGTTCAATCTGTCGTGAGTCCCATTGTGGTGTACATATTAATGCTGGTCCGGAAATTGGTGTGGCCTCAACAAAGGCTTATACCTCACAATTTGTATCCCTTGTTATGTTTGCCTTGGTAATAAGTGAAGACAGAATTTCTCTCCAAAAGAGAAGGGCTGATATAATTGCAGGCTTACATGAATTGGACAAAAAGATTAAACAGGTCTTAGCGCTAGATGATAAAGTGAAGGCCCTGGCCGAAGATCTCTACCGTCAGCGGTCTCTTTTGATTATGGGCCGTGGGTATAACTTTGCCACTTGTTTAGAAGGAGCCTTAAAAGTCAAAGAATTGACATACATGCACAGTGAAGGTATTATGGCTGGAGAATTGAAACACGGGCCCATTGGCGCTGATCGATGATTCTATGCCTGTTATGATGATTGTTATGCGTGACCCGGTTTATACAAAATGCATGAATGCCTTGCAACAAGTGACTGCCCGCCAAGGACGTCCAATCGTCGTGTGCGAAGAAGGTGATACTGAAACAAAAAGCTTAGCATCCCGTGTCTTAGAGGTTCCAAAGACAGTAGACTGTCTTCAAGGAGTCCTTACTGTTATTCCCATGCAATTATTGGCATTCCATATAGCCGTTTTGAGAGAATGTAATGTTGACTGTCCAAGAAATCTTGCTAAATCTGTAACTGTAGAATGATTTTAAGTTATTTCTCACAAGTTAAGTTAGATCTCTAAATGCACAAGTTACTTTATATTTTTAGGGTTGATTAGTTTATTTTTTTGTATATATTAATTATGATAGATATCTGCGACATAATCGTAATCACAAATCAGTGCAGAGATAATTTTTTGATATTTTAAAGATAGCATAAAACAGCTTTAGCTTAAACATTCATTCCATTGAATTAAATTTTAACTTTATGTTGCGTCACATTCCCGTCACAATTACTCAATATCGGGCCGGTTGAAATTATTACGATAGATCTTGTCCAAGGTTGGCTTGACAATTTCTATTGGCCTATGGAATATTTGCAAGTTTGTGATTATTTTTTATGTTCCAATCGTATTAGAACATTGGATTTATATTTTATCCCATTTCCAGAAATTTTGTAATACTCCTATATTGTGTCTAAGATTGTAATTTGCTAGATATTAGAGATTATACATTATTCCTAGTATAATTCTTAGGTCCTGTATATAATTTTCGTATAAATAAATAATTTAGAATGTTGATGTTTATATATTTTTATATAACTTTTATACATTTACAATTAGTGAGAGTGATCTTTTATGTACTTGAGGAACAGGAAACGTTCAATGGTAATCTATTAATGATTTCCCTAGGGATAATTTTATCTCACTGCCTTTATCAGCGAAAATATTTGTTTCGACAATCGTGTTATTTAAAAATACTGATTCTGACGCTTTTAAAATATTAAAGATTTTATTTTATTTGTATATCGATTGTCGACAGTGAGATTCAGAATCAAATCTATCATATTTCTATTAAAACTAAATTCAAATGTTAGTTGCTAGTCAAAATTTTGTTATTCCATTTGCAAAAGATCTTTTACTATTAAAAATGTTAATTGTTTATAAGTTTATTTTTAAATATAATAAAGTTGCTTTTACATTTATTTTTGTTTGTTTTCTTTTTTTAAAGACATGGACGTTCGTGGGCAAATTCGTCTATTAATTTATCATAAACACAAAATATTTTATTAAGTTTATTTAGGGGTGAGTTTAAGAAAGCGTAAGCTTTGGAGTTTCGTTTTAAAATATGGTAAGCTCATTTAGTTACCTACTAGTAACTTAGTAACGATTAACTCTTAACAAACGACTGAATACAGCTGTTAGGTAAAATTTAAATAATGTGCCTTACCATTTTTGTCAACAATTGTGAAATAAGAAAGTAATGTATTGCATTTTGATTTTCATAATTTCTGATCTTTTACCAAACAAAATTTAAAGTTCCGAAGTGCAGAGGTTTCAGTATTTGAATATTGTAAAATTTTTTATGACAGATTTGATACAGATACCAGGAATTGTTCTACCCTAAAAAATTAATACTGATTGTACTGATACATGCTCAATAATTATAAAAATTCACTAATTCATATTAGGTACTTTAAATAATGTTAACATTTTAAGCCCTGTAAAGACAAATTCATGAGCGCCATTGTTTTGCTTTTAAACCGACTTTGTGAACTTTACCAACGAATGTACCACCAGACAGGCTTGCATTTACATTTTTATTTTATTTATTATTTAATTAAAATATAATGAAAAATAATTTAGTTTTTAGTAAGTATGTAAGTATCCTACACGACATTTTAATGGATCGTAAAGTGCAGAGCAACTTGCAGTATGGTATTGTTCAAAAGTTTTAATTTTATTTATTGTTCCCTTTACTTTTTCTTTCGTTAAACTATAAAATAAATGTAAATTGTTAAACTTTTTATAAAATGTATTTTGCCATAACAGGCATTTTATTCAATTGTCTAAAATCTTTATCTATCCCTTACGCAACACAAATAAAAACCTATTTTGAACCTTTTCTCTAGAACATAATTTAAACTTTGTTAAAGCAACAGAACGCACTTTAATTCTGGTCTAAAATACCTAAAAATGTGTTCTAATAATAACTAACTTACAAGAGTATTTGGACCTCAAACAACACTTGTTATTATTTAATATCCACAAATTCTACAATTTCCTACTTGTTGATTCAGTGTAAATAATTATAAATATGTACTAGACACAAATAAATAACAAATTTTACGTCCTATCTTATAATCGTGCTATCAAATTGTTCCCGACCGAGTGTATATGAAACATCTCGACATCAGCCACTGGTGTCTTCGAGTCTGAAACCTGGTCAGTAACTGGTTCGACTGGTCGAGGATCCGTTTCTGGGGATCAGTACACCTAGCCGTCTTCCACACTGCCTTAGGGTTATGAGTCTCTCATATTGTTTCTGTGCCTTTAATTATTTTTTAATAGTAAAGTTTTCTCACAAGGTCTGTACGAAAGACTTGCGAGGCGACGGTGTACTACCGGAGCATTGTGTATCGGAATCACGTTACCGTGTTTTTGAAGTATAACTTCACTTTTGGCGCGTTAGGGAAAAATGGTGAGAGTAATTTTTTACGATGTGCAAACCGTCACAAAAACCCGATATCCTGAAGTTAGCATAGTCAACATTTTAAAATAAAAAATATCCATTTCTTTAATTTTGTAGAAATAATTGTTCTGTAATATTTAAATAAACTTCATTTAACTAGATAATGCGTTATAATAAAACTTTCAATGTATCACATACCTTTTTTCTATTGTTAGTGTCGCTTTTTCTACAAACGTAGAATAAGGGGAAATATAATTATTTTTAAAAGATTTTTGTCTTATTACGCCAAAGAAGTATAACTTCTAACGCGCATGTAACACCCATATTTTACTTTATTTAATATACGTTTTTTTTACGTTGGACCTTTCTTTCAAAATACTATGCTATTTAAGGAGAATTGTTATTTTTGTCCATTCTCTTGATTGACATCAAAAAAACAAGGTAATTTTTTCTCATTTAAGTCGGTTTGATTCCCAGACGAGAAAAGTATTTTTTAGAAAATCATTGAATTCAGTAATACTTTTTAAAATAAAATAAAGTCTTCTTTCAGCAAAATATCCTATCTACGATATTGCAGATACTTTCCCTTGATGTCCCATAGTCTTGGGATAATGTATATTCTTTTGTTTACGTCAGTAATACGCGTATATATAAAATTTCTTAACGAATACTATTGACGTAGTTTTATCACCTATTGGTGTTCAACGACTAAAACATTCTAAACATCGAGTTATAAAGTTTTAGATTATTTCCTACAATAACCTCGTCACATTGAGCTGTTTCATTCCCCTATTTTGGTATAAACTCTGCCAAAAGTAATATTTAGACGTATTGTAAATCTAAATAATAAGGAGTACGCTAGTCCCAACTTATTGTATAATATCTCCAAAGTATTTCAAAAGAAATAAGCAAATAGAATAGATTTTTAAGACCACATAAAATTCTCACACACACATGCAAATTATTTAATCTTCGTTGTTACGGTGTAATTTGTTGTTGAATTTATTTTTAATTTAACAATAAATATTATCTATTTTTAATGCTGTAGATTGTGAATTATGTAACTATACATATATGTTCTTGCTATTTTCTGTCAAAACTCAAATCTAAATTATTGCTAGGAGGAAATTATTTGGAACTCTATGAATTCATTTAAAACTTCTACTAGTAAACATTTTTTATAACTTTATTGTACTTTATGCTTGTATTTTTAAATTCGGTATTGATTATTGTGATTCATAGTTAATTATTAATAATTAAAAGATTCCTTCTAATCTTTGGATTGTCTTTGAAGAATCCGAAAGAACTCAGTTTCCGCACTTAGACGCGTGTGCGTAAACTCCTGGCTAATTAAATCAGCCTAGCTCCGTCCGGAAGCTCAGAAGTTTCCAGTGCATTTCGCTACACGGACTACGGAGCGACCTCACTGCTCCGAGGATTTCTGTTCCTTGGTAAGCCAAGCATGCCACGCAGTCAACGTGGATGACTCTGCGCTGAAACAGCCTCTGTTCTGTCTGTGTGACGTTTTATTATTAATATACGCTCGGGCGCAGCCGAAGTGAATCGCTAGTTATACAAATTCATGCGTAGTGCAAAAAAAATAATCGACATTGACTGATATGGTTTTATAAACCACTTATCAAGGAGTCATCATTCTCGGTACACAGATATACTAGTAACATTCTTTGTTCTATCTGCCACAGTAGTCTCTACACCTTTATGACTGGTCTTTTGTAAGGGCTATGAGGATTAATACTATGACGCTTTTAATACAAATTCATATTTTAATATCTAGGATAGGTGTTTTCCGCACCAGTAGAAATCGTTTGGAAATATTTATCGGTATTTATCTAATATATAAAATTCTCGTGTCACAAACTCACAATGTTAGTTCCCATACCTACGAAACGACTCGACCGATTCTTATGAAATCTTGTAAGCATATTCAGTAAGTCTGAGAATCGGCTACTATCTATCTTTCAAACCCCTTAATGTTAAGGGTGGTCCACCCCTAACTTTTATTTTTTAGATAATTTTTTTTTTGTTTTTTTTTGATACTGCATACACAAATACATACAACCCCAAATTTTCACCCCTCTACAAACAACCCCTATTTATTATTTGTTTATTTAAATCGTATGACTTGAACTCTGAGGTTTAAATAGAGAAAAAATCACAGAAAAACCTAAAAAGTTTTCATTCCGGAAAACCGAACTAAAAAGGTAGGCTAAGTAAAATCACATTAAGGAAAACGAAGTTCGCAGGGGCAGCTAGTTTATTTATAAAAGTTAATAGCCTTCGTTCAGCACAATGACACGTTGATACAAGAAAAATCAAGTACAATTTTAATGCGACAAGCAGTTAGTATAGGCATGCACGAAGTGGTAAAAAAATAAACAAAAAAATAAAATTATAAAATCTAAACGAAAATCGATTTCAAAGTAAGAGAGGAGCAACTATGGATATCCATGGGTAGGGCGTTAAAGTGTATAGATACCGGCAAGCTTCTTGAGCATTAAACAAGGGAGCGGGGGAAAGTTTGCGCAGCGGGGGACACAAACGTCAACTGATTT